GCTGAATGCATTTGGTTTTTATGATGTCGCTTTACGGGCCACAGAGTCTGAGGGTCCCCATGATACAAGGCCATTATCCCAGCAGCCCCGGGGCCAAACCACAGCTTTGTTCATTAGTTATCACAATTACAGCGGGATATACTTAATAAACAGGCCCCAATGGAGAGAGCGTTTCAGAACATTATAATCTTTCCGAAAATGCGAGACCGGCTTCTTCTCTGACAATGTTCAAATCCAGTTTTTTGTGTGTCTTTTTTCGGTCTCTCACTGGTCTCTCTCTCTCTTTCTGATCCGTCTATGATCTCTCTCCAATCTCTTTCTGGTTTCTTGTTTGTCTCTCTTTCTATGGTCACTCACTGGTCTCTCTCTCTCTTTCTCTGGTCTCTCTTTGGTCTCTCACTGGTCTCTCTCCCTCTTATTGGTTTCTTGTCATTTATGAGAAAGAGTTAATGAGATGTATATTCACAGCGGCATAAATAATGTGAAGATGAAATCCCTAACCTGGATTTGACATCATCCCTCCAGCGTCCTATCCCCCTCTCCCCTATCCTTATTAACCTAATATTAAATCTATTATGTAACCGATTCCAACAATTATTAAAAATTATCTTATTCTAAAGCTTTATAAATAACAGCAAAATATATAATTATCCACCAATTTATTTCTCCTAATACTACAACTAAAACCTAAAAAATCACGAAAATTAATAGCTTTTTCTATGCCTTAAGTTTCTAATCAAACATTTACTCTGTCCAAACAAATAAACTGCAATCAAAATACCTATTATTATTATTTTATTCTGTATTAAACAACCTTTATATATACAACCTTTTAAACCATACAATTAATTTGTCTTATATTAATATTAACTTATATATTCGCAATTAAAAATAAATATTAAATACATCTAAGAATATATTTATTTAGCGCCGCTCTCCACGCAAATCCTGCTAAACTTTCACTCATGATACCAAAACACGTGCTATAAAGATATCCGTTATGACTCAATCATCACTCCTAAATCCCTCCTATCTCTCCACCCACTTAAACTCGCCCCCTCTCCCTCCATAACCAACGTATCTCCCCCTATCTCCCCCCCTCCCCTCATCCCTCATCCACACTATTTTTAACGAAAATCATTAAATCAATTATTACTTACACTGCATCTCCAAAGCATAACACGTGAAAACGACAAAACGCGCTAAATCAATCCCGATAAAAACAATCTCCCGCAAAAGTTCAAAAAATCCCGACTACGACGTCGAGTATCCACAAAAACCAAATTAACATCAATATAAAAATTGCAACTTCCCTCAATCACTTAACTCATTCCTTTGTGTGTTTTTTGTGTGTTTGGCTTTTGTTTTTTTTTTAATCATTTTATCATTAACTATACAACTTTACATAAAACTAAACCACTACTCATTACGCTTTACTAAATATCTCGAAAATTTTTTTTATTCAACTCATGCAAATAAAGACTGTAAAAGCAATAACTGAGATTCTTATAAAAATCAATTTTCTGTAAAATCAACTAACATTATGCTCAAACCCAGCTCTCACTTCCATTTTTTTTTTAATCGCATTCTTTTTATTTTTTTTTTCATTATGATTTATTTCTATTTCATTATTTATTATTATCAAATTAATCTTAATTTCCAATGTACGTAAAACCACCTAAAACAAGCAATTCGAACTCTCCATACAGTACCTTCAACATACCTTTCTTCTTATCATCTTATATTCACCAATCTATTTTCTATCCATTTATAATATAAAGATAATTAAACTTATTTCATTACAAATCTGACAATACAACGTAATATATAATTCTATCCAGCTATTAGATTCAATTTTCTACTCTATAAAAAAACATATATAACTCTACAATTAATATTCTTAATCTCCAACAAAACTTTAAGACTAAAATCTTTCTTCAATCACCACACAACAGAAATCAAACTTTCAGACTAAAAAATCAAATAACTCATAAACAAACCATCCCATAAGTTGATAACAATTAAAACTGTACCTATTCTTTTCTCTTTCATAATAATTTTTTCAGACAAACAAGTGATAAACTTAAAGCAAAACAAATTTTTCCGCTGCTTCAGCTAGTGTAAATAGACTCGGGTATTATTTGATAATATTGACCTTAAACAGAATAATTATTTGTAATGGGTTATACAAAGTTATTTTTTGTTTAAAAGTGATACCCAAATTTAAAAACAGTTAATATATTCCTAGTAATTTTGCTAACTCACAATCGACATTATATTTAAACTCACTAATCTATCAATATTAACTCCATTCAAATTATTTACTCAGTAATAATTAATAATAATAATAAAATAATATAAAATTATAATAAACCATCAGTTTTCACTCCTACACACTGTGACATACACTACTGACCACACTGCCCGGCAACACTACTGACGACAACTTGCCACCCCCCTCCCACCACCTCCACCATTCACACACACCAACCTCTTAATCTCTTGAAATTACCTATCAAATTTAATTTACTCACAAAAGAACCATCTCAATTGGCATTTTTTATTTTCTCATATCTGAAACACCTACCCATTTTATCCCTACTCTACCTGCAAGCCAGCCCTTCACCTCAAGCCCAGCAAGCCATCCCTTCTCCTCATTTCCCACAACCAGCCCCCCCCATATTCCCAGATAGCCTTCCAGTCTCCTCGAGTCCCACAACCGTCCTTCTCCTCAAAATATTTCCCCCACCCCCCACCCCCCCCACAGACCATCCGCTCCCAATCCACAACCAGTCCCTACTCCCTAAATTCCCCAATACCATACCCTGTCTCCTCAATCCCACAGACCTTCCTTCCCTCAAATCCCACAACCAGTCCCTTCTCCCAACCCACAATAACCATCCCCTGTCTCCTAAATCCCACATAGCCAATTCCCTTCTCCCAATCCCACAAGCCATCCCTTCGTTCTCAAGTCCAACAGACAATCCTCCTCCTAAATCCTAACCATCCCTTCTCCTCAAGTCCGCACAGACCATCCTTCTCCCAATCCTCAGACCATCCTTGCTCTCAGAGTTCCCCCACACCGTCCTTGCTCTTAGAGTCACATATACTTTTACACATTATATTACTCCACCTTCATTCCATTATTCACCTTATAATTCACCTTACTTTAACTTTCTTCACCTTCACCCATCACCGACTAAAGCTGACTTAATGTCGCGTGTACTCAGACTCTTTTCCATCTCCCATTAATCATCTCACCAACCTATTCTTTATTTTTTCACTACCCACCAAACCCTCGAAATCTTTGTAGATGACCTCTCACTGGCAAGAACCTAACCACTCTTTCTCCTTCACCAACTAAAAATTCTTCATTCTGATCATAAAGACAAAAATCCAATTTTCGCCTAATTTTGTAGTCACAAGGTCAAATACCTAACTCCCTACACACTACTAAATACAACAAAAAGTCTAACAGCATCTATCTATCCTACCTTCTTCTCTCTCCACTCTTCTCAACTAACGCCACCAGGCCCCCTCCACCTCACCTACACCTTCCCCGACCCCACCCACCTCGCCCTTCTTTCCTCCAACCCTTCGATTCTTCCCCAATCCCAACAACAACCGCACAAAACATATGACCACTCCCCGCCTTCAACATAACGCTTCCTCCACAAGCAGCCGAACAAGACCCCCCATCGTCCTCACATAGTACCTAGTGTTCCAACCTCACCAAATATAATATCTCCAACGATGAACCCAGATCGTCACAAGACAATCTCACCACGATCAAGCGCCTAAAAGGACTAAATCATTCCCAAAAGACATCCCACACCATCCCCTATATTTTGTTCGATCTAACAAGCCGCAACCACATTCACGCGAATCCAACATCTCTAACCTCAAAATCACTTAACATAACTTTCTTGTTGTTTTATAACGCATCAGAAAAACAATCAATCCTGAAAAAACAAAAACCTTTAAAACCCATAACAAGAAGAGAAAGAAATCTACTCCACACAGACAACATAACCCAATCTGACTTATCCAACTATTATCCTAACTACTGAATCCAAACACTAGAACCATCGACTAACCAAATCACTTATCCAACATTGTAGATACACCACTAGATCCTACTATTGTATCGAAGATGGAGAGAGACCAGAGAGAGAGACCAGAGAGAGAGACCAGAGAGAGAGACCAGAGAGAGAGACCAGAGAGAGAGACCAGAGAGAGAGACCATAGAGAGAGAAATCGGAGAGAGACCAGAGACCTAGACATCACCTTAATACTGTATATTATACAACTATAATTTATTGGTCCTGGTCCTGCTCCTAGTCCTGGTCCTGCTCCTGGTTCAAGTCCTGGTCCTGGTCATGGTCCTGGTCCCGGGCGTCTGGTGTGGTCACTTCAGGTAGAGTCGTGTATACGGTCTGAGTGCCAACATTCCAGACATTCCAGAGTGCTGCTGTAAACAGGAGCAGGAAGTTTGGACCCGGTGACCCCAGGCCTGACTCAGCAGGTCTAATCCAGGTCCAAGGTCTGGTCTAAGGTCTGGTCCTATATCTGCTCCAAGGTCTGGTCCAGGGTCTGGTTCATTTCTGGATAGTGGAGTGTCATCCCGCTCCCTATGGACCAATGGCTCTTATATGTTTGTTATTATTTCATTTTGATTCTCTGATCGATTCCAGTAGTTTTGTGAATCGAAAACATTGTTGTTTCCTCCGAGACGACTGCTGCTGTGTTTTAGGACAAAAAAACATGAAATGAGTTATACCCCCAAAAGTCCTGAGCAATAGAACCAAGTGAAACATGAAATAAACCAGAGAGAGATCAGACAAGGACCAGGTGAGAGACCAGAGAGGGGCCAAAGAAAGACCAGAGAGACCATAGACCACAACATCACCTTAAACTACTAAACAAACATAATGGTTTATTCCTGGTCCTGGTCCTGGTCCAAGTCTTATGGACTACTGTAGTCTCTTTGGGATGTTGTGATGTCACAAGTATGCACCTGTGACATCAACAGCTCTAACTCCAACTCCTCTCTTCTCCTTGTCTCAGGTGGACAGCTGCTTCCTGTTCAAAGACGCCATCTCAGTGGGATACTCCGGGATCAGCTCGGTCTCTCACCTCCGCAATGGGACCCTGGCCTTCCCGCTTCGACAGGGACCCCCACACGGACCTTCACATGGATTTCCACTCGGACCCCCGCGGACTCCCCACTTGAGCCTCATCCCCAAACAGGAGCGCCTGGAGCCTGGGTCTTGCTCCGGAGAAGTCAGGGAGCCAGGACTGAACGGTTTCCCCAGGGACGAGAAGCCGACGGAGGGGAGCGAGGATGAGACCACGGCCCCCAGGAAGAGGAGGGGGAGAAGGAAACTGGAGAGGCCCACCAAGTGTGAGTGACTCTGACTCTTCTTAGTCTGAATGTCCTCTCTACTGGTCAAGATCATGCAGATGTTTCTGAATGCTGTCTCCACTTCTGGATCTTTATAAGAAAGAGTGAGACCAGAGTGAGACCAGAGTGAGACCAGAGTGAGACCAGAGTGAGACCAGAGTGAGACCAGAGTGAGACCAGACTGAGACCAGAGTGAGACCAGAGTGAGATGTGGGAAGATGTGACAGAGGCCAAACATACATAAAAACTACTGATTTCCCAGCTGGTATCCCAGCTTTAAGTAGCTCCAAGTTACTACAAGTTAAATCAAAAGTCCTACTTTTGTTTTTGTGCCTCGGCTTCTTCAGTGATCTTTATTAACGCATAACTGAAGATTTTGTTGGCTCAGTATTGCTTCATCTTTGTGGTTTGAGAGCTTTAGCCTCAATCCTGGGTCTACAGCCTCAGTCCTGGATCTACAGCCTCAGTCCTGGGTCTACAGCCTCAGTCCTGGGTCTACAGCCTCAGTCCTGGGTCTACAGCCTCAGTCCTGGATCTACAGCCTCAATCCTGGGTCTACAGCCTCAGTCCTGGGTCTACAGCCTCAGTCCTGGATCTACAGTCTCAGACCTGGTTCTCTTTCATCCATCCTGACCGCCAGAGTACAGTTTATAGCACTTAATGTTCCCTTTGTCCATGTATAGTTCAAGTAGTTATACCAAATGAGTGACACCTGTGACTCCCTGCATGACGCCTTGGAGGTAATAAAGTCCAGCGTCATCCATCACTCTGGTCCTACAGAATCTTCTCGCGGGAACAAGTTACAGAGCCCCTCTGGCGGTCATCTGGGATTCATAGAACTGTGGGCCAAACGTAACCTTCGGTGTACAGCCTCTGTCCTGGATCTACAGCAGGAGTGGATAGCACTCTCACTTCTCAGCAAGATGGCCCCAGGTTTGAATCCCATCAGAACGGGGCCTTTCTTAGTGGAGTTTGCTTGTTCTCCCCATGTCAGCGTAGGTTTCCTCCAGGTGCTCCGGTGTCCCCAACCACTAAAAACATGTACAATAGGTCTCACATGTGCCTCCTGTACTGGGAATCTGCTTCATCACTTTGTGGAGTGAGAGACAAATCCCAGAACAATTGTAAAGTGCTTCGTGACTCTGGCCTGTGAAAGGCGCTATATAAATAAAGATGACTTACAGCCTCAGTTACAACAGATAATCTTGGGAGTGGGTGGAAAAGCTGCGGTTGATTCCAGTGTCGTGTTTTGGTGATGAATGAGAACCCGCAGGTCTTTGGTTCAATAATAATAACAGACACTGGACACTTCCTCATGTGATTCTGATTGATGTTTGTGCAGATGTGGAGCACAAGGAGGAGGACGGAGCCGGGCCAGTCAAGAACGAGGTGAGGCTGACGAGAATCTGGTCTGCTATTTCTTTAAAAATCAAAAAAATACAAAAAAAGCTTGCAGTATTTAAAGCTCTTTAGGTACTTACAGTAAATATAAACTAGTTCTCTATAAGAAAAAGTAGGCCTCTTTCTGGTCTCTCTCTGGTCTCACTGGTCTTACATGGTCCTCTCTTGCAGGCTGGTCGTGGGAGGATGAGACGGGGAGTGGGTTGGGAGATCAGCCTGAGACAGAGGCCTGTTCCCAGGGTCACCTTCCAGGCCGGAGACCCCTATTACATCAGCAAACGCACCAGGGAGGAGTGGCTCGCCAAGTGGAAGATGGAGGTACTACACTCACTACAGCTGCAACTAAGAGCAGCGCTGTCAATTCAAATCAATGCATTTGTGTATCGCCCTAAAGTGTCAAACTGTGGTTGCGTCCTCAGGCAAGACACTTCACCCACATTAGAATGAGTCTGGTGTGTGTGTGAATGGTTGATGGAGGGCACAGACTGATTGCCTCTCTTCTGTCAGTGTGCTCCAGGGCAGCTGTGGCTACTGTAGTACTTTATCACCACTGTAAATGGAGTGAAAGACGGGTTGGCTCTTGGTAACTCGGCCTTTGCTATCTACAAATAGCCTGTTCGAGTGAGCTCCATCCACATTAAGCCAAACATTATGGGCTCTAAACTATTAGTGTGATTTCATAGTGGCTCCATGACATATTACAGGATTGAGTGTTGGTTTTAGCATGAATGGATCTAAGAAAGTTTGAAAGTTAGGTACCGTTGCATAAAAGTAAACATTCATCAAAGGAGATGATAATCACATAGCAGTATTCCTTTGGTTTCATTCCAGCCGTACCATTCTTTCTCATGTTGATTGTAGCTCCTGGCTCTAATGGTCTCTCTCTGGTCTCTCTCTGGTCTCTCTCTCTGGTCTCTCTCTGGTCTCTCTCTTGTCTCTTTCTCGTCTCTCTCTCTCTTCTCTCTCTCTGGTCTTCCTAAACTAGTCCAGTTTATTATGTAGCATCCCAGTATTTTTAGGTTGAAGCCAGGGTTTAAATAATTTCGTTCCTTGAGTCCTGTAAGACAGAAAAGAAAAATGACCAGTACTTACTATATTATTTAATTACTTGGTTTAACTACACTGGTAACCATTATCCTATTGTAACTTGTTTTCAGTTCTGTCCATGAAAAACAGCTGAACCATTCTCAAGTGTTTACTCTCTCATGTTTATTGTCGCTTCAGGCTCTAATGTTACATAATGACCATATTTCACATCAGCTTCATAGCTCTTCCATCGGTCCCTGCCCCCTCTGCTGCCCCCTGCATTAACCTCAGCCACTGCCCATAAAGCTGTCCCGTCCCTAGATCTACGGCCGAATTAACGGGACACGCCGGAGCTGCCCCCAGTGACGGCTGTAAAATACTACAAGAACCAAAAGCCCAAACTGCAGGGATTCTGTAAATGAGGCGCAGATTTACAGGAGCTAACGGAGGCTAATTGTGAGCGCGGCTGCTTTATTTCACTGTCGTTTGGTTTCGGAGCCGGTTTGGACTGAGGAGCAATGTTTTGACTTCAAAGCGTTCTTAAAGGGATGTGTGATGCTGGGCAGTTGTTGTTGAATTACTGATTGATTGATTTTACTCTTTTGAGCAAAAATGAAAAAATCATAAGTAGTTACAATATTTATGATATTTACATTCCTAAGTTTTTTTTACCTACTGCACTTAAAGTACACACACACACACGCACACACACATACTGTATATAAATATATGAGGGAGAAAGAGACCAGAGAGAAACTAAAAAGAGATCAGAGAGAGTGACTAAAGAGAGACCAGAGGAAGGGAGGTTTAGTCCCAATTTAAGTCTAATATTAAAGTTTCAAAGTCCTTGTATAGTCCTGCTTTAGTCCTGCTTTAGTCCTGCTTTAGTCCTGCTTAGTCCTGCTTTAGTCCTGCTTTAGACCTGCTTTAGACCTGCTTTAGTCCTGCTTTAGTTCTGCTTTGGTCCTGCTTTAGTCCTGCTTTAGACCTGCTTTAGTCCTGCTTTAGTCCTGCTTTAGTTCTGCTTTGGTCCTGCTTTAGACCTGCTTTAGTCCTGCTTTAATCCTGCTTTAGTTCTGCTTTGGTCCTGCTTTAGTCCTGCTTTAGACCTGCTTTAGTCCTGCTTTAGTTCTGCTTTGGTCCTGCTTTAGTCCTGCTTTAGACCTGCTTTAGTCCTGCTTTAGTTCTGCTTTGGTCCTGCTTTAGTCCTGCTGTAGTCATAGTTTAATCCTTCTTTAAACCTGCTTTAGTCCCACCATATACAGTACCTTTCTCTCTTTCATTCATAGACAGCCTCTTTTGGCTCCGTTCCGATGTTTTACGATACCCCTTCTCTCCTTCAGCCAATCAGCTTTCTCTGCTCGGGTCACATGGTCTCTGAATTCCCACACAAAGAAATGCACAAGTCTTTCCTCCCCTCTTTCTCTCCCTCTCTCTCACTTTCTCTCTCCCCCTCTCTCTCTCTTTCTCTCTACTCCTCCCCCCTCTCTGTCTCTCTCTCTCTCTCTCTCTCTCTCTCTCTCCACTCGCTGCAGAATGAGGCTTCCCTGTCGGACAATGCTTGCGGGTACGTCTGCATGAATTAGCTCAGGAATTTAAAACTCCAACTTTGTTTATGGGATTAAATAAACTCTGCTAGTACTAGTAGTAGTAGTAGTAGTAGGGGTTATTAGTGGCAGCAGTAGTAGTAGTAGTAATAGTGCTTTCTTAAAGGGACAGTACAGGGTTTACATCTGACGACTGTGGTGCTTGGAGGGAGGAAGTTGGACGTGTTTTGCAGAGAGTAACGTTTGTAGGTCACGCTCGAGAAAGAGGCTAATGTTTCTGAATTATGTAACGGTGAAGGCTGGAGAGGCGGTTTATCTGTAGGTTTTTTATTGATTTGCTATTTGTCAAACACAACAGATGCAGAACCATACATGATAACCCAGTGTTGGAGTCTAGAGAGAGAGACCAGAGAGAGACCTTAGAGAGGAACCTCAGAGAAAAAGATCTGAGAAAGAGACCAGAGAGAGAGACCAGAGAGAGAGAGACCAGAGAGAGAGACCAGAGAGAGAGACCAGAGAGAGAGACTTGAGAGAAAGACTTGAGAGAGAGAGGGCACAGAGAGATTGAGACTATAGAGAGATCGGAGAGAAATACCAGAGAGAGACTTGAATGAGGGACCAGAGGGAGAAACCAGAGAGATACACTGCCTGGAGCCCTGGTTTAATGTCCATCATGTGTGATAAGTGTGATAAAGCCCCATGCTTGTCCTGCACCATCACAGAATATCAAAGTGTCCTCTCTAACGCCACATGGTCCAGCCGCACCATACTGATCCAGCTCCAGAAGAGGCCCAGCAGAGGGGCCGCCACATTCTGCCAAATATATACACCTCGTATATGGGCTGGTACTGTCCCCCCAGGTCCCCCCCATGTCTCCTCCCTCCATGTCCTACAATTTCCCCTGCTGGCTCTGTAGCGACAGCCCAAACAATGAAACAGAGGAGAGAAGGAGAGAGGTCTGTTAGAACAGAGGAGGAGGAATGAGACCAGAGAGAGAGACCAGAGAGAGAGAGGCCAGATAGCAGAGAGAGAGACAGAGAGAGACCACAGTGGGGAAATACAGGACAGTAGTAAGAGCACACAAGGAGTAAGTACTGTAAGTAAGTAAGTAATGTTTATTTATATAGCGCATTTTACAGACCTAAAGTGCTTTACAATGTTCAGAGTTCAGATATTGTTCCAATCCTTCCACACACGGTGATGACAGAAGCGAGTCGTCGAACACACTGGACCATCAGCCCCCAATCAACACCATCCATTCACTCTCTCATTTACATTCATACCTATTGTGCATGTTTTTAGTGGTAGGGGAAACCGGAGCACCCAGAGGAAACCTTTGCAGAGCACACAACATATACAAAACAAGTGGCTGCAATTGCTTCTAATTGAGCCAGTGTCAGATTGAAGATTTTACTCCAATTTCAATTTCAGAAAGAGAGCAGTGAATTATGTCTTCAGTGAGACGGACTTCAGTCACAACAACACTTCACCCACATTAGAATGAGTCTGGTGTGTGTGTGAATGGTTGGTGGGGGTGGGGGTGGGAGTGGCACAGACTGATGGCCATCGGCAGCTATGGCTACAGCAGTAGTTTATCACCACTGTGTTTGGAGTGAAAGAATAATCACATTTGAGGAGACTTTGAGTGTTCTGAAAAGCACATTAACTTCTCTAATTTTGTGTGTTCAGGCTGAGAAAAAGGCCAAACTGATGTCCGCCATAAACGCCATGAAGGATCCGGACGAGAAGGACCCGGATCTGGAACCAGACCTGGACCCAGACTTGGACTTAGAACGGGACCTGTTTTTAATCAAGCACCCACTGCCTTCAACCAGACCACCTCCTGCAGCACCTCCGCCGCTGCTGCCGCGACTCCAGCCTCAGCCCAAGCCTTCAGAGCCATCCCCCATGCACAGTCCAGGCCCCAAACCAGATCAGGTCGAGCCTCAGAGCAGGTCTAAGGCCCAGGCCAATACCCAGACCGTGGTGGAGCCTCAGTCCCCGCTGTCTGAGCCACCGGTGTTAGAAAAGCAGAACATTTCATCTCCTCCTCCATCACAACAGCAGCCCACAGACCCAGCCTCCCCCTCTGTGGCCACGACTCCCAAACCAGGACCCATGGGTGAGAAGACCTCCCCCAAGACCACGGAGACCGACCCAGAGTACGACGACGTGAGTTTGATGCATAGTTTAGTTTAAACCTGAGCCCAGTTTCTACTCTATTCTACCCCCATTGGGTAAACTCTGCCTGTTTAGAGCTGGATCCTCAGAGCTGGCCTCCTGGTTCCTAAGGATGGAGTGTTTGACCCGGTCTCTCTCTGGTCTCTCTCTGACCTCTCTTGCTGGTCTCTCTCTGGTCTCTCTCTCTCTCGTTGGTCTCTCTCTGGTCTCTCTCTGCCTCAGGACGCCCGTGGCTTCAGTATCGGGGACCTGGTGTGGGGGAAGCTGCGTGGGTTTTCCTGGTGGCCTGGACGCATCGTGTCCTGGCTCCTGACGGGACGCAGCCGGGCGGCCGACGGCACGCGCTGGGTCATGTGGTTTGGAGACAGCAAGTTCTCTGTGGTGAGTGTTTACATACTGAGGTGGTCTCCCTCCGGTCTCTCTCTCTGGTCTCTCTCTGGTCTCTCTCTCTGTTCTCTCTCTCTCTGTTCTCTCTCTGGTCTTTCTCTCTTGTCTCTTTCTGGTCTCTCTCTCTGTTCTCACTCTCTGGTCTCTTTAAACGCTGTGTTTTTCAGCCCCAGCGTACAGAGATGGTGACAGACTGAGACATAGACACAGATGCACATATTCTGTATCTGTAAACACTGTACTTTGTGTGTTTTTTAGGTTTGTGTGGAAAAACTGATGCCTTTAAGCTGCTTCAAAAATGCCTTCCATCAGCCGACATACAACAAACAGCCCATGTACCGCAAGGCCATCTATGAAGTACTGCAGGTACCACAATAAAATTCCACACTCATACTCATACCGGTTTCAATTCAATTCCATTTATTTTTGTGTCGCCCAAAATCAAAACTGTAGTTATCTCAGAAAAAATTACAAAGCTGATTGTTTTGCCAACACAGATCAGAATCAAACAGTTGAAAATCAGGAAATGCAATGATAACAAACACATATGAAAACACAGAGCCATTGGTCCATATTTATTTGATTAATAACTTTACCCTACAGTCAAGAACCTGTTTAACTCGGAACATTAAAATAACAATGCATTTATTATAACAATTATAATAGGAAAAATCCATTGCTTTTCAGGACACTCAAAAAAGCTTCACTTGTCATTATTTGATTCACTCCAAACACAGTGGTGATAAGCTAGTTTTGTAACCACAGCTGCCAGAGCCCATAGAAAAATTGACTCTTCTGGCCCCTTGAAAAGCCATGTTCCAGCTTTTTCCCTCTGGCAGAAGATATTGTTACCTGCAGGACATCTGGATCTGCAAACAGCTTCTTTCAGCTGTTATCAGTCTGGACAAAGCACTTGTTCTCTCTCTGGTATCTTTCTCCCCGGTCTCTCTTGTTTCTCTCTCGCTCTGGTCTCTATCTTGTCTCTCTCTGGTTTCTCTCTGGTCTCTCTCTGGTATCTCTCTCTCGCTGATTTCTCTCTTCTCTTTCTGGTCTCTTTCTTTTCTCTCTCTTGTCTCTTTCAGTCTGAACAAAGCACTTTAATGATCTTCTCTTCTCTTGTATTTAACTGTTTTTGTTGATTGGTTTCACATAGATGATAGTTTCTGAACTGTTATTATCTTGTTTTATTCCTGTATTTGTCTGGTGCACACTGGGGACTCGTACAGTTATTCTAATGTGGTTTTACAGCAGATGGCAAATAATGTGAATGTATCTGTGTCAGATGGCGAGCAGCAGAGCAGGCAGATCCTTCAAGTCCTGCACCGACAGCGACGACCCTGAATCCAAATCTATGGACGTCCTGAACAAACAGATGATCGACTGGGCCCTGGGCGGGTTCCTGCCTTCGGGACCCAAGGGCCTGGAGCCGGCTGAGGGTGAGGGCCCCAAGACCTGTCTATTCACTGCTATACCACAGACCTATCTATCTATTTACTCTGCTCTACTCTACCTGGTTGTGTTTCCATTACTCTTTAGTATCTGGTGCATGTTTTTAGTGTTAGGAGAAACCGGGGCACCCAGAGGAAACCTACGCAGACACAGGGAGAACATGCAAACTCCACCCAGAAAGGCCCTGTTCCGATTGGGATTCGAACCCAGGACCTTCTTGCTGACAAGCGAGAGTGCAAGCCACTCAGCCACTGTGTCATCGTGTCAAGTTTATTTGAAAAAAACTTGAATTCACACACATTGTTTGAACAACAACTCGGTCGTTTTACAGATTTGTCTCAAAAACACACGTAGCATCTAAAGTTATCCACAGACTTGTGATCGGTTAAACGGTCTACGAGCTGCAAACTATTTTGGTATTATTTTTCTTAATAGTGGTTTTAACACAGTTAAACAGCGGAGCAGTAAAACTGGACTTTTTCCCCCAACTTTGAAAATTTCGAATTTGCTCTCGTTTACTTGTTTACTTACTTTACAAAGTCCAATTAGCATCAAATTTGACCCAGTTCTTTAACTCTGGGGTCTACGTCAGTTGAATGTTAAAAACATGAAAATATAGCATTAGCGCCCCCTACAGAGTGAGCCAAAGTCATACGTTTTGCACAGACAAAAATACATTTAGTTTTGTCAAAGTATTTTGACATTCTGATCTAAAAAGTCAATTAGTTGTATTCTTCAATTGCTACTGCGTTGCCGTGGCAATGACAATCATTATAATCTCCCAAATGTTCACCTATTAACGAGCTAGCCTCGTTCGTTTCACAGATTTGTCTCAAAAATGTTCCTCATTATTTCAACATAAATAGCATCAAAAGTTTTCTGCAGATTTGTGATCAGTTTAACAAAGTGAAAGCTGCAGAGGACTTTTTTCATTTTTTTTTTCTCCTGTTACTCATACACAGTTTTGTTAACACCAAACGTGAATCAGTTGTTCAGCTAGGTCAGCTGAAAGTGGAAAACATGAAATTGCAACATTAGCGCCCCCTACAGAGTGAGCCAAAGAATGACAGGTGCACTTTGCACCTTTTACACACCAGCCTCGATGTGTAACGAACTGAGCTCAAAATCCATATTATGTAAAAAAGTGTAGAATCAAAAGTTAGCTTCAGATTTGATTAGTTAAACAGTGTAAATGTCAATAGACACGCAGAAAAGAGACACTCACTCACTGATCATAGACCTTTACCGTATTCGTGTTTTTCCCATCATGGCTGTATGCAGATGGAGAGTCAAAATATGACAAACACGTATCAAACCATGTGTGCGGCCTGGCGTTATCCCTTTTGAATGGCTATAATATAAAAAGTCAGAACTAGTAGAGTAGAGTAGAGTAGAGTAGATGGTTGTCTCTGTTCTGTTCAAAAACCTGAAATTCTTTCTGGTCTTTGTGGTCAGAGGAAAGAAGCCCATATAAGGAAGTGACCGAGGAAATATGGGCGGAGCCTGAGTCTGCCTTTGCCCCACCCCCTCCCAAGAAACATAGGAAGAACAACTACAGCAGCCTCCTGGCGAAACACAAGACCAAAGATCTGATGGACGAGAGGACCAGAGGTGAGACCAGAACCAGAGGTGAGACCAGAACCAGAGGTGAGACTAGGACCAGAGATGAGACCAGGACCAGAGGTGAGACTAGGACCAGAGATGAGACCAGGACCAGAGGTGAGACCAGAACCAGAGGTGAGACCAGAACCAGAGGTGAGACCAGGACCAGAGGTGAGACTAGGACCAGAGGTGAGACTAGGACCAGAGGTGAGACTAGGACCAGAGGTGAGACTAGGACCAGAGATGAGACCAGGACCAGAGGTGAGACCAGAACCAGAGGTGAGACCAGAACCAGAGGTGAGACCAGGACCAGAGGTGAGACTAGGACCAGAGGTGAGACTAGGACCAGAGATGAGACCAGGACCAGAGGTGAGACCAGGACCAGAGGTGAGACTAGGACCAGAGGTGAGACTAGGACCAGAGATGAGACCAGGACCAGAGGTGAGACCAGGGCCAGAGGTGAGACCCGAACCAGAGGTGAGACTAGGACCAGAGGTGAGACCAAGACCAGGACCAGAGGTGAGACCCAGGACCATGGGGTAAGTTCAGGACTAGACCCAGACCAAAAAATTGATGGAGAGAACCAGAGGTGAGATTAGAGGTGAGACCAGGACCAGGGATGAGACCAGGAGCAGAGGCAGGACCAGACCCAGACCAAAATTACTTATGGACAAGAGGACCAGAGGTGAGACTAGACCCAGACATGGACCAGGGCCAGACCAAGGCCAGAATCCCGAAACGGATCAAAACCCCAGTATGGACCAGGGCCAGAACCAGATCAAGATGCGGTCAAGGACCAGACCCAGCACAAGGCCAGACTCGAACCTGGAACAGAACCAGACCAAGACCCCGAGCCAGGCCAGGGGCATAACAAGAGCCAGGATCAGACCAAGTATCAGAACCAAACCAGACCTTAATCAAGACCCAGAACAGGACCTGGATCAGAACCACACCCAGATCAGGATCAAACCTGGGCCGAGGACCAGAACCAGTCCTAAAACCAGACCTAGACCAGGGTCGGACTCAGACCAGACCCAGACCAGTCCGAGGAGGATGGCAATAATGACTTGTGTTTTTCCAGAGCGACTGGTTTATGAAGTCCGACAGAAAACCAGAACCATCGAAGGTCAGTGTCACACATGCGCTCAGTGAAAACTGTTGGATACATAGTGCGATAAATGGGGGGTCTGGGATGGTCCGACCCCCCTGATTACGCTATCAGACCCCTTGAAAGCCTCAAAAGCTAAAAGTTGGGGGGGTCTCAAATTTCCTACAATGAATATAAAATAAGAATAAAACATATATTTCTATTGAATTATATAATATTATGTATTACTGTCCGTAATAAGATCAATGTCTAATCCTCAAAATGTAATTTACTTATAATTTATGCAAATTAGCCATGCACCAAACAGAACAGAGACGTAGCTGACGTCACCTGAATGTTGTAGAGAAAAGGCAAACAACAAGCGACAGCTACAGACCGTGTTACCAGCTCTTTTTGGGCTTGTCACGTCTAAAAAAGTGGCATTAGATGGAGCTGATGGTGCGGGAGGCCCACTCCGAGCTACAACAGAAGACGCACATATTCTCCATCAAGGAGCGAGGCTTCTCCGTGGTCAGCATTACAACAAGCTGCAAAAGGCTGCATAGGGACTATCATCACTCCTGTTTGAGGACATAAACTAATGTTTGAGGACTTGGACGGACCCTAATTTACCTAACCCTAACTTCTAACACAGAAGTGAGAGCAAATTCACACTGGTCGGTATCCATGAACCAGAACCAGAGTCAGATGTGTTCGTCCTCAGGTCTCGTCGTCCTTGATTATAAAGGGTTAAAAATGTGTATGGGGAAGGCACACATACACATTTTGATTTTTCTTCCGACTCTTTTTGAGAAATGACACTGTATATGATCCTCAATCGCCCAATAACTTAAATCAAACAGAAACTCTAAACTTACTATAACAGAGACCGGACTGGTCTGTTATAATGTGATTTTGATGCAGTTTGTTATGATTGTTGTAGATTAGTGTACAACATAAACTTATACATGTTGTGTTTGTGTGTTTCAGACATGTGTATTTCCTGTGGGAGTCTGAATGTGTCTCTGGAACATCCTCTGTTCTCTGGAGGAATGTGTCACAGCTGTAAGGTGAGTGTGTGTATCTATATGTGTGTGTGTGTGTCATCTATGAACCAATGGCTTTGATGTGTTTGTTATTATAACATTTCCTGTGAACTGTTTGATTCTCTGATCTGTTGTTGAGGAATCGACAACTGACCAATCCTTTGAGACTACTGATGTTATGATTTATGGCGATACACTAATAAATTGACTTGAATTGAATGTGTGTGTACTTCTGTCCTCTTCAGAACTGCTTCCTGGAGTGTGCGTACCAGTACGATGATGACGGATACCAGTCGTACTGCACCATCTGCTGCGGAGGGAGAGAAGTGCTCATGTGCGGAAACAACAGCTGCTGTCGGTCTGTGCTTCATCACCAACATGTGGCCCACAGGCCATCTCCGGCCCACAATACTTTGTTTTATGGCCCCTAGTGGACGTACAAGTCTAATGTCAGAGTGGCCCCCACAGAGAGTCTGAGCTAATGTAGTGCAATGTAGTGTTATGTCATACATTGTTTTAAAGTTGTATTGAGAAAACAACTACAACATTTACAATTCTCCAACCATTTAATCCTAAACACATTAAGTAATAATTCAAAGGAAAAAGTATACATTTTACAGCCCAGCAGTCTACAATACAAAACTCATTCATAGAGGGAGATGGGATACAGTTTGTGGACGGAAACAGGACATAGGGCCACAGAGAAACAGGAATCGGGCATATATGAAACAATTGATTATGATTTGAAAGATAACATCAGATTTAGAGCCCTGTGTTCTGAGGCTGTGCCTGTGTGCGTGTGCGTGTGCGTGTGCGCGCGCGCGCGTGTGTGTGTGTGTGTGTAGCTGCTTCTGTGTAGAGTGTGTAGACCTGCTGGTGGGCCCCGGAGCGGCCCTGGCTGCCATAAAGGAGGACCCCTGGAACTGCTTCATGTGTGGGGCCTGTTCCCTCTGGGGCCTCCTGCAGCGACGCCAGGACTGGCCCTGTCGCCTACAGAGGTTCTTCGCCAACAACCACGACCAGGACTTTGTAAGATAACTCTACTCTACTGTCTTCTACTTTACTCTACTCTACTGTCTTCTACTTTACTCTACTCTACTGTCTTCTACTTTACTCTACTCTACTGTCTTCTACTTTACTCTACTGCTCTCTACACTACTGTACTGTCCTCTACTCTACTCTACTCTACTGTACTCTTCTCTATTCTACTGTACTGTCCTCTACTCCAGTGGTTCCCAAAGTGGGGGTCGCGGGAACCCCTGGGGGGGGTTGCAAGATCATTTCCAAAAAACAAAAAAAAACTGAAAAAAATAAAATTAGCAAATATATAGCCCTGAAATGTTTATTTAAAGGACAACATTTTAAATTGTGTTTGGAGAATATAATATATTTTAATTACGTTTGTAATTTTGTCCCAGTCATTGACAGTGTCAATCAAAATCAAGTTACGCAGCTCACATCATGCAGCGACAAAGCGTGTCCTGCTCTTGTTTGCTAAAACTAAAGGTGTTTGGAGGCTACAAACAAATAATACCTGCTTTAACATGAAACGTGGTTAATATCCACAACATGTGTCAGGGGCCAGGCTGATGGTGTGAAGAGAAGGAGAGATGGCAGCGGAGGGAGAGAGGGCAGCGGTTGAACAGCACGGTTTCTCGTTGGAAACATGTGCTTTACTGTTTATTTATTGCACTTTTCGCTGAAGCAAATTGACTTTTTAGCCTTTAGCTAATTGAGATTCTTCAGCAGAAATGTCTTGTAACTTCAGTTTAAAACAGTGTTATGCACCTGGTGTCACATACTCCTGGTGTCTGACATGTTCCTGGTGTCTACAGGCTCCTCCAAAGCTCTTCCCTGCTGTAACGGTGGAGGACAGGAAGCCCATTCGAGTGCTGTCGCTGTTTGATGGCATTGCAACAGGTTTGCTTTATTTGTTTATGTATTGCACTGAATCACAACAGCAGTCGACTCTGAGGACTTCATACAGTTGTCCATTGTATGTGTGTGTTTGGTTTTTGTTTGAGTTTGAGGGACCGATACAGAAACGTATCTCTCGTCTTGCTGGTTTTCCTGGTCTCACTGGTGTCTCCCTGGTCTCACTGGTATCTCTCTCTGGTCTCCCTGGTCTCTCTGGTCTCTCCCTGGTCTCACTGGTGTCTTCATGGTCCTCTCAGGGCTGCTGGTGCTACAGGAGTTGGGGATCCAGGTGCAGAGGTACGTGGCGTCAGAAGTTTGTGAAGACTCCATCACTGTGGGCCTCGTCAGACACCAGGGACAAGTTATGTACGTGGGAGACGTCCGCACCATCACCAGGAAACACGTGAGTAAAGGACCCAGGAAGGAAGGTTATTTGTATAGCACAGTCCATAGACAAGACAACTCAAAGGGCTTAACTCAACAAGATAGAAACAATCACACAAGGCCAATGTGTCTGCAAAAGGGTCTGCCTCTCTCACAAACCGGACTCTTGCCTAAATATTCATATCTCTGTGAATATTGCCTGTTTTTGGGCTGTTTTAAAGATCAAATCAGGGCTCAGCCTCTCAAATGCCCGTAGTCCGTCTATGTCTGCTTTTTTCCAAACGCCAACCGCTGAGCAAAGGGGAGGCGACAAAAGACTGGACCAACAGGCTACGTGACCAATTCTATTTATACATCATGCTTCACAGGCACCTTTTGTGGTCCTTGCGAACGTGCCCCCGTGGGCAAAGGGCTGGTGAGCCCTGCCATCGACCCTTCTGCATCGATAAAGAACAACTCTAACATTAAAATGAACCTTGTGTTGTTCTCAGATCCAGGAGTGGGGCCCATTCGACCTGGTGATCGGAGGAAGTCCCTGTAACGACTTGTCCATCGGGAATCCGACTCGAAAAGGTCTCTATGGTAGGCTCAATGCATGGCTCTGCTCTCTGCCCCTGTGTGCTGACGTGTGTGGTGTCTGCAGAGGGGACGGGGAGGCTCTTCTTCGAGTTCTACCGTCTGCTTCACGAGGCGCGACCCAAAGACGGAGATGACCGGCCGTTCTTCTGGCTGTTTGAGAACGTGGTTGCCATGGGCGTCAGCGACAAGAGGGACATCTCACGCTTCTTAGAGGTAAGAACCAGGCCTGGGGACTGGTTAAATGTGAGGAATAGTACTGCGATAATTATGCCAAAATGCAATATTATTGTGATTCTTAACATGTTTTTGATTTTATGATTTGATTCTATGATTTATTGCGTTTCATGTCACTCATAGTATTCAAATTACAAACATGGAGGAAAATAAGACTCAACACCTCTGTGACATTTATTATGGTCTTGCTGGTCCCTTTGCTGGTCCCTCTGACTCCTGCTGGTCCCTCTGACTCCTGTGTTGCAGTGTAACCCTGTGATGATCGATGCTAAGGAAGTGTCAGCGGCTCACAGGGCCAGATACTTCTGGGGAAACCTGCCAGGGATGAACCGGTCAGAACTCTACACACGCTCACGCATGCAAGCACGCACGCACGTACACTCTCTCACACACACACACACGAGACAGAGACACACATGACTACCATCACAAATATCTATGTAACTGTTAAACATGAACAACATTGTTGCTCATCAAAGACCGAGACCAAGACTTAGATTGAGATTGAGACCAAGACTTAGGCCTAATTACTTGTACAGAGTAGCTCAAAGTACAAATATAAAACATAAACCCTTGTTATTTACAACCGTACACTGGGTTGGCTCCATGTAATGTTTGATGTTGAAAAAATATAGATAATTCTACATCTCTCTCTGGTGGTGGAAGTGGGGAATTACACGTTTATCTTCTGTACATATTTATCCATACATTATTTCCCATTCCAAAATGCCAAGGAAATGCCAAAGTCTCATTACAATGATTAATGCTTAAAGAGTCTTCTGTAAAGTGAATATTGGTGTGTGATGTTTCCTCAGGCCTCTGACGGCCTCCAGCTCAGACCACCTGGATCTGCAGGACTGTTTAGAGCACGGACGCACAGCAAAGGTACAAACACTACTGTCAATTAAAGCTTAAAAATGCAACTTTAGTGGTGACCGTGGCTCAGTTAGTAGAGCATTGGCCTTTGGCCTGAAGGTTGTGGGTTTGAGCCCACCAAAAAGACCTACTTCAGGACTCCCACTGATGTCTGCTGTCGTTGTGTCCTTGGGCAAGACACTTAAAGTAGCAGTAAATGTTGCATGGTATAAAGTTGGTACCTGCTCTTCCTCAACCACCATGATAACAAAGATAACCAAGTGTTTGTTTTTGTTTTTCAGTTCAATAAAGTGCGGACGATCACGACTCGCGCCAACTCCATCAAACAGGGAAAAGACCAACACTTTCCCGTCTTCATGAACGACAAGGAGGATATCCTGTGGTGCACCGAGATGGAGAGGTAACAGAAGCACAAGTGGAACTTTGAGAGACTGTAATGGGCAATGCTAACATATACTGTATACAGATGGACAATGCTAACATAGACTGATAATGCTAACATATACTGTATACAGATGGACAATGCTAACATAGACTGATAATGCTAACATATACTGTATACAGATGGACAATGCTAACATAGACTGATAATGCTAACATATACTGTATACAGATGGACAATGCTAACATAGACTGATAATGCTAACATATACTGTATACAGATGGACAATGCTGACGCGCTAGCTCCATTAAAATAAGTCTGTCACTGAAACTGCTCTCCAGGTTGGACAGTATCTTGCAGAAGGTGACAGTCATGATCCAACATATTTGTCCAGAACACTCCTGTCCCCCACCTGCAGGGGACAGGAGTGTGACACAAACGCTACTGAGCATTTTACTTTTAAATGGAAGTCAATAGGAGCCAGAGAGAGACCAGAAAGAGCGAGACACCAACCAGAGACGAGAGCCAACCCCAACTGGCTCTGGTCTTCCTGAAAATGTGAGACAGACTTCTTCTCTGACAATGTTCAAATTCAGGTTAAAAATAGCTCTGTTTCTCTGCAGCAAATGAGGGATTATATATTTAAGTTGTTATTTCTTGTATGGTTTCCGCCATATACTGAAAATATTAACCCGCCCCCACTGGTTTCAGCACATTGAGTTTCCTTGTGTATAAACTGTGCTATACAAATACACCTGCTTTGAGAATGTAAGAAATAAACCTTGCTTCTACCTTATTTCTAACTTTTCTATCTTCTCCCTCTCCTTCTCTCTATCCTCCTCTCCCCCCTCTCTCTTCTCTCTCTTTCTTCCCCCTTCCTCCCCCTCTCTCCTCCTCTCTTGCTTTCCCACTCTTTTTTCCCCTCTCTATCCTCCGTACCGCTCCCTCCAACTCTTCCCTCTCCCCAAACCCCCCCCCCTACACATCTTGTCCACTCCTCTGTCTCTCTCCCTCTCTCCCCTCCTTTCTCCCACTCTCTCCTCTCTCTCTCCCACACCCCCCACTCTCCCCTCTATCCTGTCTCCATGCCCCCTGTCCCCTTCTTTGTCTCTTGCCTCCACTGTCTCTCTGCCGCTCTCTCCCTCTCTCTCCCGCTCCATGCCCCTTATCCTCTCCTTTGTCTCTCTCCTCCACCCTCCTCCCTCTCTCCCCTCCTTTCCCCCACAGGATATTTGGCTTCCCCATCCACTACACAGACGTCTCCAACATGAGTCGTTTGTCCCGTCAGAGACTGTTGGGACGGTCCTGGAGCGTCCCCGTCATCAGACACCTGTTTGCTCCTCTCAAAGATTACTTCTCCTGCGCGTGAGCCGCAAACACAACCACAAGTCTGGGAATTTTAGACCATTCTTCACTACAAAACAACCTGATTCAAATGAAGTGAGTTGAGCCGAAAGTCCACTTCAATTGGACCAAGCACAAACACAACTTTACTCTGTTGAGTTCTAGAAAACAGAAGTCAATATTGTATTTTTTCTGGTCTGGTTTGGTTTTCTGCAATTAGGCTGTTATAATATTTGACCCAAAAATAAGCACTTCTAGTCAACAAAGCTACTTTTAACCATACTACCTATTGCCCATATGACTGGTTAGACTACATAATAATTATTCACTAAAACATAGTTAAAGCTGGGGTACTTAAGCCTTGTGAGTCACTTTTTGACAACCAGGGCTGAGATCTAGCTCGCTGAGTGAGATTGGTCCTCACTTTTTAACTTTTTTGTTGGAGAAATCTGATCTTAAGATTTGACAGAAGTCAAAAATATATGAAGATTAGAACCAAACCAGGAACTGAAAGTTAGTACCCCATCTTTAGCTTGGAGATTCATAAGTCTTTAAAGTTTAGTGACGTTTAAACACTTGCAGATTTGTACATATGCCAATTAACTGCATTATTCTTGCATTCTGATCCAGACCAGACCACTCTAAGCCTTTGTATGAACTATTTCTGAAATTTGAAGTCTATTCTTTAAACTTCCCAGACTTAGATTGCGACACTAACTCTAAGTAACCACGACACGTACAACTATTGTTACAGCCTTGAGCCTCGAGCCGCAGCTGCCCTCTGGGAGCGTTTTTTTCCGATGTTAAAGTAGACGCCACATTATTATGACTCATATTTTGAATTGTAATTTTTATTCTATTTAATGGTGATGTATCATTTGACCTTTTTAGCAGTGTTACGTTCAAGGATTGTTGATTTTTGTCGGTGCGAGATGCGTTTCCAGAGACAATGCTGAAGCCTCACCACACGGTTTTCTAATCTTTTTTTTCAAATTATATGTAGAAATGTTGCTATAAGTACACTTTAAAATGTTTTATCCCAATAGATTTCCTTTCCAAAGAAGCTAGTTCTAGCTGCTATTTTATCGGAGATTAAAATCCTACTTTGCTTGTCACATTATACATTAAATAAATACGGAAATACATTTTCAATAGTTTCAACTGTAAACATATATGTTTTGCCCTAATTTTAGACCATGGCAAGACGCGGCCCACAAGGCATTTCTGGCCCAATTAAAGCTTGCATGGGGCCCGTGGGTCAGTCCCAGTGATAGACCAGTGTTCAGCATCGTCTCTTAACGCACATGTCACATACCTCGGTTTTACTGCTTCTACTCACGTGAATATGGTACTACTGTAATGATACACGGTGCTCTACTGGTGGCGCTCTAACTGCACTTCCCATGTGGCATTACGCATTCTCTTCGTTCGCTCCCAATTCATGGACTTGCTTCAGTTTGAGGTCTTCAGGTTTTTAGTCTCAACTTTTATCCATTTTCAAATCATTGCGTTCCGTCTGCCACAGTTACGATTATAACTACAGATCTATGAATCAGATGACTACCAGAACAGGCTTTAAAGTCCAAATTTCCTGAATCCTACTTGCAAATGTCAGGATCCTGAGTGACAAAGGACATCTGGCAGTCATGTAAATGTATATAGCTGTAGTTAAATAAGTAACTAGTTAAACACGTAACTGTAGAGTTTTTCACTGCAGCAGACAAACATTTTCACTGCAGCAGACAAGATAGGAATTATTCGAAGATAGATGGAAGTCGAGGGTCTCTGAAGTACAACATGTTTTAGAGAAAGAGACTGGAGCAGGGACAGGAAGTAGACAAACATTGGGACCAGAACAACTCATTACAAGGAGGAATGTCTATCAGCGATTTACAGGACACCCTTAAACCAGTGGTCTTCAAACCGCTCCAGATAGGACCAGAGTGGCTGCAGGTTTTTATTTCAACCCAGCAGAACCACACCAGCCTCCACCAGTCCAGTCCTCAGCATGAGACTGGACTTGAGGGCCTGGGTGGAGTCTGGCCAGCTGGGTTTCAGAACTCAAACTGAAGCGTGTCTATCGGTCGGTGTGAATGAGGCCTTCCTGGACCTTTAAAACCCGGTGCTAACATAATAATCTGTAGCGTTCTCACATATCTGTCTTCTGCTGCAGCTAAGAACATGGTGCTCACTGCCTCTGGACCTGCAAAGCCTCATGGGAAATGCAGTTTCTCGCTGTTTTTAATACACTTTTTCTACTTTAGACCAATACGATATTACTGTAATGACCGCACTGTCAAATCCTCAGAAACCCAACAGCGCCTGGTCACAATTCAACTTTTTATAACTTTTCGTGCTGTTTTATCGACATTATAAAGCACTTTTTTATACTATGCTTTCTTTGATTTGTATGTGTTTTTTTAAAGCTATTGTTTCATGTGGTTTTATTGATGTGAACAATTTTGGTGTCATGATTTTGTAATGATTTAGGGCTGTTCCCTTTAGAGCAGAGAAATGACTTGTGTGAAATGTATCAGTTGTACAGCTGTGTGTAACTGTTTTAATTTGTTTTTATGTTCATAAAGTTTCATGAAGTTTGAACTAGGGCTGCACAGTTATTGCCCATGAGTCGCTATGGCAACATAAGGAAATTGTACGTTTTGAGATTCTTAAATGGCCAACAATATATAAGGTTTTTAATAGTTGTGCAGCCCCGGTTTCTGTCTGTCCACTGCAAAAATGTAATGTCTTGTCCATAGACTGTATATAGATGTACAATGCTATCTTGCTAGCTCAACAATGCCCAATAGATGGATAGATAGATACTTTATTGATCCCCCGTAGGAGAAATTCAGGTGTCCAGCAGCAGAGAAGCAATAGAGAAGGGATCATGCATGAAGTGTTGCTCCATCTCTCTCTGTCTCCTATTGGTTTACATGTAAAAGTAATCTCCTCCCAGTAACCGTTTCATCCAATCCAGACACAAGTCGTATCAGGATTGATCAGAGGCCTTCATTCACGAGGGAAATGACATGTTTGTGCGACCTCAGAAATTCCGACTTTCTACTCTGGAAAATGGGAGTGAACACTGCTCAACTTGGAAGTGTAACGTGTATGTGTCTCTGTCTCTTTCTTTCTGTGTGTGTCTCTTTTTATTTTGCACACGCCCATATAAGGAAATTGGGTTCAGCTTATGTTAAAACTGAGGCTAACACTATGGTGATGTCACACTCTTTTATACAGTCTATGGTCTTGTCTTGAATCCAGGAAATAGTTCCAGATTGTTGGCATTGCCTCCTTTTTATATTTTACTGCTTTAAGGAAATTTTTGAATGAAGTCACAACAAAAACATGTATTTTCAAAGCCTATGTCATATTTTTTTTGCCGCAAATTGAGAACAGAATCCTGAATTGAAGATAAGCCTTTTTGCAGTGTGTTGAGAATGTCTATTGCTGAAGATTGTACAGAGGGAATTGTGTTTTATGTCATAGTTTCTCTGCCACCTTCCACCAAACACACACTATTTTAAACAGATCCAAAGTATGGATACAAATTCATCAAAAAAATACGAGAATTTATAACGTTTGTCGGAACAAAAAACTGACAAAGTGTTGATGAAAATATCGGCACTCAAAGAATTAAAGATATTAACTAATGACTATAAGCTATTTAAGAATTTGTCATCTAATTTAAAATGATTTTAAGTGACCTTATTCCCGTAACCTGGCCAGCCACATGGACTGATAATACTGAGTGTAGAGACAGAAATACTGCCCCCTGGTGGATAGACAGGCACCAATGACTCTCTGTTGTCGTACTCTTATCAACATCAAGTTACAGGGTCTAAACAAGAAAACAACTTAGGACTTACAAAGTAATCCAAACTGAGAGACATAGGGTCCATCCATCAAGTTTCTTCCCCTCTAATGTTATTAAAAGTTATACTAATTATGCATCGGTTTTCGGACACTTCACATGTCATTATTCATTCATTCCAAACACTGTGGTAATAAACTACTACTGTAGCCACAGCTGCCCTGGGGCACACAGACAGAAGTGAGGCAACCATTCACACACACACCGGGTTTCTCCCAGTGGGACATTAAAAGCAAGCATAAATAAAAAATCACATTACGAACTCTGAACGTGACTGGGAGCCGGTGAAGTGACTCCAGCACAGGGGTAATGTGCTCTCTCTGCTCAGGTCCAGGCCTCAGCGCTGCGAGTTACAACATTTTTATTCACACAAAATCCATTTGTAATATTTAAAACCTTCTTATGGCTGGTCAGGTTCACTCTCGCCATTAAGTTCCTTATCATCAAACCATGTGTGTGATTTCTCCCAATTTTAATGTGTACATACGATTGTACATATCTCTTGTTTTTTCTTTCCAATTGTCATTTTGTATGAGATCTACAAATGTAATTCTTTCCTAATATATATCATTCAATTAGACGCATCTTAGGAAAATGAAATTGCGTTTAGATGTAGGAAAGTTTTTTGGTTTGGTTTTATACCGTTTTTCGTTGGTCGAGTGAATCCAGATGTTGTTTATGGACAGCTTTACCCGCTTTTTTACGTTCAGAGGAAATGTAGGTGTTTCAAATGGTGCTATTATTAAACACGTAATAATCGACAAATGTACAACACGGATTTGAAATGTTGGGACCAGGGAAGTGTGTGCCATTGGTGTGACGTGGTCTGCAATAAAAATAATTCTAGATTCTGTCTGAAAAAACATAAAAGAATGTATCATTACAATATTGAGTTTGGCATCAATATACAAATGGAACCATAGAACACACTTTAGTCCCCACTAATATCTCTCTGGTCTCTAAACTCTCTCTGTAGTCTCTGGTCTCCTTCTGGTCCCTCTTTTTGGTCGCTGGTCTCTCTCTAGTCTCTCTCTCTCTCTCTGGTCTCTCTCTGTAGTCTCTGGTCTCTCTTTTCCCATAGATTTGTAGCTGAAATACTGAAATGTGTGTGTGAAATTCTTAAAGTTGCAAACCATGGTCTGCTGCTGCTTCCTTGTCCCAACACTTTCTGAATCCATGGTCGTAGCTCTGTCAGCAGAAAGTCTGGACTGCTTTTGTTTTCTGGTTTCTCCACTTAGGTTTCTGGTTTCTCCACTGCTTCATGTATCCACAAACACATAATAACTTTGTACTTGAAATGAACGGTCTGCTATACTGTTTTAGACTAGCCAGTGCTGTAGTCGGTGCTTTGTGTGGGATCAAGTCGTGTGAGAAAAAATACCTTTACTCCCAGCAACGTAAACTCAACACGCCGTGCTTCTTACCATTCCACGCTGTGATAAACCCGCCATTTTGGACTCTGCTTTTTGCCACAGACTTTATACAGATGGACAATGCTAAGCTGTTAGCTCAGTGAAGCCCAATAAGGAAGTGCTCTGTCTCTTGTTGACTCCTAATAGATCCATGGTTGACTCACATTGATTTACTTTGCTAGCTAAGTAAACATTTGTGTCAAACTCATCATTTGTGGATCTCTCTGATCCTGGAGTTAATATCTTGATAGTGAAAATCCAAATATGAACCTTATATGGATTTATGTTAATTTGCAAGGAAAACTCCAGCTTGCCATAGCAACCATGGTAGCAACACATCTGCCACTGTCACAGCCATCAGAATGAATGCCCATAAAAGGAAATTGGCTCCAGCTAGCTTATGGCTTTTTTCACCTTAAGACTAACACTACACTGCAAATTGTTTTTAACTTGAGCACATTCTGACTGTGTTACAACAAGATTTGCAAATATTTCTTCTATCTATGTAAGACAAGATCATTTTGCTTTGTCCCATTGGCAAATCTTGTTTTAAGGCAGTCAGAATGTGATCAAATACATATTCATTTTGCCTAATTTGAGCAATTCTAGACATACTTTTCACCATCCTTATGAGGAAATTCACTCCAGCTAGCTTATATTTAAAACGGCTTCTCCTGCATTAGAGCTAACACAGTGGTGATGTCACACTCTGCCAGTCCTTATATACAGTCTGTTGGTTTCCCTGATAATCAAAAGCTCATGTGAATCAAAAAAATTCTTTTTCTTTGGCACAGTATGATGTAGCATCCCTCGGACAGTTCCATTTTGTTTTGTGTCCAGAGAAGATAGAGGCTTTGTATGTATTTGTGCTGGAGAACACTTGAATAAACGTCATGGTTTTGGTGCAAAAAGTCTGATTTCTGTCATTTTTGTTTCTGTTGAGTTGTGTGGATGAGGGCTTGGGGGGTGTAAGAAGGGGTACTGCTATGAAGAGATAGAGACAGGAGAGGAGAGGAGAGCAGAGACCAGAGAGGGAGACATGAGAGAGTCGAGAGGGAAAAACAGAAAGAGACCAGAGAAAGGCCACATGGAGAGAGAAACCAGTGAGAACAATCATTCATAATTTCGGAGAGATTGCCAAAAAATCGTAATTCTTTTAATGAGCCACGGGAGTTTTACATAATCACAGACTGAGGCCACAGGGGCTTACCAGTTCCACATTTGTTGCAGTGTTAAGAATCGGAGAGCCCAGACTTACAACAATGATTCTATCTCATCATAATTAACCCACACTGGACACTCCCTGCGTCACCGTGCGTCACTGCTCATTGGTTGATTGCAAACATAACATCTGTCAAGTTCGCGAGACGGAGCGCGCGCACAGGAAGTCTGAACAGGTGCAATTCAACCATGTGTGTGTCTGTCTCTCCTCCTCCTCCTCCTCCTTTGGGCCAAGAGCTGATTTTCTGAGGGTGGTCCTCTCTTTTTCTCTTTTGTCTGAAAACGCTCAGCTAAAGATTTGATGCCAAAGTACACAAAAACTAGTGATATAAAACCAAACATTCCCTTGCTCCAGTTATGTTTCTTTCTTTCAAACCACAGAAATTGGCAGTGCATCAGAGTCCAGAAATTGTATTTGTCTGAAGGTCTCTCCAACATTAAAGGTCAATATCTCGGTTACTCATAAGGAAGTGTCTGAACTGTGACATAAAGCAACATTTTTTATGGAAATCTGTTTTTTTTTTGTTTTTTTTGCACATAAGGACGGAACAAAACAAAACGTCATTAGACAATCAAGCACATAGAATCATTCAAGCCATTTATTTATACTGTTTAGTTTAGTCACATATTTGCGGGAGGGTCTTGTTAGACAGTCCAACAAAAAGGATCCAGGACACTTTAACATTCTACAACATGTATGGACAATTTTTTTGTGTGTGCTTTATATTTTTCATTTGTTTTAACTGTTGATTCTCTGATCTGTGTTGGTGATTTCAATGGTTTTGTTAAGTCCTCTGAGATGACTTCTGTTGTGACTTAGGGCTATACAAGAATACATTGTATTGTGTATTGTATTGTATTTGACGAGCAGGTTTAAGTTTAAGTTTAAACTGGAGTTATTATAATAGAGAGACCAGAGAGACAGAGACACCCCAAAGAGAACCTTTTCAAGATTATCTCTGCAGATTTCACGTTTTGCAGCCAACTCTTCTCACGTCTCGTCGCAGCAATTGTTATTATATTGTGTATTTTACTGTGAAACTCTCCCTCGGATCTCTCCTCTCTGCTGCGGGTGCCCTGGCCACCGTGATGCTGCCGGCTGCTCCTAGGCCTGACTCCATCTGCTGCGGATCCTCCCTGGAAGTGCACCCGCGCATCACCAGCCTCTACACCGGCCACACTGCAGCCCACACCCGGCCCTGGAGCCAGACCTGCCCGAGAGAGAGACCGGAGAGCAGCGCGCATACCCCCCTTAAGGTACCCACCACTTTACCGCCTTTACGCGCGCGGTTATCCTAGGTTAAGAAGCAGTTGTGTGGGGTAGACTTTGTTCCCACGCCCCCTCTGCTTCCGTGGGCTTGTCTGGTCCAGGGTTTTGTATCAGTGATGCCATCTCCACCGCCCATACGCACGCCCTCACCCCGGGTCCCTCTCCGCTTTACGCACGGATATTGTAGCGCCTTCTTAGCACCGTTCTGTGGCTCAGATCAGAGCGGGAGGAGACGCCTGGGTGTGGGGAGGATTTGCAGACCGGTAATCGCTTTGTGGGTCGCGGTAAACTCAGAAGCCGCGTGGCGAAAGCTCCTCCTTTGTCAAAAACGCACAAGTCACAGTGGATTGCACCGTTACGCAGCAAAACCAGGGCTTCTCTGTGGCACAATGGGAGGTTTGAGTTCATAGCGTTTTATATGGGAGGAAGTAATAGTAATAGTAATAATAATAACAGTAATGGTTAATATAGTGGTATATTTTTACAAGATCCTGGGTTGTAGAAAGTGGCTTATGAGGTGTAACATTACAAAGTCAGACTTATCTTTGGTGGAATACAGTGTTTGGACTCTGTTTTTAAGTTTTAAGTTTATTAAGTAGGTTCATCTTTATGTCTTTGTAGAATATGTTAAAAGAGTTTTATTGATACAAATCTGAAACAGTTTTTCTGTCCAGGTAGAAAACTGTCTTATTTAGCCGCTTTAAATTTAAGAATATGTTTCATTTTCATCTGCACGGTTTTAATCCAGATAAAGATGAAGAGATCCTCTATTGATCCCACAGAGAGAAAATGTCAGTGTTGCGTCAGCAGTTACAGAACAGTAGGAATGAGAAGAAGATAAATGAACAATAACTCTACACTAAAACGACAAAACATCTCTAACTTCAACATAATAAAGAAGCAAGACTAAAGTACTGTATATTCAAGTGTGAGAGATAGTATTATTATAGAGATGCAATTACAAAACTTCTCTACAATCACTTTGGAAACTCCAAAAAAGAGCACACTAACATACTCTTTCTGAGTCAGACAGCTATAATTCTATGACCAGGTATGACCGCTTTTTTTGGACACTCAAAGACGCTTTACATGTCATTATTTATACATCAACCCATACACGGTGGTGATAAACTACTACTGTAACCACAGCTGCCCTGGGGCACACTGACAGAAGCGAGGCAACCAGTATGTGCCATCGGCCCCTCCCACCACCACCAACCATTCACACACACACCAGACTCATTCTAGGCAATGGGGGTGAAGTGTCTTGCCTAAGGACACAACGGCAGTTTGGCACTTTACAGCCGCAGCCGCCCCGTTGTGTCCTTGGCAAAAGGTGTCTTGCCAAGGACACAACGACAGCAGACATTAGTGAGAGTCGGTGGAGAAGATCTCGTGGTGGGATCAAACCCACAACCTTCAGGCCCAAAGACCAATGCTCTGCCAACTGAGCCACTGTTACCCTGTTGCCCTTTTTTGCAAACCTGTTACCACAAACACACGTATGAGTTCAACATTTTTAGACCATTCCAACTGAACTACATGCCTGACAACATAAAACCACTGTGGTTTTATAAATGTGTTGTTAGGCATGTAGTTTCTGGATCTGGATCTGCTTAAAAACAGTTCAGTAATGTTAGATAACTAAAGACAATTGATTAAACTACTTCTTCACTAGTTTTGATGATGTTTTGCAACAAACACACACGAACGCACACACACACTCTTTAAGACAAGGTATTGTTTCTAAATAAACAGTGAACTTGTGACTTGGTGAATCTTGCAGTTTCACAAAAGGAGACAGAGCTTTTGTGTCTGACTGGTTCAACAATGACACTCAGACTCACACACAGACAGTAGACACACACAGACAGTAGACACACACACACTGGAGGAGGCAGGCGTCTTGTACTGGTCCACTCCATTATCATCAACACAGACAGAAGGAAGAACTGTTTTTGTACCTGGCTTAGGAGGTTCTTTTAATGAGACAACAATTGTAAAGAAGCTACCACTGCTTAATTACCTGTATCATGTTTGGGGTAGACTGCCTTCGTCTTCTGTTTTTGTATCATTCAAATTATGAATCTAATCTTTATATCTATTACTGTAACTTCAGGATTTTATAAACTGAACTTTATAATCAATATGAGGTGTATGTGCTTCATCCTCGAGTCCTGACAAGAACCAGGAAGTACCATCAGTCTCTGCTTCCTGCGGCTCAGAGATTTTCAAGCAGCTGTGACATGTTGGTGCCGTTCTCCTGGTGCCAGAGACATCTTAGAACAGAAATTGCCAAAGGGAACATTACGAGACCAGATCTCTTCCCGAGCAGTGTGATAATTCAGAAGAATTTAGTGCATTTTCTTGAACTTACTCTGTATTCTTATCCTCTGTAAACTCACTCTCTATAAACCATGTCTCCGTCTGAAAGGCCAATAGTGAGAGTTCTCCTATTGTTGTGTTTACCATTGTCCTGGTCCGTCTTCTCTGATTGGTCCAGAGCCGGGGGGTAGGGGGGTCATGGCACAGACTGCCACTGGCTGAGGTCACTGAGGCCTGGAGCGTTCAGAGAGAGAGCTTCTCCTCATCTTCACTTCTGCTACATCACAAGTTTAGACTTTAAACTCCTGCAGACATGAGGTAGGCCGAGCGAGAGCTCAATTCTCTATAATGGGGAACTTTAAACTTCTGTTATAACTGTTTTCTTTCTGACTCTGGCCTGTCTGGTCTCTCTCTCTTCGGTCTTTCTCTCTTCGGTCTCTCTCTGGTCTCTCTCTGGTCTCTCTCTGGTCTCTCTCTAGTCACTGATTATAATTGGGAACTTTCAAACGACTCTCCTTCTAGTATAAATGTTTTTTTTCCATCTGAAGTCGTGTTCAGTTTGTGTTTTGTTTCAAGGCGCCATTGCTCAGACGACCTCCGCTTTCACAGAAACCGGTAACTGCACTTGTCTGACCATCTGTCTAAAACCATATGTCCTCATCCTCTCCTCGTAACACAGTCCATAGCACTTCAGGAATAACTAAAACAATGTGTGTTTTGAAGTCAAATAATTAAAATGAAACATAAATGACACTGGATTCCCAGAGCTAAACCAGACCATAAACAAACCTCTCACTTCTCCCATCTCGCCACTTCTTCTTTGTGCCTCATAGCAAGAAGGTTCTGGCTTTGATTCCACCTCCAGACCTTTCTGTGTGAATTTCACATCGTTCTCCTCGTGTCTGCATAGGTTTTTCGGGTTCTTCGGTTTCCCCTACCGCTAAAAACATGTACAATAGGTCTGACGTGCACCTCCTGTGGGCGACCTGCTCCATCTCTGTGTGGCGTGAGAGACAAATGTAACAGCAATTGTTAATAAAGATTACTTACTCTTTCCCCTCTCTCCTCAGATCCCGACCCGTCGTCATGTCCACAAACTCGACCCCAATCGTTCGCGTCCTGATAAAAGGTGGGAAGGTGGTGAACGATGATATCACGCAGGAGGCCGATGTGTACATGGAGAACGGGATCATCCAGCAGGTCGGCAAGGAGCTGATGATCCCAGGAGGAGCCAAGGTCATCGACGCCACAGGGAAACTGGTGCTACCAGGTGGCATCGACACCAGCGTGCACCTGGACCAGACCTTCATGAACGCCACCACAGCTGACGACTTCTACAGCGGCACCAAGGTGAGCTCTACGCTCTGATGCAGGTCTCTCTGGTCTCTCTCTCTCTGGGCTCTCGCTCTCTGGTCTCTCACTCTTTGGTCTTTCACTGTTCTCTATCTCCTCTCTCTCTCTCTCTGGTTTCCCTCCCTCACGGGTCTCTCTTTGATCTCTCTCTGGTCTTTCGCTGGTCTCTATCTCGTCTCCCACTCTCTGGTCTCTCAAACTGGTTCCTCTCCCTCTCTCTTGTCTCTCTGTTCTTTTACTGGTCTCTCTCTGGTGTCTCTCTGGTCTCTCTCTGGTCTCTCTCTGGTCTCTCTCTGGTCTCTCTGGTCTCTCACTGGGTCTCACAAAGCCTGGGTTAGCCACATTAGCCTGTGTCTTTAAAGTATGTCTGACCCTGAGGCCAAAATCATGACTTCTCTCTGACTAAGCAGCTGTTCCAGACCTTGATTCAACCTGGACTCGAGGGTTATATCTACACAGGAGGTTTTCTTTCTCCTCGTATCAATCGCTTCCCTTTCTCTTATTGAAACGCGATACATGCTTTTACACAGACAGGGGTAAAGATGGAACTTACAGTATTTAATCAAAAAATCTATTTAATCCTTTTTTTTTTTTTTGCATATTCATAACCTTCAAGAACACAGCAACTTATTCATTGGCCTTATTGCTACATTATGTTTGAAAATAATCCAAGAAACCTCAGCTACAGCCTCAGTCCTGGGTCTACAGCCTCAGTCCTGGGTCTACAGCCTCAGTCCTGGGTCTACAGCCTCAGTCCTGGGTCTACAGCCTCAGTCCTGGAGTCGGCTACAGCCTGATCAATTTGTTTTATTAGATTAATTTAAAATCTTTTGCTTTGAGACAAACTACTGCTGTGATCCTAGACACTATAAGTGGATGTGATACTATCTTTTACCCTAATTTACCCCTAGTCTCCTTCTCCCCCATATGCCATACCTCAAGGCGTTTCCAAGGAGACCGTGAGCGATTGCTGAAAACCGCTGCCAAACGCTGCAAAACGTTGTGTTGAGTCCTTTGTGCTCGGAGACAATAGCAGCTCCAGACACTGCTGCTTCTGTCTCCTGCTGATTCATCAGTTCTACAACCCCCTGATTACTCTCTCTGGTCTCTCTCTTGTCTCTCTCTGGTCTCTCTCTTGTCTCTCTCTGGTCTCTCTCTCTGGTCTCTCTCTGGTCTCTCTCTCTGGTCTCTCTCTCTGGTCTCTCTGGTTGTGAAGAGACTTAAAAACCAACAATAACATCTTGAACTTAAATGTTTGCGTAACATAACCATGCTTTAAACTTCATCCCTGACCTCAAAGAACTGAGCTATACAAATAACCTTGTGTCTGCGCAGGCGGCTCTGGCCGGTGGGACCACGATGGTGATCTCACACGTTTTGCCGGAGAAGAACGAGTCTCTGATCGACGCGTACGAAAAGTGCCGCAGCTCTGCAGATCCAAACGTCTGCTGCGACTATGCTCTGCACGTGGGCGTCACCTGGTGGGGGCCCAAGGTAAAACACGCTACCATAGCAACATAAGAGCGAGAGGTGTAGGGTCAGAGGGTTCAGGCCTGTGTTGGTACAGAACCAAAACTAGCGTACAACATCCTTCAAACTGTGTATTACTGTTCAAGTCTATCTATTTTATTTTCTTTTGTCTATGGCGACAGTAGCTCAGTTGGTAGAGCATTGGCCTTTGAGCCAGAGGGTCATGGGTTCGAGCCCGACTTTCACCATCGACTCCCACTGTCTGCTGTCGTTGTGTCCTTGGCAAGACACTTAACCTCTAGGAACACCAGCCACAGTGGGTCGTCTGTAGCTGTAAAGTGCCAAACTGCTGTTGTGTCCTTAGGCAAGACACTTCACCCCCATTCACCAGAATGAGTCTGGTGTGTGTGTGAATGGTTGGTGGTGGTCGGAGGGGCCGATTGCACATCTGTCTGTGTGCCCCAGGGCAGCTGTGGCTACAGTAGTAGTTTATCACCACCGTGTATGGAGAACAATGACATGTAAAGTGTCTTTGAGTGTCCAAAAAAGCGCTATATAAAACTTATGCATTATTATTATTATTTTATATACATATTATTTTTTTCACATTCAAAACAGTCTGGGTGTACCAAAGTAAAGTATAGAAGTGAAAAACAGCAACAATAAAAACACCATGTTTTTGAATAACCACTAAATGATAATCAGCTGAATCTGAAATTCAAACTGGATTAGAAGATTGGGAGACGTGGTTCAGTTTAGTTTTGAGAGACACGCTCCCTCTGTGTCCTAGTCTCCTCCTAGTCTCCTCCTGGTCTCCTCCTGGTGTGACATTCCCGAGCCGTCCCAATTGGCTCCTCTCTACTCTGGGCTCCTCTTGAGACTGAACTCCTCCCTCACTCTCTAAAGGAGCACCCTGCAGAGGAGACTCGTGTGGGGCTTGTTTCCGGGATCTCGTTCTTTCGGTCATTATCCAAAGCTCATGACCAGTGGTGAGGGAGGGAATGAAGATTGACCTGTAAATCGAGAGCTCTGACTGCAGACACTGCTCCCACTCCCCCACAACAGTCTCACCCAGAGATACCTGGAGAGAGGACTATGAGATGGAGAGGGTAAAGCACCTTTTTTTGGTCCAACTCCATGGCCTTTAGCATAATAATGTAGCGAGTCTAATACTTCAGGTGTGCTTTTGAAAACATGCCTGTGTGTGTGTTCAGGTGAAGGCGGAGATGGAGCGGCTGGTGCGGGACAGCGGCGTGAACTCCTTCCAGATGTTTATGGCGTACAAAGACACGTTCATGCTGCGCGACAGTGAGCTGTACCAGGCGCTGCAGCAGTGCAAGGACATCGGAGCAGTGGCACGAGTACACGCCGAGAACGGAGAGCTGGTGGCAGAGGTGAGGTCTCTATTGTCTCTCTGCTCTGCTCTCTACTGTATGCTGTCTCTCTCTGCTCTCTTTCTGCTCTCTCTCTCTGCTCTGCTCTCTACTGTATGCTCTCTTTCTGCTCTCTCTCTCTCTCTTTGCTCTCTCTCCCTGCTCTCTTTATGCTCTCTCTCTCTCTCTGCTCTCTCTCCTCTCTCTCTGCTCTCTCTCTAGGCTCTCTTTCTGGCACTCTATGTTCTCTCTCCCTGCTCTCTCTGCTCTCACTCTGCTCTCTCTCTATGGTCTATCTCTGCTCTCTCTCTCTGCTCTCTCCCTCCTCTCTATGCTCTCTCTATACTCTCTGCTCTCTCTCTCTTCTCCCACCCCTGCTCTCTTTCTGCTCTCTTTCTATGCTCTCTCTCTAGGCTCTCTCTCTGCTCTCTCTCTCTTTCTGCTCTTTCTTCTCTCTCTCTCTCTCTCTGTTCTCTCTGTTCTCTCGTCTACCTCATCTTTAACCTTATTTAACACAGTCCTAATTTGTTTTTTATTCAGGGGGCAAAGGAGGCGCTGGAGCTGGGCATCACTGGACCAGAGGGCATCGAGATCAGCCGTCCAGAAGAGGTGCGAGCAACTCAATTCAATCGCCCTAAATCATAACAGTAGTCATCTAGGAGGACTTTACAAAACTGTTGATTCGACAACAACAGATCAGAGAATCAGATATTATAATGCTGCTGGTTGAATGGCAGGTGTGTAGGATTGTAGACTAGAGTGATATTTATTGACAATTCAAACTGAGACAGACCCTGGGAAAAGTCCCATTGTGGAGGAGGGAGGTTGTGGCTCGAGCTGGAGCTAGTATGAATGCAGGTTAATTGTAGTTATGAGAAAGTTTGGCACAGACTAAGACCAAAAATCACAAAAACACATGAAAACTCTGCCATGTGCCTCTTCGAGTGTTTTTGAATAAATAATTCAAGTTTCGATATGTTCAGATTCAGATTAATTTTCTTTGCCATTTGCAGTAAAACCACATTGGAATACATTTGCAAAAGTCCCAAGTCTACACTAAACAAGTACATAAATGTTTCTTCTGTGTTTGAAGCTGGAAGCGGAGGCAACACACCGGGCCATCACCATCGCCAACAGGGTGAGACCTGACACAGTTACTCTTATTAATTTATTTATTTGCTTGACAAAGACATTGTGTCGTTCAAAGGGTCTGTACAATAGCTTTACTGTGCAGACTGTTGTGTACGTGTCGAGTTCCCAGGACTGCTGCAAATAGATAGTGAATTCTTCCTCTTAATGATTGTACAATCTGGAGTGATGTGTGTCCCAACCAAATAAACAACAAAATCAACAAAAAAACAAACAAAATGGTTTGGTTAGCATTACCACAAAGATACACACAACACACAAAGAACACACAATTATCTACATTTTTAAAGTAAGAGTTGTTTCTCAGGCGCACTGCCCTGTTTACCTGGTGAACGTGTCGTGTGCGGCGGCCGGAGACGTCATCTCCACGTCCAAGATGCAAGGTCAGAACCTCCTCTCGCGCTTGCTCTGTCTGTACTGCTCATTGAAAAAATAAATAAAGTTATCGTTGATGATCGTTCCTGACTTGACCAGCCCAGGGTCATTTAGACCAGTGTTTTTCAACCAGCGTAACGTGGTACATTAGCGTTAGATGTTGTTTGGTGTGGTTTGGGAAATATTCCAATGACACATAATTGGTCAAAATAATGTGAAAAGAAAATGTGAGTATATTAGAAACTAAAGTTCATACTATAAGCTGAAAAGTTTCATGTTTGTATCAGTTTCAGCTGGTGGTGTGCCATGTGAGTGTTTTGTGCCATGGCTACAAAAAGGATGGGAAACACTGATTTAGACCCTTTTAGATCCTTTGCCCGATGCTACTACTATTGGTTTTGCTACTGCTACTTCTGCTGCTGCTGGTACTACTCCTACTAGGGCTGGGCGATATGGCAAAAAAGTAAAATCTTGATTTTATTTCCTGCTTTGGACGATTTCGATTTTAAATCAATTTTAAATCGATTTTTATTAACTCATCGACTTTGCCCCTTAAAATATTTTTGATCTTTCCACTCAATAGTTTCAAAACTAAGTTTAGTTTCAAAACTAATATGTTTCCCCCAATACGTGTTATAAAAGTCTAGTACAGATTGTGCTGATGTTGCAAGTATAATTCATGTGCTGCTGGAACTTTCACAATATCCTTCATTCGATTTCACGATTTTCACATTTTTCACTAATGCGATTTTTTCAAAAGCCGATTAATTGCCTAAATTCGATTTATTGGCCAGCCCTAATTCCTACTATTTCCACCACAAGTATTACTACTGCTACACTTGAATGGAATGCCCTTTGAACTCCTAAATGTTGCCCTGTTCCCAGGACTGCTACTTGTAAACAGATTTACAGTACGGTAAATGCTTCTATCACTACCAGGGTCTGGACCAGGGTCTGGACCAGGGTCTGGACCAGGGTCTGGACCATGGTCTGGACCAGGGTCTGGACCATGGTCTGGACCAGGGTCTGGACCAGGGTCTGGACCAGGGTCTGGACCAGGGTCTTGACCAGGGTCCTGTGTGTGCAGGTAAAGTGGTGCTGGGGGAGACCACCACGGCCCACTGTGTCCTCTCTGGTCTGCAGTACTATCAACAGGACTGGGCTCTGGCTGCAGCCCACGTCACTGTGCCCCCTCTGCGCCTGGACCAGGGCACCTCCAACGCCATGATGAGCCTGCTGGGGAGGTACTGCCTACTGCTGATACTGATACTGCTACTGTTACTGATGCTACTACTGCTGTTGCTGCTGTTACTGCTGTTAGTGCTACTACTAGAACAGGACTCATGATTTATAAACAAATGCTACTTGTGTGTGCAGCGACACCCTGAACGTGCTGGCCTCAGACCATCGGCCCTTCACCATCAAACAGAAGGCCATGGGCAAAGATGACTTCACCAAGATCCCCCATGGTGTCCCAGGCATCCAGGACCGTATGAGCGTCATCTGGGAGAGGGGCGTGGTCAGTTTCATACATCCTCAACATATATTGAACACATAGTACTCTCTGGTCTCTCTCTATGTTCTCTCTCTCCCTGGTCTCTAGTCTCTCTCTGGTCTCCCTCTCTCAGATCTCAGCAGACTTTGGTGTCAAGGGCAGGAAGTGGGGGGGAAGTGACTGGACAACATTTTATATGTATTGCATGCATTATTATAACGTTTATATTTATATTATAACATTATATTATAATGTTTTAAGTTTCAATCTTAATTTAAAAAATAAACATTTGAATATTGTCCAGTTTGACCCTTCAGACTTACGATGGTTTGCACAAAATAGAAAAACAGAACAAAAATGCCTGGACAAAAACGCATTTCAGACTTCTTTCTGCCACCTACAAAGGCCCTAAGGCCTGATGAACTCCAGCGGACCCACCTCCTGGTGAAAGCAAGCGAGAACAATGAGATCCATGGGCCGAACCATGTCAAGCAGGGGTACGACCACAACCAAGAGGAGCGGTGGTACCAGTAGATAAAATACCATTGAGATACAGTTTGTTTTATGTGTGATAAGCCTACATAATATATTTTACATTACATTTTTCATAAAAAAGTTTACAAATCAAGTGTTGCTTTTATTGTCTGTATTTAATTTGGCTTGGCACTCGCGTTGAACTTGCAATTATTTTATTTAACTGGTATGCTGCATATCGTGTAGCTCAAATATACAGTTTAAATTAAGGCTCTATGTCTTTGTCCTTAGTGGATCTTTACCTTGCGCACCCCCATCCAAACTATGTTCCCACGGCTCTGTATAGTGTAGTATTAAGATTAAAAGAGATCCTTGATTCCTTCCACATAGAATTAAAGCTGGGGTACCTAAACCAGAACCCTCACTATCTTCACAGATTGGAGGGAAAATGGACGAGAATCGCTTCGTTGCCGTGACGAGTTCCAACGCGGCAAAGATCTACAACCTGTACCCACGGAAAGGACGCATTATTGCAGGAGCAGACGCCGACGTCGTGGTGTGGGACCCCGAGGGATCCAAGTACGTAGATATGTTGATGGCAGCTCAGTGGCTGAGTGGATAGCACTCACGCTTCTCAGCAAGAAGGTCCTGGGTTCGAATTCTGGTCAGAACAGGGCCTTTCTCAGTGGAATTTGCATGTTCTGCCTGTGTCTGCGTGAATGGATGGTGTCAATTGGGGGCTTTGATGCGCACCAGTGTGTTCGGCATCTCGCTTTTGTGATCACCGTGTGTGGAGTAATTGCAACAATATCTGAACTCTGAGCATTGTCAAGCGCTTTGGGTGACCTTGGTCTGTAAAATGCCCAATATAAATTAACATTACTTATTTACACCAAGGAGCCCAGCAGGAGGCCAGTCCCTGTGCTCCTCAGTCTCAGCAGGAGTGAACCAGAAAATGATTATGTATTTGATTGATGCATCATAAATGTTGATTGTAGCCGACTTGGTCCCTCTCTGTAACTTGGTTCATGATCCATTTAGGATATTTCCAAAGTAATTCCAAAGACTTCCTCCTCTTGGCAACACCATGACTCCTGAGATTGCTGAAGGAGAATAGTTTGACCAATGGCGAGGATTTGAATACATTTTGTCCAATCAAGAAGCTGTGAGCATTAGCATGGGTGGGTTCACGTTCAACTGGTGCTGATTCATATTCTCTCTCTCTTCACAATAAAGTACCTGACTGTCACCTTATGAAGAAAATATATGGATAGATTATTTGATCCCTGAAGGAGAAATACAAGAGCAGCAGAAACATCCATGGTTCTAAAAGTTACTACCAACAGTATGAAAATGTTGACACTGTAGATAATACAATACAATACAATACAATTTATTCTTGTATAGCCCTAGGTCACAACAGAAGTCATCTCAGAGGACTTAACAAAACCATTGAACCATAATATGTTTGAATGTCAGGACCATCTTGGCGGAGTCGCAGGTCCAGGCGGGGGACGTGAACCTGTACGAGGGTCTGCGTCTGCACGGCGTCCCCCTCGTTACCATCTGCGGCGGGCGAGTCGTCTACGAGAACGGCATGTTCACCTGCGCCGCGGGGGCAGGACGCTACACACACATGAGGAGCTTCCCTGACGCTCTGTACAAGAAGATGGTGCAGAGGCAGAAGGTGAGACACACACTCTCTCTCACACACACACACACAGTTCTCAAAGGTAGATAGATAGATCTCGGAGAGGACTTTACAAAGCTCTTGATTTTTAACAGATCAGCAAATCAAACACAGGAAATACAATAAAAACACATACAGTCATTGGTCCATAAGGGGCAGATGAAAAATGTTCATAAATGTCAAGTGTACTGGATCATCATCACTGTCCTTAGAACCGTAAAAACCCAGTGGGAGAAAAGTGAGAAATCTCTGGGAGGCTACTCTGTAGATCCAGGACTGAGGCTGTAGATCCACGGCGGAGCAGGCCACACATACAGGGCAGATGAACATGTGGTTGTGTGTGTCATGAAGTTGTGTGCGGTTGTGTGTCAGTCCCAGGCGGTGAAGCCGGTGCAGAGGGAGCCGTACAGTGGGGAGGTGGTGGAGGTGCTGAACTCTGGGAAGAGAGACTTCGGGAGCTCAGACCTGGACACTCCCACACGGCCCAGCACCCGACACGGAGGACTGAGGGACCTACAGGAGTCTGGATTCAGCCTGTCCGGTTAGAGACTTGCTCTAACTTTAGCATAATACATAGGAGTGTATTTAAGTTGGATGGCAGTGATTGATTCAACCAAGAAAATGTCCAAATGTTTTCCCAGATCATTCTTTTTTTAGAGATTAAAAATGCGCCATACATACGTAATGTTCTTACGTATAAGTCCTACATATGTTTTTTGAATACTATCACCGCTTATCGACATCTGTGAGAAAATGAGCAGCTGTAGCTGATCTTATCTCAGGGGTAGAGCATTTAAAGCTAAAACCTGTGTCTGTTCCTGCAGGAGCTCAGATTGATGACCACGTCCCCAAAAGGTCTTCGGCCCGAATCCTGGCTCCTCCCGGCGGCCGCTCCAGTGGCATCTGGTAACCGCTCAAACCAGAGAAGAATTAGTAGTTTTTTTATTGATTTGTGAAACTCATTCTGGAGATAAATGTGTTTTCATTTCACACTCAGCACAATGGGTCAGGTTCTCCACAGGGTGGGAGGGAGGGGAGGGGAGGGAGGGGTGTCCAGGAGAACCAGTCTGCGATCATGTGTCCAAGACCAAATCAAGGTTTTTTGCACAAATTAATGACATTGAAACTCTATTCAATATCTAAAACATTTCTAACGTTTCTGATCTGTTATTGCAACTTTTAACTCTTTACTCTACCCTTCCCTACCTTACCCTACCGCTATACTCTACTCTACTCCTTGTTAGCCATGGCTTCCAGCAGCACTCTGGCCAATCACTGTAATTTAGAACACTTTAGTACCAGCTCAGTCTGGATAGAACCAGGACCAAGAGGGACTAAAGAAGGACTTGGTGGAGTAGAGTAGCCTTGCCTTGACATGCTTCATCTAGCCTACCTTAGCCTAGCACTGGTGGAATTAGGGCTACCCCCCCCCTTTCCTTCGGTCCTGGTCATTACAGTAGTTCTACATGACCGTGACACTGTCTTCTTTTCACTCAGCTCATCAACTCTGCATCGAAAAACCAGAACGTAAGCGTTTATTTAAGTATGTATTTATGTGTTATTAACATTATGTTTACAGATAGCACAAGGTCTGCTCCTCCCCTCAAATGTGATATGTTTTGTGCACAATTAGTTTGACTGGGATCAAACCAGAGCTGTGTCCAATGTCGACCAGGTTGCCTTTGTTTGTTTGTTATTTAGTCATTTGTGTCTTTTTAAATGTGTATTGTTGCTGCTATTTGACACTGCATCTGTGACAAGGCTTGTACTGTAAAGACAAGACTCCTTCATGATTTCCAACGGGAGTACGCGGAAAAACTAAACGTTCTAATTGAGTTTTGCTGGTTAAATAATTTTAAATGGAGATAAAAAACAACTCCAGACTGCTCTCTCTCTGGTTTCTCTCTCTGGTCTCTGTCTCTCTGGTCTCTCCTGCTCTCTGGTCCCTCTCACTCTGCTCTCTCTCTCTCTTTTGTTTCTCTCGCTCTCTCTCTCTCTCTCTCTCTCTCTCTCTCTCTCTCTCTCTCTCTCTCTCTTCACTCTGGTCAGCAAGGATGGATCTAAAACCAGGACTGTGACAGATGAGGAACAATGTAATGAGGAGAAAAGCTCAAAAGAGTTTGCAGCATAATTCTCCTTTATGTATTTATTCATTTTGTCTACTTTTTGTTTTGCTAACATCATTGCATTATATCAATGGAAACAGTCCTCCCTATGTCTCCAATATCAAGCCAATTTTCTGTTTCCACTGTTTTGTCAGCAAAATATGGAGCATCTATCCGTGTGTGGTTATTTAAGAAACGCTCTCCATCTCAGATTCTGTTTATTTGCCAAAAGTGAAGCAGAATCTTAGAGTTTGTGAAGAGATTCTGCAGAAAGAGCTGACGTGCTTTCTCCAACAGAAGCATTCTTATTTAGGGATCTACTTCCACACAGACAGATCCCTATTTAGACACCACATAATGATATCTCCTGTTGTTTTTGTATTGTACAGCTCTGTTTCCTTATAACTGGGTGTCTTCTGGTTTGTCTGTTCCACATGGTGCTCTGCTACGTTTGTTTTGGTTTTAGTCACTGGAGGGTAAATAAACACGTTGAAACTCGTTGTGTTTTGAGTGTATTTTTTAAGTCAACATGAAGTCTTCGTAAAGTTCCTCCTGAAGTCGATTGCCATCTCCTTGGTCTTACTGGTTCAAGCACACCAGTTGTCACACCAGTCCACAAAGTCCATGATAAAGGTCTCTTTATCCCTGTTCGGCCATTTCTCTGCATTTTCCCTAATGCCACTAGGGCGTCTGTCAGGAGCAGTGGTCGCCGTAGTACAGCGCAGACATTGATACTCTGCTTGGTCAGGACTGAAGCTGGAGGATTTAAATATTGTTTTTTTCTATGCTATGTATTTAGTGATGGGGAAGGAAACCTTTGCAGGCCCAGGGAGAAAATGCAAACTCCACCTAGGAAGACTCTTTTCAGACCGGGATTCGAGCCCAGGATCTTTTTACTTAGAAGCGAGAGTGCTCACCACCCAACCTGGTTCTCCAGTTTAGTCATCACAGAACTTCTGCAACTTTAATATAGCCAGGGTCTGTCTCACTTCAGGAAGACTGTTCCAGATCATACAAGTATAGCTAAAGACTCCTCTAATGATAATACATAGTAAGTAAGTAATCTTTATTGATATACCGCCTTTTCACAAAGCGATTTACAATTGTTATTTTTTGGGCATTTGTCCTCTCACTCTACACAGAGATGGGAGCAGGGTCGCCAAACAGGAGGTGCATGCCAGAGTTATTGTACATGTTTTTAGTGGTAGGGGAAACCGGAGTACCCGGAGGAAACCTACGCAGACACAGGAAGAACATGCAAACTCCACTCAGAAAGGCCCTGGTCCGACCGGGATTCGAACCCAGGACCTTCTTACTGACCGTGCCATAGAGGAGTGAAACTATTTACAAGTGAAGCAGCAAGAGCGAACTCTGGTGGATATTAATAACATAGTACACCACACTCATTCTAATGTGTGTGAAGTGTCTTGCCTAAGGACACAACCACAGTTTGGCACTTGGACACACCAACTCTGGCACCATGGTGTTCCAAGAAGTCTTCCATCTCAGTACATACCACGTCCTGTCCTGCTGAGCATCAGAGGATCTGGCTTTCACCTGCAGGTATGGACACATGGTATTTCATTGTTTGGACCTCAAGGAGAGCCCAGTGTCATGGTAACTCGACTTATTTCAGGATTTATCAAAATTATGACGACATAATACAATGTATCATTATAACGCTAAGATAAGGAACTAATACTAAAACTAATTCTTCACTACTGACGCTAATACATATATATATATAATATATAATATATAAGTACATATCTATATATATATATATATATATATAGCATATATATATATATATATATATATATATATATATATATATATATATACATGTATTACATATATAAATATATATATAACATTGCTACTTGACCAGAATCCTCTTTTTAACCATTTTTTTGCTGTGTGATTGTAATACATCACTCTGAGGCTGCTTCAGCAGCATCAGCATCACGTTCACGTCATATGTCACTGCGCTGAACCCGGAGCGGCGTGCAGACGGGCGCATGCGCACTATACACGGGAGCGGCTCCTCTCCAAAGCGTCTCCAAAGGCTTCCCTTCGCGACGCACACGGCTTCAAACCTACACAGTGAGTATCCCAGTTATACCCACTCATCCCTCACCACCATCGCTGCTGCGGTGGCTCACACTGGGGCCTGGATCTGATGATTCTCAATCTGAGGCGTGGACCGGGAGCCGAGGCCTGGAGCAGAGATGGAGCAGGATCCGCACACAGGCTGCCGGCGAGAGGGGTGTATTGTTCTCCGTGGGAAACAGCCAGACGCACCCCCTCCCTCCCCACGCGCTCTCATGTGTAATCTGTCTGTGTATGCGCCACATTTACACCCGCGTCAGACAAAAGACGTATACGCATTCATGTAGAGAGACAGTGCCAAAGCTGTTACGTACGCCGTGTGTCGCTGCGTGCTCGTTTCGCAGTCGATACTAACCCAATTGATTTTCCAGGGCTTAAAAAAACAGACGCGCCCACCTCAAGGTCCGGGATCTGCTGGTGTTTCCCAAGCGGGGGTCCACGGGCGGGTAACGGTGTGTGGAGATGGCTATACGGGCTGTAAATACAAGGCTCTGGTTGAGGTCATTAAGCCTTCATGCTCAATCGCATTGTGTCTGCGTCCTATTTGATTCCGGAGAGACTCAAGTTGACAAAGGCAGTTTATTAGAATGGTATTTATTGGTTTGCAAAGTAATTTGTCGCTAGATGAATAAGCACATATTACTCTGTAGATATTTATGTGGAATAATGACTGTAGTACCCAATAGTAGTAGTAATAGTAGTAGCAGTAGCAGTAGCAGTTGCAGTTGTACCTAGAACTAGTCAGTAATAGTAGAAGCAGTAGCAGTAGCCATAATGATAAATAAGTTTCTGGTTTCTGGTGTGTTTTTAATCATTTAGAATCACATGTGTCACTGTCTCTGTGTTCCAGAGCCTCATGCTGCTAACATGCTAACATGTATACATATGTACAACTATATATTCATACACTGGAATATAGAGGATTTTATGATTGCTTTTTTAACATAAATTTTTCCTTTGGGGATAAAAAGTTAATTCAGGGATCTTTGCAGGGAAATGTGTTTATGATTGATCCGTCCTGAATGGTACCAGGGGCCTCTGTCAAGGCTAAGACTATATATTGAAAAAAATGTTGTTACTGCAATATTGGTACATGCAATATCCATATCTAAAAGATGTGTGATAATTTTGATATATATATAGATATATATACATAATACATATACAAATGCAAAGAGGAACTTCTTATAGAAAAGTGTCCTCTTGTCGTTAATTAATGTTGTACTTAATTATTGTTAGAGAAATTTTTTTCTTACAGTTCAATGCAGATTGTATTTTTATGTGAAAGACAAAAATATACAATAAAATAGGTAGACATCTGCTGCGGTTTGAAGTGTGAGGCAATGTAGAGGCCCCGTCGTCTCTGTTGATCGTCCGTGTGCCCCAGTTGCTGATTCAAATCGTCTCTTGTCTCCATCTTTTGTATTTTTATTCTGCTGTTCCTTCTGCATTGTCCCACTTAAAGTAACTCTTCTGCAGTGGTCAGATATTGCTGATTTGAGGTTTTCCTGTGTTGCTTTGTCCTTGGTTGATCTTGTTAGTTGTTCTGCCGCATTCTTAGTTATGTTCCTTTCTCCTGGTGTTGAAAGCTCTTCCTGGTTCTCCAATGTGTGTTTTATTGCTGGTTCTACATGGAATTTTGTTAATGACATTGCACTATTTGTCTGTTGTACACGTGTGGGATCTTACGCTATCTTACATGTGTTTAGTTGGAATAAACTGGAGCACCTGAAGGAAACTTACGCAGAAACATGCAAACTCCACTCAGCAAACTCCACTCAGAAAGGCCGAACCCATCAAAAGACCGATGTTTTTAACTCATTCAACACTTACAGCACTTTTTTGAACACAGAAATGAAAATGTATCAAAACTGCATTATTATTATTAGTCCTATTTTATGCCATATTAACCTCCTTCTTCTTCTGTGGTTTTGGCTCAGATGGCGGTGAACATTCTAACCACGTCGGTGTCGGTGAACAACATGAGCCGACACGACATGCTGGCCTGGGTCAACGACTCTCTGCAACTCAACTACTCCAAGATCGAACAGCTGTGCTCAGGTACTGACTGTCGATCTCACAGGGGCCTCTGCACAGGCCCCGGGTCTGTGGTCCGATAGATTCAATCTAATTTATATAAAGAGTTAGAATATTGTCAATTCCTTATATGGGCATGTGTTCCGACGGCGTTAGTTTTGCTCCGTAACAGGGGCAGATGTTGCTGAGTCAAGCTGGAGTTTCCCCCAAGAAGAGAGATATCTGATTGGTTGTTCCTTATGGCTCATGTCTACTCTAATTCTATTCAATTCAAATTATTTTTGTATCGCCCTAAATCACACTTTTTCTCAATTATAGTTATCTCAGCTGTCGATTTGCCAGCACGGATCAGAGAACAAAACAGTTGAAACACAGGAAATGCAATTATAACAAGCACATAGAACAGGGGTGCTATGTGCAGGGGTGCGTTGACCATAATTAATGCAGTTAACTAATCAACATTAGGATGTTGGCTTAATTAAATGCATTAATTATTGTCTATCAGTGCAAATCACAAGCTGAATGAAAATCAATCATTGGTCCATAAGTGCCAGACGACCACTCTCCATTAATGTTGTTAACTGTCTATAGACTGTATATAGATGGACAATGCTAATCCGCTAGCCCAATGTTGCCCAATATGGAAGTGCAACGGACGTTTCTGGCTCTTATTGACTTCTTTTGGCAGCTTTGTTTATCAAATCACTATCAAAAAATGATTCGGAAAAAATAGCATAACTTCTTTTTCAATATTCACTGCCCTGCTGTGATGTCATGTGATATTTGATCTTATTTCTCTTAAACTCTTAATCTCTTGTCTCTCCTGTGTGCTCCAGGTGCTGCATACTGTCAGATCATGGACTATCTGTTTCCTGGTTGCCTTCTGTTGAAGAAAGTCAAATTTCAGGCCAAACTGGAGCACGAGTACATTCAGAACTTCAAAATCCTGCAGAAAGCCTTCCAGCGCATGTCTGTGGAGAAAGTGAGTAATACTTTTTATCAATGTTACGGTTCAGTCCTGTTCTGGTCCTGGTCCTGGTCCGTTCCTGGTGCGGGCCTGGTCTGGTCCCGGTCCAGTCCTGGTACAGTTCTGGTCCAGGCCTTCAGACTCTCTTGTACTCGTATCAGTTTTGTTGAAGCCATAGACAGTAGAATATAAGTATGGTCACACTTTAGTTTAGCTCTCACTAATTAACAGCTGGTAATTAATGTATAAATTATGGTTTAGTAGCTCTTGATTGGTTTTAGGGGGCGACAGTAGCTCAGTTGGTAGAGCATTGGCCTTAAGCCCAGAAGGTCATGGGTTCAATTCCCACCTCTGCACCTTCTCCACCGACTCCCACTGATGACTGCTGTCGTTGTGTCCTTGGGCAAGACACTTAACCCCACTTTGCCCAAAGCCCCCCACTGAAAGATCAAGGCTATGCTCACACTCAGAGAGCAGCCGTCCTCCTGTGGACTCACCACCTGCAGAGGGTCAGTGAGGGGCTGGTGCTATGAGACTTGGGTGGCATCTCTGATTGCCACCCCCCTGACCCAGAAATGGAGGGAAGAAAATGGATGGATGGATGGATGATTGGTTTTATTTATACATCTCTCTCTCTCCTCTCTGTCCTCTCCTCTCGCTCCTCTCTCGTAGGAAGTAGGAAGCTTAAATCAGTGGTGCGAGGGATAGAGCAAATTGTGCAGCTCTGTTCCAGCTTTTTCAGGTGAAGGGGTTAGATGTGACTTGGGTGGCATCACCCCCGACCCAGAAATGGATTAAGAGGTAGAAGATGGATGGATGGATGGATGGGTTAGATGTGGGGCTACAGGAGACGCAGAGAGATAGAGTCAGGCTAAAGGAGGGAGTGGGGGGGGGACAGCTGGTCCTCAGCTATGGCTCCACTTTCAGTGCAGGAGTATGCTGTTCTCCATGTGTCTTCCAGTGAGTGTAGAGACTGAGGAGGTGGTGGGGGCTGCAAGCAGTGACTTTAGTGTGTGTGTGCCGTGCACTGGAGCACAGAGGCACCTGATGATGGACACTCTGTGTGACTGCATCAGGGAGTGCACTGGAACTGCACTGTAGAGCCACAGCAGGACAGAAGCCCCCTCACTGGTTGGACCAAGTATGTGCTCTCTGGGATACCTGCTGAGCATGTGCACTGCCGCTCACATCAGCTCTGTGGGGATCTCTGACCACAGTTTTATTGTTTGTGTTGTACATGTGTCTAATGTGCTGGTGGGGAGTGCATACTGGCATTTTCACACTTCACTGCTGTTTGATAAGATGTTTGTTTGTGCTTTTAGAGTGTATTGGAGGTTGCGATGGTGGAAGGCGCAGATGAGGCAGCTGTGTCAGGGGTACACTCATGGTGTCACAAGACACAGGGCCCAGCTTGTGAAAGAGCTGGAAACTAAGGTGGTAGAACTGCAGCTTTTAGCACTTACTGCAGGAGAATGGGGTGTTTACAGTCCCTGAAAACACAAAAGTTGGCCTTGGCCAGCCTGCTGGGCACCTCTGTACAGGGGGCTCTAGTCCGATCCTGCCACATGGACTTGTTCCTGATGGATGTACCCTCCCAGTTCTTATTGAGTCTGGAGAAAAAGAACAACCAAAAGAGGTTCATCCAGTCTCTGCGCTCGGACAGTAATTGCCTCATCACAGACTTTGCTGAGGTCAAGAGCTTCGCCTCTGGTTTCTATGAACATTTGTTCAGCTCTGTCATAGCTCATAGGTGGTTGTTTTGAGGACGGTCTGCCTCATGTCAGCGACGAGGACAATCAGAAGCTGGAGGCCCCACAGACTGTGGCTGAACTGAGCTCTGCTGTGGTTAGCTTATGGCCAGGGAGAGCTCCAGGCATAGACGAACTATCGGCCATTCTTTGGAACGTTCTGGAGCCAGACCTTCTAGAGTTTTTAATGGATAGTTTGGAGAGCGGCCGCTTGCCCCTGAGTTGCCATAGAGCAGTACTCACCCTGCTGCCTAAGAAGGGTGATCTGCAGCTGTTAGAGAACTGGAGTCCGGTGTCGCTGAGCTGCACTGCCTTTGGGGGCAGCCCTGGGTTCATTGCCCACATTTGGACTCTGTATTGAGACCTCATGAGTGTACTGAAGGTGAACGGGGGGCTCAGTTCTCCCTTCAGTGTGGAGAAATGTACAGGCAGGGCATCATTCTGTCAGGAATTCTGTGCTCCCTCTCCATGAAGCCAAAGCATTGGCTCAGAGCTGACCTGCAGGGGACACCATCCGTTTAAGTCTCTGCCCACGCAGATGACATCATGGTGTTCATAAACACCCAGAGAGATATTGAGGTCCTTGCTAACACTGTACAGTGGTTTGGCCAAATCTCAGCCATTCTGTTTGGAGAGGGTCTGAGGAGCTGGAGTTCTCATCACTCATCACCTGGTGTTGTCAGCTCTGTGGCGCAGACTGCAGTGCACAGACCCACCTCCCTCTTTACTCGCACAGATCCAGAGACTGATCATAGATTTCTTCTGGGACAAGCTGCAGTGGGTTCCACAGGCAGTGCTGTTTCTGCCAACCGAGATGCTGCCTTTAGCTGCAGTTTCTACAGAGACTCTTAGGTGGGCAGAGGAGCTGCTGTGGAGACCGGTGGTTGTCTCCATCCTGCAGAGGGCAGGGGGCTGCTCCTTAGTGACCTCACACCAGCTGGACTCCCGTCCTTCTATCGTGGCCTGCTCTCTGTGTGGAGCCTGAGCCACCTGGACCTGAGGTCGGCTCGCATACTGAAGCGTCTCCTGTGTTTCTGGAGGGTGGGTCTGGACTCATTTTAGGCTCACTGACCCCTTCCCCAGCCTCATCCTCAGCCCTTCCAGGCTAGTCCAGTCGCTGCCTCTCTGGAGACTACATCAGGGAAGACCTTTTACAGCCTCATGGTCCCAGCCGTGAACCACCAGAGACTGTGTGACCTTCCAGATACTGTGTGGAGGTCACACCTGGGCCCCACCTGGGCCCCACCTGGGCCCCGCCTTCTGCCCGGCCTGGGGGTCGCTGTGCAAGCCCCCTCTGACCAAGAGGCAGGGAGACCTACAGTGGAGGCTGATGCTTAGGGCAGTAGCAATAAATGTTTTTGTGTGTTGGGTGAACAGGGCAGTGGGCGAGGGCAGTCCCTTCTGTGGGGGGAGAGGGAGACAGTGTTCCACTGCTTCTAGGAGTGTGGGAGTACTGCACGTTTGCACATTTGGAGTCAGAAAATGTTGTTTATTGTTTTTAAAAACATTACAAGTTGTAATGTACAAATGTAATGGACAAATAAAGGTCTGTTAAGAATCAAAATTTCTCTCCTCTCTCTTTCTCTTTCCTTTTTCCTCTCCCCTTGATCTTGCAAAGCCTCTGGTGTTTGTGGGGTCTAAGTTTAGCTCTAAGTCCATCTCCAAGTCCCGTTTCTGCTGTTTCTTCAGATCATTCCAGTGGAGCGGCTGGTGAAGGGCCGGTTTCAGGATAACTTTGAGTTCGTACAGTGGTTCAAAACGTTCTTCGACGCCAACTACACAGGACAGGAGTACAACCCAGTGTCCGCGAGACAGGGGCAGGAAATGACCCCTGCTCCAAACCCAGGTGATCAGTACATCCACAGGGGGAAGAGGCCAGGTAACTGTCCAGGTAACTGTCCAGGACTGTGGAGCTCTGCCGGCAAGAGCACGGGCTTTGGCTGGTTCTGCAGGTGTGAGCAGAGACACACTGCAATAAGTCATGAAAAAAAAGTTGAAAATTGCTCAAAGTTGGCTAAATGTATCTTAATTTTGAGCACATTCTGACTGCCTTAAAACAATATTTGCCAATGGGACAAAAGCAAAATGATCTTGTTTTGAAAAGATACAAGAAATGTCTCCCTTGGAATGAGAAAATGAAGCCACAGTTCTGGTTTTGTCCCATTGGAGAATCTTATTTTAACACAGTCAGGATGTGCTCACGGACAAGATAAAAACCACTCAATTCAAGAAATTATTACCTCATTATTTATCATTTTTTGCAGTGTTCACTTGGGGGGGCCTGAATCGGACTTTTTTGAGCTGTTTTTCAATCCATCCAGGCTAAAATCAGGAACTTCTGGTACTGTCGCTCCGCCCCTGAAAGCGTCTCAGTCACGTAACAGTATGATGTCATTGTACGTACTTTACAGTCACCTGTCAATGTTTGCAGAGAGACCAGAGAATGACCAGAGAGTGATCAGAGAGAGAGGCCAGATAGAGAGAAAGACCAGAGAGAGAGACCAGAGAGAGGCCACAGAGAGCGAGAGACCAGAGAGAGAGAGAGAGTGACTAGAGAGAGATCATAGAAGAAGATCCAATCAGGAGCCTCCTGCCCCTGTACCGTTAAACAGGGCCTGTGGAAAGAGTAGAAGAAGTGGTTTATAGTTTGGTTCTTGTGGTTTGTGGCTCATCCCATTCTCACATTTTTAGATGCAGGATCTTGTCAGAGTCGTTTTTAGTTCCAAAGTGGGGTTTCTCTGTTCACACCGTCAGCATGTGTCTCTGTGGAGCACACAGAGCTGGGCGCGGCACAGACAGCGGTGCTGTCGATTCGTCTGAACGCTGCTTCAGGCTTTCGGCTGCAGACTTCACAGCACGTTGAAAACACACTATGAAATGCATGTACCATCGACCGAGCGCTGGCGATGGACCATTTCAGGAAAGATAGTGTTTTTGTTATTATTATGATGCGCAGCACCGTGGTGCAGTTGTTAGGTGGGTTTCATTCCACCTCCAGGCCTTTCTGTGTATTGGCTCATCCATAAAGCATTAAAAACTGTCTTAATCCCAGCTAAAACTTAAACCAGAGACAGCAAATCTATTGCTTAGAGTCAAAAAGCACCGCAGTGTTTTAAAGCATGGCTCAATGATATGTCATAGCACACTCTACAGATGATGTCATAGACTCGGACAAACCACAGCACATTGAGGAAGAAAAGACCAGTGCAAAAAAAGGCCAGACTTCTATTTTCATAAGAGTCTAAACCAAAAGTCCTCTCAGCTATTTTCTTTTTAAGTTAGTGAGTGCCTTTATTTATACAGCCCATTTACAGACCAAGGTCACACAGTGATTTTATATACACCAAATGTTCATTGAGGTGTATCGTTAGCGTCTGTAGAGTGTGCTGTTGTTGCAGATGCATGTGTGGAGCTGGCTCTGGGACACGCACACATCATTAGTAAGAGTGAAACTAACGTGTGTGTGTGTGTGTTGTGTTCCAGGACAGAGACCTCCCCCCACAGTGAAGAACATGCCCACCCCTCAGCGTGTCCACTATAACACCAGCAGGAACAACGTACCGCGGAACGGAGGCGACGCCGAGGTCAAACTCAAGGAGGAGGTTCAGCAAACTCTCTTTCAATTAACTTTATTTGTTTATTGCTCTAAATCACAACAGTAGTTATCGCGGAAGACTTTGCAAGCTGTTGATTTGCCGACACAGATCAGAGAATCAAACAGTTCAAACACAGGAAATGAAATGATTCTGGCTCTCACCTGCAGGTGGCGTCACAGTTCTATTTCTTGCACACTTGAAATAAAACATGAAATTATCACACACACACACACACCAAATTTTTTGAAATGTTGTTTGATCACCAGGGCCAGCTCTATCCAATAAGAGGGCTATGGGCCCCAAGGTCTCAAGGGGGCCCCCATATATGTCCCACAAAGGAAGTTGCCTGGAGACACAGTAGAATAGAGTAGAGCTAAGTAGGGAGGGTGGAAATGTGGGGAGGGTGGAACAACGTTTTGTCTCAGAGGATTACTCATATTGTAACGACTTCAGTTAAATCAGCACAGGATACTCACTAACCGGAAGCGACTTAGAAAATCAAACCCTATCAAATCTGTTTCCATCCCTCCTATGAGGATCAGTGCGGGGCTGGTGCTCTGTGAATTAGGTGCAGCTCTGACTGCCACCCTCCTGACCCAGAAATGGATTAAGGGGAAGACAGTTTTCCACATACTGCCGTATGTTTTGTTGTTTGTTGATTGGTTGCTTTTTCCTCAGTTGACGGAGCTTCAGACCAACGTGGAGGGCCTGGAGCGAGAGCGAGACTTTTACTTTGGGAAACTGCGAGACATTGAGCTTATCTGCCAGGAACACGCCAACGAACCCATCATGGACCAGATCCTAGACGTGCTCTACGCCACCGAGGTACAGAGACCAGAGAGAGACACCCGAGACAGAGACCGTAGAGAGACCAGAGGGGAGACTAGAGAGAGACCAGATGTTATACTTTTATTACACCATAAGTGACGACAAACCACACCTCATCAGCTGTAACTGTTATATTAATAATCATAATAATAATAATTTTCCTCTGTTCTCGTTGCAGGAAGGATTCGCGCCTCCAGAAGAAGAGGCCAACCCTGAGGAAGAATACTGAGCTTTTCCGTTTTCAACGATGTTTTTTTTACTCCGTGCACGATGTCTACAAAACAGATCACTTTTATTTAATTTATCTCTCATTCCTCCACCACACGAAACATTCATTTGGGTCACACAAGAAACAAGCTTGAATCTTTCACCCGTTTTAGTTGCAAATACTACTGAATTTTTTATTTCTGTCTAATTTATTTGAGTACAGATAACAGCTCTCCTTGTGTGTTCCAGTTGAACATATACACCAAGCGACTAACTTAAACAGCACTTTCTTTTAATTGTTTAACTTTTATTGTTTAAATTATTATGTATATTTTATAGTTTTTACGAGTCTGACTGACAGACGATTGAATTCATTTGCAGTACCAATATTTAACCACAACAAATAATTAACTAAAGCTGTGTGTGTGATGTGTGTAAAGGAGGGATATTGTGCTCAATTTAAACTTTAAACCAGTTCTACCATGTTATAATGGCTTTGACTTACACACGTTTCTTTATAGAATTAAAATACAGTCAAAATATGTTGGTTAACTTTCCCTAAAATTGGTTGAATGTGGCAATGAGGTAAACACAGACTGTAAATATTAGCACACAGGTAAACATGGAACTTCTAGCTAAGGCTAACCGTAAACCATGGGGCAGGTAATCTATTTTAAGTTTTCTTTTAAAATTTAACAACCATGTCTCTGTCCTGTCCTGTTCCCATTTTGAAACTGCCCATAGAAAGCGAAAGTGAAAGTGGCACATTAGTTTCAACAACGGAGATAGGTGTATGATATTTAGAGATTTATTTAGTTCATGTATTTTTATCTCAGTCACACCTTGAGATCAGATTTTTCAAACAAAAGTGAAAAAGACTGCACCATCCTCACGCTGTCAGCTCTCATATAACAACTCACAGGGAGAGAGAGGGGGAAAAAAGCTCTTAATTGGTATTTTTAAAGCTATCTTACAAGACAACTTTATAGAAAATATGTTTGTTGTTATTTGTGATGGTGTCAAAATGTATTATTTAATTATCAAAAGTATAAGTTTAGTAACTCCATTTTAATGATATAGAACAAAACTCTTTAAACCCCTGCAGTGATTGAGGTGTGTTTGTAGGGTATAACTGGATCAAATAATTTCTACTATGTAACCACGGAAACTGGTTACTACTGAGACGAGGCTAGCAGAGGCATTCAAGAGCGCAGGGAAAATGGGAACAAAATCCAAACTGGAGAATTACTAGAGGTTGCCATTTACACTTACTATTATAATTCCAGCAGACGAAAGCACAATATGTCTCTTTTAAAAAAACAATGGATTTTTTCTGCGGCTTGAATGTTACGTTACGGAATGTTCAATTTTGACTGTGAATGAATGAATGTTTTAACGTTTTTGTCTCGTTTTGTTTTTGCACAATTAACGCCGTTCTCCCCCCCAGCAAAGTTCTCTCTCTCTGCTGCTGCTGCTGCGAACACATCCATTCAACACTTACTGCCTTTCGTTTTTATCATTATGTTCCAGTATTTTCAATTTTTTTTTCAACATGTTTACAAAAAGGCAAAAAGTAAAAATTGGTGGATGGAGCGGTAGCATCGGAACAACAGCATGACGAACCCCACATTAATATGGACGATACAGTTGTAGCAGAACAAGCAGATGTTGTGTGTTGGTATTAAAATGGCTTTCCAAGGAAAATGTTGTTATGGTGTCAATCCAATGTTTTTGTCTTGTGAAGTCATGATTAAAATAACTTATTTTTTACAATGGGACATAGCACTATTATGTACAGTTGGTTATTAAGTGCTAATTTGTGTACGCTAACCCTCTAGCACACATGGGAAAGTGTCAATTAGTAGCTAGTTAGATGTTGAATGAGGCCATGTAGAATAAGGACTAATAAGTGCTTTAAAAATACCAATTACGAGAGAATTAATGGTATAAAAAAATCAACAATATTATATTTAAAATACCTCCTCTCCTTAGAATAACTTTGATCAGTAAGATTTGTTGGAGAAGAACAGTTAAACATGACAAGGGGCCGCACGGATTTGAATATAGTTTGACCAATTTAATTTTTTATTTAAAGTAATTAGTTCAATTGTGTCTATAGTAATCACCCTAGTAACCAGGTTTACCAGAACTATTTGGTCTTGTGACTTGACTTGGACTTAAAACATGTTGCAGAATAGGTCTGCTTTAATAGCCACAAATAAGACATATTTCTCCTTTAAGTCGCAATTTTCAGGATTAGAAAATGGACAAGACTTGTGAAACAGACGAGACCTTTACAAGAGAGAGGCCTACTAGTCCTTGTATTAGCAATAAATACAAAAATATGTAGAGAAATGGCTGAGTAAACAAGTAGAAACTCTGTACAAGTCAACATTGGCAGGACATAATTAGATTTTCCCTTGAAAGTCATTCAAATATTGAATTGAATTTCTTTGTATTAAGCTGGTTTCACACTATCATTCCCCCACCAGCCTGAAGTGACCATCAGTAGCCCGGTTTCCAACAGCGCTTAGCCCTACTCTACTTGGTTCGACTCCGAAGCGTTTCCACTGGCATCAGGTACATTTTAGTCCCTATTGGCCCTGGTTTTATCCAGGCCGAGCTGGTATAAAACTGACAGTGATTGCCCAGAGTACTATTGGTTCGTTGTGGGTAGCTTGCTAAAATACTAGGATACGCTACCAGTTACTAAAAGAGTAATGGAAACGCAACCAGGTAGAGCAGGGCCGAGAAGAGTGAGACCAAATTGTGCTGAAGGAACAGGACGCAGTTTACAGCTGGTGCTTTGTAAACTCGACTTCATGCAGTTGAATTACCAGAAACTCCACGTCATTGTGCACTTTTTATTTGCTGTGAATATTTGGACATTTACTGTATGCAACAATCAACAAGACATGGAGCCTTTGAGTTTTGAATAATTAAACCAATGAGAAAGAAAACGAGTGTCTGTTTTTATTTCTCACATCTCAAAAGACCTCAAAAAGCAACCGCGCACAGGAAATATTAGTCTAGATGTTGTTGTTGTCGCCTCAGGACCAAAAATAAACTTTACATGAATATATTAAATAAAAGGACAGTTAATTTCAATAATATTTAATAGTTCTTTCTCTGACATTCAGGCCATTGTCTCTAGTAAAACATGATTTCTGAAGTCACGCTGATATTGTTCATGTGTTTCTTCAGACTGGACTTTTCCACAATCACAACAATACCACAGAAAACGTTTATTATGACACAAGACACAGATTTGTCATTGGGGTTTTTTGGTTCCATCCACTTCACATGTAGTCCGGACTGGTCTGGAACTATCAGACTCCTCAGATCTGCTTCAGACCTGCTTTAGTCCTGGTTTAGTCCTGGTTTAGTCCAGCTTCAGACCATCTTCAGACCAGCTTCAGACCATCTTCAGACCATCTTCAGACCGGCTTCAGACCGGCTTCAGACCGGCTTCAGACCGGCTTCAGACCGGCTTCAGACCTGCTTCAGACCGGCTTCAGACCGGCTTCAGACCGGCTTCAGACCGGCTTCAGACCGGCTTCAGACCGGCTTCAGACCGGCTTCAGTGTTTCTGTAGGCCTGGTTAAAAACAGGTTCAGTCTGGGCCCATGGCGAGTCAATGCACAGCATCAATAAATGGCCGTGTCGCCGTGGCCACGCCCTCCTTCAGCCAATCAGAAGTTGCTCCAAACTTCTCAGCCGAGTCTCTGAAGTACCTCATTTCCCATAATCCTCTGGTGCGTGAGCTCAGGGGTCGGGCAGGTCGGAGGTGTCCACCGTCGCCTGGAATGAGACACACAAATACAAAAATGTCAGGAACAAGGAATAGTGCTTTGTCCTGGTCTAGTCTGAATTATTTCCACAATTTATTCTGCTTTCGCCCTCCGCCTCTGCTTGCCTTGATGAAGATGGTGTCGTCCTTGATGTAGGAGCCGGCTTCCAGTTGGCTCTGGTGGGTGAAGAGCGGACACCCGGAGGCGATGTTCATCTCGACCACAGGTCTCTTGAAGCTGCTGCTGTTGGGATCTGGTTTGAAGGCATCCACCAGATGTTTCCGCGCCGCGCCCTGGTCCATCAGCATCAGCGTCACCTAGGCAACGTATCAGCAAAGTGGTGTAAAGCCTTGCACAGCCAGCAGGGAGATTAGCAGTTCTAAGATGGACACTGGACACTTAGACTACTTTTGGAACTTTTTCTATTTTACTTTTTACTTACAATACATTACTCTTACTCAACTGTTTTAAAAAGAATGTCGGAGCATTTATTTTTAAGAGGTTAAGAGGTTTTCATGAGGTTTGGACCTGGTTTGGACCTGGTTTGGACCTGGTTTGGACCTGGTTTGGACCTGGTTTGGACCTGGTTTGGACCTGGTTTGGACCTGGTTTGGACCTGGTTTGGACCTACCTTCTGCTTGAATGGCCAGTGCAGCAGAGCGTCGTACTCTCCCTTCATAACAACAAAGAACAGGGACAGGTGTGTGCCTTTGCCCATGCCGTCGCCATTCAGATAGACTCGCACGCACATCTTGTACCCAAAGTACGAGGTGTAGAAGGGCTGCGAGTACAGGCTCAGCGTCTTCCCCGACACGGCTTCCGCCTTCCGCCGTGCGTAGTCTTGGATCTTCCAGATTAGCGTTCCGTTGTAACTCGCTGTCTCCAGCACCTGTGACCACAGACCAGGGGTTAGTAAGGTTTTAGACCTTTGTCATCCTGGTGGATACCTGCTTAAATACTGGTTTAGTCCTGGTTCAGTCCTGGTTTAGACCTTTCTCACTCCTGGTGTAGTCTTGGATAAGTCCTGGTTAAGTCCTGGTTAAGTCCTGATCAAGTCCCGGTTAGGTCCAGGTTAAGTCCACGTTAAGTCCACGTTAAGTCCACGTTAAGTCCACGTTAAGTCCACGTTAAGTCCTGGTTAAGTCCTGGTTAAGTCCTGGTTACTGTAAGTCCTGGTTTAGTCCTGGTTACTGTAAGTCCTGGTTTAGTCCTGGTTTAGTCCTGGTTTAGTCCTGGTTAAATACTTAAGGCATGGTTTAGACATGGTTTATACATGGTTTAGACCCATTCTGTTCTGGTTCTTTTATGGCCATAGTATTAGTTTAGTATTTAGTATTAGTTTTGACAAAGAGTTCACAGTTCACAGCATTTTAATCTTTCTGTTGGGACATTTTTCATATCTCATTATATCTCATTTATTGTTGTTTTGTCATTCACAGTCATTCCAGTTGAAATCAAAACAAACACAAGTCTGTGCATGACCAGGCATAGGCTGAAGGCAAAGCTTATAGTGCCTGCCCTTATCAACCTTATTAAATCAAATTCAGCACTTTAACAAATATTTGTAGTGTAAATAATCAAACTAAACAAGATACCACAATACACAACACGTTTCTGATTGAAATGCTGTCAAATATTATTCAATAATTATCTTCTTGATTTTTTTTTTTTTTAATGAAACATAGAAGTAGTGCCTTTTAACAGCCACTGTTCCATAATTGAATGCCTTTACTGGATAAGTCACAGTATATGAGAATTAAGAAACAATGGATTATTAGGAGAGTCATATGAAGCACAGTTGATCAGTCTAATGGCCAGATCTCAATGCCATAAGTTAGGTTTGGGATGGTGAGAGACAATAAAGTAAATCCAATGCTTTTTTGTTCAAAGTAAACTTACATTTGGATAAGATGGCTATAGTTTTTGACACTTTCTTTTAAATATGCAGCTCCCATGATAATTTGGAGCCAATAATTACTCAGAGAAAGCTATATAATTTATTCTTTCTATTTCATTTTCATTTATTTCAATTTTAATATCATCATCCATGTCTTTATTACTAAATATCATACATTTTGTTTTACCTAGTTTCAGAGATGACGCATTCACATCAAACCAATTCTTTAATTTATATATTTCTCTCTCCACCACCATCCCCAGCTCTGTAAGATTTGACCAGACCAATCAACTGTTGCGTCATCTGCCAATAAAATAAAATTGAGAATATCCAATACCCAATAGATAAAAAATAATTTAGGGTCCAATACAGAGCCCTGAGGAACTCATCATCATCATGTAATTATCTCACCTGGAAACGCAGGTCCATATCAGCCAATCGTATCTCGTGAACACTAAGGACATCGTCATGGCGACCAAGCTGCGTCTCGAGCGTCACTGCACAAAATAATGACATTACAGGAACTTGAGACTATACTCACAGACCTAGGAGAGTTTAATTTTACATGTAAGTAAATAGTTAACTAGCAGGTCAGTATTGTCCATCGGTTTACAGTCTACACAGGTCTGATGGTTGGTATTCACCCAGGGCGTGACTGGGGGCCGAACTGCGGTTCTGTTCCAAAGCCGTGACCCGCGTCCTGAGAGCCTCCACCTCATCCCGAAGAGAACGAACCGACCGCAACTCCAACTCCAACTCCAGAAGCTTCTCTGAGTGAGAGCTGAGCAGGTTCTGAAGTGAGAGGATAGAGACTGAAACAGAGACTGAGACAGAGACTGAAGCAGAAACTGAAGCAGAGATTGAAGCAGAGACTGAAGCAGGGACTGAATCAGAGATTGAAGCAGATATTGAAGGAGGGACTGAATCAGAGACTGAATCAGAGACTGAAGCAGAGACTGAAGCAGAGATTGAATCAGAGACTGAAGCAGAGACTGAAGCAGAGATTGAATCAGAGACTGAAGCAGGGACTGAATCAGAGATTGAAGCAGATATTGAAGGAGGGACTGAATCAGAGACTGAATCAGAGACTGAAGCAGAGACTGAAGCAGAGACTAACTTGTATGGTGGACATCTTCTGGTCGCTCTGTCGGAATCGCTCTCTCAGGTCTTCGTTGTGAGCCTCAGCCTCCGACAGACGGCTGCTCAGACCTGGTAAAACCTGGAACCGCTCAGACATCTCCGCCCTCAAGTCCTCCACCTGCACCAGAGGAGGAGAGGTTACCCTGGCAACCGACCAGGATGTAAGATGCAGGACTGAGGATTTAGGAAGTAGGATGTATGACAAAGGATATAGAACAAAAGGGTGTAGGGTGTAGGAGGTAGGCCACAGGATGTAGGGTGTAAGAGGTAAGATACAGGATGTAGGAGGTACCTTGCTGTCAAGAGCGGAGCTTCGTAATGACATCATTCTTAAATGTTCTGACACAAAACTGGACTCGTGAAGTTTGAGCTCCTCCTTCAAACCCTACAGAAAAATATAATTTTTTCACTAATGTTGTTTAAGGCCTAGAGGATTCTTTTAATAAGACAAATGAGTAAAGAAGCTAGTTCTGCTTAATGCATCTGAGGTAGACTGCCGCCTTTAAGCATCAGAAAAAAGGATCAGAAGGAATGCGAACAGGAAATGGCAGAATAAAACAATATCAACCAAGGACAAAGCAACTCAAGATACAAACGATGGAGACAAGACACAATTTAAATCAGGAAGAGGGGCGCATTGACCATCAACAGAAACAAGGGGGCCAATACCTTGCCTCACACTTGGGACACACTTCTCCAGAGACGATAGGAGACGTCACTTTTTCATGTACCTCCACCGACGAAGGCGGAAGTTACTGCCCAAACATGTGATAATTAAGCAGAACTAGCTTCTTTACACTTTTGTCTTATTAAAAGAACCTTATTTGCCTTAAACAAAAGGACACATCAAGAATTGTCAGACTTAATATATTGTCACTGTCTTTATTAATATTCAATCCATTATGAAATGATTTTTCCCTTAGCACTTAATGAATGATACTTTTTTTGTCCCACAATGGGGAACTTGACTAGTATTCCCTAGCAGAGGGTTTAGGTACGGGGCCCTTAATATACCTGATATATTGTATATATGTTGTTTTCAAAAGTGACGCTCAAACCTTAAAGGAGCAGCCGTATCTGTGGAAGAGACAGTTGGCTTGAGCTTTGGGACACTCCCCCTGGTGGACGAGTAACTGAAACACAAGAGAAAAAATGTCACTGCAGTTTGTTCAGCCTCAGGGCAGCTGTGGCCACAATCTGCACATGTGAGGAAACTTTTGTTTATGTTTATCGCAACAGCTGACGCACCAGCTGAAGAGTGATTGACAGCACCTGTGACCAATCACAATTGACGTTTGCGGACGTAGGATTGTTTTGGTATCGGTAACCCGAGTGGAATTGCCCACAAACCGGGGAGTCGAATAGAGCCTGTGGAAACGGTCCTTTGCATTTGATTGAATCTCAACATCTGGAGCTGGGACAAGGAAGCTGGTGTTAGCCAATGTTCATAAATTGTATCCATTGGTCAAGCCACCTACAATCTTTTTGGTTTTGCCCACTTTTGCTGTTGTGACTTAAATCTCACAGTAATCAAGTTTAAGCTTCTTAACTTTTCTTTGTACTGTGATAATGTCCGTGGATACCCATTCTCCTCCATTCTTAGTGCTTCTTGTTTTGGGTAGCACCATCAAGCTCATGCTGCATTTTGTCCTATCCATAAACTGAGGAAGGTATTGAACTCATCCTGCGACCAACAAATTGTTTTTCGTAGAGACGTCTTTATAGTTTTCAGCCAGGAACCTTGAGGAAACGTTTATGTTTTTCGCAACAGCTGATGTTGCCAGGTCGCGGTACGGATGAAGCGGAAGAAAACGGAAAATGGAAGAGTGAATAACAGCGCCTGACCAACCACAATTGACATTCGCCAATGTCAGATTGTTTCGGTGTCTACTTGGCTCGGCTAGAATCAGGATTCACGTGGGCTACCCAGAAATTTTCAACATAGAAGTCAATGCAAACAAAAACAGCTCAACCTCAGTTGACAGTGCGCCTACAGCTTTCATAAAGGTCGGATTTTGTGGGGATTTTAGTGTCCACTTTTTTCTTCATTAAATCCTTCGGTTTTCTTTAAATCCACATTTTAGCACCACAAACTCTTCTCGATTGTCTACCGCTCTAACTCCGCTCTGACCAGCAGCTGATTGGTCAGAGCGCAACCGGGCCCCTCTGTGCACGTGCATGAGAGCCACACACACGTATTTGGCGCAGCACATCATGGGAGCTCGTCCACTTCGCAGAACCGGGAGGACCATACAATTCCCAAATACGGGCAAATTCCGCTAATCTCTCGGTGCCCATAGCCACAAGCACAAGCCATTGATTTGAATAGGCCGCCATCTTGGATTGTCGGGGCTTGCAGTAGCAGCAGTTGCAGTAGCAGTGGTGTTTACCTCGGAGCGTGGCAGAGGGGCAGACGAACACAGATTGGGACATGAAACAGGAAACGCTGGACACGCCGTCTCTTTGTGTTTCTACAACAAAACATTTAAACTAAAATCAGTGTCAGTCATAAAACAATGCTTCAATGTATTTGTGTATCACCCTAAAACACAGTAGCAGTCGTCTCGGAGGACTTTACAAAGTTGTGGATTACCCAACAACAGATAAGAGAATCAAAGAGTTCAAACACAGGCAATGTAAGAAAAACAATCAAATAAAGCCACTAGTCCATAGGGAGCGAAGACCGCTGTTCATAGAGGTTACTACCATGAAACTACTGTACATGGTAGAAGAATGCAGGATAACTTTATTACAAATTATTGCACTGATGACATGTGCATAGTTATAGATAAGTTAAAAAGTAATTGAGCAATAATTGAATTATTTTTGTTTCACCTGTGTGTTGAGGAATGGCGAATGCCAACAATGCTAACAACGCTAGCTGTGTGTAGCCTCACCTGGACGTCAGTTAGGGGCATCTTGCAGAGGCAGAACTCGCAGCTTATTTCTCTGTGTTTGCATTTCCTGTTCAGATGTTCCGGAACATCTTTTCTCATCATCCGCTCCTTACAGCGTCCCAGAGGACACGGCACCTCCAAATACGGGCATGTGGTCAGGTGGTCCTGCGAACACCAAATATAGGCATGTGATTACAGGCTCTGGACTTAGGCTCTGGACTTAGGCTCTGGACTTAGGCTCTGGACTTAGGCTCTGGACTTAGGCTCTGGGACTTAGGCTCTGGACTTAGGCTCTGGACTTAGGCTCTGGACTTAGGCTCTGGACTTAGGCTCTGGACTTAGGCTCTGGACTTAGGCTCTGGACTTAGGCTCTGGACTTAGGCTCTGGACTTAGGCTCTGGACTTAGGCTCTGGACTTAGGCTCTGGACTTAGGCTCTGGACTTAGGCTCTGGACTTAGGCTCTGGACTTAGGCTCTGGACTTAGGCTCTGGACTTAGGCTCTGGACTTAGGGAAGGGTCCAAGTCCCCTCCAGGCTCAGGCCCAGGTCTCACCGGCAGTTGCTGCAGAGTGAGTTGTTCTTTGCAGCCGTTGGCTTCACTGCGACACAGAACTTTGAGCGCCAGGATTTCCCGCTGACAACAAACGTCTCGGAAAATCTGAAAACAACAGAACGGGAACATCACCACCAAACCTCTGTCAGAGTCAAACACGAGGAAACCTGACCCACGACATGTGATCGAGTCTCTGGTCAGTCGTACCTTGTCGGGGAACAGCGGCTCGCGGTCGGCCGGACACACAGGGTTTGGACGACTGTGGAAGAGCAGAGCCAGAGTCAGCCACAACAGAGAGAGCTGGATAGATACCTTTAAACCAACAGTATGTGAGTCTGTAAGTGCGTGTGCGTGTGTGTGCGTGCGTGTGTGTAATAATAATGTGACATTGTGCCTTTTTCCTTCACTCAACATTCAACTTATGAACCAATGGCCCCAATGTTTTCTACCATAGCATTTCTTGTGTTTGAAATTATTTATTCTCTGATCTGTGTTGGTGAATGGAAAGCTTTGTAAAGTCTTCCGAGATAACTACTGTTGTGATTTAAGGCGATAAGAATCTTTTTTTATTGAATTGAATACTTGACATTGCTCACAACACGTATACAGGCTTTGTATTTACGTGTTGTTACTGTGTTTACTTTTGAATGCGCTGGAAACGGCAGCAAGTCCTAAGTCGATCTGAAAAGGTAGTTTTGTGCGCTACAATTTTTATTTTTCTTGCTTTTTTCTACTTGAGAAGTTGCTGCAGTCCAACCGTTCATGGTTTTGCACTGGTCCAGACCGGAGCAGAGAGGATTCATCGTCTGAATTGTGACATCACTGACCTGAGCAGCTCGCTGATGCAGGAGCTGCAGAAGCGGTGTCCACACTCCGTCTGCCGCGGCTGCACGAGGACGTGCCGACACTTCTCACACCGATATTTATCATCAGGAGGAAGAACAAACTGCTCCCTGAAGCCGCCCAGCAGAGGGAACAGTGCCGCCCCTGGAGAGACACAAGGGGGTCACACTGGTCTCTCTCTGGACTCACTCTCTCTCTGGACTCTCTCTCTCTCTCTCTGGACTCTCTCTCTGGACTCTCTCTCTCTGGACTCTCTCTCTAGACTCTCTCTCTCTGGACTCTCTCTCTCTGGACTCTCTCTCTCTGGACTCTCTCTCTCTGGACTCTCTCTCTCTCTGGACTCTCTCTCTCTCTGGACTCTCTCTCTCTCTGGACTCTCTCTCTCTCTGGACTCTCTCTCTCTCTGGACTCTCTATGTCTCTGGACTCTCTACGTCTCTGGACTCTCTACGTCTCTGGACTCTCTACGTCTCTGGACTCTCTACGTCTCTGGACTCCTTCTCTCTGGTCTGTCTCTCTTTCTGGTATGTCTCCCTCTCTGGTCTCTCTCTCTCTGGTCTGTCTCTCTCTGGTCTCTCTCTCTCTCTGGTCTGTCTCTCTCTCTGGTCTGTCTCTCTTTCTGGTATGTCTCCCTCTCTGGTCTCTCTCTCTCTCTGGTCTGTCTCTCTCTCTCTCTCTGGTCTGTCTCTCTTTCTGGTATGTCTCCCTCTCTGGTCTCTCTCTCTCTCTGGTCTCTCTCTCTCTGGTCTCTCTCTCTCTCTGGTCTGTCTCTCTCTCTCTCTGGTCTGTCTCTCTCTCTGGTCTGTCTCTCTCTCTCTGGTCTGTCTCTCTCTCTCTCTGGTCTGTCTCTCTCTCTCTCTCTGGTCTGTCTCTCTCTCTCTCTCTCTGGTCTGTCTCTCTCTCTCTCTCTGGTCTGTCTCTCTCTCTCTCTGGTCTGTCTCCCTCTCTTTTTCTGATCTCTCTCTCCCTTTGGTCTCAGCATATGCATGGCTTTTGACAGCTGCAGCAGCGCTCAGACCCAGACCAGCTTTACCTGTGATGGCCGTGGCTTCACTAGGAGGCCAGTGATTGGTCTGTCTGTGGGGAGGAGGTGTGCGATTGGACGCTCTGTGCTGAGGGGACGGAGCCTGCTGCAACAGCATTTGCGCCTCAATGACATCATGGCTCCTCCCCGACATCACCTGGTCCAAACCAGGAAACACAAACCAGATAAACAACACGTTCTGAATGAAAATGTGAAAATCATCATATTTTACTTATGGACTTTGACAATGATTCAAATTTACTTCATTTGCCATTTGCAGAATCCTCATCAAATTTGTGCAAAAATACCAAGTTAATTCAGATTGGCGGCGTGGTCTCTTCATGAGGGTCCTTGTGTATCTGTATGCGTAATTTTCTGTGGTCTGTTTGTGTAATAATTAATTTTGTTTCATGGTGCATTTCAAGACACACAGGGCGCTTAACAATATATTAAAACATCACACACAATATTAAAAGTATAGAATATAAAACATTAAAATTAAAATGACAACGAATACGCCAGTTTAAAAAGGTAGGTTTTGAGATGTGATTTGAAAATGTCTGTGTGTTCCAGAGATTGGGGCAGAGTAGCTGAATGCTCTGGCCTCCATCGTGGTCATTTTGACAGTGAGGACAGTGAGGTAGAGCAGCAGACGAGGAGCGAGCGGAGAGAGCGGGACGGGGTGAATGGGTGGAGCAGGTCACTCAGGTCTGAATGCAGTGCTGGGAATAATGTATAACACAAGTAATCTGATTACTGTAATGTATTACTTTTGAATTACAGCATTTTAACTCCGCCCCTCCAGTCAGCGGTGTGTTTGCGAAAGAGAAGAGACATACAACCTATGGATAGATGAGAGTCTAGGCTCTGGTTTGATCTTTAAAGCATTCAAAAATAGTTCATATTAATAGAAATATGAGCCTCTCAAAAGAGTCCTGTTTGAGACAGAGGCAGACACTTGTCAATTGGCGGAAAACACGCAGTGTGTTTTCCGAATGCGTTTTAAAACAGCGGCAAGAATGATGCACTGATTGAGCCAGGACTGAACCAAGACTGAACCTAAACAAGGATTAACCAGTTTACCCAAAGTTTTACTAGAATCAGCAATAAAGACAATAAAACAAGGGTAAACAATAACCCCTTTGATTATTAGACTGAAATTAAATGAACTTGAGATGTTTAAATCCTAATCCATATTTAAAAAATATGATTTTCTTTAAAATATATGGCTCACTCCACACTAAACTGTACCATTGGTCGATCTAACTAGAGACAATAAAATAAATGTATGAACTAAAAATATTTGAACAACACTGTTTGAATCTGAGAAGGAGGAGTTAAAAACTGGATTCTGTAGGTTATGGGGAGCCAGTGGAGTTGGATGAGAACCGGAGTGATGTGATCTGTTGATTTCGTTCGAGTGATGTTCCTAGCAGCAGAGTTACGAACATGTTGGAGAATCTTGTGACTGTTAACTTTCATGAATAATAATATCAATAAATTAAGCCAAAACTAGATTCTCATTATAACATATGCATACATATCACATAACACACTTTTTACATTTCCTCGACAAGACAACAGTCTGAGTAGAAGTTCAAAATCCTGGCATAAAAACAGCCAGAAGTAAATCAACATTTTTATTTTAGCTAACCAGACTTGTCCTGCAACCTAGATTTAAAACCCAGCTTTAAAAACAGCTATGACCGAGCTGATGTTGGCTGAATGATGAATGACCATCTCACCAGCTGCATTAGCTCCACAGTGGGAATTTAATGACACAAACAAATAAAGTCATCACCTCAATTATAGAGGTTCAGAGCTTTAAAAATAATAATAATAATAACTAGAAACTTGCAATGGCTGAAGCCATTGCGATTGACTGCGGAACAGATCTAATGTGGAATTTAGCTGAAAAATCCTTGAAATCCTTGAAACTGTTAAAATACTTTAAACATCTTTGAAACTCCTGAAGTATTTGAAGCTCCTGATATCCTTTAAACTGTTATCCTTTATACTGGTTTACATGTAAAAACCCCTATTAAGTTGCATTATACTGGTTTACATGGAAAAAACCCTATTAAGTTGCATTATACTGGTTTACATGGAAAAATCCCTATTAAGTTGCATTATACTGGTTTACATGTAAAAATCCCTATTAAGTTGCATTATACTGGTTTACATGGAAAAATCCCTATTAAGTTGCATTGTACTGGTTTACATGGAAAAATCCCTATTAAGTTGCATTATACTGGTTTACATGAAAAAAACCCTATTAAGTTGCATTATACTGGTTTACATGTAAAAACCCCTATTAAGTTGCATTATACTGGTTTACATGGAAAAATCCCTATTAAGTTGCATTATACTGGTTTACATGGAAAAATCCCTATTAAGTTGCATTATACTGGTTTACATGGAAAAATCCCTATTAAGTTGCATTATACTGGTTTACATGGAAAAATCCCTATTAAGTTGCATTATACTGGTTTACATGTAAAAACCCCTATTAAGTTGCATTATACTGGTTTACATGGAAAAATCCCTATTAAGTTGCATTATACTGGTTTACATGGAAAAATCCCTATTAGGTTGCATTATACTGGTTTACATGTACAAATCCCTATTAAGTTGCTTTATACTGGTTTACATGTAAAAACCCCTATTAGGTTACATTATAGTGGTTTACATGTAAAAATCCTTATTAAGTTGCATTATACTGGTTTACATGTAAAAACCCCTATTAAGTTCCATTATACTGGTTTACATGTAAAAACCCCTATTAAGTTCCATTATACTGGTTTACATGTAAAAACCCTATTAAGTTGCATTATACTGGTTTACATGAAAAAAACCCTATTAAGTTGCATTATACTGGTTTACATGGAAAAATCCCTATTAAGTTGCATAATACTGGTTTACATGGAAAAATCCCCATTAAGTTGCATTATACTGGTTTACATGGAAAAATCCCTATTAAGTTGCATTATACTGGTTTACATGGAAAAATCCCTATTAAGTTGCATTGTACTGGTTTACATGGAAAAATCCCCATTAAGTTGCATTATACTGGTTTACATGGAAAAATCCCCATTAAGTTGCATTATACTGGTTTACATGGAAAAATCCCTATTAAGTTGCATTGTACTGGTTTACATGGAAAAAACCCTATTAAGTTGCATTATACTGGTTTACATGGAAAAAACCCTATTAAGTTGCATTATACTGGTTTACATGTAAAAACCCCTATTAAGTTGCATTATACTGGTTTACATGGAAAAATCCCCATTAAGTTGCATTATACTGGTTTACATGAAAAAACCCTATTAAGTTGCATTATACTGGTTTACATGGAAAAATCCCTATTAAGTTGCATTATACTGGTTTACATGGAAAAATCCCTATTAGGTTGCATGATTACACTGAAGTCCTTGAAACTGCTGAAGTCCTTGAAACTGCTGAAGTCCTTGAAACTGCTGAAGTCCTTGAAACTGTTGAAGTCCTTGAAACTCTTGAAATCTTGAAACTGCTGAAATCCTTGAAACTGTTGAATCCTTGAAACTGTTGAATCATTGAAACTGTAGAAATGTCTGAAAGAGCTGAAGTCCTATTAAAATGCAAGGGCCTATTAAAATGCATTGCAGAATTCTCAATGCAGATTTTTGTCCGATTGCGGAAAAACCGGAAATCGCTGAAGTCCCAAAAGTAATAGCAATAATCTCCCAAACATGTGGAACGTTTTGATGTATAACTTGTGGAAATTGTTGAAAATGTGAAAGCTGTGAAACGTGTCAAAAAAAATGACGGAATAAAGAAATACAAAACCAATGGTTGACTGCGGAAGGTTCCGCAGTCAATCAATAATGCATCAGTTTTATATAGCGCTTTTTTGGACACTCAAAGACACTTCACATGTCATTGTTCTTTCACTCCATACACGGTGGTGATAAACTACTACTGTAGACACAGCTGCCATGGAGCACACTGACAGATGTGCAATCGGCCCCTCCGACCACCACCAACCATTCACACACACACCCGACTCATTCTGGTGAATGGGGGTAAAGTGTCTTGCCTAAGGACACAACAGCAGTTTGGCACTTTACAGCTACAGACGACCCACTGTGGCTGGTGTTCCTAGAGGTTAAGTGTCTTGCCAAGGACACAACGACAGCAGACAGTGAGAGTCGATGGTGAAAGTCGGGCTCGAACCCATGACCACGCTGGCTCAAAGGCCAATGCTCTACAAACTGAGCTACTGTCGCCCACAGACTGGTGTGGTACAACATGGTACAACTATGGGTACTAGGGCTGAAACAACTAATCGATTAATCGACGACTAATCGATTATTGAAATAGTCGACAATTTTAGTAATCGATTAATCGTTTTCTGGTTCACACGGACTCAAACAGAGCAAAAATGACATGAAAATGTAGTATTTTTGATTAAAACCGACTTTGTTTTTATAATTTCATGAATATCTGTCTGTCTCATCCAATCAGAGCAGAATTCGCACAAAGAGCCTGTTACAAACATTTACTTTAAGTTTACGCCATCAATACGTCCTCGAGTGTTGCCACTTTAGCTTTATGTGATGAAAAAATATTTTTTTTCTACACATTTCACAGCCAAGCGATTACTCGATTAATCGTAAAAATAATCAATAGATTAATCGATTACAAAATAATCGTTAGTTGCAGCTCTAATGGGTACAACACGTCCACAATGGCACTGGATGGATGACACTGACAATTATGATCAGCTTCTGGTTAGCGAAGCAGAGGAAGGAAACCTGTTAAACCTTTGAACACACTAACACAGAGGACAGAAATGCAAACATTTAAACCAGTGGATTGTTTGAACACAGGAATAGCTTGTTAGCTCGTTAGCTTGTAGTTCAAACACCTAAACATCTTCTTATCTAACACCAGCCTTGTGCATCTTCAGCTTTCACTCGTGTGGTTGTTCTGGCCACTATCACACGCAGGTGATGTCACAATGTTTCAGATAGATGAGAGTCATTCAGCCCAAAGAGGCATATAGTGAGTCACTATTAGTGACTCGCTGAGACTCTTCCTTATAAGATACACCGTTTTCTAATAGCATAGATGTTTCGTTCACAAACGGTTGATTATAGAAACTGTTTCAGTGAGGATGAATGACATTCCCTGGTCCGGTCGCTGGTCTGGTCCCCACACACTCACCCACAGTATCTCTCTTCTTCGCGGAGGGCGACTGTCAATTATCCACAGAGAATATACCAGATTTCGCCAAGTATTCTCAGATACAAGTGTTTCATCCTCGAATCAAAAGCTTTTTAACATCAGCCCAAAAAGTCTCTCTTCCAGTCTCTCTTCCAGTCTCTCTTCCAGTCTCTCTTCCAGTCTCTCTTCCAGTCTCTCTTCCAGTCTCTCTTCCAGTCTCTCTTCCAGTCTCTCTTCCAGTCTCTCTTCCAGTCTCTCTTCCAGTCTCTCTTCCAGTCTCTCTTCCAGTCTCTCTTCCAGTCTCTGCTCCAGTCTCTGCTCCAGTCTCTGCTCCAGTCTCTGCTCCAGTCTCTGCTCCAGTCTCTGCTCCAGTCTCTGCTCCAGTCTGTGCTCTAGTACTGAGTCAGTCTGTGGTGCAGCTGACTGGAGAATCAGGGATTTCCCAGTGAACTCTGGACTTTTAGTTTTGTTTTGGAACATGTCTCCCCTATCTTGGGTCTGAACTGGGTCAGGATGAGGACAGATCTGAACAAAACCGGTCCAAACCAGGACTTAAAGATCATATCATGGGTTTTCGAGCCCTGATAACACAAACACAATTCAAACAGAGCTAAGGCTAGCGATAGCGTTTGTAGTCTTTTCTTTGGATGTAACGCAGTTGTAATCCTTACATGTGGACTATGTGTGGTCTCTGCAGAGATCCAGGGCTGGTCTGGTCCGGTTGGGTCAGTACTCACATGAACCAGCGGTTCCTCTGTGGCAGGTCTGCGGGCTGTCGGTGCGCCTCTCCCGGCTTCAGGGGGACGGGAACCCCGGTGTACTGGAGCTCATGGTCAGCGCGGAGATCAGCAGAGCTCTGCGGGGATCGGGCTGCTCTGGTACGGGTCCAGTCCTGGTCCAGTCCTGGTTCAGTCCGGATTCGGTGCTGGAGGAGTGGAAACCCCCTCTGCAGCTTCCGCCCAGGAAATCCCCCCCGTGCGCTGCTCTGCCACTAGAGGGCAGTATCTCCTGTACGTGAGGAGAGACTGTAATGTGAGAGAGCCGCCAGCAGATGACACTGCAAACATGTGTTGAGAAAGGTTCTTTATTCCTCTCACAGTGGGGGAATTTCACCAGTCACAAGTTTTAGATCAGTAATGGAATGAGGAGCACAATAGCTCAATACTATAATCAGTAAAATCTCTAACCTTATCATAACAAATCTACAAAAAATCTAACTGTAGCAGAGACAATTACAGAGACTTATCAGTACATATATCTGGCAAAATTTCCATACCAGCATGTTTCAATGTCTATGGTTTTGTCTGAGCTCGGCTGAAATTCACACCCCGGTTTTTTTGTAAAACAATTATTTCAATTAAAAAACAAACTGGTGTTAGTCTGGTTTGTCTGGAATTGGTGCGCATGCGTAGTACCCACCTGTAGAGCCGGAGGAACCAGCTGCCGTCGCACCAGGACAATCGAACAACAGAACGTCCGGAAGCCTCCAGAAGCTCTGGGCTAGACCCCCGGGCCCTCCACAGCACCACGTCCCTCCAGCGGACCTCTTCCTGTGCACACGAGCCGGCTGCCGGTGAGTTTAGTGCCAAACCAGCGGGAATTTTGGAGCTAACAGAGCTAACCATGCTAACATGAATTTGACGCATGCGCAGACGGCTCTCAACTGATCATGATCATAGACAGTCAAAATTGATATCATTATAATGTAAAACACATTTTTCAACAAAGGTCGAGTGGGTTATAGTAACTAACTCACGAGCACTGAGTTAGTTACTATAATGTATGACAGAAACATTCTTTTAGAGGTCTTGGTGCTGGTTCTATTCAGGCTGAGCTGGTATGAAGTGTTCTAACAATACAGTCTATGGTTCTAACTGACAGTGAGTGGCCAGAGAGCTGCTGTAAGCCATGGGTACCAGGAATCCCCACTGTTTCTACTGGTTTGTTGTGGGGAGGTTGATATAGTATTAGTTACTAGAAAGAGGCAGAGGAGAGTAGGTTCAAGTAGGGCTGGTGAAAGATGATCATAGAACTTGTCTAAAACAGCAGAGGTCTGGACCAAAGTAACTCAAAGTGCTGAAACAGATCAATTGCAATACAAATATACTCAAGTAAGAATTATTTATTTATACTATGCCTTTCACCTCCTACTAACATATTGAGTCCACACTGGGCACATTCTTAACAACACATGCATTTCTGCCATGTTCCTTGTTTTGGAATTTTCTGTGTTGGTGACGATCTACAGAGACGTGTTTCTGATCTGTCTCAGATTCACGGTTTCTCCTCCGTGTTTTTGCGTTCTCTTTTGGGGGAAAGCTGCAGAGCTCCACACAGGTCAGTATCACTATGAGAGGGCATCAGGACCGCTTGGATTTAATCTGATTCTGAGTTTTTTCTGCAGATGTGACCATGTTTCTGACCCGGACCTTCTGCTCCAGACGGCTGCCAGTCCTCACCCTCTTCACCAAGGTACCCACTGTAATCAAGAAATTTCAAAAGTTCAGATAATCAAACTGTTTAAAAACAGGAAATGCAATGATAAAAACACATAGAGCCATTGATTCATAGGGAGCAGATGACCCATGTCCATAAATGTTGAGAAAGTTCATGGTTGTTGAATGTCGAGTGTTCGGATCATCACTGGCCTTAGAGCCTCCATGATCACGAAATAATACTTTAATAATGTTTATCATTATTATATCATAGTTCTATGGGGCTGGGTCCGAAAGTTGAAACTTGCATGTTTTTTTTTTATATTTTAAGTATTGAACACATTTTGATAATTTTATTTGTTTTAAAGTAGCATTATGTAAGATTTGCATGGCAAGTAATCATTTAAATGGACCTAATATGTCAAAAGGAATTAATAAACCATGCTCTTTTCGAATACTTCTTTAACCGATAACAGTAGTTCAGCCGAGATATTTGCATTTCGAAATGAATTTTACAGCCCGTAAATCTTGTTATTGTTTTCATTTCAATGTCCCGTCCTCCACTGTTTCACCAGACAGAAAGTCTGTGATCCGGGTTGCCAGAACTCACCACGGCTAGCTGATCTCACTGTTTAAGTCTAAAAAATGACTAAAAACGGTCTCATTATGGTTCTTGAATCATTAAGGACAAAACAATGACTAAAATGAGGATTTCCATCGGCAATGCCTTTGAACAATGAAGACAATTTAAGGCAGATAAAAACATTTCGTCTAATGCAAAACTTTCCACGTTCTTCATTGACAGTTAAAAAAGCTGCCTGGGGCCAAAAACATGTAGTATAGAATGGCGGTCGAGTGATTATGTTACTGCGCTATCCCCTCAGAGGACCGGAATCTAATCCGGGTGTGTTTTGGTGAAACTACTGTATATACTATGTTCTATGACAGATTGCCCAAGAACGGTAAAAGGTCAAAACAAATCGTTTTTGCAGATTGATTGGTTGGCAGTCAATGAGTTAATAATAATGACAATTTCACCATTAAACATCCATGGTAGATCATCTTTTTTTACAATCAAGAAAACGTATTTGTAAAATAAAAATTATGATGCCAGTTTTATCCCAATTAAAATAACGTTAGTCTCTTTTTGATGTGGCACTTTACATGTATGTCTAAAAAATAGGTAATAAAATGTATTCCCCTCTGGGAAGAAATGTATTATGGTCCCACCTGGATTCGGTGCATATCTGGCAACCTGAGTCAGGGAAGTGGGAGAGGACTCCAGAATTGACCATGATTGCAGAACCACTTTTGGCCAGATTTTTACATATTGCTCCTCTAACGCCAAAGCTTCCCACACACTTTTTTTCTACATTTGTCTTACATGTTTTTATTTGATGCATTTCTGTTATTGGTTTTTGGAAGTCCTCTGTTTCTTGTACAGATTTTGGGCTCCACCTTTCCTGTTTCACTACGTAGCTGAGCCTCCATCGCATCTCTAAAACTATTATTATTCTGTTTTTAGTTTTTTTCTAAACTCCCATGAGCATTTTCTGTGTACCAGTAGTTTTTCTCTTCTGGAACCAGAGCAAACTGCTGCTTCACATCTCCATAATACACGGATGAAATTTTATCTATTCAGGCCTCAAAATGACTTCACACATAGAAGCCATTGTTATATAGGGAGTAGGATGACCACTGTCCAAGTCCTGTATCATCACTGTCCTTAGAGACTCCTGCACCAGAGAGAAACCAATCAAAAAAGAAAGTGGGGGAATAGTGAGAAACCTCGTGAGAGGCCCACATAGAGAGGGGGAACCAGGACTGAGGCTGTAGGTCCGGGACTGAGGCTGTAGGTCCGGGACTGAGGCTGTAGGTCCGGGACTGAGGCTGTAGGTCCGGGACTGACAAAGTAGGAATGAGGAGAGGATAGTGCTCAAATGACAAAACTTAAAGGAAAGTGTTGTTGTTTCCGTAGGATCCATGTCCTCTGTGCGACGAGGCCAAAGAGCTGTTGCAGCCGTTCACACACAGAGTAAGAACTTACAGACACACACCCACACACACACTGCAATGTTTGATGTAAATGCAATGTTTGATGTAAATGCAATGTTTGATGTTGACAGAAAAATGAAAACAATGACCTCCATCTGGTGCCAGAAGTGGAATATTACACTCCGAGATCCTTTTCCCTTTCCATGATTTGTGTTTATTCACATGATGGCCAAAGATAATGCAGACGAGTTCTCCTTTAACCCTGTAGAAACCAGACATAATTTTTGTTGAAAAAAAATTTGCATCATTGACTACATTTGGCATTGTGGCATGTTAGCTTCTTTGGGTTCTTGTGTACATACATTTGTTTTTTGCAAAAAAGCTAAAATCATACTTCTTTTGCCATAAACGTTGGACTTAACTGAACTTTACTGAATGTAATTCCTCAAGAAATTTCCAATTCCTGAACGGACGGTAGCATTAGAGCAAATGAGGTGGGAGGACAATTTGTGCCTGATATTAGCGCGGCTGCAGAATGTTTTTGAGGGGAACAATGCTGTAAATGATGCAAAAAGATGAATGTTAGCTGTGTCCGCAGATTGTCTTTGAGACTGTGGACATCACAAAGCCGGAGAACAAACGGTTCTGGGTCCAGTACCGGTACCACATCCCAGTGTTCCACCTCAACGGAACCGAGATCATGAGGCACAGGCTCGACCCACACAGACTCGAGGAGCTGCTAAAGCAAGTCGAGAACCATGTCTGAAGAAGGAACGGGGGCCGAGGACCGAGGACAGAGGACTGGGGCCGAGGACTGGGGCCGAGGACTGGGGCCGAGGACTGGGGCCGAGGACTGGGGCCGAGGACTGGGGCCGAGGACTGGGACTGGGGCCGAGGACTGGGGCCGAGGACTGGGACTGGGGCCGAGGACTGGGGCCGAGGACTGGGGCCGAGGACTGGGGCCGAGGACTGGGGCCGAGGACTGGGGCCGAGGACTGGGACTGGGGCCGAGGACTGGGGCCGAGGACTGGGGCCGAGGACTGGGGCCGAGGACTGGGGCCGAGGACTGGGGCCGAGGACTGGGGCCGAGGACTGAGGCCTACAAGTCCAATGCTGGCTGGGTCAGAACCAGTCATCAGACTTCTGCCTGGTGCCTGTTTTCTGTTTGTGTGACTAAAGCAAAGTGAAGATGTAAAATGTCATTTGACTCTTTAATTTTGAATAAAACCTCTGCTGCTGTGACCTGAAGTGCTGTTTATTAATATTACTATTACTATTGTTAGCTTTTCAAAATGATCAGTTTATTTGTTTTGTTTGTGTGGAAACTGTGGATGGATGTGTTTTATACTGGACACCGGAATTTCTCCTACCTATCTTTCCATCTGTCTGTCTGTCCATCCGCCGTCCCGTCCCTTAATTTTGGGTTATGAATGAATTATTTCAAATGTGAATAAACCTGACTCCAGGAGGTAATGAGATCTGGAACTGTCTATTTTGATCCAAGATGTGAAACTGAATCATCCTCATGTCTCAAAAACATAAAGTGCAGAAATATGTTTGCCAGAGGGTTGGGGTTTGGTTTGACCATTGGTTCCTTTTTGACCCACTGAGATCCCTGTTATATGAGCTCTTAGATAAATTAAGGTGTATCTGACTATAAACTAAAATATATCTTAAGAACTGCGCGACTCATTGGTAGATATAGATAGTTTTTAATCAATTATCTGAACATATATCATCTAAAAATCTTCTATCGCCACTCCAATCTGGCTTCAGGAAACATTTTTCAACAACATCTTCATTACTAAAGTTTTCTAATGACATTTTTTCTGGTTTTGACAACTCTTTTTTTTACTGGTGCTTTATTTATAGACTTATCAAAAGCCTTTGATATGGTTGACCATTATCTTCTTTTAGACAAACTTCACTGTATTGGTCTGGACAGATCCTCACTCCTCTGGTTCAATTCCTATCTACATCACCGTCAACAATGTGTCTTTTACAATGGTAGCTACTCTGGTTTTTCTTTTATCGAGAGAGGTGTGCCACAAGGTTCGTCACTGGGTTTACTTCTTTTCTCCATTTTTATTAATGACCTTCCCCTTGCCTGTACAGACTGTAGCATTCAACTTTATGCAGATGATACAGTGATTTACACATCCAATGATAACATCATCAATATTCAACAATCTATCCAACATGACTTTAATTCTGTTCAACACTGGCTAAAATCTAACAAATTATTACTGAACAAATCAAAAACAGTTGTCATGTTGTTCCAGAAAAAAATGCATCCTACTTTCTCTAACAAAATTCAGCTTACTTTTTCAGACATGTGTCCAGTTCCAGTCGTTGATAAATTTAAATATCTTGGTTTGTGGCTTGATCCTTCTCTATCATTTAACATTCATATACAAACAATCACAAACAAAATTTCATATAGACTAAAAGTACTTTACCATTCATTGAACTGTTTTAGTTTATCTGTTAGGAAGAGGATCATTTGTCAACTGATTTTACCTATTCTTGATTACAGTGATATAATTTATTAAAACACTACTGCCTCTGTCCTCCAGCCCCTGAACGTCACCTACCACAGCCTGTGCAGGTTCATTCTCCGTTGTCCCTTTAGAACGCACCACTGCCTTCTGTACGAGCAGCTTTCCTGGCTCTCTCTGTCCTCCAGACGTCAGCTACATTGGCTATTATTTATTTTTAAATGCATTAATCTTAGTTTTCCTGACTATTTAAAACAATATTTGATTCCTTTTCAATCCTCCTACAGTTTGCGTCATGCAAATCAGTCCTTTTTTTCAGTCCCAAGATTGAAAAAAGAAGTCGGGAAACATGCATTTAAATTTAAAGCACCGTCTGATTGGAACAGTTTGCCCTCATCTGTTCGCTCTCTCAGTTCTCTGGCTCAGTTTAAGAATGCTCTTGTGCGAAATCTCCAAAATCAGTGTCATTGTTTTTGATTTTGGGTTACATAATCCTATGTTTACTGCCTTTAATATTAATAAGTTTAGTATTTTCACTATTTATTGTCTGCATCAAATATATTTACAACAGTCATGGTGTGTGTGTGTGTGTGTGTGTGTGTGTGTGTGAGTTTGTTTTGTGTGAGTATTGTTTATTGTTGCTTTTTGTCCTTTGTCTTTATTGTTTACTTTATTGTATTGCATTGTATCTGTCACCTCTGTTACCTTTTTGAGGACCCCCTCGAAAACGAGATGTTTCATCTCTAGGGGCTTATCCTCCAAATAAATAAATAAATAAATAAATAAAGATATGTTAAAAGTTGAAGCTATTACTACTACTGATACTGCTACTATCATTGCTGCTGCTGCTACTAGTACTACTGCTACTTATGCTACTGCTGCTGCTTCTGCTACTACTACTGCTGCTACTGCTACTTTTTCTACAAATTCTTCTACTGCTGCTGCTACTTATGCTACAACATCTACTACTACTACTATTGGAAGGCCTGAGCCCCAACAGGGATAAGGGCCTATTGCTTTCCCAATGAGTAATGCCTGTCCTGGTCCAGTCCTGTTCCAGTCCCGGTTGGTGAAACATGAGTCTCCTCTTCATTAAAGTTAATGCTGAAGCTTTCAGCCAATCAGAGAGTGCAGGGGGCTCATGTCATTCAGGCGTGCTGTTGCCGTGGAGAGGGTTTCATGGCGTCCAGAGCTCAGGACCTGAAACTGGCTCTTACCCGGACTAAAGTCAAGATCAGGGGCCTGGAGAAGCAGGTGCACAGGTAAAACACGCCTGAAGCAGGACTAAACCAGGTCTGAAGCAGATCTGGACCAGGACAATAGCAGAGACTAGAGCAGGGACTAAACCAGGTCTGAAGCAGTACTAAAGCAGAGACTGAGCCAGGACTAAAGTAGGGCTGATCCAGGACTAAAGCATAGACTAAACTAGGTCTGAGCCTGATGGTCCAGATATTATTTAGATGCAGTGCAAACTTTACTTTACTCAAAGTGTTCTTGAGTAAAGTACTGATGTCTAAAGATGTACTCGAGATCTTCTACTCTTCTCTTCAGCTGCTCTCCACCACAATGTGCAACTATAGGACAGTTGTGATGTCACATGAACAGGAACTAGAGGAGAGCTCATAAAAGGGTCTGAGACTCTTATGAGGTCAGAAGTTTTCAGGTTTAATTTTTCTACTACCACTTCTACTGCTACTTACATTTGTTTGTTTCATGTGTGTATTTCTGTGTTTCAGGGAGATTGGTCCAGAGACCGGTCCAGACTGTGGTCCAGCTCTGAGTCCAGATCCGGGTTCAACATGGATCTCCAAAGAACTGCGCGACTCATTGGTAGATATGTACAAAGGTAAAGATACTACTATTACTAATGCTGCTACTACTACAACTACCACTGCTACTGCTACTTATACTACAACATCTACTAGTACTACCACTACTACTAATGCTATTGTTAGGCCCGAGTCCCAACAGGGTTAAGGGCCCATTGCTTTCCTAACGAGTAATGCCTGTCAAAAGTTGCGCCTCCTTTGCGCAGTGCTGCGAGGGCCGTTCAACGCTGCCTGTGGCTTGAATTATTTTTACTACTATTTATTTACTATTCTTTAGCCCTCTCTAACGTAGCATTGGAGAGGGCTAACGCTATTCTTTGGTTTCACATTGTTTTTTTTCTGCCGAAAGGATTTGATTTTTGACCCTGACATGCACGTATGTTTGCGCATTGGAGGTCCATGCATATTTTAGAATAGGTACACAAAATTTAGATCAGGGAAAGATCAGGGATAGAGCCTAAAACGCTCTTGGAGCCTGGATCTGGGACAAACTGGAGGTCGGCCATGATGGTCTGAAGTTTCTCCGCCAATTTGAGTTTTCATTTTTTGATTGGTACTAGTTCTTGGTTTATCATCATACAGACTTCTACGGTTTAATTTACAAATCTGGACGGCTTGAAGTGATAAAATCCCTTTGAAAAAGTTTGAAACATTTCTTTTTAGTTTTAGTCGCAGTGTTTTTACTGAGCACTCAGAGCTACAGTCTCAGCCCTACAGAGCTGTTGCTCACATCACTAACAGTTAGTATTGGCCTGTACGTAATGGTGTGAAAATACACACCTAATATGACTCTAGAGCGCCACCCATGGGAGGCTTCTGACCTATACACAAAGTCTGACAAAGTTGCACAGTCAAATCTTGTTAGCGTAGCACACTGTTACTAACCGCTGTTTTGTTGCTGACAAAGTGGACTTGATTTCAACCGTTCTGATCTGTAAAGCTAAGCAGGAAGTCAGGCTTCAATAAGCTAAACCATTATTGAAAGAGTGACTAATTTTATTTATTTTTTAACCACAAAGATACTTAAAGGAGCAATATGTAATATTTGCATGTCAAGTCATCATTAAATGACCCGAATATTTCAAAAGGCGTTATTAAATAATACTCTTTTCGAATTCATCTTTAACTGATAACAGTAGTTCAGCCGAGATATTTGATTATCAAAATTAGTTTTACGACCCGTAAAAGTTGTTATTGTTTTGATTTTGATGTCCTACCCTCCGCCGTTTCGCCAATCAGAAAGTGTCATGTAAGTCCGTGATCGGGTTGCCAGAACTCCGCACGGCTCATTAATCTCAGAGGTAAAATAACATGTGGCGCAGAACTAAAAAAGGTCTTGTTATGACTCTCAAATCATTAATGACAAAACAAAGACTAAAACGAGGATTTATATCGGGATGCCTTTGAACAATTGAGACAGCTGATAAAAGTTCACGTGTGATGCAGAATTTTCTAGTTTGAGTCCGTTCTTCACAGTGCCTCTGTTCGTGTGAATCGGTGATCTAGCGGTCTAAACTGTGCGCTTTCGATGTAGGAACCCGGGTTCGATCCCGGGCTATGTCTTTTTGTATTTATTGCATGTTATCACATTCTATGACAGATTGCTCTAAAAACGGTAAAAGATGAAGGTCAAGACGTTTTTTTGCAGATTATAGCTTACTGTAATTGTAAAAATAATCATTTAAGACCACATGTACCCCAATTAAAATAATGTTAGTCTCTTTTTGATGTGGGACTTTTACATGTTTGTCTAAAAAGTAGGGAATAAATAAAATTGAAAGGTGATATCCTCTTGAGCAAACCCTGATGTTGATACGCTGAAGAAATACGTTCCAACATCCATTCTTCCCACTCCTATTTTGGACATCAATTTCTTATTTATTTTGCATAAACTATGTATAATTACATTGCTTTTATTTTGTTTTTGTTTTTTATCTCCAAATAATAATAATAAAAAAACATTAATCAAAACATTCATTCAGCATTAGCACGGCTGTCATGGCATGTGAATGGAGACGGACAAACAACTGATAAAATAATTCCCTGTGTTTGCTGCTGGATTTGGTGTGAATCTGGCAACCTGAGTCAGGGAGAGTGGGAGAGGACTACAAAATATTGACTGTGACTGCAGTACCACTTTTGGCCAGATTTTTACATATTGCTCCTTTAACAAAGCTGTACCTTTGTGTGTTTTTTCTCAATCCAACAAACTTGAAATTGCTCCAAAATGAAATAGAAGTAATTTATTTTGAATTTCTTTGCGTTCCCTTTGTTTTTGGTCAAACACATTCAAAATGCTACAGCTCATAGAGGGGCTGGTTGAATGTTTTCCTACTTTAAAATTCTTTTACTTTTCTTTCCGTCCTGGTTCTTCCTGTGTCTCTGCCCCCCTTCCTCCCCCTCTCCCCCCCCCTCTCTCTCCTGGATCAGGGGGATCAGGAGGATTTGCTGCAGAGCCGTGTAATCACAGCGACACTGTTATAAATATTCATGCGGCCAGTTGGAGGCGCCGCAGCCACCGGGCTGAATTAAATCCAGCTTAAAAAATTAATGAGAGTGCGGCGGCGCACTATGATTGGCTGAGGTGGAGCGACGATGTCATCACTTCAAACGGCCCGTCCGGCGAAACATGGATGGACATTTAAGAGGATTTAGACGAAATGTGACGAATATTAATATCCTTAGAAAATCACTAAGTCCAACTGCGGAAGTGCGAGTTTAGACAGAGATCAGCAGTATTAGTACAAGTATGTGGCAGGAGTACTAGAAGTAACAGTACTAAACAGAGAGAAATAGTAGTACTTCTACTAGTGATGGTGTTAGAGAGGGTGTAGCAGTAGGAATATAAAAGTACAAAGTCTTCTATATTGAAGAAGTGTGTTTTGATTTAGTGTAAAAATAAAACGTATTAGTACTAATAGTTTCAAATTTAGCTTATTCCCTCTGGTGGTAAGCTGTTGCCGTAGCCACAGCTGCCCTGGGGACGACAGGCAGAAGCAAGGCTGTGGATCTAAGCCATCGGCAATAATCTAAACAAAGACAAAAATTTGGAAATGTGGCAAAAGAACTTCACAGCCTCTGCTTTGTATAAACTACCTGATGGTTCACTTTAACTGGACTGAGTTTGGTTCACTTTAACTGGATCACCTGTGGCTCACTTGGGGCAAAAAGGCTCAATTGGTGGAAGTAAAACCATGTGATGTGAACCAGACTCAGTTACAGTTACAGCAGTTGTCTCTGAGGACTTTACTAAGTTGACAATTTAACACTGCAATAGCAGTAGTAGTAGTGGCTGTAGCAGCAGTAGTAGTAGTAGTGGCTGTAGCAGCAGTAGTAGTAGTAGTAGTAGTGGCTGTAGCAGCAGTAGTAGTAGTAGTGGCTGTAGCAGCAGTAGTAGTAGTAGTAGTAGTAGTAGTAGTGGCTGTAGCAGAAGTAGTAGTAGTAGTAACAGTTGCAGTCGTATTAGCAGCAGTAGTAGTAGTAGTATTAGTGGTAGTGGCTGTAGCAGCAGTAGTAGTAGTAGTAACAGTTGCAGTCGTATTAGCAGCAGTAGTAGTAGTAGTATTAGTAGTAGTGGCTGTAGCAGCAGTAGTAGTAGTAGTAGTAGTAACAGTTGCAGTCGTATTAGCAGCAGTAGTAGTAGTAGTATTAGTGGCTGTAGCTGCAGTAGTTGTAGTAGTAGTAGTAGCTGCAGTAGTTGTAATAGAAGTATTAGTAGTAGTGGCTGTAGCTGCAGTAGTAGTAGTAGCAGCAGTAGCAACAGCAGTAGTAGTAGCAGCAGCATTAGTAGTAGTAGCAGCAGTAATAGATTAGATTTTATTGATTACTGACTTGGCATATCCTAAAATATTTCAATATCTAAAACACTAAGAATAAAAGCAGGAGGAACTAAATCCTGTTTCCTTGTTTGATCAAATCTCGCATCGCTGTGGTTTCTGTGGAAGTTTTCCTCGTCTGTTGTGATTCTTGGATTTTTTGTTGCGGCAGAAACAGCTGGAGTGGGAATCTGAATAAACTCCATTTCCCATGAGCCCCTGGGGCGATGGTGTCTGCAGCGGTGCCGTGTGCAGATCAAACCACAGCAGCTCAGATCTCTGCATCTGCCTCATGTTCTCCTCCTACATTTATTACTATCTGCCTCATGTTTTTCTACACTCCTTATAAATAAAGCTTACTTACTTATTATCTGGCACTTTTAAACAAATTATTATTGCTTATCTTCTGATTATTAATATCTAATTTTTGGCCTTTTGTCACACTTTTGTACCCGTTAGTGTGAACAAGCCCATCTGTAAGTCCACTTGCTCAGGGAAGCGAGGCAGGATTCTCTGGCAACAAGACCAGAGTCAACCGTGTGGCATAGCTTTTTTCTCACTCGATAACTCCGGGCTGGGATATAAAAACAAAAGTAGTAGTTATGGACATTGGTCTCTCTCTGCCCCTTATGGATAAATGGCTCTATGTGTTTTCTATCATTTCATTTCTGGTGTTTAAACTGTTTGTTTCTCTTATCTGTTGTTGGCGAATTCAATGGTTTTGTTAAGTCATCTGAGATAACTTCTGTTGTGATTTAGGGTTTATACAAAAATAAGCTTAATTGAATTGAATTGTAGTTGCGGCAAAAGCTCTTGTAGTAACGGTAAATAAAAGTTTACTCCTCTGTGCATAGATTTGACACAACAAACTGTGAAAGGCTCAAGATAAATAAGATTACTTACTTACTTACTAACTATTTCAACCTGTCATTATTTAAGAATGAGAAGATTGTCAAAATATTCTTTGTCAACAGTAGAGAAGGTGAACATTGAACAAAGCCTTATTGACTGAAGGTTTTGTATCGTAGACTGCTGAGTGTAACGCTAGCTTTCTTCTGTTTAGGGTTACATTTTTCTGATAATATAAATGGCATTGCTGACCATAGTTTCTGTTGTCCTCCACCACCATGTTAAACTATAGGCTCTTTGAAATGTTGTGATGTCACATGACCATGCTGTAGTCAATGAGTTTGCTCCAGTTTTAACGGGTTCCAAACACTCGATAGACAAGGCTCATGGAGTGCGTGTGCAGATCTCCTCCCTTTTCCCTTTTTGAGTAAATAATAAAAAATACAACCTTTTTTATGTACATGGTAAACATACAGATCTGATGTGAGTCGTATCACAACATTTACTCTACACCAGATAAACTTTATCACAGTTTAAATCCAGCTGCTGTGGTTCTAATGGAACTCTTTCATCACACTCTGAGCCCCCTGCGCCTGTGGGGGCCGAGTTCAGGCAGTTTCCAGATGAAATGAGGAAGAATTTAACATATATGCAACTGCCTCAAAGCTTCAGTTGTAGAGTTGGTATTCAGTCATGTTGGATTGCTTCCAGTTTTTGTTTTCTGCCCACGACTTGGAATCAAAATCAAACAGAGTATAGTTTTTAATACAGTTTTAATCCTACAAAACTCGCCCTGATCTTCCTCCAGTCTCTCTTTCTGGTCCCTCTCTCTCTGGTCTCTCTCTCTGGAAAATAAGGTCAATTTAAGGTCTGAAAAAAGAATAGGCATGTTAAACCTAAATTAAACTTTTGTGTGTTTCTTTTAAAAGACAAACATGTTAACAAGGTAATACATCTAACTTGTCATTCAAAAGAACCACAAAAAAGAGTTTTAACTTGAGACAAAATAAACCTTTTTGAATCATTAAATTAAACTTTTCCATGACACATTAGGATCTGGAATTGTATCCGAGCAAACTACCCACAACAAACCAGTACCAATTCTTAGAGTATAGTAGAGTAAGACCAGGCTGGTGTGTACTTATGGTCCCGCCTCCTGTGCTCTCACCAAAGGTATTCGATAGATGATGATCATTCCCAGTGTCTTCTACTCTAGTGTCAGATCAATAATCAGGACGCTCCGTGGACCCGGCTGTGTCCCATTTGTTCCGTTCATTGATTCTTTGTTTGTTCTTCACCTGATCTCCCTTTGCTCAGCTCTTAGCGCAAGCTCATTAGCGCCGTATAAGCATTAAACACACATTAAGTCACATATTAGCACAGGTATTAGCACGCTGCATTAAGGGCCTTGATGAGAGCTGTAAACACTCCACACTAGCTCTAATGCGCCGCTTAACCGGCTCAGAGCGGCGTCTAAACTGTTTGTGCAGATTTAAAGCCCTCAGGTAAAAAACTCCTCTTTTTCTCTTAACCCTTAGAACCTCAGTTGAGTCCCAAACAGTTTGTATGTTCTCTCTGTGACTGGAATAGTTTTAAGATGTGGCTCTAGTCTATTATTGCAGGAGAGTCCAAGGACAGTGGTCATGATCTAGAACTCCACATTTATAAACATTGGTCTCTGCCATACAGTGCCTTGCGAAAGTATTCGGCCCCTTGAACCTTTCAACATTTCACCACATTTCAGGCTTCAAACATAAAGATATAACATTTTAATTTTTTGTCATGAATCAACAACAAGTGGGACACAATCTTGAAGTGGAACGAAATTTATTGGATAATTTAAACTTTTAAAAAAAATAAAAAACTGAAAAATGGGTTGTGCAATATTATTCCTTTACTTTCAGTGCAGCAAACTCAGTCCAGAAGTTCAGTGAGGATCTTTGAATGATCCAATGTTGTCCTAAATGACTGATGATGATAAATAGAATGCACCTGTGTGTAATCAAGTCTCCGTATAAATGCACCTGCTCTTTGATAGTCTCAGGGTTCTGTTTAAAGCGCAGAGAGAACCATGAAGACAAAGGAACACACCAGGCAGGTCTGAGATACTGTTGTGGAGAAGTTTAAAGCCGGATTTGGATACAAAAAGATTTCCCAAGCTTTAAACATCTCAAGGAGCACTGTGCAAACAGTTATATTGAAATGGAAGGAGTATCAGACCACTGCAAATCTACCAAGACCCGGCCGTCCCTCCAAACTTTCATCTCAAACAAGGAGAAGACTGATCAAAGATGCAGCCAAGAGGCCCATGATCGCTCTGGATGAACTCCAGATAACTACAGCAGACAACTCCAGACAACTAGAGCAGCAGAAACACATCCATCCAAACAAACAAAGAAATACATCATTCTTAAAAGTGACTAACAATAGTAATGAAGTGCAGCAGCAGCAGAGGTGTAGCTGCTGGTGATGAGCTGCTTCTTCTGGTTGTTATTTGCAGAGTATGCTTGGTTCAGACCTTTCTCTGCTCTGGTTCAGAGTTAAATTCTGAAGGCTTTATTACCATTTTTCAAAAAATATCTTTCCTCCTTTGGATTTTGGCTTGAGACGTCTGGCTGGGCTATGTCTGCTCTGGCCTGGATCAGTGTAAAACCATGAACACTGTTCTCCAGTAACATTTACAGATTGAAAAACATCGAACGCAAAACAACAACTTTTTCAGAGCGACTCAGAACTCGCTGCTGTTTCCAGAACATTCAAAAGTAAACAGGAGTCAGTAGGGCCGTTGGACACACAAATATGAACTCTGCTTTTCAATATGATTCAGAAACTAAACCAGTGTGTGTCAGTGCAGAGAGAATAATGAGGGTCAGGAGCTCCTCCATCAAAGTCCTTTAATTATCTGCTGCCGACACGTTTCCACCACGATCCGGACTTTTCCAATGGCAGAATAATTAAACACACAGCAGGTGATCTTCAATAGTCACTGAATTTTAATCCATGTGTTTCACCTCTTGGTTAATCCTCAGAGAAGAATAGTGTCATCTGGACTCGTTCTGCTGTAAAGCTGGGCACCTACATTTATTTGATTCATTGATATTGCATTGGGTTTTCTCAAAATTAAGAGTCTTTGGAAACACTGCCAATCAGAGTAGAGTAGAGTAGAGTAGAGTAGAGTAGAGTAGAGTAGACTAGACTAGACTAGACTAGACTAGACTAGACTAGACTAGACTAGACTAGACTAGAGTAGAGTAGAGTAGAGTAGAGTAGAGTAGAGTAGAGTAGAGTAGAGTAGAGTAGAGTAGAGTAGAGTAGAGTAGAGTAGAGTAGACTAGAGTAGAGTAGAGTAGAGTAGAGTAGAGTAGAGTAGAGTAGAGTAGAGTAGAGTAGAGTAGAGTAGAGTAGAGTAGAGTAGAGTAGAGTAGACTAGACTAGACTAGACTAGACTAGACTAGACTAGACTAGACTAGACTAGACTAGACTAGACTAGACTAGACTAGACTAGACTAGACTAGACTAGACTAGACTAGACTAGACTAGACTAGACTAGACTAGACTAGACTAGACTAGACTAGAGTAGAGTAGAGTAGAGTAGAGTAGAGTAGAGTAGAGTAGAGTAGGTACTCCCCGTGTACCGTAGTTCTGGCATCTGCCTCCTGTATGGCGACCCCGCTCCCATCTCTGTGTGGAGTGAGAAGACAAATTGGAACAACAATTGGAAAGCGCTTTGTGACCCTGGTCTGTGAAAGTTGTTATATAAAGTTACTTCCTGGAGTAGAGTAGGGCCAAGTAGAGCTGGTGGAAACTGGGCTAAATGTACTAATTTGTCAGCTAATAAAAAGGTAGAAACATAATTTCTAGCTTTTTCATTAGCTGACAAATTAGTACATTCAAACATATACAAACCTGCCTACATATAATCAAACACAGACAGACAAAAGGTGTAAAGGGGAGGACGTGTAAATTGTATACTTATCTGTGGATAATGTGATAAAGTGACATTCTGTGGACCTTCTGAAATTGCAGTATTGCTCATGATTTCAGTATTGACAGATGAGATGTAAAAGTTTTCTTATCTTAACCTGTCTTTGGTTTCTGCTCTAACCCCTGACCCTCTTTGCAGCTAACCCTCGCGTGAACGAGGAACTGCGACACAGACTTCCTTCTCCTGGACGCAGCCCCAGGAGCCCCCTACCCCTGTCCCCCAGGAGCCCCCCTAGGAGCCCCCCCAGGAGCCTCCCCAAGAGCCCCCCGAGGAGCCCTAAAGCCCCAATCCAGATCCAGAGCCGCAGTCCTCCACGCAGTCCAGGCAGCCACAGGTAAGAGCATCTGTGTTCAACAGCAATCACACGGTTCATCTTTCGAGGCAATTCCTTTATTGGCAATTTTATGTTTTTTTTTTTTTTTTTTTTTCAATAACCGCAGGTATAACATGATAATTACCTTTATCTAAAGTCAGAAGATAATATTCATATCTCACTCTGGTATCTTTCTGCTCTTTTATTTGGGTCTCTCTCTGATCTCTCCGATCTTTCTCTGGTCATTGTCTCTCTGATTCTTCTCTGGTCTCATTCTGATCTCTCTCGTCATCATCTGGTCTCGCTCTCTGGTCTCTCTCTAGTCTCTCCCTCTGGTCATTATCTGGTCGCTCTCTCTGATCTCTCAATGGTTTTACAGCTGCTATGATTTACCTTAAGTTTAGAAAACATCCCTCCTGTCATAAACCAGGGACCACTTAGTTCCTTTTACATCACACACTTTAAAACTTGTATTGGACTCAGAGTAGCAGGTATGGAAGTATCTCAGTGAGGGAAGGATGGAGATGAGAGGGAGCAGCGTCTGAATTCAGAGCTGTATCAGACTGCTGTGGTGCAGAGGGAGCAGCGCCTGCACTCAGAGCTGTATTGACAGTGGACTATGTCTGAGGTCGGTCACATGAGCTCTCAGGTCCGATTACAGATCCAGAGAACAGGAAGTACATTAGTCTAATACAGACTCATGTGGAAACTGAGAGCTCGCTAGAGGCTGAAAGCTTCCTCTAAATTTTACTTAGTTTAAAAGTCGGTGTCTCTCTGGTCTCTTTCTGGTCTCTCTCTGGACCCTCTCTCCGTTCTCTCTCTCTGGTGTCTCATTGGTCTCTCTTGCTGGTCACTTTCTGGTCTCTCTCTGGTTTTACTTTTACAATACACACTTTAAACCTTGTAGTGGACTCACAGCAGCAGGTGTGAAAGTATCTCAGTGAGGGAATGACGGAGGTGAGAGGGAGCAGCGTCTGCACTCAGAGCTGTTTGGACAGTGGACTAGAGTGCATATATCTGCGGTCAAATAAGTTATCAGGTCCGATTACAGATCCAGAGAACAGGAAGTCTAATACAGACTTGTGTGGAAACTGAGAGCTTACTGGGAGCAGAATTCTTCTGGTCTCTCTCTCTCTGGTCCCTCTCTCTGATCCCTCTCTCTGATCACTCCCTCTGATCTCTCTCTCTGTTCTCTTTCTCTGGTCTTTCTCTGCTCTCTTTCTCTCTCTCTCTCTCTCTCTGCTGGTTTGACTCTGGTCTTTGTCGTCCACAGATCTGTGATCAGCCCGGACCACACCTGTCCCCCAGGTAACATCCTTTTGTTTCAAACTAAGACTTTTCCTAATGACTTATAATTCAACATGTGTCCTTGTTCACATGTGTCCACAGCTCCCCCGTCTCCCCCAAGATCATCTGCCTCCCCCATCAGGAAGTCCCCCTCAGGACCCAGACACGGACTGAAGCTCGGACCCTTCACGATGGAGGTGGACCTTAAATCTGCACCTGACAGGTACAGTCCTCCTCCAAGTGTAGCCAGCGATTGTCACTCATTGCCGCTTGCAGCTATAATTGTGAGGGAATTCACAAAATTTTCCGTCAACAGATCAAACAATATGAACATAAAAAATACAGTAATGAAGCAGAGAAGCCATTGGTCCTTAGAGGAGAGCAGGACGACCAATGACCATCACGGTTCCTAGACCCTAATTTCTTTCTATGAAGAGTGAGAGATCCTCTAACTTCGTATTGGGAAAATATATAATGATATAATAAAACATTCATAATGATATAAGATATCAAGAGAAATACAGGAGAATAAAACAGATGGAACACAACAAGAATTTAACAAGTGATTCAAAAGAAATAACTACTTTCTATAAAGAGAGAGAAGGGAGGGTCTCTCTCCCTTTATACTGGACCAAAATATAACAGCATCTCCGGGATATACACATTTTAATTAAACCTTGTCAAATATTCAACCAAAACCAGTAGGATTAGATTAGATATTTCTCTGCTTCCTGGACCTCATGTTATGAATATTCTCACTGCCCATTTTTGCAGATAATCGCCTAATCCATTTATTAGACACTAAAACACAGACACAGGGAGAGTCTCGGCCCTGAGTCTCTCTCGTCTGGATGTAGTGGCGGCTCGGCAGGAAATGCTGTAGCATAGGTTGCCTTTTTTTTTTAGAGAAACCTTTATTAAACGTTTATTTTGATTTAGCGTGTCTTTTCCCGGGCTGTTTTTTATTGCCGTCTTTTGTCCCCGTCTCCGGCGCCGCAACCTTCTGCTGCCGTGCTGTTTGCTTTGGTTCATTGACGGTTCGACCTTTAGCTTCACCGAAGAGCCGCACGGTTTATTACAGTCGAGTTCAAGCCGCTCGAAAAACGAAATAATATCACATTTTTCTGAGGAGCGGGGGAGAGCTCTGAGGTGGAGGGAGGGGAGAGAGCTGTGGATGTAAGAGAGGGGAGAGTGTTAGAGAAGGGAGAGAAATTTGGATGTGAGAGAGGGGAGAGAGAGGTGAGTGCAAGAGAGTGGCGAGAGAGAGTAGACAACTGTGGGGTTGAGGCAGGGCAGAGAGCTGTGATTGGTTCTCATGTGTGTCGCAGGATGGAGCCTTCGACCAATCAGGGAGCAGCATTTCAGGGCCGCGACAAAAACATCACATTTCTGCTGAAGGAGCTGGACTCTCTACGAGACCTCAACACCAAGGTATTCACTACGGCATTAAAGCTGGGGGACCTAACTTTAACTCTTCATTAATAATACATAGAGTTTTTTTACCAACAGAAAGAGAAAGTAAAATGTATGTGATACTTTGAAATTTTATCTTTCTTGTTAGTGGCAGTATCTGAAGGTCTTCATCAGATTTCCACACACTGTAGCTTGTATTTTGGCCCATTCTTCCATGTAAATCTTCGCTTTGAGGTTGAGGTTTGGAGACTGAGGCGGCTCCAGGACCTTGAAATGATTCCAGTGTCACTCCTTTGTTGCCTGAGAAGTGTGTTTTGGATCTTTCGAAATCTCACGACACTTGGCTCTGTTCATTAATTCCTCAATACGGATCAGTTGTCCAAACTTCTTTGCAGAAAGTCAGCCCCAAACTTTAGTGTTTCCACCCCCATGCTTTACTGTGGGTATTGTCTCTTTTGAGTGAATTAGACAAAAACGTGTAGTTTTTGTCAGAAAAAGGTGCTACTGCTGTGACAAAGAAACATCACTATAAAAATACCCAGTTTAAAAGTTTCTTACTGTTTTGACCGTGTCCAGCTCCAGGAGCAGCTGTTGCAGAAGGAGAAGGAGCTTCAAGAGAAAGAGCAGGACGACCCTCAGACCCGGATGGAGCAGGAGATATGGACCAGGACCACAGGTACCAGAGCACAGGGTCCAGAGTCAAGAGCAGAAGTTAAAAATCACCTAACATGCCTCTTTTGCTGTAGTCAGGGCGCTGGGTCTCCATGTTAATCTATACTAATAACACAAGGATTTCTATGGAAAAGAAAGAAAATCCGTCTCTCAATGACGATTTAATTGTTTTTTTATGGTTTTGCAAGAAATTGAATTTAAATTAAAATAATGTCATGTGGATGTGAGAGATGGCTGAGAGAGGTGTCATAGAGGGGATAGAGAGGTGGATGTTGCTATACAACCATATATAAAATCAGATATGAAAAATTCCAGTGTCCAGCTGCAGAAATACCTCTGTACAAAAATAAAAAAATAGATATTTCTAAAAGTTGCCAACAATAGCAATAAAGTGCACAGGTTTAGTTCAGACAGATCTGAGTCTTATTGCTGATAGAACGCAGCGATAGGAGCCAAATACAAATAAAGAACAGTCCAGTATTTGTCTGTTTCTCTCAGAGGTGGTGGAGCAGCTGATGGAGGCACAGAAGCGGCGCGAACAGGCGATGATGTCACGGCTGCGCTTGGCCAATGAGGAGCGAGATCAGGCCCTGCTCACCGCCCAAAGACTGACAGAGGCCGCGGCCAATCAGTGAGTCCTGCCCACATCACCATGGTAACCTCAACATTGGCGCCATGTTATAGATACAGACGGCCACTAAGGACACGCTCACTTTCGGTTTCTCTACTCTTTGCCTTTACATCGCTGGTTAGGAAAGTTACAGGTCATACCTGCGGAGAGGAGTGTTGACTCAATGTCCCTATGTAGATTTTTAAGTAGTAAAAACATCTGTAATTCAATACAGGTACAGGTTTATACCAAGACACATTACATGCAAATGTTGCAAGCAACATCAGAAAAAGTGCTGAATGCATTTAAAGCTGGGGAACCCAACTTTCATTCTACAAAAACAGATTAACTAAATATTAGGGCTGTCAAAATTATCGTGTTAACGCACGTTGATTATTTTTTTTCATTAATCGCATTAAAAAAATTAACGCATGCCCATGCATCCCATAATAACACTCAGAATGCCATGGACACGTGTGCGTGAGATGGAAACAGAGCAGGTCTCTGGGAATTGAGCTGCGGGCGCTCTGGACAGCAGGTCCCACCTCCAGCGGCCGCAACGTGATCATATCCAAGACACACACAGAATTATTCTCTGATTGTAATGTAATTGTCTTTGCGTATCCGCTGCACACAAAAAATACAGCGCAGAAGCTGGACAACTGAGCCTCAGTCTCCTCCGTGTCTTCTCCTGAAGTGGACTCGCTAAATTAAAGCTGGGGTACCTAATTTTCCATTCCACTACCAGTTCATGACTGTTTTGAAATGTCCCTCATCTGTAACACACAATAGTTGAAACAGAAAGACAGAATGTTAATAATGTTAATGCCATTTTATATGGATTTATTGTTATAATAAACAAATGCAGTAAATATGTACACTATGTTGACATTTATCTTTCCATTCAAACAACCATTTACAGAAAAATTTGGCATCATTTTGTCGATAGTTTGAAATGCGATTAATTACGATTAATTAATTTTTAAGCTTTTTTAATTAACGCAATTAAACATTTGAATCGTTTGACAGCCCTACTAAATATACAGGTTTTTATAGACATTCATGTTGTATTTAAACTGGGGTACCTAGTTTTTGCCCCACAAAACAATGGCACAACTGCAAATCTACCAAGACATGGGTGTCCACTCAAACTCACCAACTTAAGAATCACAACAGCAGTTATCTCTGAGGACTTTACAAAGGTGTCGATTCGCCTACACAGATCAGAGAATCAAACTGTTCACAGAAAGGAATTGCAGTGATAACAAACACATAGAGACATTGGTCCATAAGTGACAGAAACCAATGTCCATAAATGTCCTTGATCAGGACAGTGGTCCTGGGACCCTCCTGAGTGTTATGGTCTATGATACAAGTCTCTGTCTGTCGGCACTTTCTATCTATCTGTGGTTTTATTAAGACACATTTACCTTTATGCGTCCATCTTTCACCCAACAATATTTCTAACCTATTTTTAGAAGTTGCTCCTATGATATTCTGTAGTTGTAAGATGGCTGCCTCCCATCTCTCTCTAGTCCATGCACCGCGGATCCCTCTCTGCGGCAGTGGAGCTCTCGCCGAGTCCTCTCATTTCACTAAACCTCTCTCCTGGATCCTTACGTCCTTATCCCCTCATCTCCTCATCTGTGCGCCTCCTAAATCCTTAACTCCTTCCTATATCACCGAGCTCCTAATACCCACTCTTCATCCCCTCATCTTCTCTTCCCTCGCCTTTCCTAACTCCTCATCACCTGCTCCTAATATCCACTCTTTAACTCCTCCATGGCTCCTCTCTCCTCTTGTCCTTATGGTAAACTTCGCCTCGGAAAGAGCTGATGGAATGTAGCAAGGTGCATAAGTAAAAGTACCGCAAGTTCAGTCCTGGTTCACTGCTCTGGTCCTGGTTCAGTCCTGCTTGGTTCTGTCCTGGTTCACTGCTCTGTTCCTGGTTCAGTCCTGCTCTGGTCATGCTCTGGTCCTGGTTCAGTCCTGGTTCAGTCCTGGTTCAGTCCTGGTTCAGTCCTGGTTAAGTCCTGGTTAAGTCCTGCTCTGGTTCTGGTTCATTCCTGGTTCAGTTCTGGTTAAGTCCTGCTCTGGTTCTGGTTCATTCCTGGTTCACTGCTCTGGTCCTGGTTCAGTCATGGTTCAGTCCTGGTTCACTGCTCTGGTCCTGGTTCAGTCATGGTTCAGTCCTGGTTCACTGCTCTGGTCCTGGTTCAGTCCTGCTCTTGTCCTGCTCTGGTCCTGGTTCAGTCCTGGTTCACTGCTCGGGTCCTGGTTCAGTCCTGGTTCACTGCTCTGGTCCTGGTTCAGTCCTGGTTCAGTCCTGCTCTGGTCCTGGTTCAGCCATGGTTTATACCCGGTCTGTGGGGGTCTTATTGCTGCATGTCTCTGAGCAGTTTCATTATTACAGTTTATTACCGCTCACTCCCAGAGCTGCTGGTCCGAGATCCGGTCTCGAATCCAAACCGAGACTTCAGGGACCCGGTTTAATAAAGTCCAGACTCTGGACCGAGGACTGGACTGAAGGGGCCCTGGATCAAAACACAATAATGAGAAATTCTGAGAAATACACACTATATGAAAAAGAGAGAGGGAAAGTGGAGAAAGGGGCGGGGGAGGAGCGGGGGAGGGGGGAGGGTTAACTGGTGATCAAAGAAATAAATAAATGTAACAAAGTGTAATCCAGGTGTAATCCCACCATACTCCAGCAGGGAGGTTCGACAGCTTTGAAACAAACAACAGTTACAGTGTTTGCATATTGTAAGAATTATTCAAGATACAAAATACTGCAATAAATTACAAAAACTAAGAGTATTTTTCAGGCTTAAGAGCTTCTTATTAAGAGAACTAGATTAGCCATATTCTACCGTAAAGAAGATGAAATGGGTAATGAGTACCTTAAATTCCGGACTCTAAGATGTGGCTTTTTTCCTGCATTTTGAAGGATACGGTTTATAATCAGGTGTGGCTTATACTCCGGAAAATACAGTATATTCAAAATAAATGTGTAAATCAGTCACCAATACCCAGCCTTCTACTTGTTATTGAGATATTATCGGGAGCCATGTCTCACATATTGTCTCAGGATGGACCTAGGGTGTATTCAGACCTGCACATTTGCTCCACTTTAAACGGACCAGGATTCGTTTGGAACTCTGATCCGAAGCTTTTATGCAGGTCTGAATACACACAAACGAATCCTGGTCCGGACCAAAGAACCGAACCGAGACCCACTTTTTTAGGTGGTCTCGGTCCGCTTCCAAACGAATTCTGGTCCAAGTCGAATCAGGTCTGAATACATCCGATGTCGATCCGACACAACTCCAAGATACGTGCGCATTTTTTGGGCTTAACAAGCCGCAGACAGAAACTGAGGATTTAGCCACGCAGCGGCTAACTATGCTGCTAACTATGATGCTAACTATGATGCTAACTATGATGCTAACGCTACACAACAACACTGAGCCGTGTGCAGACCTGGAGCAGTGAGGAGACGCTGTGCAACAGGCTTATGGAGTTAGAACTGTTCACAGTATACAGTGATGTTTATGGCAGCATCTTCAAACCATTTGCATTATTAAAAGCCTGACACTGTTTGACTCACGTCTCAAAGAGCAATATTCCGCATCATGTAGTGAATTGTGTTCTTTGGTTCCTACCTGATCCTCAGCGTCTGTTTGTCCCGTGGTTATTATAGATCCATGGTTTATCCACAATGCTGCTGTCAGTAAGTTGTGGAACAGGGTTATTATCATAGATCCATGTGTGGGACAGGACACGGAGCGCACAGACAGTCTCCTTCGGCTTTCTCCTCACGCATTCTCCGACTTTGTTCCAATATTTAAAACAACGTGTTTGGCTTGTGTCATATGAGCTGCTGTTGATGTTGAAGGTGGTTTTGGTCTAAAAAGAGCAAACATAGGCAGAGCAGACATGCTGCACATACGAGCCCTCAATGTTTTCTGTCGGTTCCGCGTCTATCCTCCGTGAGCTCTCTCTGTCCAATAGGAGCGCCGATCGTCACACGTGTCAATATGTTTATATAAAAAAGTTCACTTGCAAAAAGGACAGTCTGAATACGAACCGAAGCAAAAGAAAAAAGTTTGGTCCACTTTTGATTCGGATCAAGCAAGCGGAGCAAAGGACTTTTCAGGTCTGAATACACCCTGAGATCCAGTCCCAGTCTATAGTCTATGGTCTAAATTTCAATCTAATCCTGGACTCTGTTTGGGAGGTTTTTTGTTTTTTTATCCAGATCTTAGATTAATCAATGACTCTTCTGAACCCTGGAAAAGCCATCCAGCTTCTTCTCTCTGGCAGAAGATATCGTTGGCTGCAGAACATCTGGATATGCTAACATGCTTTCAGATTCACATTGATGATTGTTTCTTGTACTTTTTAGCTTGTTTTACGTATGTATTTGTCTAGTGCACACTGAGGACTCTTGCACTTGTATTCCATTGTGGTTTTACTGCAAATGGCAAATAAACTGACTCTGACTCTGGTCTTGGTCTCTGCAGCTTCTCTGTGGATCCAGACTCTGTGGAGGACTGTGACCTGGTGAGTTTTCATGTGTCACTTGTCACGTGTTCATGTGTTGATGGTCCCCCCAGGCTGTCCTGGAGCTGTTGGACCATGTGTAATGTGTTGATGGTCTCCTCAGGACGTCCTGGAGCTGTTGGACCATGTGTGCACTGCAGACTCTGTCCAGCAGATGGGGCAGTTTGGTTCAGTCCTGGTGCAGCGTGTGAGGTCGGCAAGGCAACGCAGGAGTGACATAACCGCACAGGAAATGAGCGCCGTGATGGACGAGCGGGACCTCAACGCTGCCAAGGTGAGCCCTGCCCCTAAAGGCCACGCCCTCTAAGGCCACGCCCAGAATGACCACGCCTTCTGAACCTTCCAAACTGCAACATTAAAGCAAATACAAATGTTTTTTTCCCATAGCCTCGACTCTGGTTTTTATAATAATAATAAATCACTTTCTGGACGCTCAAAGACACTTCTCACTTTTATTTCTCTCCAAACACAGTGGTGATTAACAACTACTGTAGCCACAGTTGCCCTGTGGCACATAGACAGAAATGAGGCAACCTATCTGTGCCATTGGCCCCTCCCACCACCACCACCAGCTGCTCATGTGTGACAGTGAGATTTCTCCTGTTGCATTTGTGGATGAAGTGTAAATATAAACTGTTGTAAAGACAATGGTTAATTTCAAAGAAAGACAGAGACATGACTGTCCCTCCAGCGTGTCCTGGGTCTTCCCCTGGGTCTCCTCCCGGTGGGAAGTGCCCTGAACACCCCAGGGAGGTGTCCAGGTGTCATTTGCAACACATGCCCGCGCCACCTCAACTGGTTCCTGTCGACGTGAAGAAGCAGCAGCTTTAGTCAAAGCTCCTCCCGTGTGACTGAGCTCATGACCATAGGTGAGGGAGGGAATGAAGATTGACCGGTAAGTCAAGAGCTTTGCCTTTCGGCCTTTCTCTTCACCACAACGGTCCGATACAGAGACCGCATCACTGCGCACGCTGCACCGATCCGCCTGTCAATCTCACACTCCATCCTTCCCTCACTCGTGAACAAGACCCCGAGATACTTGAACTCCTCCACTTGAGGAAGGACTGCTCCACCCACCTGCAGAGGGCAAGGCACTTTTTTCCGGTCAAGCACCATGACCTCGGATTTGGAGGTGCTGATTCTCATTCCAGCCTCTTCACACTCAGTTGCAAACTGTCCCAGTGCATGTTGCAGGTCCTGGTTCGTTGGAGCTAATGGGACAACATCGTCCGCAAACAGCAGAGATGAAATCCTGTGGTCTTCGAACCAGACCCCCTCCGACCCCTGGCAGCGCCTAGAAATTCTGTTCATAAAGTCATGACTTACTACTGGATCTAGCTCCAGTCATACAGGGACCAAACGGCCCTCAGCAGAGGACCCAGGACCCCGTACTCCCGGAGAACCTCCCAAAGGATACCCCCCCGGAAAACCTGGTCCAACGCTTTCTCCAAATTCCCATGATCCCTCAAGTATCCAATGGAGAGTATAGAGCTGGTCCGGTGTTAAACAACCGAGACGAAAGCTCACCCCCTGGACTGCCACCTTAACGTGGTAGGGAAGTTTGAGTACTTTGTTGATACTGGGAGCTATGTTGTCTGGGGCTTTGTGCCCCCGGTAGGGCCTCCGATGACAAACAGGTCTTGGGTGACGAGTCAAACAAAGCTCAGTCCGAAGCCAACCATGGATTGCACAACAACGACAACCGTGACGTCGCCCGGTATAGCATAGCTGGGGCCCCACCCTGGAGCCAGTCCGCGCACACACCATCTGGAACAGACGGGTCGTGTTCTATTCCTAAAAACATGCACAATAGGGAAATTCTCCTGCTCTGGCCTGAACATGTCGAACATTACGATCTGCAGATAGTTCTTTTGCGACAGATGCCCTGGTGGCATCAGGGTCAAATGCAGATGAAGAAAACAGAGAGTCACCTTTATCTTAATTTGTTTCAGGTGAAACGTCTGGAGGAAGAGCTCAGAGAGCTTCGACTGCTTCAGGTTTGTATTATTACTACAGCTACTACTGCTGCTGCTACCGCTACTGCTGCTGCTACTGCTGCTGCTACTGCTGCTGCTACAGCTACTGCTGCTGCTACTGCTGCTGCTGCTACTGCTGCTGCTACTGCTGCTGCTACAGCTACTGATGCTGCTACTGCTATTGCTACTACTATTGCTACTGCTGCTGCTACTGCTACTACTACTAGTGAGTGTCTAACTCTGGTTATTTATCCACTGTCTTTATAAACTAATACTACTAGTTCTATTTGTTTTTTAACCGGCTCTTGGTCTCTGTTTGGTCTCTGTCCTGCTCTGAACCAGCTCTTGGTCTCTGTGTGGTCTCTGTTTGGTCTCTGTCCTGCTCTGAACCAGCTCTTGGTCTCTGTGGGGTCTCAGACCTGGTCTGACCTGGTCTTGGTCTCTTTGGGGTCTCATTCCTGGTCTGAACCAGATCTTGGTCTCTGTGGGGTCTCTTTGATGCCGTTTGCTGAATCCTGATGAGAGAATCTTAATGTCCTGAATTTTGATGAAGCTTTTTAATTAGAGAAGTTCAAACAGAGACGTGTGTGTGGACTCCACAGGTCCAGACCTTTAGACCAAGACCAGAGCCCTGGACCAGGACCAGAGTAACATGGCAGTTTTAGTATCCCAAACTCAGGATAATCCTGGTTCCTCAAAACATGAGTGTGTAAATTCTAAACAGAAAAGCAGCTGAGGAGGAGACCTGCACCTGATACTATCAGAATGAAAACTCACTTTATATTTGTCTTTGTGCAGATGTGCAGGGCAAGGCCTGGTTAGCACTGTGATGGGAGTGTGTGTGTGGAGGATGTATCTGTGTAGCTACATGTAAAATAAACAAATGTTTAAATGCATTTACTAAATTGTAATGAGGATCTGAATCACCTCTGTGCCCGCCTCTTTAAGGCGGAGCTGGTGATGCTGCAGAGAGAGAGAGACGCTGGTGTGGACGAGCGGCGGCGTCTGGAGGCGGAGCTGCGGGAGCTCAAAGTCAATCACAAGTCAGTTTGTTGCTATAGTAACAAGTTGATTCATCTCAACTAATCCATTTTTGAAACGGTTGTTTACCAAAGAAGTATTTAACTTTCCATTGACTTAAACACCCAGATAATTCTAGAAGGACTGCAGAATGAAATGTATTGAATTAGTTTGAATCAAACTAATGGGTAACAAGTGAAGATCACTGCAGCCAAAAGCCAGGGCTAAAATTATGGCTAACTCTAACTGTTCTGTAGACGCTCAGTAGCCCCGCCAACTGCGCAGCCCACTGAGGATGCCACTGCCTTGTCGCTTCCTGATGACGTCACCGCACTACAGCAGCAGCTTATGATGATGTCGCAGCAGAAGCAGAGCTCGGAGGTGGAGCTTGTTCAGGCCAATGAGAAGATCCAGAGGTGAGTCACATGACCTGTGTCTAGATTTGAATACAAATTTATTTGAATTGAAAAAGAAGAAATGATGTTGAAGGAAAGATACTTTACATAATTTACTTTACTTTTCCTGATTTTAATTCAATACTATTTACAATACAATACAATACAATTTATTCTTGTATAGCCCTAAATCACAACAGTAGTCCTTTCAGAGGACATAATGCTGGGGCTATATCTGTGGTTTATAGTTCTCTTTGATCCTGATATTATATATTGTAAATGCAGATATGAGCCCAAACAACTGGCCAATCAGGAGCCTTCTCGTCATAGTCACAGCTCCTGATTGGCTCTTAGTTCTTTGGTCATTGCTACCAATAAAATGGACGTATGTTTGGCTCCACATTCCCGCTCAGATTCACAATTCGAGGTGTGTTTCCTTAAATGGGTATTTGTAGCGACGGCGTAATCTTTAGTTGTAACAGGGGCAGACATGTTGCTATGACGGTTGCCAAGGCAAGAGTTTACCCTGTGAATGAAGGCATCTGATTGTAGCGTAGGTCCTGCAAGAAGGACTGTGATGATGATCCAGGACACTCTACATTCTACAACATGTATGGACATTTATCAACATTCATGGACATTGGTCTCTATGCTACGATCAGATGCCTTATGTGTTCTATATTTTTTGTGTCTTAACTGTTGATTCTCTGATCTGTGTTAGTGACTTCAATGGTTATCTTTAGTCTTTAGTCTGAGATGACTACTGTTGTGATTTAGGGCTATAGAAGAATAAATTTAACTGATTGGTCAGTATCTGGATCGTGTCTGGATTTACAAAAATAATATCAAAACACCAGGATCACAGAGAGCAATAGAAGCAATTTTTTGGGCTAGAGGAGCCAGAGCGAGTTGGAGCAAAACTTCACCGACGAGCACTTCCCTATTGGGCTTTATTGAGCTAGTGGGTTAGCATTGTCCATCTACATACAGTCTGTGGTCGGACGTTCATTATTTTAGCGTACAACTAGCCCAAAAACACTTGAGGCCTCAGGATTCCTCTCTGTGATTCTCGCGTCCAAAAACAGTTATTTCTGTGTTTTTAATGAAACCCGTGCCTTCAGAGTCCGTTGCTACGGTGACGGCGGCAGCAATGAGTCGATGAGATTTCACTGGAACTGTTCCTATTTAAAGCTGCGGTACCTAATTTTACAATCAGGAAAAACATATATGTAATAAACAGTGACAGCTGTGTTATTAGCTTTAACAGTGACGTCCATGTGAGTACACTTTATTTATATGACACAAGATCCAAATCCACTTTATTTATATGGCACACTTCATAAACAGAACAGTTTTCAAAGATCTGTCCAGGACTAAGCAACACACATAACACACCCAGTGAAACAAATACCTTTAAATAATGAAATAGGCAAGTTTAAAGGCAACTTAAAGTGCCAAAACAGGATAAACACAAAATCATAAATAATCACAGTACATTAAAAAGAGTGAAGATAAAGTCTCTCTGTTGTTGCAGCGAAACAACTGTTTTTAACCTGGATTTGAACATTGTCAGAGAAGAAGCTTGTCTCACATTTTCAGGAATTGTTCCAGATTTTATCTGCACAAATCAGAAACACATGTTTAGTTCTGACTCCGGGACCAGCAGGAGGCCAGTCCCTGTGCTCCACAGAGTTGTTCATATGGCATTAACATGTCACAGATGTACTTTGTTGCAGAGACCAGGACTAATGTGATGTTACTTCCTGAATAAAATAAAATAAAATAACGTATATGTATTTCTGTCATCTTCAGGTTGGAGCGACTGGTGGAGGTTTTGAGGAAGAAGGTTGGAACAGGAAGTGCTCGCGCCATTGTCTAATCACAAGGCCCACCCCCTTTACCTGCCAATCATTTGCCCCCATATCCCCCTGTCCGTCACACATAACCCCAGAGCTGCTTGTTATTGTTTTGCTTTGTTCTTTGATCAAAAATAATGAACTGTTGTTGTTGGTTTTGGGCCAAAGACTTGAACAAAAGATTTAATGAAGAAATTATATTTTAATAAACGTTTAATCAAACTGAAATAGAATCCTTGTCTGTTGTTTCTGAGTCCAGGTCTTGTCCAGGTCTTGTCCAGGTCTTGTCCAGGTCTTGTCCAGGTCTTTTCCAGGTCTTTTCCAGGTCTTGTCCAGGTCTTGTCCAGGTCTTGTCCAGGTCTTGTCCAGGTCTTGTCCAGGGCTTGTCCAGGTCTTGTCCAGGTCTTGTCCAGGTCTTTTCCAGGTCTTTTCCAGGTCTTGTCCAGGTCTTGTCCAGGTCTTGTCCAGGTCTTGTCCAGGGCTTGTCCAGGTCTTGTCCAGGTCTTGTCCAGGTCTTGTCCAGGTCTGGTTCAATCCTGCATCAGTCCTGGTTTAATCTTGGTTTAGTCCTGCCTCAGCCCTGGTCCAGGCCTGGTCCAGATCATGATCTGTAAAATCTGCAGTTAAATTCCCAGTCTCTCAGATGTAATTTCCGGGTCTGTGGGAGTGGAGCCTCAGCAGCAGCGAGATGGAGAACGTGCAAAATATCTCGTTCTTTTTGAGCTTTTGTTTGTGTTTGTTATAACGCAGCTGCATACACAAGGTAAATACATGTAGAGAATCTACTCCTTTAGTCCTGATTAAGTCTTGGTCCAGTCCTGGTTCAGTCCTGGTTCAGTCCTGGTCCAGTCCTGGTCCAGTCCAGGTTCAGTCCTGGTTCGGTTCACTCCTGGTTTAGACCTAGTTTAGTCCTGGTTCAGACTTGTTTTTTTATTTTAGTTTTTTATCATTATTGTTATTATTAATATCATCATATCATCATCACTACATAAGTGCAGTCACATGGACCCAACAACATCAAATGTATTATGACAAAAACATTTATATTTTAAAATGATTGGATTTCACTTTCACAGAATACTCAGACATTCATAATTCATTTGTCAAAACAAGTTAGGTTATTTAAGTTAGGTACCCCAAGTTTTAATATCAAACTGTTGTGGGGAATTCCAAACCAAATACTTTATCATTAGAATAGGTTCAAAGTTGGAATCGATTTCAAACTGGATTTTATCTCATTGAGCTCTGAGAGTCTGACCCTGAAGAGAGCGACGTGGGTGGCTCTCTCTAATCCCCACGTAATCTTCAAACTCCTCTGACACCAGGACAAGACCAGGACTGGGCCAGGACTGGACTCAGACTAAACCTGGACTGGACCAGGACCGGGCCAGGACTGGACCAGGACCAAAGATGGACTGGACTGAGACTGAACCAGAACTGAGCTAGCTGAAGCAAGACTGGAATGGGACTGAACCAAAACTGATGCAGGACTAAAACTGGACCAGGACTGAACCAGGACCGGACTTGAACTGAAATTTCCCCACTCTAGGACGAATAAAGGATCTCTTAATCTTAACTGAACCAGGACTGAGGCAGGACGAAAGCTAGACTGAGACTGGACCAGGACTGGGGCAGGATGAAAGCTGGACTGGACCAGTACTGAAACAGGACTAAATCAGTTCTTAAGAATAAACCAGGAGCAGCTCTGTGCTCTGACATTATTCTCAGTGTGAGAGTGGGAGTATTGTGGAGTATTGTGGAGTATTATGGGATGAGGGGGTGAGGCATATTGAGAGTTATTGTGCGGAGATTGAGGGGCCCGATTATTGGCCCCCGCTCAGAGCCTCATAATGAACTCTCTTTGCTTTAATGAAATAAAGAGCAGCAGCTGCAGCAGATTGACCTCAGAGCCATAAGAGGAGCTCAGGGGCCCCTGCAGAGCTGTGCCAACCAGACCCTGGTAGACCTGGTTCAGACCTGGTGCAAACCTGGTTCGGACCTGATTCAGGCTGCTCCAGACCTGGTTTAGACCTGGTTCAGACCTGTTCCAGACCTGGAATTAGTTTTAATGTTTTTACATTTATATTTGTATTATTTTAGTTTGTTATAAGATCTATTATTTCTTCATTTTTTTGTCGAGTGCAGAGTCTAATCAACATAAAGAAAAAAAAAATTTGAAAAAACAATTTAATTAAATAATGTTCAAAGAAGACAAAAATCATTCAATTACAATAAACAAGCAGAAGGCCCGCGTGCACAGCCTCATCGTCATGCCGTGTTCGTCAGTTTATGCCGTACAGAGGACGCAAGCGCAATGTTTCAGCCGTGTCAAGTGTTAATTAAAGCATTATGTTGTTTACGTCTCAATGTGTATCGGCATCGTGTCTTGACGCTGCTGACGTGGCGCCTCAAATTTCCGTGAACAGGTGCGGGCGTCCCTAAATCCCCCAAAACAATGATAACTTTATTAACATCCGGGTAATCCAGGCTGCGGGCGGCCCAGGAGCGCGCGGGCCCGAGCGGAGACGCACGTAATACGCGCGGCCTGTTCTTTATAATTGAGCGCGAAATGAGCAGTGCGCGGATAATGAGGGCTCACGCGCTCTCAGGGCGGATCAGCGGCGGATCAAAGCCTCTAAATTGGCGCATAATAAGAGCATAACACGCGCATAATGCCCGGATGATCAGTGGATAACGCGAGATGATGCGGAACGTGAGAACGCCGCGGATCAAACACTTAATCAGACACGGTTCACGACACGCGCACGAGACGCGCACGAGGGTCACGCCTCCATTCAGCAGATTAGTCCGGATTAAAGACCACACAAGATTACGGTCCAGTGCGGACCACAGAACCAAGACCTGGTCCATGTGGACTGAGGAGAGCAGGCCAGGACCGGGCTGAGCCTTTCCTCACGGGCTCGGATCTGAGTCTAGACTCGGGTCTGGACTTGGGTCTGACTGGTATAAGCGGCTCCTATTGGACAAAGGTCAAAGACGCATCTGTATTTTTCTGTTTATTGAAAAAGAGAAATAAGTTAAACATGCAGCAAAGACACAAACAGACGCTCAGTAGAAACTTCTCATGCATCAGAATTATAATAGTCCTGCCCCACACGACTGACCAATCAGAGAGCAGCCTATACGGCGTTTGGACCAAACACCCGACCGTGGGAATCAGAGGGAACAAACACGTAAACAAACATGTGACACAGGTCCTGTTTCCAGATGAATCAGACACAAAATTAATCTTATATCATTGTCTAATAAATGTGAGAGTTAAAGGAGGCCTGAGAGAAACATTGTTTTAATTAAAGAACTGAAAACAACACTCGGCCTAAATATATATAGGAATAATTCTCACAATGACATCACCATCACTGAAGATCAAAAAGGAGGCTCCTGAGGAGGATCAGCGACTCCCCAGGGGCCCGGGGCCTTTGTTTGGGAAGAAAATTAAAACCTTCATCTGTGAAAAACATGGAGGAAAACCCAAAGAGGCCTCAGGGTCTGGAGCTGAGAGCCACAGACTTTATAACAGGACTTTATCATACAGTCTGTGTGTAAACGTGTGCACTTACAGAGGCCAGGGGCCAGATTCCAGGTGCCAGAGTCCCCTGAACTCTACCCCACAGTGCACCTCTGTGATTGGTCTGAAGCAGGTCTGAGACAGAGACAGGTCTGGTTAGTAGCTCAGGGAGAAGAACCTGTTCCTGGAGCTGCGGTGGTGACAAAGAAGTTAAATTGTGACTGAGATCTCTCTGATCTTTCTGATCCGACTAAAAGATAAAAACACAGATTAATTTTCATCTATATCTGAGAATTAAAAGTGCAAATAGTTTGATTCTGGGAGAGAACGCTGTGTTCTGCAGTGCTGCCCCCTGGAGGGCGGGGTCAGTCCCCCACTATTGTTCAGTCTGTGATCAAACTACAACGATCCAAGGTCATGTGACTCTGGGATTATGCTAACGCTGTCACCTCTGACCCTTTCACGGAGACACAACCTCTGACAAAAACAAACACTTGAGAGGAGAAGCTCTGAGGAGTAGAGTATGGAGAGTAGAGTAGAGTAGAGTAGAGTAGAGTAGAGTAGGTGGAAACGGGGCTAGTTTGTCAACAATCAGAGGAGACTTCAGAGTAAATACAGGAGATGTGAACAATGAGCTGCAGAGAGACCAGATTAGAGCTAACTAGAGCTAAACATGTGGAGAGTCCTGGTTTTTGCAGCTGATGTTCACAGAACTTTGACCTGAACTTTAACCCTCTAAATGTAATGGCTCAGCCATTAACTCTCTCTGATTGGTCAGTTCTGTTTAAAGGCTCATTCTGACATTAGTCACAGTGCAGAAATAGGAAGTGCCAAAAAGGTTGAGTCCAAATCAGTTTTTTTCTAAAAGTAGTGCAGCATCAGGACATTCAGTCGAGTCCTGGTTTAGTCCTGGTTTAAAACCAGCACAGATCTTGTCTGTGATTGGTCCATGCAGTCAGTCCTGAGCTGTGATTGGTCAGCCCTGGGCTGTGATCGGCTAAGAGCTATGGAGTAGAGTCCGGGGGTAGGGGGCGCTGTAGTAGTTTGGATCCAGCTCCAAGCCGCGGCCGCCGTAGCCATTAGCAATGTTAGCATTAGCAACATTAGCATTAGCGCCATGTGACATGAGGCTGTGGATGGAGAAGGGGTGATCGAAGGCAAAGCGCGGGTCGTCCTTTAGCTCCAGAGGTGCATTGTGGGGGGGCAGAGGTTCATTGTGGGAGGGCAGAGGTGCATTGTGGGAGGGCAGCTGCTCGGGGGTGGGGTTAGCAGTGTTGGAGGCGGGGCTAGCCTTCAGTTTCTTGTCGCACTTGAAGCGTTTCTGGCGGCGCAGGTAGCAGCCGTTCTCAAACATGTTCCCAGAGTCCGGATGCAGCGTCCAGTAAGAGCCTTTCCCTGGTTTCTCTGGAGAACGAGAGACTTTGACAAAGCAGTCGTTGAAGGAGAGTGAGTGGCGGATGGAGTTCTGCCAGCGCTGCTGGTTGTGGCGGTAGAACGGGAACAGCTCCATGATCCAGGAGTAGATCTCCGACAGCGTCAGCATTTTATTGGGCGCCTGCTGTATAGCCATGGTGATGAGGGAGATGTAGGAATACGGCGGCTTGGCGTGAGGATAGCTACGGCGGAAAGACTTGGTGTCGCGTCTATTAGCACCGTACGAGGCGTAGGCGGGGCTCAGAGCGCCCCCTTGTGGCGCCTCGCAGTAACCGAACGACTGAGAGCCAGAGGTTGACATGTACGACACCGTCTGCATCTGCGACATTGGCTGCATCTGCACCGCCGTCGCCATGGAGACGTGGGACGAGACATGGGACGAGGCGTGAGGAGATGCAGCGTTCATCTGAGACACTGAGGACATCTGAGACATCGGGGACAAGAGACCAGAGCCCAAACAGCTTGAGGACAGAGGAGCCGAGGAGGACAGAGGAGCCGACGACAGGGACGACATCTGCAGAGACCCGGTTAAACTGTTGGACATCGGGGAGTAGACCTGCGACACAAGACACACTCGTGAGACTCAGTCCAGAGGCCGACGGTCAGGCCTCAGAACCACAGCACCAGACCAGATCCAGCAGGTTCAGAGCAGGCCCAGAGAGTACTGAAAAGTTAAAATACTTGTAAAATCAAAAACACCTTTGTGTAAAGCCCTGTTTCATCCAGTCCTACTCCACTCTACTCTACTCTACTCTACTCTACTCTACTCTACTCTACTCTACTCTACTCTACTCTACTCCCAGGTGAGCCTGGAACCTCAGGATACATACATTTTTATATTGTTTCTAACTCTTCAGTGTAGTTTCGAGGTTTACTACACACAAGAACACCAGCACCAGGGTAGTCTTCCTGAGGTAAAAAAGGTCAGAGTTTAGACCAACATTAATTGCATTATCTCTAGAATTTTTTAATGAAACTTTTCAGCCAATTTCCTTTTGTGGGCATTTGTTTTGACAGGGTTAGCGTCATGCTGTAACACAGGCCAATGTTTTAATAGAGTTGGAGCCAAACTTTGTCCATGAGCACTTCCCTTTTGGGTTTTGTTTGGCTAGCACGTCAGCATTGTCTGTCTGTATACAGTCAATGGTAATGACTTAAAAGTTAAGCAAATGTTTACATTATAATGGTCTTTATTTCAGTCGAAACGATTGCACTCTGGCAAACAGCAAGAATCTTCAATCTCTTGATATTTATGAGTAAGTAATTTTTATTTATAGAGCATAAAACATAAATTAGACACAATACACAATTTACTTTGAGTTTTAGAATTTTAATGTTTAATGTGCGGGTTTCTAAAAGTAGTTCAAAAAGGTGAGTCTCTGTATTGCTTCGCGATGCAGGACGCAAAGTATTAAACTCTGACTTTTATTAATAACCCGTTTAATAAAGCCACTGTCTTTTTGCAGAAAAAAACATGTTTCGAGAAAAGTCAATTTAAAAATACTTTTCTCATTTCTGTTTGTGTCGTTTGACCTTTTCCTCAGAATTAAACACGTGCCGCAGATCTTCATTGTTATTAATATTAGATTCATATCCGCCTCTTCACACCGAAACCACCTTATTACACTGAGGAGGCCCTGTCCATCAGGGACTCCACAGAACCAGGTCTGAACCAGTTCTGAACCAGGACTGAGACGGGTCTGAACCAGAGGTTTCCTGTAGAGCCAGTGCTAGTTACCATAGCAACATGTTGTTTACTAGCAGCAGTCATATGAACCCTTTCACAAACTGTTTTGCAGTATTTCAGTTATGACCCTTTGAAAACCTCATTTATTATTAAAACTTACTTTTGATAAAACAAACTCAAACTTTTGGAGATTTGTTCAGAATTTGATTGGGAGCCGTCAAAACGACTGTTTTGGGAGTTCCTGGGTCATATCAGCAGGTTTTCCCAAATCAGGTTGAATACAAAGTGCTAAAAGTCACATTCTGCTATATTTACATTTAGCCCTTTGCTCCATCGTTACACTCAAGGTCACCAACACACAAGTACATTTTAAAACAGTTAAAACACAATTAAAAGCAGCAGGAACAGAGGATGTATCCTAGCAACCAACCAAAAACAAACTAGTGTCTGCTTTCTTTATGTAGTTGTTTCTATGTTTCTATAATGTTTTTGATGTTTTAATTTTGAAATGGTGCGGAAGAGGCAGATCTGAACATAAGCTGGAGCCAGTTTCCTTATATAGGCATTTGTTCCGACGGCGTTAGCTTTGCTCCGACGCCGTTAGCTTTGCTCCGTAACAGGGGCAGATGTGTTGTGGCAAACTCATATCTAGATTTACAAAGACAATATCACAGGATCACACATTTTTGATGATGTGCGACGCAAACAGTGACTGAGCTAGAGGAGTTGTAGCGTTAAGTCAAAAGCTGCCAGAGAGAGGAACCAAAATTTGTCCATGAGCACTTCTCCATTGGGCTTCATTGAGCTATAGTGAGTGTATCATTTGTGTGACAACGTTTATATAATCTTACTCCTGCCTGCTCCTCTCTCCTCCTGGTCCCTTCTGCCTTGACTCTCCTTGTTCTCTCTCCTCCTGGTCACTGAGCTCCTCCTCCTTGTCCCTCCTTCTCCTGATCCCTCCTGCCTCCTCTCTCCTCCCAATCCCTCCTCCTCCCTACTCCCTCCTCCTCCTCTCTCCTCCTGATCCCTGACCTCCATAACACACTCGCACAGGCATCCTCCTCAGACTCATCTGTTCAGACCACACCATCCTCTGTTTATGCTGCTTTAACTTTGTATTTCATCTGTTTTAAAATGTATGTTTCACTTGTTGATTAAGTGTCTAAAGGCGCTTGAAAACAAAATCTACTATTATATTAATTATAATTTATTAATTATAAATATTCAAATCAGTTTATATACATTTCAGTTTGATACCAACTTTGACTTTGATCACAATTCTGACAGTTTTGTCAATAATACATTTGTAATGTTCATTGTTTTTTATTAGTTACAACGATCCGAACGAGGACCAACAACTTTGTTCTTTCTGAAGTCGAAAGAAAATCTCCAGTTTGTGTCACATTAGAAATGAAGGAAATTTACTTTTTAAAACTCAGATTAAGATGAGAAGATGCTTTATTCGTTCCACTGAATACATATCCTGTGTTGTCATTTTCAAGAGTTTATACAGATTACATCCGTGTCCATATGGACAGTGGTCACCCTGTGCTTGTTATTATTGCATTAAAACTGTTTTATTCTTTGATACAGTATGTTACTGCCGAATCGACACAAATACATTTTTATCTGAACCGGATTTAGCTCAAAAACTAAACTTCATCCACAATCTCCCCCACAGTAAATCTCTAATGATGAATATATGTGAGTTACAGTCGATGGAAACGGATAGAAACTAAAGAATGTTGCTCTGGTGGGATCTGTCACATTAAGATGATTAAAAGCTTTTTAGTCGATAATAATCATAATAATTGTTAAATGCGGTGCTTTCTCTGAGTCTGCAGAGTGTGACCTCTCTTCACCGCCGCCTGTTTACACACGGATCAGCAAACAACACAAACACTGGATTTTCATATGAATTAAACATTTTTACAAAGTAGAATTATAAATATTGACCTGAAACCGATGAGAGACGGATGTGAGAAATATTAGAACCAAATGAAAAGAGAAAACTATATTGTCTTGTGTTTTATTCTTTAATTCACACGAGTCAAAATGTCTTAAATAATGTGTTTTGCTTTGTACAGTTGTTTTGTCACAAACTTAAATATAACATTTAGAGTTACAAAAAACTTTAACCTGTGTTTGAGCTGATTTAATTACAGTAATAATACATAGACATATAAATACAGACAAATAATGTGAAGGATTTTACCATTTTGTTTTTTTAAATAGACAGTTTTTTGTAATTGTCAATTTCAAGGATCTCTCTCTGATCCGACAGTGAAATATAGAGAAACGTCAAAACCTGCAGACTTCATCTGTCAAACAGATTTAAAGCCATTTCCATTAAAACTATCACCATATATATATATATACTTACTTGACAGTTTTTTTAGATGCACCTTTTATCAATGGGTTAAAACTCTGCAGAAACACTTATATAGCACATTTAATCAAACAGGCCTCCAGAGAGGTCAGTTATACACAAATAAAAGTAAAGAGTTAAAGTAAAGGGGATAGAAGCAAAAAATAGCATAACAATAAATAATACAGAATTTTGTAAACACATGTTTGTGTGTTTGTCTCTGTTCTTGTTTTATATGCACCCCTTGTGTCTGAATTAAAGATTGAATAAATATAGTAATAAATATAAAAATAAAGGCTGGAATTGAGATTAAGGTTGTAACAGAACCAACAGTTTTAATTCCGGTAAAACATCAAAGACGATCGTTTTACCTTCACATGTGACTTTGTTTTTGTCAGTTTAGATTTGAAAAGATTTGCTCAAGAAGGAGCTGTATTTGTAAAACACGGAAATACTGTTAATTATCTGTGTTTTACCTGTATTTTAAATGCTGAAAACTGTATTAATGATGTGCACACAGTAATTCTGCAGTCGCTTTGCTTCGAACTACGAGTCAAAGTTAAATTAAGCTCTAACTGAAAAATAATGTGCAATGTCCCTTTGGCAAAAACAAATATAAAAATAAACGATATATTAAGAAAACATTTGTAAAAACAGAAAATTGCAGTTAGAATATAGACAAAGCTTACATCCAAACTTTTGTCTCATCCACTTCTGGAGCAAAAAATCTCAAAAGGAAATTAATCAATTAGTTATTTTAAGACATGTGTCAGAAATATTATAGACCATGAAACATTAATGAAAATGTCTCATGGAGTTACATTCTCTCCATTTGTAACTCTGATGTGGCGCATAATAATAATAATAATAATAATAGAAATAATAATATTAGTAATAATAATAATAGTAATACAAATAATACAAATAATAATAATATATCTACTTACAAGGTTTCTCTCTTTGTGACATTAAATATTCTCGTCTCGCCTTTGAGCAAAAGCTTTCGTTCATCGATACGCTGTTTTAACTGGAAGAACAACACTTTTGATCTGTTTCTGAATCAAATGACTGTTCTTCCATTGACTATTTTTCCCTTTGGTGCAGAGTCAGTCACAGCCCACTTTTATTGAATTGAATAACAGGTAAATATTGTATAAGGCGCTGGGATTGGAACTCGCGTCTGTCTCGTCTGTTTCATGAGACCAGTAATTACACAGATAAAGATAGTCTATTTCAGCTTTTTATTTTAGACGTTTTATGAGTCATTTTCATCAGCAACAAAGCATGAAATTAAAAAATGCATTTCAACTAATATTGTCTTAAACACCAATATGTTAAGGACAGAATCTTCGTTGATATTTCCTTTTGAAGAGTTGCGAGAACATTGTAACATTTGAACTGAATGTGACAATAACTGTATTTTTTGATGCTCCGTGGACCAGAGCGGGGCCTCTCGCGGATCGAGGCCGAGCACTGCGCTCTGTGTTCAGGCAGGAGACGCGTGCAAGTCCCGCTGCTCCGGAGCCTCCACGCGCCGCATCCACGAGGAGTTTGTTTATGTGATTAGTGCGCAATATATTATAACGTTCATGGTCACATTATTTTAATGACGTTATAACAAAGACCTGATCACTCACTCACGCACACACGCGCTCCAAAAATCACCCGTTCACGCGCGCGGCCCCGTCTTCTCATTATTGACGTATTAACATCAGAGATAAAGAAACGGAACATATAATCAAAGACATAAGGTATAAAGCCGCGGTCTGTAAAGGCCTCTGATCTCCCGCGTGGACTTATTCTTAAATATATATTTGTATTCACTGAGTCTCAGATATCACACTTTTATCTAATTTGCACAAACCTTTGTCTCTTTGATCTGTGTACTTAGGGCGCACTTGTATACGTTCATTTTAAGACATATATGAAGATTTTCTCTGCATGCTTTAAATCGATTTTTACTTGTATAACTTGTTTGCATCCAGAGCCAAAGGAAATTCCCATGATTTACAATAACAATAATTATCTCTTCGGATTTAACAATAAACGTCAGATTTCATTTTAAACACTGAGGCCGCGTTTACATCATTTTAACGTTAGAGAAAATAACATGGCCTGAGAATATTTGACAGATATACGATTCCATTTTTTAGTTCCACACAAATATAGTTTTCAAAAGATGTTAGAGATTGAACCAAGAGGAAAATAACCTTTCGACAAAGAAATCTGTCTTTACATATTCATAATTATATTAGTGTAAAGTAATAAAAATCAGTCTATACGTTTTATTCAAGTGATGACCCGAGACATTTCTGAACATTTCTGAACAGTGTCATCCCGCTCCCTTTGGCTCCAGTTCGCTGTTGTATTCTCTGTGTTTCAACTGTTTGATTTTCTAATCTGTTGAGTAATCGAAAACGTAAGTCCCCCGAGTGACTTAGAGCTGTAAAAAATTGATTGAACTGAAATTGAATTTAAGTGCTGAGGGTCTTAAGCCTCGAGCTGTCTAAATTTGACAGAAAATTCATAAATGTTCGCCATGTGGATAAATATTTATGACCTGCTTATATTTAGAAACATTTAAAGCTTAATTTGGCGTCATATTAATATGACTCCAAATTATTATCATCTTATTATTATTATTATTATACGCTATTCTAAGAAATGTAGGATAGATAAGTTTTATTATTATTATTGCTATTATTATTATCAATCATCATAATCAAAAGTCATTTTGTTAAATATTTTACAAAGTGACTTTAACGCAGAATAAAACACTTAAAGTTATTTGACTCGGGACTGGGTTAGACCGAGACTGTGGGACTAAGCAGGCCTAGACCCAGACTTAAGCAGGTCTGAACCAGGTCTGAACCCGGACTAAAGCAAGTCTGACCCGGGTCAGTTCTCGCGCTCACCTCGTCGCTGTAGAAGCTCGCGCTCCAGTCCTCGTGGCCTTCCATCTTTACTGCGCCGAGCATCGCGCACGCGCCCGGGGTTGTTCCAGACTCTGTCCAAGTTTAATCCAGGTCAGATCCAAGACCAGGTCTGAGTGTAGACCAGGTCTGAACCGGGTCTGAACCAGGTCTGAACCAGAACTAAGCAGATCTAAGAGACTGTGACCCCACGCGCTCTCGGCTCCTCCTCACGCCCCCTCCCCTCACATGCACGCCGAGAACAACGCACGCGCCTGAAGTCCAAAATTACTTTCATTAAAACAGTGTGACAGCATCCGACAGAGCAGACACACGAGTCCTGATTTAGACCTAAGACTTGCTTTAGATCTAGTTTAGACCTGGTTTTGTGCTGATTAGTCTTGGTTTATTTCTTGTTCAGTCCTGGTTTAGTTCCTCACTGGCAGTAAGAATCATTGTCTGAATAGACACACATATTGATGGATCCCGCAGAGAACCTCTGGTCTGTACCACAGGACCCATACTCTGGTCTTTTGGGAGTGCAGGAGCCAGGACCTTCTGTGACTATGGTGACATCAGCCTCTTTACAGAGCAGTAGTAGATACTTTAGTGATCCCCGTGGGAGAAATTCAGGTCTCCAGAAACATGTCCAAACAAACAATAGTGTGTATGGATATTTAAACACAATAGTAATAAAGTGCAGCAGAGGTGGTGAGCGGCTTCCTCTGGTTGATGTCTGCAGAGTCTGTCTGCTCTGGTTCAGAGTGAAATGCTGAATGCTTTATTGTAATTTTTCAAAGACATTGGCATTCCTGCAGAGTATTTCTGCTTGATCTGCTTGGCTGGGACCATCCTCTCTGCTCTGGATCAGTGTAAAACCATGAACACTGTTCTGTAACTTTTACAGATGGAAAAAACCCACAAAACATCAACTGTTTCAGAGCTGCTATAGGACTCGTTGCTGTTTCCAGAACATTCTAAAGTAAAAAGTAGCAGCAGTAGCATTATAATTATTGTTGTTATTATTTGGACCCTCCTCTGACCCCTGACTCACTGTGGCCTGTAGAGGGGCGTGGCTCTCACATAAACCTGTCTGTAATGAAATGACTCACTCAGCTGAGACAGAGGGTGATGGTCATATATAATGCCATAATTATGGGTGAAAATTACAAAGCAAAGGATTTCAAAATAAATGTACGTTCAAAGAAGCTAAGCAGGGCATGGCCTGGTCAGTACTGTGAAGGGAGACCTGGAAACACCAGGTGCCACAGTGGGGTGGCTGCGGCACTTCACCCACATTAGAATGAGTCTGGTGTGTGTGTGTGTGTGTGTGTGAATGGTAGGAGGGGCTTATGACATGCTGGTTGCCTAACTTCTGTCAGTGTGCCACAGGGCAGCTGTGGCTGCAGTAGTAGTTTATCCCTACATGTGTTTGGAGTGAATAAATAATAAAATGTGAGGCGTCTGTGAAATGTATCAAAAACTGATGGATTGTTAGTAAAAAAAATATTTTGCCAAAATGATCATCTCATGGAACTTTCTGTGTACTGTGTTACTCACTCTACAGTCTGATTGCGAGCCAAAGGGGGCGGGGCTTTGGGCAGGTAAATCTCACTAAAAGCCCTTCACCTGAGCACGACCTGGTTGTGTCACAGACTCTCAGGAGACACTGCAGGATGTGAGACTCAGAACAATGGGGCCTTTTGGTGATGTCATTGTTTCATTACCAGGTTCAAGAACAACGTGTGGTCTGTTTTATTCCAATAAAGCCTAAAACTACGTTAACTGGCGTCGGATTAGGATAAAAGAATGAGGAAGTCGCTTGGATTGTTAAAGTGATCTAGCGGTATACTAACAAGTTTTTTTTCACATTTGTGTCTGTGATAGGATGCCTTCATATCAACACAGGAGTGTCTGATATGAAGATGTGACAAAGAGTCATATAGTGACTCACAGGGCTCTGTCATACAAGTATGCAAAAGATCACGTTTTAAATCAGGGGTGTCAAACTTATTTTGGTTGAGGGCCGAATAAAAAAAAGAAAAAGCTGGTCAGGGGCCAAAAAAATAAGTGGGTTTAATTTATAAATTTTTTTGGGAATATGAAGGTATCTAAATAAATGCCTTGTTTCACAATAGTTAGATTGGATATTCTATTCTGATTAGAATTAGTTCAGTTTCTGTGGACTGAACCAAAACTGGACCAAATATTGAAGGTATATCGGAAGATTTTATACTTTTGAGTGGATCAAGATTATTGCTCCTCCCAATTGTCAATCATTCTGGTGATTCGTGCTCGTCAAATAAGACCAGAGAGATTTGTTCAGAAAGGGGAGAGGGCGGTTCTTTCCTAAGAAAATTGGGAAATCCTTTATTTCCATGGGATTCATATAAATCTTATGGTTGTTTTCTTCGTAATGGATAACATGCCATTGTCGCCTAATACCATTTATGATGCTATTTCATATAATGATTCAAAATCATCTCAAGGGCCACTGGAAATGGTCTCGCGGGCCGGATCTGGCCCTCGGGCCTTGACTTTGACACCTGTGCACTACACACATCTGGCCTTTGTCGATAAGAGGTAGATCTACGAGCAGCAAAACACAGGACGTATCCGACATGAGGTCAGAGGAGACAGAATAGAACATGTATCCTCTTTCCACCGGCTCTTCTCCACTCTCTGACTGTTGGGAGCAATTCCTCCCTGTGAAACCAGTCCTTGCTTTAAGGTTTGCAAATGGATTGGTTCTTCTGGCACCCCCACAGCATTTTAACTTCCTTAAGTTAAGGTTCCTCAATTATCCCAGTGAACCTTTGCCTTTTTCCCATGAACATGTGATGTGACACTAGAAATACGTCAATATTTTGTGAACTGATTGGACAACACGCGCTCTTCATCCTATGATTTAAAACACAGATGTCAAAGTCAAGGCCCGGGGGCCAGATCCGGCCCGCGAGACCATTTCCAGTGGCCCTTGAGATGATTTTGAATCATTATATGAAATAGCATCATAAATGGTATTAGGCGACAATGGCATGTTATCCATTACGAAGAAAACAACCATAAGATTTATATGAATCCCATGGAAATAAAGGATTTCCCAATTTTCTTAGGAAAGAACCGCCCTCTCCCCTTTCTGAACAAATCTCTCTGGTCTTATTTGACGAGCACGAATCACCAGAATGATTGACAATTGGGAGGAGCAATAATCTTGATGATCCACTCAAAAGTATAAAATCTTCCGATATACCTTCAATATTTGGTCCAGTTTTGGTTCAGTCCACAGAAACTGAACTAATTCTAATCAGAATAGAAAATCCAATCTAACTATTGTGAAACAAGGCATTTATTTAGATACCTTCATATTCCCAAAAATGTTTATAAATTAAACCCACTTATTTTTTCTTTTTTTTATTTGGCCCTCAATCAAAATAAGTTTGACACCCCTGGTGTAGTGTATGACAGTGAGCTGTGGAGTTCTGCACCTCCTCCAGAGGAACCATTGGCCTCGTGTCTGCATCTGTGTTCAATATTCAAACTGAGTTGGAGCAGACAGCCGAGTCTGGGTAGATTTCCAGTAGTGCCATACTCTTTCCAATCATGCTTTTAGTAACCACTGGACTGAGGCCCAACAGAACAGCTGAGATTCTACATTAGAACGTGACCCACAGATGGGTTTGTTAGGGCCAGGTGATCATTCAACAGTCAAATTATTTAAAAAGTTTAGTACTGTATGAATACTTGTGCAAGCGCCACTTATCACTTGTAAGAATAAAATTGTGTCATGTTGCGGTCACTAGTCTGAAAGTCAAATTATAGATCTATGGTTATAAACATATGAAACTGAAACTAAAGCCCAGAGAATCACACTAAGACATGTTTCAAAATTTCTCAGACCACTAAAAGCTTTGTTGGGACTGTTCCAAGTATTTCATGAGACAGCCCCGGGACAGCTGTATTTTTCCAGTTTGGATTGATACGCGTGAGCGGGAACAAAGTTTTAAAGTGATTTTTCTTGGTTTAAACCATAGTCTATTAAACTACGGCGACTGCTCGCAGATCACTTTAACAGTGCCCTCTGCTGGCTCTGGTGTCACACTTCCACCCACTGACCCTGAAGTAGAGCGTGCAATGTTTTTCACCATAAATGTTGTAACAGTCGCATAATTTTCTGAAGTCAGATCTACACCCGCGGTCAGAAAAACAAGACTATTACAGCTGAGGTCAGTCTTGTTCGATTCAGCTTTATTCCAGTCAAGGCGCAACATTAAGTCACTGGAACATACAATGTTAGGCGTTAAAGCTCAAATTGTAAGGTTATGTGACAGTAAATCTCATTTCTAGTCCACAACCAATGAGTTTGAGATGAACAGTTGAGAGTGGTACAAAAAAAAAAAATTGTACCTGTTATGTTAAATTCAGGGAACTCAAACTAGGAATAAGCTTCGATATGGTGCAAAACAAATTGTAAACATTACGTTCATATAAATAAAGTTGCAGGTTAGAATTTACCACCGTATTTAATTCAAAACCAAGTTTAAACCCCATTCATAGAAGTAAAAAGTTTATTCTGAAATAAAATATTTACAAAAACACATGTTTTATACAAAAATAAGGTACATTCTGGCATCTCCAGATCCTCCTCTTGGAGCCACTTCAGTTCATTACATTTCCCATGATGCTTTGCCTTTACTCTGAGCCTTCCATTTCCTTTTTCTTCTTTTTTTTCTTTTTCTTTACCTGAAAAAAAGAAGAAGTTAAAACACTGAAGTGCAACTCTCCATTAATGAGTCATAAGATTAATTTCGTCTTTGGTTTTAGAAAGTACAGTCATTATGGTCTTGAAAAATTAAACATTATCACAACTAATCTAAAGTCTGAGGATTTACCTTATATTGTAAAAACAGCTCAAAAGCCTCATCCTTCAAGGAGTTTAAGGAGAGATTTGTGAACCATAATACAATAATCATTTACAGAATTTAAATTTAATATTTTCCATTTTGCCTTTGAGTCCTTTAAAACATTTAAATTTGATCTAGATTATATTTTTTTAGTTTATATTGTCCAAATTAAACATTAGTCCATTTGGCGCCACCAGATTACCATTATGACGACGAAGGCATCTGTCCTTCTGTGGAACAGTCTAAATGCCATTATTTTCATCTAGAGGGCTACTGCTTTTAGGCTCTTGGGAAAGTTAATGCAAGCATGAGGCCTTCGGCTACAGAAAGTGTAAGTAACCCCATTTACGCTTTCACAGTAGGCTCCCAAAACGGACTCAATATTTATGCAACTTCTACATCCTGTGGAGGACTACTGGTCACTTCCCAGCTGTAGATTAGCGACTCGTGTCACTTGTACAGTCTAAATGTACTAATTGAGCCAGAACTCAGACCAACCGAGTTCTGGCTCAATTAGAAACTATCTATAGCATAACTCCTCACAGCACCTACAGTGGTTGTTTCCATGTACTACAGAGACCAGAGCCTCTAGTGGTGGTGTAGCTGTACTGCAGTCCCACCTCTGGCTCTTCTGTAGCTGCCGTCTCTTCTGTAGTTTCTTCAGCCTCCTCCACTTTTATCTTTTTGTCCTTTTTCTTTTTCTTCTTTTCCTTCTTTGTTTCTGCGTCGCCAGGGGTAACAGCAGGCGTCTCAGGAGCGTCCGAGTCGCTCTCATCACGTTTCCTCTGAAAAGTCAAATTAGTTTTTTTAACCAGCCGTGGCTAAACTGGAACAGGTTTAAGCTTTGCCCGTTACGCTGAAGTTCAACCAAATTGTTCTTTTATAGTACAGAAATGCAGCCAGGACTGTTCTAAACTAATTACTATCATTTCAAAGCCAAAACATCTGGCTACTTCCATAACTGATCCTTCTTCAGTAGGTTTGATTTGAGGTCAGACAGCCAAGAGATGATGACATCACAGTGTTCAGGAATAATGCGAAACCATCTCTAGCATCATCACTCCTCAGCAGCATTTGGTTGTGTTCATGCAAGCTCTGAAATTTCCCAGACAGAACTGGGCTTTTGCATTTTGTACGAGCAGCGCTTCAGCTGTCAAAAGCCATGCATACACCATAAAATACAGTTGCAGAAGACGCCGAGGGGCAGGAGCAGGACTGATGGCTACGGGAAGACCTTGGAGCTTATTGCAGTGCACTAAAGTTCCGAATAATTTTATAGGAGCAGTTACAAGCTAGTATATATATATTCTGACATTTGGAAAGTCTTCAGGAAGATTAAATGAAGCAGAGACTAACCTTCACCGGAGTTTGTCCTGGATCTTTCACCTTTACACTGAAACAAAAGCAAAGACATGAGACTAGGTCCAAGGGATTGGAAAGATGAAATTAGGGCAGAAGACTTTAGAGGGCATGTCCTCAGGTGAGATGTGGGCATGGTCACAAGGACATCACCCAGTCTCATGAGTGTTCCTTTAGCAGACCGACTCCCTGAGAGAGCACTGCAGCTCAAAAAGGGATAACTGTCTGCGTCATTGCCAGGCTAACAACTTAGGCATTAAATATTTATGCATCAACTGCTGTACACACATTATCGCTTAAGATTAACTGCAGAAAATAGATGTGATGTTTATGAATCTTTTAGCCCTGGAGAATTACTTATTGCCCGTTCTGGGACTCACCTGTAGTCTGGATTCTCTTTGGTCCACTCTGAGGGTGTGCTGCCATTGGGTTTTCCATGTTTGTCCAACAGACCTTGTTTTATAAGAAGCTTTTTCTGGCTGGCCTTGAACAAGAATAAGAGTTGTGATCCAAGTTTCCCTGAACAGTCAGGAACATTAATTTCTTCTGTTGTGGGGCCATTGTGACTGTCGCTCTAATAAAAAAACTTCCCAGGTAACACTTTTTCTAGTTTTAGTGTAGAAAACTACATAAAGCAGGAAATCTACAGTCCTGAACCCATCAGAGTAGGGTGATAGATGGAGGTCACCACGGCCATAAGCTCTTGGTTCTATCATCTCATCATGTGGGATTAGAACTAATGTCCTGATTCAGCATCAGGACACACTGATGTGTGTAGTCTATCTTTAAAAAAACAAATATTGAGTCTATATTAAGTACACATTCACATCCTTTTTAATTGCAGTACAAGTACTACCACCATCACTATTAAACACATGTTTGAATATTAATTTATCAGCTATTGTAATGTATGAATCAGGTGCAGTTGGTACCTTGGGTCCCAGCCCCCACTTGCGCGGGTACGTGTCTCGCTCCATTATGACCCTCTTGATTTTCGCCACGACGCCGTGATCACAGGTGGAAATGACCGCCGTAGTCATCAGTGCGACAGCTGGAACAGGAGGATGTTCAGATCACAGACAAATGAACAGCAAAACTAAACTAATCCTAAAGTAAGTTCTTAGCTAATCCTGATAGGATGCCTCAGCTTTCTGTCCACACAGGGATACTCTACCACAGCTGCCCTGGGGCAGACTGTCCCATCAGAGTAGGGTGATAGATGGAGGTCAGCACAGCCAGATGCTCATGGTTCTATCATCTCATCATGTGGGACCAGAACAGAGTCTTCTCTGGCCCCTAAGGGACCCATGTCTTATGCAGCAGTTCTCACCTGTACAGACCGCTTCTCCTTTCGTGGTGATTATGACGATGTCTTGGTTCATCTCTATGCCGTCCTCGTAGCGCAGGACTCCAGGAAGCATGATCTTTGCTCCATAACAGATTGCGTTCACCTGGAGATGGATTAAATTGAGTAAGTTTGACAAGTCAGAGGTGTAGCCACCGAGTCTGGACAGGAGCAGGAGGCGGGTCAGACAGCCAAGAGATGATGACATCACAGAGTTCAGTGTAAATGCGAAACCATCTCTTTGTATCATCACTCCCAAACATTTAAGTCAAATTACTGTAAACTCCAGTCAGTTTAGTTCTCGTCGCACAATACTTTTAGTAAGCCAGTGTGCAAACCACTCAGCCAAAGTGAATTTTAATTGTGCCAAAATACATTTTATGGACAGAAACTGCAAATTAGCCTTGGCTGTAGAGGTAGCAGATTGTCACCACATGACTTAAAGCTGCACTAACTGACTTTGGGATTTTGAAGCAGCAGACCCGCTGGCCTCTTTCTGCTCCCCTCCCCACGAAGCTATCGCCCCCCACACACACCCACTGTTGGGACGAAGCTAGCGTCTCCCAATATGGAGAATACATGGATATGCACGTGGATGGCGTGACCATAGAACGATAGAACCGGGAAGCGCGGAGGAACGAGACTTTCTTTTGGATGGCTGTCTTGCTGTGTAAGCAGTAACCGGTGATGAAGAGACGAAGCTTCAGGTTAGCTCCTTGGCTTGTTGTGCTAACTCAGCCGTCTATGCTAACGGAGACCTGTAGATTTCTCACAAAAGTGGGGGCCAGTGGTCCGCGGTGATTGGTCACAATCAGCGACCCGAAACACATTCTCTTCCTTGTTTCATCAAAACTCGATCTAAAATATAATGTCACGCCAGCCAAATCTGCGCTACTTTTTCGTCAAAAGGACGTATATCCCAATGCCCTACACGGACATGGATAGCATTTTCGTAATGAATACAAAAATAAAGTCAGTTAGTGCAGCTTTAACCCTATATGCCTGCGTGCATCGGCGCCGATGCACGCGCACATGTTTTACAAATGATCAATTTACTCGCGAACGGTAAAACGTAGCAACTTACTTTTTTTACCTCTGTGAAGTGCGTATTCAGGGCTTTCCGAAACTAGATTTGATTTGTCTGTGCGATGCACGGAGGATAAACTACGTTTGTCTGAAAGTCCGTGTCCAAAGCGTGACCCGTGAGGTACAAACAGCTGTGAGATACAAACACACGGGGACTGCCAAAGATCGTCAGAGAGTGAGATCTCACTCCTCTGCGTTTCCTTGTTCTCCCACAGTTGAAACTACAGCTGCGATTGCAATAACTGGCTGAAGAGTGCGCATTATTGATAAAGACGATAATAAACAGTAAAATGACATGTGTATATAAATATATGTATTATATTATTATTTTATTATTATAATAATTATTATTATTTTATTATTTTTTTTTTTTTTGGCTCAGTTTTGTATGTTTTACAGCTGTACTACAGAAGCAACCCCAGCATTGTAGACAAACTGCTTCAGGAAGGGCATCAGTAAGTAGTAAGTAATCTTTATTTATATACCGCCTTTTCACTGCAGATCTGAGTCTCAAAGCGGTTTACAATTGTTAATTATGGGCATTTATCTCTCACTCCACACAGAGATGGGAGCGGGGGTCGCCAGTACAGGAGGCGCATGCCAGACATGCCTATTGGACATATTTTTAGTGGTAGGGGAAACCGGAGTACCCGGAGGAAACCTACGCAGACACGGGGAGAACATGCAAACTCCACTCAGAAAGGCCCTGGTCCGACCGGGATTCGAACCCAGGACCTTCTTACTGAGAGGCGAGAGTGCTATCCACTCAGCCACCGTGCCGCCTGTACTCGCATCAGGAGTACAGAGTTTTTTTGCTTTTATAGTGGAATTTTGTAAAAGGTATAATAGTTAGAGATTCAATTTTTTTCCCCATTATCCCCAAGACCATAAATAACATTTCTATGCAGTGTAAAAAGTTGTTTATAGCATTTCATTGTGTTTTTTAATACATTTTTGGTAAATTGATTTTCCGTTTGATTTTTTTCTTTGTCTTTATGATTCCATCATTTTTATATATTTCATATGACAGCTTTACAATATGAATATTCTAAAACCCCAGGTTGTACTGAAAAAAACAAAGTATACTGCTTGACTCTGCATCAAAAGATGACTGTTTTATGAACAATTATACACAAAGAAAACCAGGCGAGGAAAGTTCCCCAAAATGACCCATGTGCATAGAGGGTTAAGTAAAAGAACCATCCTGATCACTTACAGCGTAAAATACACAAAAATAATGTTTAGTGACTTACCGCGCTGTCCTTCATGACGATGCGTTTGTGCGATATCAGCAGTTTCTCCAGCGGGTAAATTACTCGTCTCAGATACGACTCGTCTTTGTTGTGGTCAAACTGCCACTGAGCGTCCAGGACATCATGCATCGTCACCAAGTTATCCTGATCACAGACAGGCATTAGAGACTGAAAAACTAATACAACAAGCAGTCTTAATCTATCCATGCTTAGAAAAGCAAGAGAAATTTAATGAAAAGCGCTTATTAGTCCCACAGTGGGGAAATTCAGTAACACTGGTAAAATATTGACAATATGTCAGCACAGGGAGTCTGGCGGCTCCAATGAAAACACTCCTGTTAGAGTGTCCAATCAGAACGCAGCTATGCCCCGTGCCCTTTGTTTCCCAGAGATTAATTGACAGCCTCTAGACCAGAACCAGGACTGGACTCAACACTCTGGACTCCACAGGCCTCCAATGCTTTATAGAAACTAACCTTTTCACCCAGGACTCCGGAGCGGACCCTCCTCAGCTCCTGCATCTGCCCCCCCACCCCCAGCAGCAGCCCCATGTGCACACACAGGGTCCGGATGTACGTGCCAGCCTCACAGCTCACCCAGAAGATACCTGCAGAAGAGGAAGAAGTTAGATTCCAGAAAAGAGGCACAGGAGATTGAGGAAAAGCGGATACTGACCGAGCCGTTTCTCCGGATCGTACTCTATCAGTTTGCTCTCGTAGATAGTTCTAACTCTTAACTGACGCTTCACTGCAGCGATCAGTGGGGGGCGCTGGAACAACGCTCCAGTCAGAGTCTCGAGGCACTGAGGACAGACGAAAAGATTACCATGGTTTCCAGACGTTTAAGATCAATGTAGACCAAGGTGCCAGATAACTACTGTTGGATGCACAGAGGTTTTATAACATGCTTTAGTAACTTAATGATGCGGCCATTTCTGCTTGACACCTGAATTTCTTACAGATCAATAAAGTATAACTAGTACAGCAGCACAGTCAGCATGCATCAGTCCAAGTACCTTGGCGAGCTCGTGCTGGGAGCTGATGGCGTTATGCAGCCGGACGATGCCCACATACTCTTTGCCTGAAACAGAGCAGGGACCGGCGGTTTACTGTAGCCCACCGGGGGCAGGGTGTAAGGAGGGGGCGGGGCCACACAGACTGGTGACACCGCTCTGCTCAGATAGCAGTACATAGTACATACCTGCGCTCTGCTGGCTCTTCACCAGCCGTGTGGCTCTGTCCACACACACGATGAGGCAGCCCGTCACCTTCGGGTCAAGAGTTCCACTGTGACCCGTTTTATCCACGCGCAAAATCCTTCTGATCCAGGCCACCACCTCATGAGACGAGGGGTTGGCTGGTTTGTCCAGGTTTATGAAGCCAGTCCTGACATAGTCATGGATGTTCCTCTTCAGAGGGTTGCTACCACTGGCCAGAGGAGTGTAGTGACTCGTCCTGATGTTCAGTTTGTCAAAGTTCTACAACAAGAAAAAAAATTGCACTTTATTAATAGTTCTGCAGCAGTAACTAGTAATCCACACAACCTAAACATTTGTCATCAGTTCCTAGATCTTCACTTCTGTGACTCCCCTGGTCTGGGATCAGATCTGTCGATCGTCTCGGCGCTGTGGCGATGCCTCGTATTTCCGTGCGGCGCCCAAGCGTCTCATCGACAGAACGTCGAGAGCAGCCGACCGCCGCACAGACAAACCCCGCCACCAGAACGGAAGCGGAGCCAGGACAACGAGGCATCAACCATTCAGGGCTCAGCGAATGGATAAACAAGTTCATCACGTCACAGGCTCAGGGGGCACTGTTCTACATCTACATTTGAATCAGTTTACATGTTTGTGTTACTGGAATAAAAGTTCACCTTAAGCAGAAGAGGCCATTGTGACGTGTCCAGAGTCGCAGCTTTAGACTCTGGCTTAATAAGGAAGTCTGCACTTTGCTGAATCTCCTGTAAAAAAAATATCCTTTTATAATAGAGTCTCAAACAATGTAATGAAAATTAGATATGTACTCCAGTAAAATGCTTCTTTTGGTGCATGGATTCAAGTATTAAATATAACATGACTTTTCATAACGAGAAACAATATGGCCAAAATAAAATCTTAAGTTCACTTAAAAAAATACACATAACCGAGTCTAAATGAAATCACTCACAAAAGCAAAAGTTAAAACCTCTTAATGGGCTAGAACGTAATTTCATACACCTAGTTCCGCCGCTAAATTTTAAACCCAGGTCCCAGAGCTTTGTTCGAGCCCTGTAACCCGGAAGTGCAGAGCCACTCACCCCGACGTCATCCTCGCTCGCTTTCTTGGACTTTTTCTTCTTTTTCGCAGACACTAAAACAGAATTACACGTTTAAAGGGCTTCACAGCAGCGACACAGGTAAACAGTGCTCATACAGGCCACAACTTTTAACCAGAGATCCAGGCTGATGGTGGCTGAACACGTGGCTGCTAACACGTGTTTCTCACTTCACGCGTGGGAATGGGGCTCGTAAAATCTAGGCATGTCGTCCTACTCAGAAAAGCTTAAGTTTAGCCCAATTTGTGATAAGTACGATAACTTAGACCAGGCTTCGGGCAACAGCCATGACTAAAAGCAAAGTAGTCAATCCGCACCCATCCAATTGTTAAAAAGTGAAAACATATGCTTTAGATTAATTTTATGGCTATAAATCATATGCAGTCTCGCCAAAATCCAATCATTTCTCGAATTCATAGAACATACGATTTGCTAAACCAGAACAAAGCCACTGTTTGAATATTTAAACGTTTTCCCTGAACCACGAATTATATAAGGTCATATCCATTTTAGATGCCATACCGATACATTTGCACCTCTTTAGCAGATTTACCGTAATATTGACAATGAAACATGCCGATTGTAGTTAAATGAATAACTTTTCAAACTTTAATGTTTTACTACAGAGTTCTATGAATATTTATCCCCGGACCAAATGCCAAGATTTAAGCCCCAGTCTTGCAGACAACACGTGGTGGAGCTGCAGGCGACGCACGTTTTAGTTTACAGCAGAAAGAAATGGCGCAAATGTCGATATAATAGAAAGAGCGAAATACAATCAGATGTGCAATTGTGAATAAGACGCACGAAGTGAGCATAATAGGAACAGTTACGCCTCGCACAAGTACATTATCGCAGTACTAAGTGGATCTCTCGCTGTTTAAGAGACAAAACACGTGGCCACTAACTGACGCAGGCGTTTGAGCATCACTGCAGTTTAATTTAAACCTGATGCAGAAGAACCAGCGCAAAAATGTGCCCCTATTTGCACAAAAACGCAGATTTCAGAGAGTGTCTCTCAGAGCGGCGCTGAGCCTCACCTTCCACGTCCGCCATCTTGATCCAACAGAACGCAGCACGTGGGCTTTTACTTCCGCTGCTCCTGCTCACTTCCGGTGTGTGAGGTCAGCGCCTGAAGGATTTTGCGTCGCCCACACGTGCAGCTGTGACTCTGCCCTGATGACAAACTTAACATTTATGTCATTTTTTATTTGTCTATCTGTAAGTTCAACAGTACATTGGAGTGCCTCTGTTAACCGGTAGGGACGCTGCTCTGTCGTCTACGTGAAACAAGATCCTGATCCTGTATTTGGACCAGGTACAGTCTGAAACAGACTAATTTACAGTCTATTGTACAGACTTACCTACAGTCTATGGAACAGACTTACCTACTGTCTATGGTACAGACCTTCATACAGTAGGTAAGAAGTAAACAAATATGGATAGATGGTAATATACAATTCAATTCATTATATATATATATTTAAATAAATGTCATTTAAGTTATATCTGAGATTGTTTTTGGTCCTCCTCAGGCTCCAACAAGAAGTCGATGGCGCTGACAGGAAGTGGTCGTAAAATAAAGGACAATGCAGCAGATTTTCACAATATAATCCTGCGCTGGGACCGACTGAACAACGAAGGTTTAAACATCTGCACCAAGATCAGCAACATGAGGTCTGGACCTAGATTAGACCGGGACTGAACAGGGACTGAACCAGGCATGGATCAAGACAAAACCAGGACTGGATCAAGACTACAATACGACTCTAGCTAGTCTTTCCTTGTCTCTGGTCTAGGACTCGGTCTCGTCTGGATCCGGACCGTGCTGTGGTTGGAGACTCTGTGATGTTCCAGTCTTCCCCTGCAGGAGCTGGGGAGCTGCAGGACGAATGCTGCAAACTACAGGAGATTGTCAAAAAAATGGTGAGTTCTGGTTCAGTCCTGGTTTAGCCCTGGTTAGTCCTGGTTTAGTCCTGGGAATGCCCTGGTTTTGTCTTTGTTCAGTCCTGATTTAGTCTTGTTCTAACCCTCGTTTCTCTTGGCTCAGTCTGGTTTGGTGCTGAAGTTGGACCGGTTGCTGGACTCTCACTCAGGCCTCGCAGATCTGGACCGGTTCAGGACCCAAGGCCAGACCCCTCCCCTGTTCCACACCTGGACCACTGCAGACTTTGGTGAGTCCGACTTTGTAAAAAATGTAGATGACTGCACAGCTTTTGCTCCCAAGAGATTTTAATTCTCACCACACGATGTGACGTTTCGGGTCACTACCCTTCATCAGACAAGTCGGACTTTGTACCTGTTTTGTACCTTGTCTGATGAAGGGTCTGATGTACCAAATTTATGTTTTTTTTAAAAATTCAGATCCCCATTGGCTACTGAAATATACAGATTCTATTCTTCCGAGGGTCTATATACTCATCAATGTTACACAAATGAATGTACAAACAAATAATATGCTTTGAACAAAAATACAGAAATGTTATATCAAAAACACACACTCTCTCACACACACACACACATGGTAACATTAATAGCAGCAGCAAAAATTAAAATGTCTATTTATCATTTGAAACATTCAATTAACTCAAAAATACAAATAAATCCATTCCATTCTTCAGTGATTCTTCATTTATATGGTCTTAAAATGTTTTTTGTATTTTGGTCCTTAAACCGGATCTTGAGACTGGATTTACTTCTGATTAGCAAGATTATTTATTCTGGCTTTGTTTTGAAAGCCAGAAAATTTCTTTTGAGTGGTCTCTCTCTCTGTCTCTTTCTCTCTCTCTGTTGGAGAACAGAGAGAAACAAAAGTCTAGTTTTCTCCTGGTTCAGCCCTTGTTCTGTTCTGTTGCAGAATGCTGGGCTCGCTCGGTCCGGTCGTGGTTTCGGTCTGAGTTGGAGCTGAAGACCCTGATCCTCCAGGACTTGGCCCACTGCGACAGTCCGGACCTGGTGCTAGTCTATCTTAGTCTGTGGGTCCACGAGCCCCACCTCCCGGTCCGGACCCGGCTGGAGCTGGAGGGCCTTCTGCTGGAGACCGGACATCGAGACCCATGACACAGACCCGAGTCTGGACCAGGTCAAGACCTGCTTCTGATGCTCAGGAGGTATGACTCTGTCCTGGTCCTCAGCTCTGCCTGAGGTTTGAGACAGAGAACTTTGACCAAGACTCTGGAAAGGAGATAGAATACAATCAACTTTCGTAAATGTTAGAATATTTGATAATGGCCTTGCAATAAAACAGCAATACAACTTTTTGACCACTCTTATGTCTGCTGTATTATTGGAGAAAAACAACAAAACCAGGACTAAATTAGGACTAAAGCAGAAGTTGACAATGAGTAAAGCAGGACTGGACCTCAACAAAAGACAGTTGCTAACTGTGTGATTCTTGTGTCCTTATGGCAGAAACAGGGACAGAGTCAGCGATCTTTAGCGCCTCCCTGTGGGCATGAGGGTGAACAGCAGCTGCAATGGGTCTGGGGGTTCAGGTCTGAGGCTCAGGTCCAAGGGCTCAGGTCTTCTGCGCAAGTTTTTTCTGTGGCTTCAGTGATCTGATAATGATTTCCTATTGTCTCTAGATCCGGAATTGGAAGCTTTGTTAGATGAAGTTGTGTGCGTGTGTGTGTGTGTGTGTGTTAGCGTGATCTTTTGAAGACACTTTTAACAGCAAATTATTATTTTATATTATATTGTGTATAGTTTGGACAGATCTAAAAACCACTTCAGGTCTGTGATAGAGGAACAATGTCAGAGGAAAGTTCCCGACCAGAGATTATCACTACACAACACACACACACACACACACACACAACCAAAGATTATCAGGACATAGCAGACACAAACATGTTATGTTTTCCCTTTAAGTGCCATAGCAAAGGAAGGTTTCTCACCCATCATCTGTACTTCTTAGCAAGTTTTCCCGACGTTTCGTCCTCAACCTGGGGACTTCTTCATGAAGAAGTCCCCAGGTTGAGGACGAAACGTCGGGAAAACTTGCTAAGAAGTACAGATGATGGGTGAGAAACCTTCCTTTGCTTTGACTAATCCCTGTACGACTGAGGGCTTACACAAACTTTAAGTGCCATAGTTTGCACACACTCACACTGTGACCCGCACAGAGAGAAACACGCATACACAAAGAGGCCCATGCACACAGAGAGAGACACACACACTCATTGACACACACACATTCTTCAGTCTTAGTTCGTCAATAGTTACCATTCGAACTTTTACACATTTGCAAGAAAGAGTCAATATATGCCTTTTTGGGCTGAGACCTGTTTAGTGTGTGTGTGTGTCTGTGTATAATCAGCTTGTGTTCAACCTGATGACCTCACAAAGACTTTCTGACTCAAAAGAAAGATGTTGAATGGAGTTCCCAAAGCCTGTTCCCCAACATTATTGTTTGTAATTGCAATTCTTTTAAGGAATATATTTGTACAAAAACCCTGAACTTGACCTGGTTTAGTCCTGTTCCAGTCTGGACATGTTTTTATTTGTGTTTGTGAACTTGATCCAGTCCTAGTTCTGGTCTGATCCCAGTTTAGAGCGACCTGTGGTGACAGTTACATAAGGAGAGACTCTGACGCTATGTTCTGTATGTGACCCCCCCCCCCCTTTGGACTGTGTGTGTGTGTGTGTGTGTGTGTGTGTGTTTGTGTGTGTGTATGGGAGGGGGTACTCTGGACTCTATAAAAGCCCTCTGAGTCCAGAGACCGGAGTTTGGCAGATAGAGAGAAGGAACCTATTTCCAAACTGAGCTAGGAGATCAAGAAAACCAGGACTGAGCAAAAACAAGATCAAGCTCTAAACCAGGACTAAAGCAGGACTAAATTTGTACTAACTAGGACTAAACCACACAAGAACTAGAACTAGAACAGCTCTAAATCCGTACTTACGAAGCAGAGACTGAAGCAGGACTACACTGAGGCTCGTTCTGTTCCTTCTTATCTCCTCTGTTTGGACTTGTTTGCTTTCTGCGTCAATACTAAATCGGTCTTCATCACCTGAGGAGGACTTTAGCTGCTGTGTGTGACCTGTGACCCCTCCTCTGAGATGCTGCTGTCTCCCCCTCCCCTCACTTCCCCCTCCCCTCCCCGCTGCCCGCCCCCTGAGCTCCTGAGGGAGTCGGAGCGCTGCCTGTTCGCTTTCTACCGGCTAGTGCGCAGTGGCGCCCCTGTGTGGCGGCTGGAGGAGGTGCGGCGGCTGGAGGTGCGGGTGTGGGACGAGGGTCTGGGTCAGCTGGAGCCCCTGTCACCAGGTCACGCTCTGGTCTACGCCCTGGTGCATGACCGCACAGACTACTGCGCCATGTTGTTGCGGAGCTATGGACGCGTCGCGCTGACACCGCCGCCCTGTGCCTTCTGCACGCGCTCAGTGGGTGCCACACACCTGCGCCTCGCTGCCACCTACGACCGTCAGGAGGCGCTGCAGCTCATCCTGGACACACTGCAGGTGAGGAGTGAAGTCTCTGGTCTCTAACTGGTCTCACTGGTCTCTCACTGGTCTCTTTCTGGCCCCTCTCTGTTCTCTGTGGTCTAAACGAGTCACTTGTCCTCATGTTTTATTACATCTCCCAAAGAGGTTCTGTTTCCATCAGGCTGACATCACTGTCTGGGAAATCGTAAAAAAAAACAAAAACAAATGGAACTGAGCCGGTTGGCAGAGGTCTGCGCTCTACGGGTGCTCTTCTAGTTTTATAACATTGTTTTTCCCTCCAGAAAGTGTTGATCTGCTTCTCTTATCTTAGTCCTGATCTCTTTGTAGTCGAAACCTCGTCTCTTTGTGTTCTCTCTATGGTTTCTCTCTCTCGCTCTGGTCTAAACCCGGTCTCTCTCTGTGGTCTCTCTGTGGTCTCTGTGTGGTCTCTCTCCTGGTCTCTCCCTGGTCTAAACCCGGTCTCTCTGGTCTCCACAGTCATCGCTCTCCCCCGCTGAGCTGCGTTCGTACCTGGACTCTAGGTCGCCCTGTTCTCACCTGGACAGTGGCGAGACGGCAGTGGCGGTTGCCGTGGCAATGTGTCACTCCCGCTGTCTGCTGATGCTGTTGGCATCTGGTGCCACAGCAACAGGGCTGGAGGCGGGGCTACAGCAGCTGGAGGCGGGACGAGGGCCAAAGCAAGAAGCTCTAAGGTGAGTTATAATTGAGGATGAGGATTAGAATTTGGAATATATTGTATCTCTCTCTGGTCTCAATCCGAGTTTCAGTAGAGAAGAATTATCAAGTTGAGCAGCGTATATTTGTAGGCGGAGCTACGTGTGGGTGGAGCTACGTGTTTGTGGGCGGAGCTAAGGCTTTCTGTTCTGTAATAACGTGTTTGATTGTTCTTTCTAGGTGTGTGTACTTCCTGCTTTTGTTCGGACATGCCTCCTCGCCCCGCCCCCTGGACTCGCAGCTGCAGTGCATTCTGGGAGACCCACTGTTCCGCTGGCTGTCGGGTCAGGCTCCGCCCACACTGCTTCTGCATGCGCTCAGAAGTATCGCTCGCACCGCACCGGCCGCCATCAGCACCCTGCCCCCTGGACTGCGCCCCTAGTGGAGGCAGCAGGAACAGCAGGAGACCATCTGTCAACCAATGTATCGTCTCTGAATAAGTTCTGACCAGTTCACTGTATTACATTAAAGCTGGGGTACCTAACTTTCAAACCACTAAAGCAATGAGTGATCAAATCCATGTCTCTAGTTCAAAATGTTGTACATGGATTTATTTCAAGCCTCTGTGACAACTTTAGATCAGATTTTTTTAGACAGAAAAGTGAAACTGAGAGGACTAGCCTGGTTTGTTAACAGCATTTTACTTGGATAAACAAAATGTTAGGAACCCCAGCTTTTAAAACATTGATGTTTCTCGCTGCTTACATTGGGGGGTGTAGTTCCCTCTGGGCCCATTAGTCTGACCTCAAAGTCAAACATGAATGATAACAACTCTGACATGGATCATCAAAAAGTAAAGAATTGCTCAAATTTGAACAATATTTGCCACTGGGACAATTAGGAAAATTATCTTGCTTTAAAAAGATATAAGAAATGTCTCTCTTGGAATGAGATAAAAGTAATAGCTCTTGAAATAAGAAATTCTAAATTAATAATAAATTAAGATTAAGAGATCCTTTATTCGGAAGATTTCACATTTAAATGGCTTTGTCCCATTGGAGAATCTTGTTTAACAGTCAGAATGTGCTCAGAATAAGATGACACTTGACACTCAAGCAATTATTACCTCATATTTTATATTTTTTTGCAGTGTATTTTTTGATCAAAGAACTGTTTAAACCTGTGATCTTCACCAGCTCCAGATTCTATCAGTTTCATGATAAATGCCTGGTTTAACTAAGAGGAAGTAGAGCATGGGCACAGAAGAAAGCTGAGCCTTTCATCTTATGTAAATAAGTGTAAATATTGTCTTTGTACATTGTTGCGTCCCGCTGTTTATGGGATTATGTCTGTAAATACTTTCTGTAAATAAACACGAGAAAGAAGCAGAAGTCTGATGAAGTTTCCTCAGATTTATCTGGAGGCCGACCACAGTTCATGTTGAAGACTAGTGACCACAGAGGATGGAGAATCTAGAGAGACCCTATACAGAGACACCTGAGAGACCCGAAACTGTAGAGGAACCAGAAAGAGCCAGAGACTAAAGGAGAGACCAGAGAGAAACCAGATACTAGAGATAGATCAGCGAGATTGGAGAGACCACAGAGAACAACCAGATACTAGAGAAGCCCGAGACAGAGATCACAAAAGGATGAAAAAGAGAAAACAATAAGACCTTAATTGATGAAGAGGTGGAACATTGTGAGTTTGTTTGATGAAGACTCCAGTTTTAACTTTTTATCACATGTAATTTGATGCGTCTCCAGAAACAAGTCACATGTTACATCCCTTCACTTTCCCTTTAAAATAACAACACAGTTTTTTTTCCCAAATCCTCTTTACTTCACAAAGGTTTTGAGCTGTAGATATTATGACTCTATACAAACGTCAGTAAACTTTTTTCTCAAATTTTAAACACAGACAAAAGTTGGCAACGAAAACAAGAGGCGTCAAATGTAAACTTAAAAACGTTACGATTAAAAAACACATATCAGTGCAGTTCCTTCAGTAAAGTGCTTCCACAGACACGGACTACATTTCCCATCAGCCCCTGCTCTCTTCAGAACGCTGACACATTCAAACTAAAATATATTAAAGTTTAACCCTTTCCCAGCAGCTTCTGACACGGCAAACTTTTTAGATTCACTGATCAGTTTAACACGTTTATTATTTAAATGATAAGTTATGGTTTTGTCACTAAACAGAAACTGAGGTCACATTATTTCCCATAAGGCCTTGCTCCCGGCAGTATAGGATGGAGGTGCAGAGTTGAGAGGAGCTTAGGATTCCAGAAGTAAAATTCTACATTGAAAAGATCTGGTCTCTCTCTTGTCTATCTCTCTGGTCTCTCTCCCGCTGGTCTCTCTCTCTCTCTGGTCTCTCTCCCTCTGGTCTCTCTCTCTGTCTGGTCTCTCTCTCTGTCTGGTCTCTCTCTCCCTCTGGTCTCTCTCTCCCTCTGGTCTCTTGCTCTCTTTGGTCTCTCTTTAGTCGGGAGTGCAGGTGGTTAGAACAGTGTATAAAGTGAGTTTTTTTTTGGAGGAAACCTACACAGACAAGGGAACATGCAAACTCCACTCACAAAGATCCTGTTCCGACTGGGGCTGGAACCCGGAAACTCTCTGGTCATGATCAGACCAAGAATCTTTCTTGAAGAATCTTTCTTAAGAATAATATCAAAACCTCGGAATGTGGATTTGTGGAGAGTTTCAGTTCCGGAATGCTTAAGCTCCGCCCCCTCAGCTCCATGTTAATGATAAGGTAAAACGGCGCACTTCCGGAAGCAGATGAACCGCCATTTTGTTTGTGACTCACTTCTGCCTGGACCAGTGTTAGGAATGTTCCTCTGACATGTTACAGGAAGAATTAAAAGAGCACTTGTAGAGCACAGACCTCCGCCAAGAGATGCAGTCTGTGACCACCACATAAGCACATGGTTTAAGAAAGTCCTAGAAATGAAATGCAATTCTTGTGGATCTGGTCTGGACCTTGTCTGGACTGGGGCTGAGTCAGGGTCAGGCTCCAGGTTTTGATTGGAAAACAAAAGAACTGGTCTCAAAAAGTAAATATTCCCAACACTGGTCTGGATGTGCCGCTTTGACCACACAACTTTACTAATAAATTAACTGTATTATTTAAAAGCCGTTATATTCACACAGTTAAAATCCTCGGTTTTGATTCTTCAGCACAAACTCTTTCCATTGGTCCGTTTGAGGCTCCAGCATTACTCAGATGAGCTCCCATTCGTCGTCACCGTCGTCCCCACTCAACGATGTGATGGAGTGGGCGGGGCCTCTGATGGTGGAGGGGGCGAGGTCAGGGCTTTGTGGGAGGAGCTTAGTCAGACGGCGAGATAGAAGTCCGTTTGGCGTCACAGCCCAGAGCTCGTCTCCCGGAGTCACTGACGAAAACACAATTATTATTCATCAAAGACAAAGTGTAATGCATTGGTCCCTGGTTTAAGACCAGTGTACTAGTTGGATCTATAGCCCGTCCGTCCGTGTGGAGCGGACCCCTCTCTCAAGAAGTGGGTCTCCCTGAGGTTTCTCACTTTTTTCCCCACTGGGTTTTTCTTATGAGTTCTTCCTTTCCGAAGGGCAGTCTGTTGGGCAGTTTGTGTCCAACAAAAAGGACTGTGGTGATGATCCAGGACACTCTAACACAGTGGTTCCCAAAGTGGGGGTCCCGACCCCCCGGGGGGTTGCGGGAACCCCTGGGGGGGTCGCAAGATGATTTCCACACAAACAAACAAAAAAGATTTTTTTTTTTTTTTGAGCAAATATAAAGCCCTTAAATATTTATTTAGCATTTGATTTGATTCAAAAGGACTACTTGTTAAATTGTGTTTGGAGACTATAATATATTTTAATAACGTTAGTAATTTTGTCCCAGTCATTGCAGCGTCAATCAAAATCATCACGTAACACAGCTCACATCATGCGCAGCGACAAAGCGTGTCCTGCTGTTGTTTGCTAAAACTAAAAGTGTTTGGAGGCTACAAATAAATAATACCTGCTTTAAAATGAAACATGGTTAATATCCACAACAGAAAAACCCGGAGGGGGAGAAAAGTCACTTGTATCAGGGGTCAGGCTGATGGTGCGAAGAGAGGGAGAGAGGGCAAAGGAGGGAGAGAGGGCAGAGGAGGGAGGGAGGACAGCGGTAGAACAGCGCGTTAAAGAGGCCCGGCTTTTCGGAGTCAAAGGTAAAGAGGTCCGCACATTAAAAGCGGGTGGCCGGTTGATGCCTTTACTGACAGTAACTTTGGAAAGAGAAGCCGCGGGGATGAACCGCATAAAGTAACAGCAGAAAGCGGCCGCCCGCTTTTAATGTGCGGACCTCTTTACCGCTGACTCCGGAAAGCCGGCCCACTTTACCGCGGTAGGAGAACAGTGAGGGCGAGCCGCAAGAAATGCGCTCCACTTCTGCTGAGGCCTGTTTCACACCGCACGCCGAGCGCAGAGCCGAGCGCCCTTTCCAGCCGAACTACCTCGCGGCGAGCGCATGTATTCAGACTGACGCCGAGCGTGGGCGAAGCGCCTAGACGAGTAGCACGCACAAAAGGAGTAGTATTGTACTCCAAACTAATAAACATGTTGTATATTTACATATGTTGTCTGAAATAACAGGTCAGAAATCAAAATAGCACATGTAGACCTTAAATAAATTGCTAACATCTCCTTATAATGTATCTTATAGCCTATTTTGATTGTCGTTTCATTATCATAGTTAATTATAAGGTGTGGGGAAGGCCTGGATCTCCATGTGGGTTAAGGTTAGGTGTGGGGAAGGCCTGGATCTCCATGGGGGTTAAGGTTAGGTGTGGGGAAGGCCTGGATCTCCAGGGGGGCTAGTGCAGGCGTGGGGGCGGCCTGGATCTCTGGGGGTTAAGGTTAGGTTATAATTATAATATATATATATATATATATATATATATATATATATATTATTATATATATATATTATTATATATATAATATATGTTACAATTATATTTTATGCATACAAAAAAAGTATGACATGGAAAATTGTGTAATTAAAAGAATAAACTTATATGTACTTATGCATTACAATAATGAGATTAGATAAACGTGAAATTGCTTTATAAAAGTTATTTTTTGAATATTTTCGTGCTGAAAGCCGCTTCGCTGCGCAGCCTACACGCGGAAAAAATGCGCTCAAGTTCCATTTTTGGTTTCAGGAGCGGAGGCGGCAGCGGCGCGCGCCGATTCCCTGCGCGCCGCCTCAGCGCCGGTCTGTACACAGAAGAGCTTTCTCATTTGCACAACAGGACGCGACTTGAAGCGCAGCTTGCGAATGCACGCGAGCGGGTTTCGAAGACAAATTTGTTCACGAATTCGTGTGCGGTGTGAAACAGACCTGAGGAGGGAGCCCACCAAGCCCATCACTGTGTCACTACATGAGTAAAAATATGCAAGCCTCCTTTTTTGGGCTGGACAGTGCAGCTCGGTAGTGGCGTGAGTCTCTAGAAAGCGTTACTCCTTATCAAGGAAATACATGCTCATTTCATGTGACGGAAGGGCTGTTGGGGGGGGCGGGGGTCGCGGGTTAGCAGGGCATTTATGATGGGGGTCGCGGGCTAAAAACTTTGGGAACCCCTGCTCTAACATGTATGGACATTTATCAACATGTGTTCTATATTCTTTTTTGTGTCTTAACTGTTGATTCACTGATCTGTGTTGGTGATTTCAATGGTTTTGTTAAGTCCTCTGAGATGACTTCTGTTATGATTTAGGGATATACAAGAATAAATTGTATTGTATTGTATGACTGGGGTGATGTGTTCTTAAATTAACCCACAATAAGGTAAATACTCAGTAGCAGCTGTTTGTTTTAAGGCTTTAAAACTCTCGCACTTTTTACATTTTACAGACCACCTGAACTCATCACTGCTGAAATAACAGACCAGAGAGAGACCAGAGAGAGATCACAGAGAGAGACCAGAGAGAGACCAGAGAGTGATCCAAGAGAGAGAAAGCAGAGAGACCCCAGATAGAGACCAGAGGGAGAGACCAGAGAAAGAACAGAAAGAGAGTAAAGAGAGACCAGAAGAGAGGCCAGAGGGAGACCGAGGTAGTTATCTTTTGTGCAAGAAAGAGCCCTGAGAACTGCTTGGCTGAGTTAGGCAGGTTCTCTCTTTTCAATTTTCTGTCTAAAAAGCTGATCTAAGATGTGACGGAGACCAACAATACAAACCAGTTATTGAACCAATCTGTTTCAAGAGCGAGGAACGAGTGACATGGATTGTAGTATATCCATTGTTGTGGTTAGAAAGTTACGGACCCCAGCTTTAAGTGAGTGTTGTTAATGTTTCACCTGTGAGACACGAGCAGGTCCCAGGGCTGCGTCTCCAGTAATCTCCTGCACAGTTTCTCTGCGAGACTCCGATCCTTCGAGCTACATCCCCGTTCACACAGCGAACCCAGACCGAGTCCAGACCCAGCAGGATCTGGGACACCTGTAGACCTGCAGACCAGAGAGAGACCAGAGTCAGACCAGGGAGAGGCCAGGATGAGACCAGGAAGAGGCCAGGATGAGACCAGGAAGAGGCCAGGATGAGACCAGGAAGAGGCCAGGAAGAGACCAGGAAGAGGCCAGGAAGAGACCAGGGAGAGGCCAGGATGAGACCAGGAAGAGGCCAGGATGAGACCAGGAAGAGGCCAGGATGAGACCAGGAAGAGGCCAGGAAGAGACCAGGAAGAGGCCAGGAAGAGACCAGGGAGAGGCCAGGATGAGACCAGGAAGAGGCCAGGAAGAGACCAGGAAGGGGCCAGGATGAGACCAGGGAGAGACCAGAGAGAGACCTGGAATGCAAGGGCTGTAAGTCTTGGTTACGTCTTAAATTAATCGGTCTATCCCACCAAAGTCAACTAAAATATGTATCTAATTATATTTTAGGATTTATGTTAAAAATGAGATGAATGGAGAAAATTAGCCCAACAGTTGGTATTTATCTATTATTTGAGGTATTGGTTTCGTGGGATTAACTTGTTTTGCATAGAGATGATGGCATGAATAGATTTGAGAGCTTTCTTAGATTGTATTAAATGTAAACTTGTTTGGGTGCTGTACCTGGCACGTGGTCCCAGGCGGTGCCCACTGGCATCTCGTCACTCAGTCCGCTCCGAACGAACACGGCTCCTCTGTTATCCAGCGCCCACAGCCACCGGTCAGACGGACTGTTCACAATCTGCACCAGTAGCACCCCTACAGGCTGGGGGAGGAAAGGTCAAGGTCAAGGTCAAGTTTATTTATACAGCACATTTTAAAAACAGACTTCTCCACATACTGTTGTGGAGAAGTTTAAAGCCGGATTTGGATACAGAAAGATTTCCCAAGCTTTAAACATCTCAAGGAGCACTGTGCAAGCAATTATATTGAAATGGAAGGAGTATCAGACCACTGCAAATCTACCAAGACCCGGCCGTCCCTCCAAACTTTCATCTCAAACAAGGAGAAGACTGATCAGAGATGCAGCCAAGAGGCCCATGATCACTCTGGATGAACTGCAGATAACTACAGCTGAGGTGGGAGAGTCTATCCATAGGACAACAATCAGTCGTGCAGTGCACAAATCTGGCCTTTATGGAAGAGTGGCCATTTCTCAATGATATCCATAAAAAGTCTCTTAAAGTTTGCCACAAGCCACCTGGGAGACACACCAAACATGTGGAAGAAGGTGCTCTGGGCAGATGAAACCAAAATCAAACTTTTTGGCCACAATGCAAAACGATATGTTTGGTGTAAAAGCAACACAGCTCATCACCCTGAACACACCATCCCCACCTCAGCTGTAGTTATCTGCAGTTCATCCAGAGTGATCATGGGCCTCTTGGCTGCATCTCTGATCAGTCTTCTCCTTGTTTGAGATGAATGTTTGGAGGGACGGCCGGGTCTTGGTAGATTTGCAGTGGTCTGATACTCCTTCCATTTCAATATAACTGCTTGCACAGTGCTCCTTGAGATGTTTAAAGCTTGGGAAATATTTGTGTATCCAAATCCGGCTTTAAACTTCTCCACAACAGTATCTCGGACCTGCCTGGTGTGTTCCTTTGTCTTCATGGTTCTCTCTGTGCTTTAAACAGAACCCTGAGACTATCAAAGAGCAGGTGCATTTATACGGAGACTTGATTACACACAGGTGCATTCTATTTATCATCATCAGTCATTTAGGACAACATTGGATCATTCAAAGATCCTCACTGAACTTCTGGACTGAGTTTGCTGCACTGAAAGTAAAGGGGCCGAATAATATTGCACGCCCCACTTTTCAGTTTTTTATTTGTTAAAAAAGTTTAAATTATCCAACAAATTTCATTCCACTTCACGATTTTGTCCCACTTGTTGTTGATTCATGACAAAAAATTAAAATTTTATATCTTTATGTTTGAAGCCTGAAATGTGGCGAAATGTTGAAAGGTTATACTTTCGCAAGGCACTGTAGTTAGTCTTTGCTATCTTTACCGCTTTTTGATAGTCAGTAAGATTTTTTTATACAATTCCCAGGGACACATGGAGTCGGTCTTTTTTTCCATTTTCTCTCTGCGCGGCGACAGACACACTGAAGCAGAGACTGAAGCAGAGACTGAGGCAAAGACTGGAGCAGAGACTGGAGCAGAGACTGGAGCAGAGACTGAAGCAGAGACTGAAGCAGAGACTGGAGCAGAGACTGGAGCAGAGACTGAAGCAGAGACTGAAGCAAAGACTGAAGCAGAGACTGAAGCAGAGACTGAAGCAAAGACTGAGGCAAAGACTGAGGCAGAGACTGAGGCAGAGACTGAGGCAGAGACTGAAGCAAAGACTGAAGCAGAGACTGAAGCAGAGACTGAGGCAAAGACTGAAGCAAAGACTGGAGCAGAGACTGAAGCAGAGACTGAAGCAGAGACTGAAGCAGAGACTGAAGCAGAGACTGAAGCAAAGACTGAAGCAGAGACTGAAGCAGAGACTGAAGCAGAGACTGAAGCAGAGACTGAAGCAGAGACTGAAGCAGAGACTGAAGCAGAGACTGAAGCAGAGACTGAGGCAAAGACTGAAGCAAAGACTGAAGCAGAGACTGAAGCAGAGACTGAAGCAGAGACTGAAGCAGAGACTGAAGCAGAGACTGAAGCAGAGACTGAAGCAGAGACTGAAGCAGAGACTGAAGCAGAGACTGAGGCAAAGACTGGAGCAGAGACTGAAGCAGAGACTGAGGCAGAGACTGAAGCAGAGACTGAAGCAGAGACTGAAGCAGAGACTGAAGCAGAGACTGAGGCAGAGACTGAAGCAGAGACTGAAGCAGAGACAGAGGCAAAGACTGGAGCAGAGACTGAAGCAGAGACTGAAGCAGAGACTGAAGACTGGAGCAGAGACTGAAGCAGAGACTGAAGCAGAGACTGAAGCAGAGACTGAAGCAAAGACTGAAGCAGAGACTGAAGCAGAGACTGAAGCAGAGACTGAAGCAGAGACTGAAGCAGAGACTGAAGCAGAGACTGAAGCAGAGACTGAGGCAAAGACTGAAGCAGAGACTGAAGCAGAGACTGAAGCAGAGACTGAAGCAGAGACTGAAGCAGAGACTGAAGCAGAGACTGAAGCAGAGACTGAAGCAGAGACTGAAGCAGAGACTGAAGCAGAGACTGAGGCAAAGACTGGAGCAGAGACTGAAGCAGAGACTGAGGCAGAGACTGAAGCAGAGACTGAAGCAGAGACTGAAGCAGAGACTGAAGCAGAGACTGAGGCAGAGACTGAAGCAGAGACTGAAGCAGAGACAGAGGCAAAGACTGGAGCAGAGACTGAAGCAGAGACTGAAGCAGAGACTGAAGACTGGAGCAGAGACTGAAGCAGAGACTGAGGCAAAGACTGGAGCAGAGACTGAAGCAGAGACTGAAGCAGAGACTCTAGCAGAGACTGAAGCAGAGACTGAAGCAGAGACTGAGGCAAAGACTGGAGCAGAGACTGAAGCAGAGACTGAAGCAGAGACTCTAGCAGAGACTGAAGCAGAGACTCTAGCAGAGACTGAAGCAGAGACTGAAGCAGAGACTCTCACCAGCACAGGAGGCTCGATGCAGATCCAGGCAGGCAGCATCATACTAGGATTGAGGGCTTGAGTCCCGACCCTGAAGTAAACCTGGCCCCTGGAGTCCAGAGCCCAAACATTCTGAGAGCCACAGGAGACCGACACCAGCCGCACTCCTCCTGCAGCACACAACAACACACAAGTTACACTACACAAGATTACAACAACAAAGCTACATTGTGAAGCACACTTTTTGTTTTCTTTACTGTCCCTGTTTCTCTGTGGTCTCGCTCTCTCTGGTCTCTCTCTCTGCCTCTGGTCTCTCTCTATGTGGCCTCTTTCTGTGTGTTTCTGGAAATCTCTCAGTCTCTGCATCTTTCTGTTTCTGCCCCCTGTCCAGATCAGGGGCAGAGATCCAGCACGGAGAATGAGGAATATTCTAAAACCTGATCCTGACGTCTATCATCCATGTGACCTAGAAACACGTTTAGAGCAGTGACTTGTGACCTCTGACCCCGCAACATGAATGCTCTCCAGAAACACAAACACAAACACACACAGCCTCTGTCCTGTGTCCACACAATAACAATGTTTAGCACTGTGGTGGACGGCAGCTGAAACATCTCTCCAGGTAACTATGGTAACGGTTCAAAGTCAGATCCTGGTCTTAGTTCAGAGCTAATTTCTCTGTAAACCCTGAAACAATCCAAACAAAAATGAGTGAAGTCACAATACAATGTATTCTGTATGAGCAAATATCAACTATTGTATCGTTATTTTCTCTGTGGTCCCTCTCTGTGGTCTCTCCCTAATCTCTCTCTCTATAGTCTCTCTCTTGGTCCCTCTCTCTGCTCTCTCCCTAATCTCTCACTCTGTTGTCTCTCTCGAGTCCCTCTTTCTTGGTTGATTATTTGATTACACTTTGTTAATCTAATCATCTATCAAATAATGATCTGGGATAACAACAGGACTGCTACTTTACCATCGAGTTATGTGGGAACCTGCTGAAACACAAGTCTACAACATGAACGTAACCTATGACAATGAGTCGCATGTGTTTGATGTTTTTACAAAATGTACATGCTGTAATAAAAAATGTGAAAAAGATTGTGTAACCGCTACGACACTGGTCTGAGGAGAGAGGGGTGTGTGTGTGTTTGTGGTGACAGCTGAGGGGTATTTTGGTGGAGCTTTGACGTCAGAGGGTCTCGTCCTTCCAGTCATGTGTGTAAGCGGGTAAGTGTGTGTATTACAACCCCAGACCCTAGCGGTCAACAAGAGTATTTCAAAGTACCAATAAGGATTAATCTTGACCAATAAGAATCTTGCAAATGTATTACTGTTTCACAACCCAGTGGATGAACTGCAGTAGTTTTCAAGTAAATGAGAGATTGTTTGATTGTTTTATATCTGTGTGTGTGTCTGTCGGTGTGTGTGTGTGTGTCTATGTGCGTGTGTTTCTGTCTTTCTGTCCCTGTGTGTGTGTGTGTGTGTGTGTGTGTGTGTGTCTTTCTGTCCCTGTGTGTGTGTGTGTGTGTGTGTGTGTGTCTGTGTGCGTGTCTTTCTGTCCCTGTGTGTGTGTGTGTGTGTGTGTGTGTGTCTCGGTGTGTGTGTGTCTCTACATGTCTCTCTGTGTCTGTCTGTGCTATGTGCTAACTAGGATCAGCTGGTCCTGAAGAGCAGAAACACAATCTGATTTATGTAAGAGGAGGAAGGCAAAGCGAACCAACCAGAGCAGAGAACCAAACACACCTCCAATCACAGAAAACCTATCAGGGGAACACACGAACACACACACACACACACACACACACACACACACACAGAAATACAACTATTTCACTACAGGACACTTGACATTCTGCCTACTCTGCGGTCTCTAGAACGATTTGGATCTTAAAATAATGTATCGCTTCTATCTGACCTCCACCAATCACACAGACACACAGACACACACACACGCACACACACGAGAGACCAGAGAGAGTGAGCAGAGAGAGACCAGAGAGACCAGAGAGAGACTAGAGAGGCCCAGAGCGTGGGAAATAAGTAAAAACTTGTGGATTCCCAAGCCCTGAACAGTAATTTGAATACATTCATTGTTCATAGGTATGTGTGGTGTTTTATTTATGAACTGTGCTACACAAATAAACTTGCCTTGCCTAGTTTCAGCCTCTGAAACATAAATGTAATAATTTTTTTCTGTTGAGAATCTTGTCTATTTGTTAGTCATGTTGTGGAAACTGCAGCAGAGACAAAGAAATGTGTTAGTACCGAGCTGACTGAGGTCCAGCATGCTCCAGGTGAGACCAGAGGGACAAGACTGAGTCAGAGTCCGGATCAGAACCCGACCGTGAGAGTCCAGAGCCCAGAGAGCATCTCTGCAGGCAGAGAGGTGGCACAGCTCCACCTGCAGGGGAGAAGGAGGAACAGTCTCAGTAGTAGTAGGAGTAGTACTAGTAGCAGTTGTAGTACAACTAGTAGCAGTAGTAGTGTAAGTTTAGCCTGTGTTGTAGTAGCAGAAGTAGCAATCGTAGAAGTTTGGTTTGATGTTTGTGACATGAAGAAACCATTCAGCATTTGAAGCTGATGCTGTGTGCGTCTGTGTAGTAATTGGAGTAGTACATTTATTTGGAGTAATTAAACAATGTGTAGTGCTCACCTCCGCAGGCAGTGGCACTGAGGACGGTCTGAGGTCTCCGTCTTTGTCCCAAACACAGAACAGGTCTCGACGACTCTGAGCCAACCACAGGAACGAACCTGAACCACACAGATAGGGCACAGACAGGATACAGACAGGACACAGACAGGACTTTGGTCACTATCTGGAGTTTGTGAATTGTGGAACATGTAGTAGTATATGTAGTATATGTGTGGTAGTATATGCAGCAGTAAAGTCACCGGAGGAGGGGGGGTGCACTGCAGACGAAGCAATGAAGCTCCACTTTGTGGATGACACTGTTCCTCGAGGAACAACATTCTGCCAAAACGTCCCTGAAACAGACACAATATTTATTTATTTATTTAATACAGATCAAAACCACAACCGCAGGAGAATGTTGAGCTTCGGACTGAAACGTCTTGAGTTAAATCAAATTAAGATTTAACTCATCTGGTAATTACTATAATGACTTAAAACCACGTGAAACAAAAGTTACAAACAGAAGTAATTAGTTAAAGTCTTAACCAGTTTTATATAGGATTGAACCACAACAAAAACAGTTCATCCCTCCTGACCGCCTTCGCGCACGCGCAGGGAACATTCAGTCCTACTACTGCCCTCTGGCGGTTATCTGGGATTCATATTCATCACATATGTAACCTTTGATCTTAACCAGGACTAGACCAGCACTTATTTTTATTCATTTGGTTTATTTGAGCAACATAAAATAAAGTTATACAATAACAACAAAACAAAAACAAAATTGCTAAATTTATATATTAGCATATTTGCTGCTCAAAAGGAGTAGGTAGAAGTTCAAAGAACTTCTGAGCACTTACCCCACATTCAATCTGCACAATTTGTAATAATAACAAACTAATGAAAAGCAAAATAATTTAACACATATACAGTCTTGCGAAAGTATCCGGCCCCCTTGAACCGTTCAACATTTCGCCAAATTTCAGGCTTCAAACATAAAAATATAAAAATTAAATTTTTTGTCAAGAATCAACAACAAGTGGGACACAATCGTGAAGTGGAACAAAATTTATTGGATAATTTAAACTTTTAACAAATAAAAAACTGAAAAGTGGGGCGTGCAATATTATTCGGCCCCCTTGCGCTAACACTTTGTAGCGCCACCTTTTGCTGTAATTACAGCTGCAAGTCGCTTGGGGTATGTCTCTATCAGTTTTGCACATCGAGAGACTGGAATTCTTTCCCATTCTTTCTTGCAAAACAGCTCGAGCTCAGTGAGGTTGGATGGAGAGCGTTTGTGAACAGCAGTCTTCAGCTCTTTCCACAGATTCTCGATTGGATTCAGGTCTGGACTTTGACTTGGCCATTCTAACACCTGGATACGTCTATTTGTGAACCATTCCATTGTAGATTTGGCTTCATGTTTTGGATCATTGTCCTGTTGGAAGATAAATCTCCGTCCCAGTCTCAGGTCTTTTGCAGACTCCAACAGGTTTTCTTCCAGAATGGTCCTGTATTTGGCTTCATCCATCTTCCCATCAATTTTAGCCATCATCCCTGTCCCTGCTGAAGAAAAGCAGACCCAAACCATGATGCTGCCACCACCATGTTTGACAGTGGGGATGGTGTGTTCAGGGTGATGAGCTGTGTTGCTTTTACGCCAAACATATCGTTTTGCATTGTGGCCAAAAAGTTCGATTTTGGTTTCATCTGACCAGAGCACCTTCTTCCACATGTTTGGTGTGTCTCCCAGGTGGCTTGTGGCAAACTTTAAACGAGACTTTTTATGGATATCTTTGAGAAATGGCTTTCTTCTTGCCACTCTTCCATAAAGGCCAGATTTGTGCAGTGCACGACTGATTGTTGTCCTATGGACAGACTCACCCACCTCAGCTGTAGTTATCTGCAGTTCATCCAGAGTGATCATGGGCCTCTTGGCTGCATCTCTGATCAGTCTTGTCCTTGTTTGAGATGAAAGCTTGGAGGGACGGCCGGGTCTTGGTAGATTTGCAGTGGTCTGATACTCCTTCCATTTCAATATAATTGCTTGCACAGTGCTCCTTGAGATGTTTAAAGCTTGGGAAATCTTTTTGTATCCAAATCCGGCTTTAAACTTCTCCACAACAGTATCTCGGACCTGCCTTGTGGTGTTCCTTTGTCTTCATGGTTCTCTCTGCGCTTTAAACAGAACCCTGAGACTATCAAAGAGCAGGTGCATTTATACGGAGACTTGATTACACACAGGTGCATTCTATTTATCATCATCAGTCATTTAGGACAACATTGGATCATTCAAAGATCCTCACTGAACTTCTGGAGTGAGTTTGCTGCACTGAAAGTAAAGGGGCCGAATAATATTGCACGCCCCACTTTTCAGTTTTTTTTTGTTAAAAAAGTTTAAATTATCCAATAAATTTTGTTCCACTTCACGATTGCGTCCCACTTGTTGTTGATTCATGACAAAAAATTAACATTTTATATCTTTATGTTTGAAGCCTGAAATGTGGCACAATGTTGAAAGGTTCAAGGGGGCCGAATACTGTACATATGCAAGCACACACATACAAATTTACAATAATAAAACACATAGATCATTAAATAATATGTTTATAAAACCGTTATGAAAGTATTTGTAAAAGTAGTTACTGTGGACAAAACCACCACACCAGAATATTAAGTTGAATTTTAACTTCGTTCAGATTTCAGTAACACAATAAGTTTATAGTGTTTCTTAAATGTAATGAGGCTTGTTGTGTTGGTTCAGACCTGAACCAGGCCTGAACCAGGCCTGAACCAGGCCTGAACCAGGCCTGAACCAGGACTGAACCAGGCCTGAAGCTCTGACCTGTGAGTCTGCCGCTGTGATGGTGGTGGATCCGGTTCCTCCCAGACCCAACCCAGACTCCAGAGAGTCCAGAGCAGATGAGATCCGGCTGGACCTGACTGGACTGAGAGAGGAAGGACACCACACGGTCTACAGGACCCCCCCGCACCCCCAGACCTGACCCCAGACCAGCACCAGACCAGAGGGACTGGAACAGACTTCCCTGGTCCAACGCAGCGTAGTCCCAAATGCGGACCTGAGGGAGGAGATTGAAACAGGTTTAGTTTAAAGCTGAGGTACCTAACTTTATAATTCACACTAGGAAGAGCCCGGCAAGTCACTATTTGACACTTTTGGCTAATAGCAAAGGGTGGTATGTCTGAAAATCTGATCTAAAGATGACAGAAGCGAGGCAACCAGTCTGTGCCATCAGCCCCTCTGACCGCCACAAACCATTCACACATTCATTCTAATGTGGGTGAAGTGTCTTGCCCAAGGACACAACCAGTTTGACACTTTACAGCCGCAGCCTGGTGTTCCACCTGGTGTGGCACCTGGTGTTCCCAGAGGTCTTCGATCGCAGTACTAACCAGGCCCTTCCCTGATTTTACCTGTAGGTATAATAGGTAAAAACAACTCCAGCTCAGAAATTATCAGCAGCAAATGATGCATTTGTTGCCTGCTTTCTATTTTTTTTTTATGTAAAAAATGTCTCCTATTTAGTCAAATGTTTGAGTCACGATTACTGATAGAGAAAAGATTGTGATTTTTAGATTATTCACGATTATCTAAATTATGAAAGAAAATCAACTAAGATTGTTTTTGACTTTTCTGAAATACAAATGGATAACTTAATACATCTTATAATATTGTAGATGATTGGATTGTATGTAGTACATTTAAAAATACATATATGTAAATAGATAACAATTCTATACTAAATATCTATAATGTTTATCAACTAATTGTTTTGAAGTAGTAGTAGTAGTAATCTTGGCGTTATGTCTGCATTTCTTTTGTTGACTAAAGGGTTAGGGTTCAGACGGGATCATGCGTTGCGTTCGGTTTCAATGTAAAGTCAATGGTAACGTCCGTTTGTGCGAGGAATTGCATGTGTGTCACGGCACGCACGTATGGTCACAGATGCAGCAACCAATCAGAGAGCCGCAAAGTTGTCAGCGCGAGAAGACTGGAGATACTCGTAAACAGCCCATAACAGGAGCTAAACCAAGACTAAACCAGGATTAAACCAGGATTAAACCAGGATTAAACCAGGATTAAACCAGGACTAAACAAGGACTAAACCAGGACTGACAATAGGGGACAGAGTGCTTGTGAACAGTCTAGAGACTGAGATCTCATTCTCCAGTGACTGTAAACAAGTGCAGCTAGCATGATCGCCGATGTGGAAGTACCGTTTAATAATAAAATAAATGTATGGCGCAGCTCCGTGAACACAGACTGCTGTTATATAAAGTCCCTGGACACAGAGACGCTGCAGAGCTGCATTCTTGGAGAAGAACACAACAAGCTTTTTTGGCGAGTCTGTGCTGCTTTGTGTGCAGCGGCCCATTATCAGAATCAAAATCAGAATCAGAATGATTTTTTTTGCCACGTAAGTAACAGGAAGTCACAGACTTGGAAATTGCTTTGGCTCGTGCAACAGTCAGAAAAAGAGATAATAAAAATAAAATAAAAAACACTTCTAAAGATAAATTTAAAGAAAATAGAGTTACAGTTACTATTTACAATATACAAGTGCACATGGTGCACACAATGTAAGGTGACAGCAGTACAGTGAAGTAAAGTGACGTATGATGGGCAGTAAAGTGACTTTATAAAGGGCGGGGGGGACAGGTTAAGAAGTGTTCAAGAGTCCAACAGCAGAGGGGAAGAAACTGTTCTTATGGCGGGAGGTTCTAGTCCTGATGGACCGCAGCCTCCTGCCTGAGGGGAGTGGTTGGAATAGTCCATGTGCAGGGTGAGAGGGGTCGGCTGTGATACGACCAGCCCGGCCTCGAGCTCGGGCGAAGTACAGGTCCTGCAGCGATGGAAGGCTGCGGCCAATCACCTTCTCTGCAAAGCGCACGATGCGCTGTAGTCTCCGTTTGTCCCTGACTGTGGCTCCAGCGAACCACACGGTGATGGAGGAGGTGAGGATGGACTCGATGATGGCCGTGTAGAACTGCACCAACATGTGTGCAGGCAGCTTGGCTTTCGTGAGCTGCCGCAGGAAGTACATCCTCTGCTGGGCCTTCTTGATGAGGGAGCTGATGGTCGGCTCCCACTTGAGGTCCTGGGTGATGGTGGTGACCAGAAAACGAAAGGACTCCACAGAGGTGATGGGGGAGTCCATCAGGGAGGGCGAGGGCAGGGGGACTGTGCTCTTCCTGAAGTCCACAATCATCTCCACTGTCTTCTGGGCGTTCAGCTCCAAGTTGTTACCACTGCACCAGGACACCAGCTGGTTATGCACTTCCCGCAAAGGTATTCCGTACCAGCGGTAAACTGTGCCATCTAAAATCATTACGGTTAATCTACCGCTGGCTTTTATAATCGCGATTGTAGTAAAACCAATTAATCTCGGCAACCCTAGTCACAAATGCATTGTTATCGGATCCCTGGGTCTCACCTCCCACCAGTGGTCGTCAGTGCCCTGAGGTCGACTCGGGCTGATTCCAGTCCTGAACCACAGTCGGCCATCAGAGTCCAGAGCCCAGACCAGACCAGGTCCCAGAGACAGACAGACCGGCTCCACTCCCTGAGCCTCACTGTGAACAGAGAACAGAGACTGGAACAAAGACTGGAACAGAGACTGAAGCAGAGACTGAAGCAGAGACTGAAGCAGAGACTGAAGCAGAGACTGATGCAGAGACTGAAGCAGAGACTATAGCAGAAACTAAAGCAGAGACTGTTCGCACGCAGATGCATGCGTGCGTGTGTGTCTACCTGACAGTGTCCTGGAGCCACCTCTCTCCCTCGCTGCAGAGACTGTCCACGCCCTCTCTGTAGAACACGGCCTTGTGCTCGGTGAGGGCCCAGACCACGCCTCCTCCCACACACACTTGCACAAACACACCTGGGGTCTCCACCTTCACAGAGCGAGCACAGGGACGGTCCGGACTCAGACCTGGGACAGAGAGGCAGGAGACAGAGGAGACAGCATCAGGATTCACATGTTCAGCTACAAGCACAACCACAGCAGCTTATCACACTCAGAGTCAGATGGAGTGATGGAGATGGAGCAGCCAATCAGCTACAGCAGAGACTGAACCAACTCTGCGTTAGTTTGTGGTTCAGTCTCTGCTTTATTGGCTGAAGCCCTGTGTTGTTTTCAGGACTGCTCTTGTTTCTCATGTCTTTTCTTCACGGTTTTGTGTTTCTGATGTGATGTAGGCCGAGTAACACAATGAATGATATTCTATTCTATTTGTGAGTGTTGTTTGAGTGTTAAAAAAGCGCAAAATAATTATGATGTACTATTATTAATTGCAGTCACTAAAATTGCGATGTGATTTCTCCCGTTGCCGCTGTGTGAATACAGTTACAGTCCACAGAGGCCTCACCTGTCTGCAGATACAGGTCTCCGTTGGTCCGGATGATCCAGGCCGAGTCCTCGCTCAGGTCCACATAGACAGACTGCTCCAGGGCCTGGTACCAGTGTCTCCGTCCCTTCACCGAGGATGGGACTGCCCCTTTCACAGGAGACTGCCCGGCCCCCTTCACTGAGGCCTTAGCACACGCCATGGCCACCAGGGAGCGCTGTTCCACCTTCCACAGCAGGCTGCCTGTGACGGACACGTGTGGAGAAGTTAACACAAGGGGAAGAGAGCAGAGATCATGGCTCCAGAGTGAGGAGAAATGTGGTAAAATTCTGGAACAATCTAGAACAGTCTTCCTGAAGGAATTTGCTACCAAAGCTAATTTTCAAGTCTCGGCTTAAATCTCGATCATCATCATATGCTGTTATTACTTTTATTTTATTATATTTTAAACTAAAGCTTGTTTTTGAAATGTTGTCCATGTGAAGCACTTTTAGTTGCATTATGTATGAGCTGTTAACCTTGCCTGCAAGCTGAATTCTCGCGGTATTTGTGAGTTCACAAACACTCGAGAATACATCTTGCCCCGCTCCCGCCAACCCTTTTCGAGTAGAACATCTAGGTGTTCAAGCCAATCACGCGCCAGTCTGGGGGTTTAGGGCGGGATATCCGGGTTTGACGAAAGCAAGAAGTGCCGGGCCGAAACAAAACAAACATGGCTACGCAGGAGGACGGACGCGTAGCTGAGGCTATCAAGTCAGTTTTAGCAGAATCTCCAATTTCTTTTTTGAAAGATGAACAGCGAGAGGCGCTTTGTGCATTTCTGGACGGCAACCTTGGTAGGCGGGCACACAGCGTCACTTCGCCCAATCAGCTTGAAGTATTCTGCTGCTTATCCCTCCTTTCCCCGAAAGGATTCTCCTGCAGAAGTCCCAGATTGATATTGTGGAGAACGCATTAGAGTTCTACACAATCATCAATCTGGCTCTTGCCAGGTTAATGAGCTGTAGCCTAGACACTTGTAGTTCCGCCATGCTCCACCAGAGGCATTTCGTTGAACAAAAGGGTCTGGGATTAGCCGATCAAAAAATAATTGGCCAGTCGTCGCCGGTGTAACGTCGGGTTTGCACCGCCTTCTCGCGCGTCTCAGCCAAATCAGTCCAAGATGGCGGATATAAATTCAGTGAATAAAAAAAAAAAAGTTTAAATAGGAAAGAATTAAGACATGGATGTCACTTTTAATGCAAATTGAGGCGAGATGTTGACGGTTCTATGTTTTTATAGCTGTGTTTTAAGCTGTGTTTTTGCCTGTGGTTCAGGCAAAAACAGAACCATGATAGCCCAAGTTGATTGAATTATGTGGTTTTTTTGGGGGTGGGGGGGGGGCATTCTCGTGGGTTTTGGGCTAGTTTTGGGCTGGTATTTGGCAACCCTGCAAAGCAGTGTGCTACATTGTGTGCATGTCATTCAAGATAACAGAAAAGTGGTTTATCCAATCACATACAAGGATATTTTTTAAAGGTCCCACCTTCTGAAATTCATACGCTATGAAGCAGACCCAGACCCTTGTGTGAAGCGCAATAAACTACAATGGTCTGGCGAGAGTCAGGCTATGAACTGTGCTATAAAAATACATTTTGAATTATGGGTATTTAACTTGAGTTTAAAAAATAGACAAATACAAATGACGTAAATATATTCAAAACAATGATATGGTTATTCTCTTAAGAGAAGGATTTAGAATGAGATACATGAATCCAGCAGGACACTTTCTATACAGCAACCTTTGTATGAATCAATTTTTTTCTTACATACTTTTTCTCCAAATGTTGTTGTTTCACATACAATTTCTGATCCAAAAGGGCTCTTTAAGTTTTAACTTTTCTACAGTCTTGTGTAACTGGTCTAAGACGCCATCCAGTCTATCATTAAGCAGCACCAGCGCTTTCGGCACTGGTCCAAAAGAACCATCATTCCGAGTGGAGAGGTCTGAATGGCCTCAGAGGAGCAGGTCGTTCTGTTCTTTGTGCAGAATCTGAAGAATCAGCCCAGAGCGCAACGGCAGCAACAGCGGCTTCAAAACATTTACAAATCTGTTCTCAGCTGTTTTTAAATTGATTGAAATCTAGAGCAATGTGAACCAAACCAAGAGAAAACACATTCATATTGCGAAGTAGTAGAGAATAATGTGACCAGGTTTAAACCCAGACTAAACCAGGTCTAAACCAGGACTCAACCAGGACAAAACAAGGTACAAATCAGGACTAAACCAGAGCTAAACCATGTCTAAACCATGACCCAACCAGGCCTAAAACAGGACTACACCAGGACTAAGCCAGGTCTGAAGCAGGTCTAAACCAGGTTTAATACAAACCAGGAAGTACCTGAAGGGGACAGCGCCACCTGGTGGACATTATCATCAAAGCGCTGCCAGTTGAGTCCAGGCTCCGACAGCGGAGAGAAGAAGAGGCCTCCTTTGAAGTCGAGACACCAGAGATACCTGCAGAGATCACAACACAAATCATAGATCGACATCAAAGGCATATGACATTGTTAGGTACGTTAGCTTTAAAGTTGAAGTAAAATTATTCTCAAGAACAAAAACAGTTGTAAAAAAATATTCCCCACTGCTCATATTATATCCAATTTGATCCAGTTGCTACCACACATAGGTACTGCAAACAGAAGGAATAAATAATAATTAATGCAGCAAGCGGTATCGACGAACGGCCCGCACCGTGCAAAGAAGGGGGCACTGACACCCTATCTGCATACAGCCCTAATGGGAGAAACACTAATATTCTAAATGCCTTCATCAGTGAGTGTGTGTCTCCATCAAATATCATGGGAACTTTAATGCGTGACTTTTGAAATAAGCCTCAACTCTGACACCCAATAACAATTCTGTGGATAACTTTAGATGCTGCCGGTGTTTAGACAATGTGGATCAATTTTGAGACAAATCTGTGAAACGACCGAGTAGTTGTTCAAACAATGTGTGTGAAGTTTTTTCAATTTTATGGACTACCTGTCTGTCAGGGGGGTGGCCACAATAAAAATTTTAATCTTGTATTGAGGCGACAAATATGCAAATATGTGTACCAAATATTGAAGCTATCGGACAACCTAAATTTAAAAAAAATTCCACACTCAAGCCTAAATAATAAAATCTTCTGCTCATATTAAATCCAGTTGGATCCACTTTCTACCATTATGACAGTGTTAATGCAAAATAATGAACTGGGACTATTTTGAACAGGCCTTATACAGCAGTGAAGATCTTGACCAGTCAGAGCAGCAGTTTAGAAGTTTTTCAATGTATTCTTTGCATAAGGGTTAGCTGCATACAGTATGACTGACTTTGGAGACTGTCATGCAGTACCTGTCGGTGGCCTGCAGGCGGAGGATGCCAGAGCCTGGGCCACTGTAGCACATCCAGCTGTCGGACAGAGACTCTTTGGGCTTCTCTCTCTGCTCTGATTGGTCAACGGGCTCCGGCTGCTGATTGGAGGGCGGGCTCAGGGTGTCCTCATGACGGACTGGGGGCACTCTGGTGTAGATGTCCTCGTCATCGCTGGAGACGCTGGGCTTTCTGTCCAGGACCGAGAGGGTAGAGAAGAACATCTGGTCTTCTGTGGTTGGCTCCTGAAGTATCATAATAACAAACCAACACACATAAACACACGCACACAAAAAATAAAAAATGTGTCAAAAGGATAAAAAAAACCTTTTGACTTTCAAAATAAGTCCTCTAAAGCTACAATGCAGAGTGAGCAGGAAGAGAGAGACCAGAGAGAGAAATGCATTATGATCTACTATAGTGAGTTCATCTTCCATGTAGAGCACTATAAACATTTATTAAAAGGACAACTTTATAAAAGGAAATAGCAGCACGTACAACAGCCCAAACTCTTGACAGTAAGAGCTTCAGTCACCTAAACACGGCTCCACGGTTCATTACACTGTCATTGTGCTAAGTATTGTCCCTGGTGTGACTTGTGTGGAGTTATACCTGAGACACACAGCAGAGAAAACAGCCTGCCCTAATTTTCAGCTACATTTGGCTGTTTTGACATTGAACACGCCTCTGCAAAGAGACAAGGTTAAAAGGCTGGTTTAATGCCAGGTCGCACATGACAGCCGCACCTTTTGGTTGGGGTCTGGTCCAGACTCTGGGCTCAGGAATGGGTCTTGGAGGCAGTTCTGGTCTGAAGGATTGTCCTGGTTCTGTCTCTGCTGATAGGAGAAGGTGCACTCCAACAGCAGGTCCACGTCCGGAGTCTGAGGCACTGGGTCCAGGTCTGGTCCTGGTTCAGGCTGGATCAGGGGCAGACTGTCTGGAGGCTGCTGCAAGCTGAGGACAGAGGGATCAGTCAGATCAGGCCTGTCCAAACTAGGGCCAAGAGACAATCGCAGCCCTCCCTGTTACTTTATGTGGCCCTCTCATAAACCAATACATGCATGATCAATCTTGTTAGAAAGCTCTAGAATCCAGTTGTTTACTTTATATGTACACACTGACATTTGATTGTGTCACAATGTTACATAAAAGTCGCTAATGTGAAATAGTAAACATTTGTCATTCAGTCAACTTCAGCCTTGTGCAACATGAATCATTATGGACATGATGTTATAATGTCAGAATAGCCTGTATCCACTCAAAACAGTTTTACTGTCAGGGTCGTCGGCCCCTGCACTAGTCTACTCTAGTCTACTCTTATCAACTCTTTTGTACTCTTGTCTACTAACTTCTGCAAGAAAGTAACTAAGTTACATTACTTTTGGAAGGACAGAATCATGTTAAGGTCAATTACAAATAAGTTGTTCAAAACTGCCTCAGATGGCAAAACATTAAAGATATAAAGGAGGATTTCCCAAATTGTAGGAAAGAACCTCCCTCTTCACTTTTTGGAACAAAACTCTCTCGTCTTATTTGACAAGCACTTATCACCAGAATGATTGACAATTGGAAGGACCAATAGTCTGTCTTGATGATCCACCCGGGAGCAGAAATTCCTCCTATATTCCTTTAACATGAAAGGTATATAGGAGTAATTATATACCTTGATAAAAGTAGCCAGGAATGTAGCACTGCTCCAGATGTTTTTACTGTCAATTGCTTTGTCCAATAAATCCTCATGCTGCAAGTGTCCGTGATGCTGCAAGTATTTTAATAGGTTTGAGATTGAATACTTTCGCAAGGCACTGTACATGGGTCTGGCAGAGCCAGGCTAGATCAATGGCTCCTATCTATGTGTTTGTTATGATTCGATTCTCTGATCTGTTGTTTGCAAATCTGCAACTTTGTAAAGTCCTCCTAGCCAACTCATGTTGTGATTTATAACTTGCTATCATCACCAGATTTTTAATGTGAGACAAAAAAAATTCTATATTATTGCTGTACCTTGATTCGCTCTGGTTCTGGTTCTGGTCCAGTCCACAGAGGGAGAGCCGGTCACTGCCACCGTCATCTAATGGGAAGTGAGATTCTGAGCAGCTATCCTCTGATTGGCCGGTTCCACTGTCTACAAAAGCACACAGTACAAAGTGATTAAGTAACTAGGTCTTGACAAGGGTTAGTTTAAAGTGGTTCCTTGTGAATATAAATACTAGTTCTACACTGATGACTTAACAGTTTGTGAAGAACATTTGGAAAAAAAATCTCCAACTAATGACACCACAGTAGGAGAATCACAGTTCATCAAGCAGTTTTTCAGAAAGTCATTCTTTTGACTCTTTAAAGTGATTGTCTGGAGTTTGTCAGAAAGAGAGACAGAGAGGTACTTGATTTGAAAAAAACGACGCAAGCTCCCTCCCCCTTCCTTTCTGATTGGTCTACACCTATGTTTCCGTAACACTTTGAAATGTTAATCAGAGAACACATTATACATATACATTATTAATACACATGCACAGAGGTTTTCAGTATTATTTGTTAATGTTTTAATGAAAAAAATGTTTTTATGCACAAAAAAAGTAATCGCGGCAAACCCGGAACAAGCTATTATCATGAACTGCACATTATAGGACACATCTGTAGAGGATCTGATTATGGATATAGGTTCAGTATATACATAAGTACCTCAGCGTGGATGTTCAGAATTCTTTGTTCAGTTTTCATGTAGTTCCAGAGCCTAAAGGCGGTATATAAATAAAACTTACTTACTTACTTACTTACTAATAGAGGCTCCGCGAAAGCAAACAACTGCGCATGCGCGCAGCTGCGAGCATCAGCGCCGATGATTGACATCCCTTGGCATGACTCTATTGGTTAACCTCGACGGCACCGTGGATTCTGAACTATAGCTAAGAGCAGGGAAGGCGGGACTTGCCCGTAATATTAGAATTAATAAAATGACTTATTTTATATCAACATTTAAGGCCAGGAGGTCAATTTAACACATTTCCTAAAATTTGTAATTCATTTAGAGTTACTTTAATCATTCACTGCACTAAAAGTATTTTAAGTTTTTTATTAGCAAACAATATTAATAATGTTTTGTCTTTATCTGTCCCTATAGAGAGAGATTGTAAAATGTTGGTATTCAGACTTGTCTTTAAAATATCCATCTTATGTGTAAGAAAGAGCCCTATGAGTCACTTTTTTACTTGTTGGCCTGAGAGCTGATTGGCTGAGTGAAATAGCTGATGTAAAGATGTGACAGAGAGTAGAATCAAACTGTTTTAACTAGTGAAATGGATTTGATTACATGGTTACATTTTTCGTATTAAAGTTAGGTACCTCAGCTTTAACTAAATGATTCAAATGGTCACATTAAATTCAAACATGGCAGCAGAGACCTCTGCGGCGTCTGCGTCTCCTCTTCAGCTTCACCGCCGTCACCACGAGCTCCGGCTGCTCCTGACCAATGGGAGCGCAGAACCTGGGGCTGTCGTGTGATGTCACAGAGGAGGCCACAGAGCTGCTGCGGCTCCGAGAGGGAAGCTCTACCTACAGGTCACAACAGGAGGGTATGAAAAGTATTATTTCAGGGTTTCTCACTTTAAACCAAAGACCAACGCTTTTGATGGATTGTGTTGTTGTCTTTGTATTCTTAAACCTGACCTTGACATTAAGCTTCGTCAGGCATTTTGAATGAATGAATAATTTATTTCAAGCATGAGCATAAAACAATAACAAAAATGTAATTTATCACAAACTTGTGGTATTCTAAACATTATAGTAAACGGTAAATATTAATATAACAGATATTTAGAATTATATGTATCGCTACCATAGACTGTATATTTTAACGGACAGAGTCACGCCTATCTCCGCCGTTCTAACAAATGGCCTGCCGCCTCCCTGACCTCCTCCCTGACCTCACACCTCCTCCCTGGTCGCCACTCTGGTTTCCTCTTCCCAGTCCTTTCACCTCCTCTCTGGTCTCCTCCATGGCCTCCTCCATGGCCTCCTCCCTGGCCTCCTCCCTGGCCTCCTCCCTGGCCTCCTCCCTGGCCTCCTCCCTGGCCTCCTCCCTGGCCTCCTCCCTGGCCTCCTCCCTGGCCTCCTCCCTGGCCTCCTCCCTGGCCTCCTCCCTGGCCACCTCTCTGGCCACCTCTCTGGCCACCTCTCTGGCCTCCTCTTCCCAGTTCTTTCACTCCTCCCTGGCCTCCTCCATGGCCTCCTCCCTGGCCTCCTCCCTGGCCTCCTCCCTGGCCTCCTCCCTGGCCTCCTCCCTGGCCTCCTCCCTGGCCTCCTCCCTGGCCTCCTCCCTGGCCTCCTCCCTGGCCTCCTCCCTGTCGTAGTCCCTGGTGTAGTCCCTGGCGTAGTCCCTGGTGTCCTCCCTGATGTCTTCTCCCCAGTCCTCTCACCTCTTCTCTGGCCTCTTCCCCGGTCTCCTCGTCTCCCTGGTGTCCTCCTTCTGTGATGATAGGCAGAGTTCTGATGGACTGAGCAGTTTCCACAGCTCCAGTTGGAGGCATGAAGGTGGGGGTCAGTGGTGTGGTCAGAGGAGATGTCAGCCGCCCTGAGTAGTCTGAGCCTGGGAGACAAGAGGAACAGGTCTGAACTGGTATGAGAGACAAGGGAAACAGGTTGGAACTAGTCTTTTTGCTGCTATATTGCTCCCAAGTGTCTTTTATTTACAGACCACAATTGTAACAATTCTGACAGTTATGAGAGGAAGAATTCCTGAAAACTTCCTCCCCTAACTATTTTAGTTAGTGCTGTCCTTTCCCATGATTAACTCCAGAACATCCCAGGCCTTTCTGAGAAGAGTTTGCATGTTCTAGTCGTGCTTCTGTTTCCCTACCAATAAAACGTGTACAGTAAGCAGCCCAGGTCTGAGGATTGCCTGAAAAAAAAAAAAAGTCTGCTGGACTGTCCTGGCTAAATAAAGGTCAATACATATATAAAAAAACAAACTGTGGTGAAAACATCGCGCCCTGGAGGCGATGGTAAGGACTCACTGTGGGGAACGCCTTCAGGGGTGGTGGACAGACGGATGATGTCGCGGTCGCCTTTCAGGAGGAAGATCTCGTTTTCAGAACACGACACCGAGACCAGATCTCCACTGGACTCCAGGACCCCCACAAGCTCCTGCGAACCCAGACCATGAATGAGGACCAGACCCGGGGCCGTGACAGAGTGAAGGAACTGTTTTGCATGGTCCTGGTCCTATACTGTTCCTTGTCCAGTTTGGGTCGAGTACCGATCCCTGGAAATGATCTTGGTTTGGTCCTGGTTCAGTCCTGGACCTGATCCAGTCCTGCTCCTGGTCTAGTCCTTGGTCAGTCCAAATCCAGTCCTGGTACAGTCCTGGTTCAATCTTGTGCAAGTATTGCTCCAGTCCTATGCCGCGTTCAGATCGGATCATGCATTGCGTCGACTTTCAAGGCAAAGTCAATGGTGACGCGTGTTCGAGCGTCGAACTGAATGTGCGTCTCGGGATGCACGCACGGACTGCGCGGCAAAGGCGCGGCAGAGGCACAGGAGATAAATATTGCTGAACGTTTCCTCGGGACGCTCGTGCAGCGACCAATCAGAGAGCCGCAAAGTGGTCACGGGGACATTAACGGTCTGAGCAGGCAGACTGAACATACTGTAAACAGCCAAAACAGGAATTACACCAGGATTAAACCAGGGTTGACAATGGGGAACTGTGTGCTTGAGAACATATGCGTTTTCATGCTCCCGTGACTTTGTGCAACTGCTTCGAGTGTGTTTGCCGATGCGGAAGTACCGTTTAATAATAAAATAAACGTATGGTGCACCTCCGTGAACACATACTGCTGTTATTTAAAGTCTGTGGAAGGTCTCTGGACACAGAGACGCTGCAGAGCTGCATTATTTGAGAAGAACTTTACACAAAAAGCCGCTAGCTTAACTCCGTTAGCATCAAAGTCCGCCTGCTACTTCCGCCACTTCCGGCGGGCGCGACCGATGGCGAGGACTTCTGGTCTGAAGTATGGGTGTGACGATATATCGATTTTTCGAAATATTACGATACTTTCTACCGCGATCCGATTATCAATATGCATTTGCCAAGCATCGATATCAATTTAAAAAAAAAATTTAAAAAAATGATTTATTTTTTATTTTTTACAATTTAAAAAAAGAAAATTGGTATCAATACTTAATATATGGCTACATTACGCATCTCCATTCCATTTATCATGAAATAAAGTGTATTTTTTCTTTTATTAATGCCATGAATTGGCATATTGTATATTTCTGACCAATATATCGATAATCCTCATATTGTGATAAAATCGTTATCGTGATAATATTGTTATCGTGATATCGTTATCGTGATAATATCGTTATCGTGAGCTTTGTATCGTGTATCGTATCGTATCGTGAGGTACCCTTAGGTTCCCACCCCTAGTCTGAAGACCCCTGCGTCTGAAAATTAGAGAATGTGCGTCTGTTGCGCGAGGTATCAGCGTTCCAGCATCAGCGGTGTGAAAGCACCTCTAGTCCAGTATTGGACCAGTACTGGTCTAGACCTGGTCCTGGTGCTGACCTGTGTGCTGTAGTCCAGGACGTAGAGACTGTACTCGTTCCAGCTAAGAAGCCAGTTCTGATGGAAGCAGCAGAGTGCCCCCAGCTGTTTTTCAGAGGGACTGCAGCCTCCAGAGAGAGAGGGTCGAGGGAACAACGCTACCTGGGGGACCTGAGGCACACACACACACACACTGCACCCTTGTAATCACACAACAAAACCAGGAACAAGCAAGACACCCTTGTTCTGTCCAAACCAAAGACTGTAAATATCAAAAGACGTAGTCACGCCCATCTCCGCCGTTCAAACTAATGTGCCATCACTTTTGCCTTCTATGGGGCTTTTCAAAATGGCTGCAGGAAAATGTGAAAAAACGCATTTGCGCATGAGTCAGCCGGCACGAGCGCCATTCATTTAACGAGTGCCTTCACAATTCCACTGCTACTAAACTAGACTGGTCCAAAAAAATACACCCCCCTCAGCATTTGAACGTAGCTTTGGGCCAAGAGCCAACTTTTGGACCATCCTGTAAAGACGTTGTCGAGAGGAAAGAAGATACAGTGGGGCAAAAAAGTATTTAGTCAGCCACCGATTGTGCAAGTTCTCCCACTTAAAATAATGACAGAGGTCTGTCATTTTCATCATAGGTACACTTCAACTGTGAGAGACAGAATGTGAGAAAAAAAATCCAGGAATTCACATTGTAGGATTTTTATAAAATTTATTAGTAAATTATGGTGGAAAATAAGTATTTGGTCACTTCAAACAAGGAAGATCTCTGGCTCTCACAGACCTGTAACTTCTTCTTTAAGAAGCTCTTCTGTCCTCCACACGTTACCTGTATTAATGGCACCTGTTTGAATTTGTTATCTGTATAAGACACCTGTTCACAGCCTCAAACAGTCAGACTCCAAACTCCACTATGACCAAGACCAAAGAGCTGTCGAAGGACACCAGGAAAAGAATTGTAGACCTGTACCAGACTGGGAAGAGTAAATCTACAATAGGCAAGCAGCTTGGTGTGAACAAATCAACTGTGGGAGCAATTATCAGAAAATAGAAGACATAAAAGACCACTGATAATCTCCCTCGATCGCAAGATCTCATCCCGTGGGGTCAAAATGATCATGAGAACGGTGATCAAAAATCCCAGAACCACACGGGGGACCGGGTGAATGACCTGCAGAGAGGACCAAAGTAACAAAGGTTACCATCAGTAACACACTACGTCAACAGGGAATCAAATCCTGCAGTGCCAGACGTGTCCCCCTGCTGAAGCCAGTGCATGTCCAGGCCCGTCTGAAGTTTGCCAGGGAGCACATGGACGATACAGCAGAGGATTGGGAGAATGTCATGTGGTCAGATGAAACCAAAGTAGAACTGTTTGGTATAAACTCAACTCGTCGTGTTTGGAGGAAGACAAATACTGAGTTGCATCCCAAGAACACCATACCTACTGTGAAGCAAGGGGGTGGAAACATCATGCTTTGGGGATGTTTTTCTGCTAAGGGGATAGGACGACTGATCCGTGTTAAGGAAAGAGTGAATGGGGCCATGTATCGTGAGATTTTGAGCCAAAACCTCCTTCCATCAGTGAGAGCTTTGAAGATGAAACGTGGCTGGGTCTTCCAGCATGACAATGATCCCAAACACACCGCCCGGGCAACGAAAGAGTGGCTCCGTAAGAAGCATTTGAAAGTCCTGGAGTGGCCTAGCCAGTCTCCAGACCTCAACTCCATTGAAAATCTGTCGAGGGAGTTGAAAGTTCGTGTTCACTGCTCTCTAGAAGATCTGCATGGAGGAATGGGCCAAAATACCAGCTACTGTGTGTGCCTATAGTATAAGACCTATAGTAATCGTTTGACCTCTGATATTGCCAACAAAGGTTATATTACCAATTATAGAGTTGAATTTTAGTTATTGACCAAATATTTATTTTCCACCATAATTTACAAATAAATTCTTTAAAAATCCTACAATGTGAATTCCTGGATTTCTTTTTCACATTCTGTCTCTCACAGTTGAAGTTTACCTATGATGAAAATTACAGACCTTTGTCATTATTTTAAGTGGGAGAACTTGCACAATCGGTGGCTGACAAAATACTTTTTTGCCCCACTGTACATACATTAGCATTAAATAATTCTTATTCCGGGTCCACCGCCATCGGCCCGGGGTGGTATTGCAAGCATGTCAGCGCGTCATTTTGGACATTATTAACTGGGACCCGCCCTCACTGGTCACAACACTCTTCTTTCAAACCACTATGACATCATACAGGTTTCTGTCTTGTAAAACCAAAGTATTGCCCCTGAATTAGTTTAGGTAATTTTTCAAGTAAAATTATGTTCTTTACAATCACATGTCTGTGTTTGTAACAAGATATGTTAACATTTTGAAAATAAATAAATACATAAATTCACAAGTCCTTATTCTCTGTGCATGTTGTCTTTGTCTCTGATCTTTTGTGAAGTCCTCTGAGACGACAACTGTTGTGATTTAGGGATGAACAAAATACATTGAATTGAATTGAAAATGTAGTGATTGTGAACGCAAGAAAAGGCGCCACCTGGGGGAACACCAGGATAAGAACAGGTAAGGTGATAGGAGATCAGATAAAGGATATAGAAGGTAGCAAGTAGAATTAGATGACCTCACTACAAAGAGTAGATTGTTAAGGGTAAACATGCAAAGGCCACTTCCCACTGTTATCACTTTCTTTCGTGAATCTGTTTAAAGCTGTTGATTTTCCAATATTCTGTCATTTGAAGGAAACTATTCAAGAGTCATACGTTAACCCCTTACTACTCCAACCTTAAGTGTCTCTGAAATGTCTCTAAAATTTGGTAAAAACTCAAACTGAATCTGTCTGAGAATCCTTTAATTCACAAACAAATATCAAGACTTTTAATGAAGCTGAGCCCCCCTGTAGTTTTGGCCTTTGACAACTTAATTATTCCAATAATAAGTGGGAACAGCCTCTGCTCAGAATAGAAAAACTCCACACACAACACAGTTGTCCCTTTGAGACGACTGTCGTCCCTTTGAGACGACTGTCGTCCCTTTGAGACGACTGTCGTCCCTTTGAGGCTGCGGTCACATGCGCAGCCTAAAGCCTGGTTAAAGTGTGCCAGGGCCCGCTTCGCGATTAGATCCGGGCTTTAGGTGCCATCTGACCGCAGCATTTGCGCCAGAGCACGATTCCTGGACTCGTGCTCTGGCCCGGTTAAAAACTGCGGCCAGGGCCCGCTTCCCAGCGGCGATGAGGGGGGTCAGTGTGGCGGGTGGTGGGGAGTGGGGGATTAGGTGCGGGGAGGACTTGATATTGCGCGTCACACTACGTCTTCCTATGACACGCATTTTCACACACATTTCTCCTGCACTTTTGTATTCTCCGCTTGTGTTAAACCTTTCATATAAGCCCCGGACTGTGCTCGAGGGGGAGTGTCTCTCTGCAGGGCCAAAGAAAAGCGTTTCCTACGGGTATAGCTCTCTTCTGTCCTGACCCTCGCTCTCAGTGTGGTGCTATTGCAACAATTCTTCAGACATTCAAGAATCAGTCTTGAACACACAAACACACACACACAAACACACACTTGTAACCTCCCTGTCTGCGGTCGTTATGCTCATACGCCACACTTCTCATTCCTTCATTCTCATTCATTCATTTCTCAGCGCTCTTACGCTCGTTGCTAAAGAGAGTGTGTGTGTGTGTGTGTGTCCGCGGCGCGCGCACACACACACACACACACACACATACAAACACACACGTGTGCATTCACGTTACCCACACGTTACCCACTGAACTGCTGCACTTTGCATCAGAGCAATGTGGACAAGTGTGAGATGTATCTTTCCCTTAACAACGTGATCCGTACTGAGCTGTTAGCCCATTTAGCTGTTAGCTACAGTAGCAGAATGTAAAAAGGAAAAGAAGCGGATCTCAACCAGGGCAATGAGGTAGTCTCTGGTGTTAGTCTTAGCGCCACCAGCTGGACCGAGTGTTGTACTACAGCACAATTTCCCTGGCACGGTTCAGAGGACACGTTCATGTGACCGCGGGCCGTTTTTCACACCCCTGTGGCGACGATCCGGGCCACTTGGCCTAGTACGTTTGTAAAAACCTATGTGACCGTGCCCGGAGACGACTGTCGTCCCTTTGAGACGACTGTCGTCCCTGTGAGACGACTGTCGTCCCTTTGAAACGACTGTCGTCCCTGTGAGACGACTGTCGTCCCTTTGAGACGACTGTCGTCCCTTTGAGACGACTGTCGTCCCTTTGAGACGACTGTCGTCCCTTTGAGACGACTGTCGTCCCTTTGAGACGACTGTCGTCCCTTTGAGACGACTGTGATTTCGGGCGATACAAATAACATTGCTTTGATTGAATTGATTTGACATTTTTTATTGTAAATGTTGTTGATAAATCACATTTTCAAACATATATCTGTTAGGTTCTTGTTTTCTTGAAAACTTTATAAGATATCAATTGGCAAAAATGAAACTGGTTTGTAAAGGGTTAAATATTGACTTGGAGTTTACCATCCCAATGTAGTGAGACGGACAGTGTGTTTGGTTCAATAACAAAATTAGATTTAGTTTTGTACGTGGGAGAAGGTGGGACAGAGGAAGTGAAAAACGGTCTAGACCTGTGATCCGAACAGCGCCTTGAGCAGACGTGTCTCCTGGATGTCTCCCTCCACGTTGGATCTCCAGAGTCTGAGTCCCGGACGAGCAGCAAAGATCTGAAGATCACTTTGTTTACAGAGAGAAGGAAGGAAGCATGCGCCAAAACGCCCGCTGCTGCAGAGAGAGAGAGGTTAGAGAAGAGGCGTCTGGGGAGGGGGAAGAGCCGTGCAGTAAGAGCCAATGTTGGAGTTCTGGGAAAGGAGACAATCGATAACATCCTGGGATTGAAGCGTTTAGATGTCTAATCGTGTATTTGTTCTTATAATCGAGGAGCACAAAGCTGCCATGATTCTTTTCCAAGTGATGAAAAAATACATTCACTCAAAGCTCTCATTCACTCTAGAACTTTGGAATTTTTTGTGCGTCTATATTTAGCTTTTTTCTGTTTACATACCAGTAGAATTAGCATTTAGCCTCTGTTGCATTTCATCTTATATCAACCTGTTCTAGTACTTATTGAAAAGGTAAATGTAAAAATCTTATGAATTCTTTTGTATTTGTTTTTAGAATTCCATTGTTTTGAATTGGGAGCAGTCAAAATGCCAATCTGCTCTAACCCCGAATAGTCAATTAGTGACTCATTGTGTTAAAAGTCACTACATTTGCCATGATGCACTTGTATTGTAGTTCCCCAGGGGCCCTCTCCTGTAGCCATGCTCAAAGCTGTTGGTGTTAGGAGCGGAGCTTGTGCGCGTGAGTCATGTCATCCATCATTCATCCTGTGTGTATAAGTTCTGTGTGTGTCTATGCAACGTGTGTATTGTGTTCCATGTGTATTTTCGCATTCCTCAATGCAATACCTTTAATTGCCTTCCCACTTGTAACTACAATATGTTGTTGTGTGCCACGTGCATGACTGTAGGAGCGTCCATCACATCGGGGCGCACTCCACAACAAGCCCTGCTATTTATAACTATATATAACAGCCTGTTTTGTTTACACATATAGTTTGCCTTTCCCTGTTAGTTTTACGTGTGCCACCATTTATAGAGTTGGAGCACCCCCTTGAGGGGTATGGTTGTAATTTCAAAAGTAGACCTGGAGTTTGCCTGCTTCTTCTGATCAAGGAAGACTCAGTTGATGGCCGTATCCATTATCAGCGCATCAAGACGCTCACAGTATTTCACACACTGGCTCGTTCTAGAAAGAGCTTGAAGAGAATCAGTGTTACCTCTTTCGTGGCTGTGTGCCGACGGTCTTGGTGGCTTGGTTCTGACTGGTCTGAACCTGGTTTTGGACCTGGTCTGGACCCTGGTGGTGGAGGAGGGTCCGGTGAAGCGTGGACACCAGCAGAACTTGGTGACGGTACTGGATCTGGACCACAGCCGAGGACTCCTCCAGAATCAGCACGGAGCGACACTCCCCCTGTGGCAGAGACTAGAATTACACTGTGTAGGTCCTGCTCTCTGCCCCGCTCTCTGCCCCGCTCTCTGCCCCGCTCTCTGCCCCGCTCTCTGCCCCGCTCTCTGCCCCGCTCTCTGCCCCGCTCTCTGCCCCGCTCTCTGCCCCGCTCTCTGCCCCGCTCTCTGCCCCGCTCTCTGCCCCGCTCTCTGCCCCGCTCTCTGCCCCGCTCTCTGCCCCGCTCTCTGCTCTGGACTCTCGTACCTGGTCCAGGTCGAGTGTGGTGAACACGACTCTTCCATTGTCGTCTCCAGAGAAAAGTTTCATGCCGTTGGTGCTCCAAGCCAGAGCTGTGACAGGGCCGCGGTGTAGACCCTGCACATCGAACCGGCGCAGCTACAACAACAATCACATTGTTACTAATAACAAATAGTGAGATAATCACAGTGGCTTGCAAAAGAATTAATACAACTGGAACTTTTGCACATTTTGTCATGAGAATAGACTTTAAAGCAGCTCTGCTTTTGAACAAGTCTCAATGTACATGTGTGACATGCCATAAGAACCAACTGGGACTCTGAGGAGCACAGGGACTGGCCCTGCGGGTGCCTCGAGTCAGGACTAAACATGGAGAGAGAGGCAGCGTTTCAGATTTATGCAGCTATAATCTGAAATAGATTACACACAGGTGTGTATTCAATATTTGTACAATATGTAAACATTCAGCAATTATGAGATAATGTAATAAATCAGACAAATTCTGTATGAATACTTTTAAAGCTCTTCTTTTCAGTAAACAACAAAGAAAAGCACGAAGGCCAAAAGTTCAACTTGTAATAGTACTTTTGCCAGCCACTGTATAAGCCATCGTGGCCACAGCTGCCCTGGGGCTATGTAAACCCTGGGACTGACCTGTTTGTTGCGCCCGGGTAGAGGCGAGACCAGCTGGAACACTGCAACCCGACCTGAGGCTGTTCCCACGGCAACCAAGTCATCGAAACAGGTGAGCAGCTTCACGGCCGTCAGCGAGTCCGTCTTTCCCTGAGGAACAGGTCCAGGTCAAAAAAAAAGATAATTCCACGAATGTTCATGTTCATGTTCTAGAATTCTATTTCAGTTGGAAGACAGGTGAACGGAAATGTCTGGTTGTTCTAGATCTTTGTTAATCATCAGTAGATTAACAAAGCTGCCATTGGATAAGATAGAGTTTATTTATCTCACACAGGAGAAATTTACATGTCACATCTGGCATGGATACTAGTCTCATTAGTGGTGGGAAATAAAATCGATTCTGTTCAGTATCGCAATATTTTGCAATTAAAACGTGGATTCATTCTAATAAATGTGCCATTTGATGTTGAGTCTTATCTTCCTCAGTTTTTGTAATATCTTTGAATAATTTTGAAGGACATGAATCGTAAATATATCGCAGAATGGAATCACAACACTTTCTGTATCACAGTACGTTGAGAATCATAATAATAGCTACCGCAGGGCCTTTATCCCCACTGCTGTCAGACTGTACAACAAGTCACTTTATGTCACTTCAGCTAGGACTGAAAAAAACAAAAACAAAGCTGCACTACTATTGCCACTGTTTCTTAATTGCCACTTTTATAGTACATAATATATCCCGTTTTTAACATGTTTGCACACTTCTTTCTTTGCTAATTTTTTTTTTTTTTAGTGATTCTATCCATGTCAGATGTGACACATAAATTTCTCCAGTGTGAGATCAATAAAGTCTATCTTATCTAATCTTATCGAATTGCTGCCCAAATATAGCAATACTATAGAATCCTAACATTTATGCCAATTCCCACCTCTTATCTTATGTCTGTCCCTTCTACTGGCCAGAATCATGCATGTTTTTGAATATTGCCATCACTTCTAGACACTTTTATGAGAAAATAATGAGAGCGTAGTTGATATGTTGTAAGTGTTTAGGTTTATTTTTCCTGTTTTGTTTTGTTATTTGTCAAGCCCTTTATCTTTATTAGTTCTTCCTCTTGTCTGATTAGTTAGTTTTGTGTATTTAAACCATGAGCATTCCTTCACTTCCTTTTTTCATTTTTACTCTGGATTTAGAATGGTGTATTTGTGTTTATTAAATCACTTATTTTTGCAGTCCTACATTTTGGGTCATCTGTATTTGCCTTGTAAAAGATGTGCCAAAGTCTGACATTTACCAAAAGTTACAAGTCAAATACAAATGTCAGACAAACGTTTATTTGTCCAAAAGTGGGGAACGTTCAGAAGAAAATACATTTATAACTGGGGCAGTGCAGAGTGAGAGAATAAAACCACTTTTAATATCTATCCAATGCAACAGGGAAACTCACCTTCTCTCATTCAGGCTTGGCTTTGGGGGTGTGGCCTACCTCAATGCTGTACTTGGTCATGTGACCCTGGCGTCTGCAGTACAGGTACAACATGCCGATGCTGCTGCCAACAGCAACGAAGTCCGGACTACAATCTACTGATGTGAGGTAGACCAAGACAGAGCGGAACCCCCTCTGGACCTGAGAAACAAGACAGCCGGTTGGACCTGGTTCAAACATTGCTTTGGGTCTTATAAATGGTTTTAACGTTCTACATAATCCTGTTGTCTTTATTTGGATATGACAGCGGTACATCAAGATGTGACCAATAACAAATGACCAATTAGGTGCCTTACAGCAAATTAGCCTGCGTAGCATCTGCGGCCACTGACTTTCATAGATTTGCCTTTTTGTGTAGTATACGGTTGTAGTAACCGAGGCAACAGGGAGAAAGAAGTGTTAAATAACTTTTTAAATGCCAATGTAACTCTCAAACCAAGGTGTTCTTATAAAAAACTAAAAGCAGGATGTGCAATTTAAGCTGTTAGCTTACTGCTGGGGAGCTTCCCTTGGAGCTGAAGTCCAAACTTTTTAATTTTTTACAGTTCAACAAATCACCAAAATGACAATAAAGGTTCACATTTCTTGCCTCAAATGTGGTTAAAAGTAAAATTTGTGCCTTATTTATTGTTTTATTGATCAGAACTTTCCACTGTCCACAATGACACAGCACAAGGTTCCTCCATCTGCTGGTGCAGGCAAAATCAATCGCTCAACACAAAACTATTATTATATTATGAAATGTACAACTTTCAATACCATCTTAAATCTTATTTATATTGTGTAAACTATTTTTTTGACTATTTATTCTTGTCTATTTTTTCTTTTTATAACTACTGCATAAGCTGCATTGAATGTAATTTTTACTCAAAATAAGAGTGATACTAATCTGCAAAACCACCCATTCTAACTATGACAAAATACATTCTGAAAATAGATATACACACTTTTATCATCTCAGATTTAAAAAACAAACAAACACATATCGATATCGGCAAATATCTGTTATCGGCCATAACAGAACATTAATATCAGATATCGATATTGGCCAAAATTCTCATATCGGTGCATCCCTAATCTCTGCTTCAGTCTAGTCTCTACATCAGTTTCTGCTTCAGTCTAGTCTCTGCCTCAGTCTCTGCCTCAGTCTCTGCCTCAGTCTCTGCCTCAGTCTCTGCCTCAGTCTCTGCCTCAGTCTCTGCCTCAGTCTCTGCCTCAGTCTCTGCCTCAGTCTCTGCCTCAGTCTCTGCCTCAGTCTCTGCCTCAGTCTCCTGCTTCAGTTTCTGCTTCAGTTTCTGCTTCAGTTTCTGCTTCAGTTTCTACTTCAGTTTCTACTTCAGTGTCTAACTCGTCCTGGTTGTATACCTTTGTGGGGATGGTGTTGAGGAGGTAGTACAGCGGACAGAACTCCCTCAGTACTGAGTCTTGTGTCGTGGCCATGATAAGTGTCACCTGAATAATAGAACACAACAGTTTGTGCCTTCTCTGCATCTCGGGGCAAATATCACATTGATTGTTGTTAAAACATGTTTGTGTCATGTTTTCTATACAATGTGGTTGATGTATATCAACATATCAGAAACACTATTGTCATTAGTAAAGAACTTAAAAGCCACCAAAGTACAACTTATTTACAAGTTGTTATTGCTAAGACAAGTATGTAAAATCTGAAAGCACCGCATTCTATTATTGAGGACATTTAGTTTCATGTGATCAGCGCATGTTAAAACATGTTCCACAAAAAGATAACACGCACCCATAAATCAGACCAGTTTTAGTTTCCGAAATGCCAAAAACATATATACATCACAGCATGCAAAAGGAAATATTAGGCGCTGCCAGACGTAAACGTGTATGAATACAGTTCTGTATTTAACTAGTGTCAAGGATTAAACCTCAATTCAACATTTATTAAGGATTGCAAATGTAATAACACAACGCCGAATGATACAAGAACCCCTCACACATTGTATTAAAGAATGTAAATAATTCAAATAGGTTTCTTTCAAAAATTACAAAAGTAAATGTGTTAAAGTTGCACACATTTGAAAGGGGTTACTGTTATAGGGTGGTTATTGTTGTGTCACTGCTTGGATTCCCGATGTCGCGTTCTAAAAAGGTCGAGACGTAATAAGGTGCGCTTTGTAAAGATTAAAGGAACAAAAAGCGACGGTTTTAATACGGTGTTGGGTTATAAATGTGACATAAGTGAGTATCACCGTGAAGCTAGCTGTAGCATGAGGCTAAAGCTCCAGCAGGCGGGGTCCATCACCTCTTACACTGGTTCTACTGGGTCCTGGAGGTGTACCGCGGGGTCGCCAGGGCATTCAGGCCGAGCAGAGGGCTTCAGAGTGCGGGTGGAAGGGTCCAGGGCAACGGCGGGGCATCTTTCGGAGCGCGCATCCACCTGACATCTCTCCAGAGCAAACTGATGTAAACAAACAGCGGCCTCCAGCGGTAGATGCGGGAAGAGCAAGGGCTTGAAGCAAGACCAGAGATGCGTTTCTCAAACCGGGGTCCTGTGGCTGGGACCAGGAATACGTTGATGGAGTACTGACTGTAAGTAGTAAATCATTGACAGTATATCATGAAATGGTATAAAACTGCGAAAACAGCGTACCATAGAGAGGGTTGGTGTTATGTACTTAACATTGAAAGAAAATACTTCTACTAAAAATCTAGTGCCATCTATGGATAATTCTGGACAGTGGTCATCCTGTTCCCAGTGGCTCCGATGTGTTGGAACTGTTTAATTTTCTGATCTCTTGTTTGACATTTTCGTAAAGTCCCTCAAGACCACTGCTGTTGTGATTTAGAATTAAACAAAATAAAGGTACTGTGAGTGTATTGAAAAATAAATTGAATTAACGACTAATCAATGAGAAAAAAATTACATATTATCATGATGTCCCTATTACTACTATTTAACACAGGGGTGTCCAAACTCTTTAGTAAGAGGGCCACTTTAGTTCAGACTAGACTAGTCCAGGGGCAGACATCACGGACTGAAAAACTGTCTTGACTGGCATCTGGCTGTTCTGAACTTTATGATGATCTATAACAGAGCTGAAGTTGGCTGAATCTTAAATGTTTATCATCTCACCAGCTAGATTAGCACCAAGAGTGACACAATCAAAAAACATGTCAGTAAAGTATGTGCAAATAAAGTCAGCAACGTACTGGGCTTAAGAAAAAGGTCAATATTGGCAGGGCTGAAGTAGGATGTCGGATTGATGTAGGATTTGATGGATGACAAAGTGAACTTGTGCTTATGATCTACTTTGGGTTAGCACTTAGCAAGGAAGAGGGCCACATAAAATGAACCTGAGGTCCGCCTGAGTTCGGTCTATGGTTTGGACATGCCTGATTTAACACTTATCACAGATATAATTCAAAAACAAGCCGTTCATTTGACCACGGTCACATAACATAATTATGTGACCGTGGTAAACCTTATAAACTCATACGTAAATAACATCATAGACTGTAAATATTAAGTAAATAACTGTAATATCTGAGTCCTTGATGATTCTATTTTGCTACAAACGGGCCCCGAACGCACAAATGCCAAGTTTTCAGTTTCCACGAGAGTTGAATATAATAATTTTTAGTGACTTTTATGGGGCCAGTTCTGATTCCAGTCCAGTTTGAGTCCAGTCCGCGCGCAATACTCCAGTCCAGGTCTCGCGAGCTGCTGGCGGTTGAAGCTAATGCTAAAGGCTAGTTCAAAACTGTCCCGCTAACATTACCGTTTCCCCCAACGGATCGCTCGATTTCCGCGGATCCGTGAATGTCTTCTCGGCCCCGGTGTTTTGGGCTGCGTCACCCCAACACCAGCTCCGTTCTGAACCCATTAAACCTGCTCATTTTACCCGCTTTTCTGCACCAGAGAAGCGGCAGCAACGAACCGCCAGAGTCTGCTTCAACATAAGCCTCATCCAAAATGGCGGACACGGAGGATGACAGCGGTTCGATCAGAACAATACCAGCCGAAGACCAGGTCCAGAACCTGGTCGAAGTGAGCTGCGACCCGGGGACTAGCACTGTACCAGCAGACCCAAGCTCTGAGCTCCAGGAAGGAGTTGCAGTCCCAGAGGGGAGCGCAGAGGCAGTGGAAGAGGCGCCAGCGCAGCCCGCTACGCAGAGCTCCGAGTCTGGGGACGGTTCGGAGCCACTGGCCGCTGAGCAAACCGTGCATCCCGAGGAAACGATTCAGGTTCGACTCGTCCCAGCGCGAAAGCCGTGTTCAAATCCATCCATGCATAAACTTATGACTGCTTTTGCTTTATTCGGGATGTTTGGGTCTTGTAGCCGCTTTTAGCATCAACTATGTTTTCCGTGAAGCTGGGCCATGACTGGTTTTGTGATCGGTGTTTGTATCAGAGTGAATACTTTTTAATATGCATTCATTCTTCGTCACAAACTGCTTTGGTCAAACCTCCCGCCTTCGCTGCATATGTGCTGCTGTGTGGCTTTAGCCCTGCGGCCTGTCTTGTACTGCCCTCTCTCATCAGAAACCTTATGGCACAACATAAACAATGACCAATTACGTAAAGCAACTATGATGCAATACCCATGTGTTTAAAACATACTATTGTATTTGTATAGAGGTGTTTCTTTATTTTTTTACTTTTGGCATTGGTAGTCAACGCTGAACTTAAAATAGTTTTGTGTTTTCATGACTTTCAACCGATATAATTTAGAGAGACCGATGGTGATGAACGGTTCCATTAGTGGAAACATGTGTGCTGTTGAATTTTATAGTTTTTGCTAACAGTTAATATGTAAATTGATCACAAGCTATACTCAACCTTTTTTTGGGTTGAGTATAAAAATATCCGTTAAACCAATGGTTTCCTTTTCTTATCTGCATCGTCCAGATGATCATAAAAGGCTTCTATTCAGAATAAGTCTAACCACTCCATCAGTGATGTAATAGATGCTTTATTTGTCTATGTTCATTTTTTTTTACATGTATTTTGGATCTAGCTCCAGACTGAACCTCTGCTCTTCCAGGTGCTGTCTGTCCCAGAGGAGACCGTTCAGACCCAGGAACAGGAACAGGAACAGGAGCAGGAACAGGAGCAGGAGCAAGAGCAGAACCAGACCATCACTGTGCTGGACTCTGGGGAGCTGCTGCTGGGCTCAGAGTTTGCAAACACCACCATCCTGTACGTGCAGTCAGACGGCAGCCTGGTTGAGGGGACCGGCCTGACTGCAGAGGAACAGAGGCTGATCCTGGAACAGCTCTCCAAGCAGACCGTAGTACAGGTACAAGAGCCAGAGCAGACTGTAGTACAGGTACAAGAGCCAGAGCAGACTGTAGTACAGGTACAAGAGCCGGAGCAGACTGTAGTACAGATACAAGAGCCAGAGCAGACTGTAGTACAGGTACAAGAGCCAGAGCAGACTGTAGTACAGGTACAAGAGCCAGAGCAGACTGTAGTACAGGTACCAGAGCCAGAGCAGACTGTAGTACAGGTACAAGAGCCAGAGCAGAGTGTAGTACAGGTACAAGAGCCAGAGCAGAGTGTAGTACAGGTACAAGAGCCAGAGCAGAGTGTAGTACAGGTACAAGAGCCAGAGCAGAGTGTAGTACAGGTACAAGAGCCAGAGCAGAGTGTAGTACAGGTACAAGAGCCAGAGCAGAGTGTAGTACAGGTACAAGAGCCAGAGCAGAGTGTAGTACAGGTACAAGAGCCAGAGCAGAGTGTAGTACAGGTACAAGAGCCAGAGCAGAGTGTAGTACAGGTACAAGAGCCAGAGCAGAGTGTAGTACAGGTACAAGAGCCAGAGCAGAGTGTAGTACAGGTACAAGAGCCAGAGCAGAGTGTAGTACAGGTACAAGAGCCAGAGCAGAGTGTAGTACAGGTACAAGAGCCAGAGCAGAGTGTAGTACAGGTACAAGAGCCAGAGCAGAGTGTAGTACAGGTACAAGAGCCAGAGCAGACTGTAGTACAGGTACAAGAGCCAGACCAGACTGTAGAACAGAACTAGGGCAGGTTCTGATGTGATGCTTTTAAGCTGTTTTAATACAGGCTAGATTCTTAAGAAAACAACGTTGGATATTTTTATATGAACTAAATGTTGTTGCAAATATTTAATGGTTTCAATTAGTGTGGTGGGAGTTCTTCTTAATTTGACAAAAGCATCATAAAGTTTGATAAAAATGTAAAACTGAAATTATGCCATCGTATGATGCATTTTTCAGATGGTCTTGACCATATCCTCCAATTCAATAATTAGTAAGTTTATTACATATTTCTGCTATTCATTGGCTTCATGCTGCAACCAAAATAGTGGCCCTCATTTAACATTATTAAAAAAGTTTCTCGGTCTGAAAACACAGCCAGATTTTAATAAAAAATAGAATTTTTTTGTGTGCACATAATGGTGCCAAAAACACATGAATACAGAAGTTGAGCTTTTGATCGTCAGAGCACACTGATCATGAGCTGTGATTTAGATACAACAAACCAAGAGCACTATTATTGAGAATTCCTGGTGAAAGCTTGAAGATATTTCAATAATAGTTTTTAATTTCCCAGGTGTCGGATCAGGAAGCAGCAGCTCTGCTCCAGGGAGCAGTGGTCCAGAGCCCGACACAGAGCCCAGTGCAGGCGCAGCCTCAGGTTGTGACGCCTCAGCCTCAGGTGAGCGCTCACTTGGACGTCTCACTTCAGATGTTTCTGTTTCTGAACCTTTCTGTCCTGATTCCCCTCAGGTCCAGACCCAAGTCCAGGTCCATACCCAGACTTCTGCTCTTGACCCTGGACAGCTACAGCAGGTCCTCAACCAGGTCAGAGAAAAGTTCTCCTCCACTCTTTATGAAAGCACATCAAAAGCACTTCAATTCTTAACAATAACGGCAGTGCATTCATTAGTAATTGTAAATGTTTCAAACTAAAAACGTATAGTTCACATGAGTTGCTGCAATCAAGAGCATGGTAACAATCAAGTTATCAGTGCTGGAAATGAGGCTCATCAAATCTTTAAAAAATGTAATTAAATCAGGCAAGTCCAAACTCGGGCTCGCCGGCTAATTGCAGCCCTCTGTGTCATGTTATGTGTCCCTACTGCTAACACAAAGTCGCCATTGAGGCACTTTGACAGTGTCATCCAACCAACTTCAGCTCTACCAATACGGTCATGCTATACCTTTAGTGAATCTCAGACCCTCTGGAATCCAGTCGTTGACTTTTCACAACATTCCAAATAAAATGCAGCTGTGGTTTAAATCAATAAGGACGTATCAAAACTAGGGCTGTCAAACGATTACAATTTTTAATCAAGTTAATTACAGCTTAAAAATTAAAATAAATGAATCGTAATAAGTCGCATTTTGAACTATCGACAAAATGATGCCATATTTTTTGTAAATGGTTGTTTGAATGGGAAGATAAATGACTGCATAGTGTACACATGTACTGCATTTGTTTATTATAACAATAAATCCATATAAAATTGCATTAACATTCTGTCTTTCTGTTTAGACTCAGACCAAAACTAGTGTTTGTTACAGATGAGGGACATTTCAAAACAGTCTGAAATGCAGAATGTCATTAAATCTGTTTGATTTGCTCACACCATTACTTTTGGGCACAACCAACATGAACTGGTAGTGCAAGGGAAAATTAGGTAACCCAGCTTTAATTTAGTGAGTGGGCTTCGGAAGAAGACACGGAGGAGACTGAGGCTCCGTTGTCCAGCTTCTGCGCTGTATTTATTGTATGCACCGGTTACGCAAAGACACGCACATTACAGGCAGAAAATAGTTCTGTGCGTGTATGGTCTTGGATATGATCACGTATGATCAAGTGCCTGCGGTCACGTGTGTATTCTTTTAAAACATGGATTCCCAGAGGGCCCACCTGCTCTGTTACCATCTCACTCACACGCATGTGTCCGCGGCATTCTGAGTGTTATTATGGGATTCATGGGTATGCGTTAATCAAGTAAATTTTGTTAACACGATTCATGAAAAAAATAATTTTATTAATAATTTTGATAGCCCTAATCAAAACCCATATTAAATTCCAGAATCCAGTCAATCCATCTTGAATCCAGTTTTTTTAATCCAGGTTGTTGGCCCCTGGTCAAGTCTTGTGAGCTAAACTGGCCCTCTTTCTGAAAAGTTTGGACACCCCTGGCATGAATGATCAACTTCTTGCTCTTGTTCCTTGCTCTTGTTTCGCAATAAAAGGAGTAATTAAAGTGCAGCACCTTTTCCCTGTGTATGTGCAGTGCAGAAGTCGACAGGTTCACTTCTCAATAAGACTGCTTCAGTCTCCGCCTTTGTGTGAGCGTCTGTGATAAAGCTGTGAACGTTGCTGCTTTATGAAATTAAAGTGTAAGAAAGGGAGTGACATCAAAGTTCTACTTTGTCTACAAAGACCAACTCGGAAGATTGTATTCTAATGTTGAAAGAAAATTAAATAGTGTGTGGAAGAAATGAAGTGAAAAGCTACGGTGTTCTGAAAGCTACGGTCTCCTGTCCTGTTCCTCTGATCTAACAGTTCTCCCTTCTCCTCAGGTCTCAAAGTCTCAGAGCCAGGCCCAGTCTAGTCCGGTCCAGATCCAGGTGGTCTCTCAGAGTGGACTCACTGGAGCCTCACAGCAGCTGAAGACTGTGGCCCAGCAAGTGACCAAACAGAGCCCCAAACCAGTGTTCACACAAGTGCTACAGACTAAACCAGGACTAACCCAGGCCAAACCGCTCCAGATCCAGACCATCAGTGGTAAACCCATCACCAAGACCCTGACCCAGGGCTTGCTGCAGAAGAACACACCAGTGCAGCTGCTGCAGAAGAAGGTGAGGTCTGGGCAAAGATGGTGAATATGACACATATGGGACAAAAACACTGATCAGGTTGTTAGCGTGAGAGGCCAGAGGGCGAGAGGGACCGGAGGCCAGAGGGCGAGAGGGACCGGAGGCCAGAGGGCGAGAGGGACCGGAGGCCAGAGGGACGAGAGGGCGAGGGACCGGAGGCCAGAGGGCGAGAGGGACCGGAGGCCAGAGGGCGAGAGGGACCGGAGGCCAGAGGGCGAGAGGGACCGGAGGCCAGAGGGCGAGAGGGACCGGAGGCCAGAGGGCGAGAGGGACCGGAGGCCAGAGGGCGAGAGGGACCGGAGGCCAGAGGGCGAGAGGGACCGGAGGCCAGAGGGCGAGAGGGACCGGAGGCCAGAGGGCGAGAGGGACCGGAGGCCAGAGGGCGAGAGGGACCGGAGGCCAGAGGGCGAGAGGGGACCGGAGGCCAGAGGGCGAGAGGGACCGGAGGCCAGAGGGCGAGAGGGACCGGAGGCCAGAGGGCGAGAGGGACCGGAGGCCAGAGGGCGAGAGGGACCGGAGGCCAGAGGGCGAGAGGGACCGGAGGCCAGAGGGCGAGAGGGACCGGAGGCCAGAGGGCGAGAGGGACCGGAGGCCAGAGGGCGAGAGGGACCGGAGGCCAGAGGGCGAGAGGGACCGGAGGCCAGAGGGCGAGAGGGACCGGAGGCCAGAGGGCGAGAGGGACCGGAGGCCAGAGGGCGAGAGGGACCGGAGGCCAGAGGGCGAGAGGGACCGGAGGCCAGAGGGCGAGAGGGACCGGAGGCCAGAGGGCGAGAGGGACCGGAGGCCAGAGGGCGAGAGGGACCGGGGGCCAGAGGGCGAGAGGGACCGGGGGCCAGAGCGCGAGAGGGACCGGGGACCAGAGGGCGAGAGGGACCGGGGACCAGAGGGCGAGAGGGACCGGGGACCAGAGGGCGAGAGGGACCGGGGGCCAGAGGGCGAGAGGGACCGGGGGCCAGAGGGCGAGAGGGACCGGGGGCCAGAGGGCGAGAGGGACCGGGGGCCAGAGGGCGAGAGGGACCGGGGACCAGAGGGCGAGAGGGACCGGGGACCAGAGAGCTATACCGCTCCTAGAATAATCAATGAATGTACTTGCTTGTTTTATTTATATATTTTCCGAGTGCACACTGGGGACACATGTATTCCAATGCAGTTTTACTGAAAATTACATAACCTTATTCTGAATCAATAACACAAGTCCAGGGGACAAAATGCAGAGTCTGAATGTTGTAGTAAACATATTTTCTCTTGCAGGCCGAGCCGATGCGGATCCAGATCCAAGTCCCATCCAAAGGAGACTCGTCGGTGCAGGTCTCCAGGCCGCAGGTCCTGACGCTGCAGTCCATGATGGGGCAGCAGTCTGGACCCCTGTTCCTGCAGCAGGGGCCCATGGAGCCGCTGCAGCTGCTGGTTCCTGTGGTGTCGCCCAAAACGGTGTCCTCTCCCATCAGAGTCCAGGTTCAGTCCTCCCCCAGACCCACCATCAAGGTCCAGAGTCCAGCTCGGACCACCGTCACCACAGTCACCCCTCCGAGGCCCTTGACCAGTCCCTTCGTGGCCAAGACTGTTACAAGCTCCTCCCCTCTCGTGACCAAGACTCTCACAAGCTCCACCCCCATCGTGACCAAGACTCTCACAAGCTCCGCCCCCATGGTGACAAAGGTTCTATCAGGCGCGGCCCCTGTGGTGAGGATCCAGATGCCTGTAAAGACCACTACAGCTCTGAGCTCGCCTCAAAACAAAACCATCACAGTCGTGAACTCTGCTCCCAAACAGAACTCTGCTCCTGCACAGACCCCTCAAAGCGGCCCCAAACCAGACCCTAAAGAAGAACCTAGTCCAGACCGGAGCCCCACTGCAGAAAACAAAGAACCCAAAGCCAAAAAACAGAAGAAAAAAGAAAAGAAAGCCTTAAAAATCCAGACCCGGTCCGGGCGAGTCTCCAGACCTCCCAAGGTGAGTCCCCCCAAGAAAGAGTACAGTAGAATAGAGTTGGGGTAATGGCAGCTTAGTTAACATGTTAGCTTACTTTATCAATTGAGGGCACATCATCCAGTTTCTCTTATCCTTCACATGTTTCTTATTTCCTAGAGTGGATGGAGCTTGTTAGCTTCTGAGTGTTAAATGGAAAATGACAGTTGCACATGAGCAAATATCGGTGGCAGAAAACCTGCAGGGAACACTCGCTACTGTTGCATTCAGGTTTTAGCTCTCTTCTTGATCTTTTATTTTGATTTTCTTGTTGGGTGCACTCAGCAAACATGACTCTGATTGGCTCCCACAACTGCCGTTGCCCTAGCAACTGGTTTCATTCACGGCTCGAGCATCTTGTGCTCCTTGCGCCTGATGCGCCAAACACATGGAATATGAAACGTAGAACATTAGCCCTGTAGCACCTAGCCAAACAATCCACTACATCTACAGTCAATGGGTCGCCACAGTAATAGATGGAACTAAACTGTTTCAGAGAGTTCAGGCTTAGATCAAATCTGTCTCTTTTTATCTGTGCTGTGATTATCTGATTACAATAGACCAAAGACACATTTTTGTTAACGTCTGCATGTGAGATCATCACATAATTATCTGCCCTGGTTCTCTTTTTAGTACAAGGCAAAGGATTATAAGTTCATAAAGACAGAGGACCTGGCCGAGTCGCACCCGTCAGACTCTGACGATTACTCGGACATGAGTGACGAGGAGGAAGGCCGAGCTGGAGCCCCGCACACTTCTGGACCGACCGCCACAGGCCCCGCCCCCTCAGAGGACTCAGACTCAGTGATCTGGTACAGCCTCAAGTCCAGGTCTTTCCCGTGCCAGACATGTGACAAGGCCTACATTGGCGTGGGAGGCCTTAACCGCCACTACAGGTACCATCTCCATATCTGTTCATGATCTCAGTCAAAGAGGAATTAAATACTTCCATGTAAGCAAATTTAGAAAGTTGAACAAAAAGGCAAACCTAGTGAAAGGGGAGTGAAGTAAAGACGTTTACTTTTTGTCTCTGTCTCAGATTTTGTCAAACCGTGAGTTTACCAGAAAGTCTCCCTCTTCAGCCTCAGATCAGTCTCTAATGCACACGTCAATAATTGGGATCAGAAACGTTTGTTGACTTTTGGCTCAGCTGAGTTGACAGGCAAAATAGTCAATCCGGGAAAACTACCGGCTCTGTCATCAACGGTACAACACAAGTGTAAATGAGGCTAATGAGACCCTCACCTCTACAACGGTTTATTCTTTATCTTTGTCGCCGGAAGGTGACCAAGGGAGTACCCAGGACACAGAAGACCTGTCTCTCTCATGGTTCCCCCAGATGAGCTGTAGAGAGTGTGTGTGTAGAGTAAGTCTGTCTGGATTGTCAACCTGCAACAGATGAAGCCGAAGAAAATAGCTGTGTGAATGTGAAATATAAATATTTAACTTTTTACACCTGGGTTTTAGACAACTATTATTTAAGTACTTTGGAATGTGTTGTTCTTGTGGTAAGTGCTGTTTGTCTTATATCAGACTCAAACTATCTCTCATCCACCTTCAGACTGAACCCGACTCATGGAGAGCCAATAACGCCAGAGGAAGCTGCAGAGAAGGCCCCGCCCACAGGAGACAATGGCCAATCAGCAACGTCCAAGGCCTCAGGGGACCACAGTCAGTCACAGCCAAAAAAAGCTCCATCGCCGGGAGACATGGACAGTGAAGAAGAGGAGGATGAGGATGAAGACGAGGATGAAGATGATGAGGTAAGAGTCAGCACTGCACCCTCTGCTGGTGTCCTGTCTCTTCTCTGATTGACTGCTCTGTGCTCAGGATGTCCAGCTGCGTGTGCACAGAGGCCCAGGACGTCCAAGGGGGAGGGGGAGGGGTCGTGGACGAGGTCGGGGACGTGGGCGGGGCCGAGGATTCTCCGTCACGAAGGTCATAGCAGATTTATCATAAATACATCTGTCTGATGTATGAGCAGTTAATGAACTCAACACTCTGTCTGCAGGTGCCAGGCATAGGGCGAGGCCGTAGGGGGCGCCCTCCTAAAATACGATACACTGCAGAAGAAGAAGCTGAGAGAAGGAAAGACCGACTTCAAGAGGTTAGATTATATGTTTAACTTCAGGTAACAATGCAAATGACAGCAAGAGAAAGAATCTATTACTGTCAATTAAGGCTCTATATCTCTCTCGTCTTTCTTCTCTTCCCTCTCTCATTTTGATCCTGAATGTAACTTTCTGTGGCAGGTTCTTAAACTGTAGTAAGTGTTAAGATATGTTTCTGATTTCCCTGAAATCATGAAATTGAGTGGATTTGACACGGGTGTAAACAACACGCTCCTGTTGCAGATGGTGGACCAGTGTGAAGACGAAGACCTCATGGACATCGTTTTGCCACGTCTCTCCAAAGAGATGAGTCTGTGGGAGTTACTGCTGGCAAAGGTTAGACCAGGCCTTCTGTTTCTGTCTGGATCATCACCTTCTGTCTGCGACACTAAAAGATCTGAGAGATTCAGGAAAACAACTGTAACATATGACCTGCTCCTGTTTGCAGGTGGACCGTGGCGTCCCCATGCGACCGCTCTTCCCGGACATTTACCGTGAGTTCGAGGCTCTGACGACGCAGGTGCGACAGGCGGCACAGGAGTACATCACCTCCCCCTCCACTCCCCCATCACCCCCCAGCGGACCCCTGGAGGTGCGCAACATCGAGGTGAGTCCCCTCCCCATGGGTATCATAGCGCTACAGGAGAAAGATAACACATTATTAAAATATGTAGGGCTGCAACAACGAGTCTATAAACATGGATTATTAAGTGTTGGCAACAAATTTCATTATCGATTCGTTGTGTTGCGCGATTGATACGATACATCACAGTATTACAGGACTGACACAGATTTTAGACAGAACGGGTGGGGCTACATGTTTGTGCCTGAAGTTTCTGACATTATGGATGGTGTTAAAAACAACTTTTTTTTTTCAAGTAAAGCACTGTAAACTGTGATTAAAATCATCTTCCACGATGCGACACTGAACGATGGCTCCCACAGTTATCGTTACCGTATGATCTTTTATCTGCGTTTGTAACTGATCCTGATTTCTGACCTCTGCTACAGGTGGCTCGGTGTCTGGGAATCTTGGACGAGGTGAACCGTCTGAAGGTCCAGGCCTCCACCTCTTCCACCAAGAACGTCCGCTACATGGAGGTAACGCACAAATCTGAAGAGAGATGTCAGCTTTATTTCTATAGAACATTTACAGCAACACAGCTGCGCGAAGTGCTGAAGGGAAACTGAATGAAATACACATGTAAAATGGTAGAATTGTTTTTTTGTCTGTTTTTGTTACGTGAAAATGATAATGGAATTGTACCATTATTTCCAAGGATTTCCACTCAAACACTGATTGTAAATGTTTCCCACAGAACTCAAAGATGCTTCCTCCGTCAAAGCGTTTTAAGATGGAGAACAGTGTGGCGGTGCATCAGAACGGCCTGGAGTCCAAAACGGGTGAGGCCCACAGCACCCACACAGCCAATTAAGAGCCGGATCATATTTCTCCAATAAAGATTGGGACCATTCAGAGTCCGGGTTCTTCTGTGAACCTTTGATCAATGCAGCAATGAATCCAAACCGTAGTTAAGGTGTCATGAGGTGCAAACTCGTTGCTTCTTCACGTGTTGGCGGCTTAAACATAAACACGTTCAGTCAAATGCAGTGTTACACAGACCTGAGGCTTCACCAAATGTTATTTCAGATACATGAATCTTTGTAAATGACTCAATAATGAGATGGCGACAGCAGTTCTGACAGGGTTAGCCTCAAGCTGAAACTGCGCCAGACGTGTTGCTAACATAGTTGCTAAGGTAAGCTGAAGTTTCCTTGGAAATGATTGGTTTACTCTATCCAGATTTTAGCCATGTAAGTTGATAGATCTAAGTGAGACACATATAGTTACGGTGTAACGCCAAGATACACTGCCTTGAAGAGATGCACTGCCTCAGCTGTTTATGATGTAATGCAAACCTGCGCATGCGCGTCTCACGGCAACCGAAGCATACCAAGATGGCGGACCGTGAATTGCTTTAAAAGTTGAAATACGAACGAATTAAGACACGAATGTCACTTTTAATGCAATTTGAGGCGAGATGTTGATGGTTCCGTTTAGTCACATGTGGGTTTTAAGAGTCAAAGTTTTGTGCAAAGTTTAGTTTAAGCAGTCAACTGCGCCTGTGAAACCACAAAGCTAATGTTTTCATAGCAGTCCGCAGCTGCTGACGTAGGCTGATGACGCGTCCTGTGGCCACTCTACACTCTTACACTGGTCTGTCGGGTTGATAATGGAAATAATAAATTTCATTCAATACATGTATCGTACTGTATTTAATATGATTAACAATAGTGTGTTCAAACAAAATATTTAATTAGATTGATGTTTTTCCCCATTTTCCATTATCAACCCGACAGACCAGTGTAAGAGTGTAGAGTGGCCACAGGACGCGTCATCAGCCTACGTCAGCAGCCGCGGACTGCTATGAAAACATTAGCTTTGTGGTTTCACAGGCGCAGTTGACTGCTTAAACTAAACTTTGCACGAAACTTTGACTCTTAAAACCCACATGTGACAAAACGGGACCATCAACATCTCGCCTCAAATTGCATTAAAAGTGACATTCGTGTCTTAATTCGTTCGTATTTCAACTTTTAAAGCAATTCACGGTCCGCCATCTTGGTATGCTTCGGCTGCCGTGAGACGCGCATGCGCAGGTTTGCATTACATCATAAACAGCTGAGGCAGTGCATCTCTTCAAGACAGTGTATCTCGGCGTTACACCGGCACTGAGCTAGAATTTACTTTTCCATGTAAGTCAATATGAGCCAGAGTGAAGAATAACTTGAGCTCTTGTCTATTGGGCTTCATTGAGCTAGCGGGTTAGAATTGTGTCTGGGTCTGTCTGTGTCTCTGTCTCTGACTGTGTCTCTGTCCTGGTTCCAGATCTTGTGAGTGTGAAGTCGGTTCCGCTAAGTCCTGTTCTCTCGGAGCCCCGTGCTGCAGCCGCAGAGTCGGAAGCAGAGCCTAGGTTTGTGTTAAAGTGTGACAGGAGAGAGGCTCCCTCGTCCCTGAGAGTAGTGCACGTGAACTCACCTAAACATGCAGTGTACAGTTTAGAGGCGATGCATTCTTTTAAATATATCAATTTCTGCCAATTCTACCAACTTTATATTAGTGGGTTTTCACTGATCACTATAGAAGCCTCAAATGTAGCGTTGTCTCTCATAGTTCACTGTTATGTGCTTCACATGCATCGTATTTTTAATCACATAAACATAAGCAATTTAAACATCTTTATTGCTGGGTTGCAACCATGTGACCAAAAGGGGCCGTAGGGCGGCGAAAGATTAGCGGAACTCGCCTGGAACTCTCAAAGATCCATGGGAACTCGCCTGTATTTGGGCATCGTCTGGTCCTCGCGGTTCTGTGCAGTGGACGAGCTCCCATGATGCGTTGCGCCAAATACGCGTGTGTGGCTCTCATGCACGTGCACAGAGGGGCTCTGCCGTGCTCTGACCAATCGGAGCAGTTCATCAGAGCGGGAGCCAGATGGGCAGAGTTTGTGGCACTAAAGTGTGGATTTACAGAAAACCGAAGGATTTAAGAAGAAAAAAAGTTCAGGATGACAAGGGACCCAAATCCCCACAAAATCCTACCTTTATGAAAGCTGTAGGTTCTGTCAGCTGAGGTCGCGCTGTTTTAGTTTACATTGAGATCTATGGGGGAAATTTCTGGGTAGCCCACGTGAATTTAGTCTGGTTTAGTCTGCAGTACCACGAGAATCCCCCGAGCACATGGTTCTTCAGCTCCAAGCTAGTAATAACCTATCCTGTTAATATAATAGATCCATGCGTAGGACAGGAAGTAATTTTCTAGCGCCCTGCCACTAGTGGGCAGAGGAACTTTACAACATAACACACCCGACCCCCACCATTACAATCACTTCCTCAACAACATCCTCCTCAGGCCACAGCAAGAGACGTGAAAGAATGCACCAACATCATTCTGCATTTAACAGCAGCTGCGAAAATGGAAACTGAAACTAAAGCTTGGCATGGTTTCGTTTGGACGGACAAAAAAGTAGAATTCTCCTTTGTGTATCGGTTACTGCGCAAATGTATGTGCAATGTACGTTTTACGGCACCTTAAAGACCTTATGCCGGGTTTGATTTATTTAGAAATACAGTTTTAATACCATTTTATATTAGAAGAGAACTACTAAAGGTTTCAAAATCAGTTGTTGTTTTTTTTGTCTGATCCCCCCCAAATCGAAATAACCCCATAGCAACGCCCTTAGAAACGAAAAAACTTCACAGCCCTTGGTGACGTCAGAACGGGTACGTTTCAACGCTGTAAGTTGTTTACAATTTGGTATTCGTTCTTTTTTTGCGGATATTCAAGATGACAAGGCCGTGTACAGCGAGTCTAAGATAACTACTAGAATATAGCATTTCGTTGTCACTGAGATAGCCCAGTGGTTGTGTCGATGGACTGCCAATCCAGATACTTGGGTTCAATTCCCACCTCGGACATTTTTTCACACTCAAAACGGCAATTTATGTGTAATGAGCAATTGTCACCTGTAGAGGGCAGTATTGTGTTGGGCACCAGTGGAGAGAAGAGAGAAAAGGCAGTCCTGTGGCATAGATCCATGGTTTTCAATGCATGGGCGTAACGACGTCACACACAGGTTAGAGCATAGACAACTTAAATTCATGAAAAACACGTTCTTTTTATAAAATATAGGATTTTTTTTGCCGGAATCTCTTTCAAATTGACATTGTCATGCAATTTTGATATCCACTATTTTTTTTTTTAAAAACCCGTCATAAGGTCTTTAAGCTCCAGGGGGAAACTTTGCAGCATTAAAGATCAACTAAACACCTGTGCCCAGCCTTACTCTGCCCATATGAACATTTTTTTTTTAAAAATCTCTAAAAAGGGCATTGCTGGAGGACCAGGGGACAAGAAAGGGGGCTCAGACAGCTGTCATTGCTGCTTAAAGCAATAGTTTACACGCCAGAAAGTCTCATTCCACCCTTGTTTATAATTACTGTGACACCAAGTAATTGTAAAGCTACACACCTGATGTAATTTTAAACCACTAGCCGTCCTTGATGCACAGAGCTTGGATACGACTTCAGACATTACCCTGGTCCTCGCAGTCCCAGACCCTGTTGACTGGGTTACTACCACCGAATACCATCCGTTCCTTTTTAGGAATTTTCTTAAAAATCGACACTCGCTAGAGAAATAAATTGTAGCAAAATAGAATCCATAAGTTCTCCCCTTGATACCAGCAGTTGCCCCAACTGTACAGGCCACAGAAAGAGCATTTAGACTCTGAATCAGTGAATATTTACATTGTTCTTAATGGGGGAGACTTGCATCCTGTCCCTCAGAGGAATTTCGTGCTAGATCTAGACTTTGATTTAAGCCGTGTTCTCTTTGCTGACGTCTCAAACCTTGTGTCCTCAGTGCGATGGAAGTGGACGTCCTCTTGTCCAATCAGGAGGCAGATCCCAGTGACATCACCGCGCAGATGAACGAACTGGAGGAAGCTCTCAAGTCTCCGCCCCCCTCAACAGACCCTTCCCCTCCTGTCGTGCCCCAGGACACGCCCACCACACCGGTCACACCCCCCCCAACAGAAGACCCTGCCCCTTCCACAACAAGCCCCGCCCCTTCAGCAGAAACGGTGCCCCCGGTGGCAGAGACTGGATCAGTGTAAAAAGTTTTATGAGTTTTTTTAAGCGTTTGTAGTTTTTTTGAGGGACGCAGAGAGAACGAGGACGCTTTGGTTTGTTCTTTCATCGTTTCATGTTCCTCCAATAAACTCTTCACCATCAGACGTGTTTTTAAATTTGTTAAAGATCAATCGGTTTGTAAAATGAGAAAATAAAAGGGAGAAGGCTTCAGCTGTTGTTCCCTGTTCAGTTCTGAAAATAAATGCACATTTTGTCCTTGTATCAACGTTCAGACGTTTCAGAAGTTTATGAATATAACATTCTCGATGTAGAAGACTCGAGCCCTGTTTCCACCACGTCCTTTTTTAGCCCCTCTTGGTCCTTGTTCTATCCAGGCCGGGCTGGTACCAAAGTGTTCTAACCGGTATTCTAACCAATGCTTTAAGTGGGCCGATTACACTTCCAACAATAGCTCTTGAGCTTCACCTCTCCGTGCACCAAGAACGTCTATGACCGTTACTGCTCATTCGCACATCTGTTTTAGTCCATTAGCTGCTCCGCTGTTTTTCAGAGCGCCCTTCACGATGTAAGCTTGATCACCCATACGTTTTACAAGGGAAAAGAGGCATATGTATTTTTTTTTGCTGTTAACAACTTAATGTGAAGAAAAAAAAAAACATCCAGAATCACTGTCAAACTCTGCGACCCCCAGGGGCGCGACTGCGCGAGTCCCTGGTTCACATGAGGTTTGCGGTGAGTACGGGCTGTGTGTTTTGTGTTGTACAAATGAAAGTAAAGTGCAAAGCAGTACTTTTGTTTGAGGAATGGTTAGACTGTGTTTTATGTTTAGTACAAAAGCTTCAGGTTCTGTAACTTTGGTCTAAGCATGTGTCTATAGTGTTCAAGCAACAGGAAAAAACTAACAGGTCAAGAGCATAGTGAGCACATGCGTAAATCGTGCTTAATGCCATTGTGTGTGACCATTGTCCTGATGGTTACATGGTCTGGATCAGTGCTTCAAGATCAGCCAGGTGTGTGTATGGCATTGAGCGGTGTGGGTTTTGAGCACTATATATAGTTTGAGCACATTATATATGCTTTGAGCACATTATAAAGGCTTTGGGCATATATATACAGTATGCTTTGAGCACATTAAACTGTTTATGCTTTGGGCATTATATATAGGCTTTGAGCACATATACTGTATATCACACTACTTTGAAACTGACACGAGCACAATTCAACAAGATGTAATTCCTAGTAAAGATTTGTTTTGTTACGGGCTGCACGGTGGCTGAGTGGATAGCACTCTCGCTGCTCAGCCAAAGGCTCTGGGTACAAATCCTGGTCAGCACGGGGCCTTTCTGAGTGGAGTTTGCATGTTCTCATGTCTGCATAGGTTTCCTCCAGTTTCCCCCACCACTAAAACATGTGCAATAATTCAAGGTGAATGAGTGTGAATGTGGGACAACATATGCAAATTAGCCCAAGGCTATAATCCGGAGTGATGTGTTCATTAACATGTACTGCCCCAACCAAATAAACAGTAAATAAATGAATACACTAGAACTATATTGAATTCTGCAGACATAACTAAAATGAAGTTCTTTAAAGAAAATTAACTGGTAAAATAGAGCCACAAAATTACATATATCTAAGATTCCCCTGTACAGTGATTGATTGTTGGGAAGTTGTTTGTTATACTTTTTGCATTATGGAAAAGTGACCAAGCTTAGTCAGGCCAAATTGTCAGGTATTTTCACCCTCATTTCATTTTGACACAATATTGTATTTTTATTCATAACAAAGGATCAATATATAGTTTAACGTGTTACAGCACTGTAATAATGGTGGTGCAAATCAAAAACATAACACGTTTTACAACAGAATATTTTATTAGAAATTTATAAAATATCAGACAAAACAAAACATCCAGGAACAGCTTTTTTCCAATTTTTCCATAATTCAATGTCTTTTCTTTTCTAATGAGCTGAACACATTGTTCTGGACATTTCTTTTGACCTTTTTAAGCAAACTTCACCAAAACTATTTCCTATTTAAAGCTGCACTATGTAGTTTTCTGGGGGAGAGTCCTTCACTTTGTTTTTAATGTATAAATTTAAGGTCAGCGTAGCTCGAACAATAAAAAACAGGTCATCAATGACAATGTCATCAGTACCAGAACGTAGCGCTTTCTATACAATTTCTTTAATTCTCAATCTGTGTGCGTCAGTGTAAAACCATATTGTAAAACAAGATAACTTTGCTAAGCTAATGCCAAAAGCAACTTTAAGAAAGAGGACAGAAGTGCTGTAGAGGTAATATTTACATAACAAAATAAATATTATGCTAATAAAGGGATTTTTGTCTATAAATAGCTTTAGCGTGGACCTGGAGGAGCAGGGTCTAGAATAATGTGGACTCTCCCACTCAGAACTACATAGATGTTTAAAGATTTTATTCTTAAGTGAAAATGCTTATCTGATCTTACACTGTCATTACAGCAGTGGAAGAGTTTGTTCAGGATTTGAAATAAAGGCTATTATAGACAAAAAAATCCAAATATAGTTTCAGGATCAGCCTTTTGGAACGCGTTAATACAATCACATAGACAATCTCAAGTTAAGAAAATAGCCACATTTTTGCCAGTTGAGCCCGTTAAAGGCGTCATCTGTAATCAGCACTATGTATTTAGCTATACCAGACTTATGCTGTAGGTCAAAAATGGAAACATAGGCTGGTGTTATAACGGGTTGATCATCACTGGGTTTTGGTGAAGTTTTTACAAAGATGAGGCAGCGACTGGAGCTTGTGCAGAACCAGAGGAACACAGGCAGCAGAGGGGAGGGGAGAGAGGGAAGAGAGGACAGGGTTTGTCTGCAGTGGTGGAAAGAAGTGCTCCAAAGTAAAATTTTAAGAAGACATATTGTGCTTCTGTGTCTGCCATAAGTCGTGTTTGAACCTGTGTCAGGTTTCCACACAGGGAAGACAGGAACACAGCAAAAGAAAAGGATCAAAACCGACTTCAAAATAAGTCTTCTAAAGTTACAGCGCTGTGCAACCAGGACCAGAGAGAGAGAGACCAGCGAGAAAGACCAGAGAGAAGGAAAGAGCAAGGGCAGCAGTTGTCATAGAATAAATTAAAAAAACAATCATTGAGTTCATCTCTGACAAACAGCGTCCTCTCCTGATCAGACGGGGACAGTGCATTTGTTTTGGTCCCAGGGCTCTGACACACACAGTATTCTGAGGCCTTGAAAGAGCATAAACAAGATAAACAATCAACTCTGAAGAGAATGATGTTGATACGTTTACTTTTACCAGTTTAATGGTAGAGGCTTTCGTTTGTAATTTGTGATAAAACAACTTTGGAAACAGCACTTTGGTTTCAGGGCACAGACAGAAGCACAAGTCTACGGCTTTTTTGTGTGTTTTTACTCTTGTTTCTATAGTAACAGAATGAAACACTTCTTCCACGTCTGCGTTTGGGGGAGATCTATGCGGCGCTGGATACGGCAAGCTTCTTCAGGTGATCCATGAAAACCTGCAGACTGACGTCGTCCGTGAGGATGGGGGCTCCGGATTCCTGAAACAGTTATTAATGAGGTTTATCCAGATTTAAAGTTTGTTCTATATATTTTGCTTCAGGTAGCATCAATTTAATATGAGTCTGAAATAAAGATAAATAATAAATAATAAAGCAACATTCTTACACCCGTCATTCAGTTATATTCAATCAATTCAAAGTAAGTCTCAGACTCTGGTCTCTCACCTGGCCCCACGTGTACATGTTGTTGTGGGTCTGGGAGGGGTTCACTTTGGAGAGCAGGAACCGAGCCTGGAACACACAGAACTCTGGATGAAGTCTGGGACACAACACCTATAGACCACTTGGTGGACTGGTGCGAAAACAACAACCTTGAACTCAACATTAGCAAAACTTAAGAGCTCTTAGTAGACTTCTGCAGGAACAAGCATCATCATCATCAATCCATCCATTATCATGATGGGGTGGTACCTGGAGCTCTGAGTCACAGCTGATACATGGAGTTCTGACAGTAAATCACAGCTGGTACCTGACTTCCTCCATGCTCCGTGTCAATGTAGCGAGGCATGGGGAACCGTGTGTGCAGGAGCTCCTGGGCGTCGTCCACTGGTGCCTGCAGCAGGTGTTTGAAGTTCTCGTACTCTGGCATCTCTTGGTACTTGGCCTTTCTCCACTGAGCCACAGTCTGAGAGAGAGACCAGGAAGCATCAGGGGAAACTGCTCAGTAGTAGTAGCAGCAGTAATAGTAATGCTACTGCTACTGCTACTACTACTACTACTACAGTTGCAGTATTAGTCGTTGTTCGGTAGTATTCTGTAGTATTACCTCTCCGTGGTAGATAAGGATCTGGAAGAACGTGTCCATGAGGAGGATTCTGTCTGGAAGAATCGAACTGGAGTCCAACAGAACCGGCTACAACAGAAAGAACGGGTCAAAACCAGGTCTAAAGAATGTGTAAAGAATGTCTAAAGCAGGACTAAAGCAGGACTAAAGCAGGACTAAAGCAGGTCTAAAGCAAGACTAAAGCCTTGCCTCCGGGGGTCCACTGAAGGAGTAAGCGTAGAGAACTGGTTGCACCATGATCAGGCCCTGTGTCAGGTCTTGTCGGTTGAAGTGGTGCCTGTAGAAGCTGCTCTCGTCTGGACTGTTGTTAAAAACCTGAAGGAACGGAGACCGGCGCAGGTGGAACATGAACTGTGGACCAATCAGATAGAGGGACAGGTTTAAACGCACCAATTGGAGAAGAGAAAAGCTAAATAGGAGAGAGGAGAGCAGACCTGAGGGTAAAGGGAGAAGGTCTCGGAGAATCGGAAGGAGTTGGGATCGTCTTTGTGGTAATCTCCGAACTTCTGACACTGAAAACGGGAAATATACAAATATGTTACAGCCTCAGTTCTGGATCTACAGCCTCAGTCCTGGATCTACAGCCTCAGTCCTGGATCTACAGCCTCAGTCCTGGATCTACAGCCTCAGTCCTGGATCTACAGCCTCAGTCCTGGATCTACAGCCTCAGTCCTGGATCTACAGCCTCAGTCCTGGATCTACAGCCTCAGTCCTGGATCTACAGCCTCACCAGGCGGATGAGTTGTCGGTCCAGCCACCTCAGCACGTCTGGTCCCTCCTCAGTCTCTGCTCGGTAAACGGCGAGACGAGCCATGAGGAGTGCGGCTGCCTCCTGGTCGAAGGACGCGGCGATGCTCTGGATCTGACTCTGTGCGTCTGCCCAACTGTCACACAAACACACACAACAGTTAGACACAGATAAACAACTCTTACACAAACACAAAGAAAAGGCCTATGAGTCACTATTTGACACTTTGGGTTGAGAGCTGAGGACTGGTGGTACTAGTAGTAGCAGCAGTAGCAGTAGTAGCAGTAGCAGTACTAGTACATACTTCCTGGCAGTAGTGGTGACCCGTATCCTCCTCTGTCCAGACGAATGTTGATACTGCGTCACAAACTGCACGGCTCCTCGTCCGCCCTGAGGGATCGGAGCGTTGTGCTGCAGACACAGGTTTTGGTTCAGGTTCAACTTCTACAACAACTCATCTACAACTGATTATCCACCTGACATGGACATATATCGACAAAACACAGGGAAGAGGAGAAAGCTTGTTTACTTTTGTTTTAAACTATGGAAAACAAGGGGAGCATGGATGGATGGATTATTAAAAGGGTAAAAGATTAAGATTACATTTTATCAACAGTTTACGTATTTATGGGGCTTAGTAAAAGGCTTGTCCACTTGCAATAAAAATGTGTTGTGTCTGTAGTACCGCTGTTTGGTCAGAGGGTGGCAGTGTACGGGGTAATTGTCTCAGCGGGTGACTGACAGCGTCTCCTCGGAAACGGCGCAGAAGTGATCACAGGTAATTACACAAGCCCTGCCTCCTCTGCACTCAACTGCTTTCAACACCTGAGAGAGTCCAGAGACCAAAGCCAGAGACCAGAGACCAGGACTAAAGCAAGACTAAAACACGGTCTAGAGACTATAGACCAGAGAGCAGGACTAAATCAGGACTAACAAAGGACTAAAACAGGACCAGAGAACGAGGACTATAGATCAGCAGGGTCCTGAGAGAACAGGACTAGAGCAGGACTCAACCAAAGTCCAGAGACCAAGTCTAAAAAAGCAGGGTCCAGATAGCAGGACTAAACCAGGACCCACGAGGTTAAGAGTAAAACAGGAACAACACAATAGAGTGGGACCAGAGACAGAACTTGGGACCAGAGACAACCAGAAACAAAGTCCAGGAGGAGAATAGAGCAGTCTTCGATCACATCATGTAATACAATTGAACTAGACTAAACTGGAACAGAACCAGGTCTAGACCAGGCTGTGATGGAGGGCTAAACTCTGGGTTTGGGACTCTCTTCATTTTTGGATCCTTTCACCATTTATGGATACAAATATTTTTGGAAGATGTTTAAAAGCTGCGCTTGAACCATGACTCAGCAGATTCTCGGCCTTAGTCTGGGCTTAGCCTAATAGCAGGCTCCAAGACCGGGACTGAAGACCTACACAGGACTAAAGCAGAACAAGAACAAGACGCCAAGATCAATGCAAGATACAACTTTCTCATAACTTCATTTTTTCATGTTGTCCCTGGACCAAGAGACCAGGACAAAAGGAGGATCAAGAGACCAGGACTAAAGCAGAACCCAAGAGACCAGGACTAAAGCCGAACCCAAGAGACCAGGACTAAAGCCGAACCCAAGTGACCAGGACTTAAACAGGAGCAAGAGAATAGGGAGAAGAGACAGAGACAAAACCAGGATCCAGAGAGCAGAGACTACAGACAAGCGGCAGGACTAATCCAGGACAGAGACCAGGACAAGACGAGGATCGAGAAAGAACAAGAATAAATCAAGGTCCAGAGACCAGAACTAAAGCTGGACTAAAAAAACAGGGCTAAAGCAGGGTCAAGACACCAGGACTAAAGTAGGACCAAGAGACCAGGACTAAAGCAGGACCAAGAAACCAGGACTAAAGCAGGAACAAGAAACAAAGGAGAAGAGACTGAAACAACCCAGGGTCCAGAAAGAACAGGAATTAATCAAGATTCAAAGACAAAGACTCGAACTGGCCAAAAAAACAGGACTAAAGCAGGACCAAGAGACCAGGACTAAAACCAGGATTACAACAAGTCTCTAGGATATACGTCAGACTTCGCCACAGTTGCAGCAGGTCTTGGTCTGAACTTGGTCCCAGTACGTTCTTTTGGAGGGAGTTTGCCGCTTCACAGCTGCTCCATGTGATCTGCTGTGAGATGCTGCGTGTGGAGCACAGGATGAACTGCTGTGTCCTGGAGATGGAAGGCCCCTCGGAGTCCTCAGAACCCTCAGAGCCCTCAGAACCCCTCAGGATCCTGTACTCCCTGCTCCTCTCTCTGCTCCTGCTCCCAGCTGCTCTCATGAACCTCACGCTTCTGCTGACGCTGCTGTGGAGTGGAGACCCCGACCACAGGGCCCCCCCAGAGCACAGGGGTTCCTCCAGGGGCCCCGGGTCCTGTTTCACCCTCAGCCTGGGCGCCTCTGACCTGCTCCTGAGCCTCAGTGTGGTGCCTGCTGCTCTGTATTGTGCTGCTGCGGGGGTCCGGAGAGTGGAGGAGGATAGTCTGTGGTGAGTATGTTTATTCTATTCAACTCAATTCAATTCAACGTATCCTTGTATTGCCCTAAATCGCATTAGGAGTAATCTCTTTACAAAACCGTCAAATTCGCCAATACAGATCAGAGAATCAAACAGTCCGGAGACCAAAGACCAGAGACTATAGACCAGGACCAAAGCAGGGTCCTGAGACCAGGACTAAATCAGGATAAAACCAAGAGACTAGGAACAACACTATAGACGGGGATCAGAGACAGAAATTGGGACCAGAGACCATAAAAAGTCCAGGAGAAGAACAGGGCAGTCTTTAATCACAGCATGCAATAGAATGAAACTAGACTAAACTAAACTTGGTGTGTGCGTGTGAGATCCTGGAATTATTTTGTGGATTTTCTTTCCTGCACAGACAGTCAAATGCATGTTTTAAATCCTCTGCCTCAAAGACCCCAGATTAAATGTTAGTGATGGCTGCAGTATTGACAGAATGGGACACAGACCAAAGCTGTAAGAGGTTTAAACTGTAGGGAGATCCACAGAGACTCAGTCACACTGAGCAACACGGCTAGTGTGCCCAAATCACTCGTCTTTTTGCTGAGGCATGTTCAGCAAACAAAACACACTGTGGTTATAAAACTACACAAGTCACACGAGGGACAGTACTTTGCAGAATGACCACGTAATGAGCCGTAGAGCAGTGTTTGGGTGAGTGAAGCATCAGTTTGGGCTAATGCATGCTCTGCCATTTCTTGTATGAAGTTGTCCTGGTAAAAAGGGTGTTTGAAAATGTGTATATTGCTTCACAAGGATGAGAAATGTACTGTAGTCCAGTAAAATATGATTAAGCTCTGTTCTCTAGCTTTCTCTTTCTGGGGTCTCCATCTCTCTCTGTCTAGTCTCTAGCTCTCTCTGTGGTCTTGCTCTAGCTCTGTGGTTTCTATCTCTCTCTGTGGTCTCTGGTCTTTCAAAATACTTTTTCTAAAGTAAACAACCACTGTTGGGTGTAACGCATTACACTAACAAATCTACTTTTTCCGGTGAAAAGTAAAATAATGCATAAACTATTGTCAATGTAGTGACGTACCAAGTTTCTTTTTTGATCCTCCGCAACGCTTTTTATTTACCATGGGCACTGTGACACTCATCTGCTGGTGCTTGCGCATGGTATGTGAATCAAGAGGCCGCTAGTGCTTACCGCAGGTAAAGTGCGACGGAGCAGCGCCAGTGAGGCTGACTTTTTTTAACGAGTATATGAGGCTCAGAGTTAGAGGTCCTAAAGACATTCCCCCGAATGAGAGCTGTGTTCATGAAACAATGTTTTTGATAGCAGAACTTCCACAATACATTGAAGAAAGGTTTTGCTCAAAGTCGAGCAAATGATAGTAACACAAAAGTAAAGTTAAGAGGTTACTTTCCTAGAGAGTAAAGTAAAGTAACAGGTTATTTTTTTTAAAGAAGTAACGAGAAAAGTTACTTTTTAAATGTAACTTCCCCAACACTGCAAACAATTCTACACCATTTCAACAAAGGTCTAAAAACGCAGTGAGAGACAGAACTGCAATCTGTGATTGTTTGATGATATAAAGTCTTTGTATGATATTTTAATTCAATGCATTTTCTCTGCTGTACTGTCCTGTTGTTTCTGTTTTAATCCCTTTCCCCACGAGACTCCAGATGAAAACTGAGCTAAATTTGTAGCATGACCACTGACCAACCAGAACTACACAATAATGATTTCCAAATATGTGCAATAGAATGTAGAAGGGAAATAAATCCAGTGTATTTGCAGCATCACTGTCCTGTTCAAATAAATAAATCCTGAGATAGAGAATCACAGAGACACAGCCGCAGACGTCCAAAGTTACAGAAATGAGTTTATGAATTCTGAGATTTCTTGCACGTGCCCAGTGTGTGGAGACTCGCTGTAAGAAGCAAGGTTTCATTTTCAAAAGTGTTACATCTACAATATCTACTTCTCCCTAAACACCAAATAATTAAGACAGAGATCCAATGTAGGCTGGGCTAAAGCCGGACCGCTCTGACACCCATACATTCAGTGTTATAGCTTTTGTCTTAAAGCCCACGTTTATTCTGTCTTTTAACAACCACAGAGTTCTGTGGTCTAATGTGCTCTTTCTAATGTATAAATGCATTTCTTTTATGAAAAAGTGGAAGACTCTAAAAAAAGATTGAAAAGTCCAGTTGCCTCTGTAATTCAACTTAGAATAAATAACAAAAATAAGTAAAATAAGACATTCTCAAACACTCAAAGTGAGATACTATAATTTTGATGAAAACATACAAATGTATTTAGGAAATGGAATGTAAGCCACAACCATCAACATTAACAATTATAAGATTCACATTATATGATGGAAAATTAGAATATTGTTCAAATGTGAAATTACTTCTGCAGCTACCTAAATGATCTCTGATTTGCTTTTGTTGTTTGGCAGCTGTGTGAGCCCTTTGGAAACTGTATAATGTGCCATACATCTAAAGTGGATTCACACAGTGTAGCTCTGTGCTCCTCAGGTGTCAGACTGGAGGATTCCTCCTGGTGCTACTACAGACCTCCTCCCTTCACTCTCGCATGTGGGCTGCAGTGGGACAGTACTCAGAGATCCGTCACGCTCTCAGTAACGACCGCCTCTGGACCTCGATGCGGATCCGCGTCCTCGTTCTTCTTTTGTGGCTCTACAGCATCATTAATGCTGCACTTCCTGTCCTCCGGGTCGGAAAGTACAGGTACAGACCCCTCACTATAGAATGCTAAAGCACTGGTGAAAACTGGATCACTGGTACTCTTTCATTATATTGAGCAAGATTGCACGAGGTGTGAAAATTCAATCCTTTTGACGTAACTGGATGAAACTATTTCTACTTTATTTACTCTGCAAGTGAACTGGATACTACTGAGACAAGGCCAGCAGAAGCATTTAAATGTTTCTTATAGTGCTTTCTACATGTCCTAGTCGATTATTTGAGATTTTAGCGCAATTTAGATAAAATCTTACTTTTGAGCCTAAAACAGTGTGGCGCCCGCTCTACATTTTTGGTGTCACTACATTTGAAATTTGTGCCTGGCTCTGGCCACTGTGTGACGTCGCTTTGTGCAGTGTAACGTCCGTCTCTCTGCACTTGTGGTTTAAAAGCAGCAAAGTCTCACATGACCCGTAGAGAGTTTGAGATGGAATAGCGAGTGATTAATTTACATTGATTTTCAAGTTAGCAATTTATTAGCATAGCATTTAGTTAGTTCTTTAGCGTAGCCGTTTCTAGTGTAGTTACAGGTAATTCAGTTGCGTGGTTAGTTTACTTTAATTTAGTCATTGTGTGAAGAGGATAGAAGCAGCGAGTGACGAACGCCTCTCCTGACCAGAGGACACTTGCGTCTCGCAATTGTATACATTGGCCGAAACACGCCTACTGTCCCTGTGAGGCTTATGGAGAAGTGTAGAGGACATTACGGACCAGAAAACTGTAGAGCACATGTATGCGTTTGTCCTCCTGGTCTCTGTGGCTGGTGAAAATGAAATGTCCAGAATCACTCTGAGGGCAGTTATGTAATGTCAGTGAAAATATGGTAATTTAAAAAGGTAATACTAATCCCGTGCGAATAGAGCCTTAGATTCAGCGGTTTCTGGTGTGTTAAGACTTGATTTAAACCAGCAATGAAACTGTTGATACTTTTTCTATGACAAGACAAGCAATCAAATTTTCAGAGTGGCAATTTCGTTTATGTCGATATGTATTCTCCTCAAATGTTCATGTGGGCACAGGGAAAAGCTCATATTTGAAGCGTACGTATTCGGGCGCTTATTGTGATGAAAAACAATGTCCTTCTTCATGTGTTTCATTGTTTTGTTGTGGAACTTAAATCACTTGTGCTTCAAGCTGTAGCTATTGATCCTTCTTGTAATCCATTAAACTGCGCTTAATCTATCAATTTTATTCACTTGTGTCTCATTGGGCATTGACACAAATGTATTACTACTTTTATCAAACAAGTGATGGAAATGTATCAGTTTTAATGTTATCAAACACTCATCTTTGTCCTTCTGGGATGTCCCCAATCAGATGCACAGATGGTATAATCTTGTGTTTTATATCCTTAACCCTTAAAATTCTGATACGTTTCCAACATTTTTCTGTGTTTTGTGTACATAAGATATATCCAAAGTAAGTCATTTATAAAGTTTATCACTAAATGCTAAAACTGGTGAATATAACTGATTGTTAAAAGGCTTCCAAATGCTAACTGCTGGCACTACTTCGAATTAGAGTTATGAAGACTGTATATATGCCAAGTAATGACACTTCCAAAACTTGAGTCGTCATAGTGCCTGCTCTCGGTTCTAGAGTTAACCCTATACTAACTGTGTTGCAGGTACAGTCCGGCACGCGCCCTGTGTGTCCTCAGTCTTGTTGAAGTGGATGCCATATCCAGGGGCATGTCGTTGTCGTGGCTAAGCATCTCAATGGCAACACCACTGGTGCTAGCATGCGTGCTGCAGGGCTACGTGGCACATGTGGCGCGTGTGCAGGCACGCAGGGGAACCTTCAGGTGCAACGAGACGCACTGCTTCTACATCCCAGCCCAGGCCTACGAGAGGAGCGCACACGCCCTGCTCATAAGCACAGGTACAGGCCCACGCCCTGCTCATAAGCACAGGTGCAGGCCCACGCCCTGCTCATAAGCACAGGTGCAGGCCCACGCCCTGCTCATAAGCACAGGTGCAGGCCCACGCCCTGCTCATAAGCACAGGTGCAGGCCCACGCCCTGCTCATAAGCACAGGTGCAGGCCCACCCCCTGCTCATAAGCACAGGTACAGGCCCACCCCCTGCTCGCACTTTTACTTTTGAATGCGTTGGAAACGGCAGCAAGCCCGGAGTAGTTCTGAAACAGTTGTTTTGCATTTTACAATTTTTTATTTTATTTTATTTTTCTACCTGAGATGTTGCTGCAGTACAGTGTTCATGGTTTTACACTATTCCAGACCGGGCAGAGAGGATTCATGGTCTGAGCCAAGCAGATCAGGTGAAAATCCACTGGAGGAATGATACATTTTTGAAAAATGCTAATGATGCATTCACATATTTTACTTATTATACTTATTATTAATGCTTATCTAAAAGGACAACAGCAGTCGTCACGAGGGACTTCGCAAGGTTGCAAAAATACTTATTTTTAAGTATTTTACTTTGGACTACAGCAGAGAAAATGGTCCGAACCAAGCAGCTACTCCACCTTGTGACCTGTCCTGCTCCACCCAGAGGCTGCACCACCTCTGCTGCTGTGACCAGTCCTGCTCCACCCAGAAGCTACTTCATCTCTGCTGCTGTGACCTGAAGGGCTATTGTTAGCTTTTTAGAAAGATCAATTTAATTTTTGGAGCGCCCACGCCCTGCTCATAAGCACAGGTACAGCCCAACACCCGGCTCAAAAACACAGGTACAGGCCAACACCCTGCTCATACTGACTGTACCTGTGTGAACCTAGATAGGAGTCATGAGGGGTTTCCACAAAGCAGACCCCTGTTTTTAGACCTGAGGTAATAGAAAACTGTTTGATCTCAAAAGAAAAAAAGTGAAGGACGAGGGTCACTTCAATCCCCACTAAACCCAGTTTCTATGACAGCTAAAGACAAGCCGTTTTCTATGGGGACATTTACTGGGTTGCCCTGGTGAATTTAGTCTGTAGTAATCATGCTGGAGAGGCTTAAGCTAGCAATACCCTATATGGATAACACAACATATAAATTTCCCATGCAATAACCAGACTACATGTGGACGAATAGTGGACGACAAGTGGACGACAAGTGGACTACAAGTGGACTACAAGTGGACTACAAGTGGACTACAAGTGGACTACAAGTGGACTACAAGTGGACTACAAGTGGACATGATGGGTGTAAAGAACTCCAGGCCTGTTTGAGTCTGTTTAGCTGAATCAGAAGGATGTGAGTGTCTGTGACCCAGGGCTGTTGTAAATGTGAGTTTGCACAGAGCAGCTGTGTTTGTCTTTCATTAAAGCATTAAACTCAGAGACATGTGAGAGGGCCAGGTAAATGAGAATATTATTACAACTAAGATCACAGAGAGTATGTTTTATATTTATGTTTTCTATGAGGCGAGTATGAAACTGTGTGTTAGGAACAACTTTGACAGAAGAGTAAATACTTTGGACAAAGCACCACTTTCAAAATAAACATGTCATTTCAATATCTAACAAAATGATGCTTCCTCTGTCTGAAGACGATTGAATGTAGCCTGGCAACAATAACAAAAACTAAACTAGATTAAAAGGTAGAAATAATCTCGCGACCCGGCAACGGATGAGGTGACCCGGCAACAGATGAAGCGGAAGAAAATGTAATGGAGAAGAAAAAATAGAAATAATCTAGAGATTTACTTATCATTGGCTTCACTTATTCTTAGTGGCCTTCGGCTTTTACTGAAAAATTGGTCTCTCTCTACAGTTTCTCTTCCCCTGGTCTCTCTCTCATCCTGATCTCTCTCAGTTTCTCTCTAATCCTAGTTTCTCTGATCCCATCCTCTTGTTCCCAGCGTCCCTGGTGCTCTGCTGGGCCCCATACCTCTCTGTGTGCCTGTATGAAGGCCTGAGTCTGGACCTGGTCCCTCTGTGGGTTTCTCAGGGCTCCATGTTCCTGGTCCTGAGCAGCTGTGCCGTGAACCCTGCGGTCACCTGTCTCACTCAAATGTAAGTACATAGACTACACTCTCCATGATCCTTTGCAGCTCCTGACTGCTGTGTGTTTCAGTCAGTATCGTACGGCGGCCCGCGTCTTCATGTCCCGCCTCCTTCAGCTCACCATGCACCCGAGCCCCGCCTACCCGCCTGAGGCAACCAATCAGATCTCCACGACTAGGACCTCACTTCCTGGTGTGTTGGTAGTCACGACATGATTGGTCAGCGCAACAGAGAGAGTACTGAGAAACTCTGGACACTAGGAGACAGTAAAAAACGCCTCGGTTTGGACTAGAAAAGTTGTTATTATTTGGTTTTATAAAAAGGTATATTAGAACCGCCCTCTCCACTTTTCGAACAAAACTCTCTGGTCTTATTTGACGAATCACGTATCACCAGAATGACTGACAATTTGGAGGACCAATAGTATTGATGATCCACCCGGAAGTAGAAAATCCTCCTATATACCTTTAAATAAATGTCAATGGAAACATGTGGATATATTCTTTCAGATAAAAGTCAAACACTCTTAATTGCTCACGCACAAACACACACACAGAGGTACACAAAGAGACAGAGAGAAGAAGGGATAAAAGATAAAAGTCAAACACTCTCTTAACACACAGATATACACAAATAGAGAGAGACAGAGACAAAGAGACAGAGGGAGAAAGTGAGAGACAGAGACATTTCTCACTTTTGTCCCCACTGGTTTCAGAGTTTTTCCTTTACAGTGCTTAAAGACCTTATGACGGGTTTTTTTTTTTAAAATAGTGGATATCAAAATTGCATGACAATGTCAATTTGAAAGAGATTCCGGCAAAAAAAATCCTATATTTTATAAAAAGAACGTGTTTTTCATGAATTTAAGTTGTCTATGCTCTAACCTGTGTGTGACGTCACGGGTTACGCCCATGCATTGAAAACCATGGATCTATGCCACAGGACTGCCTTTTCTCTCTTCTCTCCACTGATGCCCAACACAATACTGCACTCTACAGGTGACAATTGCTCACTACACATTAATTGCCGTTTTGAGTGTGAAAAAGTGTCCGAGGTGGGATTTGAACCCAAGTATCTGGATTGACAGTCCATCGACACAACCACTGGGCTATCTCAGTGACAACGAAATGTCACCATCTAGTAGTTAGCTTAGACTCGCTGTACACCGCCTTGTCATCTTGAATATCCGCGAAAAAAGAACGAATACCAAATTGTAAACAACTTACAGCGTTGAAACGTACCCGTTCTGACGTCACCAAGGGCTGTGAAGTTTTTTCGTTTCTAAGGGCGTTGCTATGGGGTTATTTCGATTTGGGGGGGATCAGACAAAAAAACAACAACTGATTTTGAAACCTTTAGTAGTTCTCTTCTAATATAAAATGGTATTAAAACTGTATTTCTAAATAAATCAAACCCGTCATAAGGTCTTTAACAACATTTATCAACACTGATGGACATTGGTCAACTCACCCATGTGTTCCATATTCTTTGTGTTTGAACTGGTTGATTCTCTGATCTGTGTTGGTAATTTCAATGGTTTTGTTAAGTCCTCTGGGATAAGTACTGTTGTGATTTAGGGCTATATGAGAACACATTGAATTGAATTGAATTGAAAGAGATAGAGAGACAGAGACTGAGAGACAGAGACTGAGAGATACACACACGTTTGCCAACTTACTGCTTGAGTGTGTGTTTGGAATGCGTCTCCTCGTATCTGGATGTTTCAATTTTGTGTGCATGTTTGAATGCTTCTCTCACTCAGAGAAACATGTGGAGCTTTGTACCTGGTTGACGACCTCAAAGTACAGGGCCAGAGTGGTGCTGGGGTCCAGGCCGCAGACCTTCCACTGGGACGTCCCACCATTGCCGATCTCCTACACAACAGAGACAGAACGCATAACTTGCTTCTGTCGGCCATTAAAGCTGGTTTACCTAATTTTTCTTTTTCATGAATAATAGAGGGTGTGGCGCTCTTTTTTAAATTTTCTGTCTGAAAAAAGCTGATCTGAAGTTAGCTTCCATCACTTATTCACCTCCGTCTATTCTGAAAACAAACAGTAAACCAGTGTCCTGTAGTGATTAAAATGTGATGAGTGAAAAAAAAAAAAAAATCTTCCCAACTCTGCCACAATTTATATATCTGCATCGCTGTATAAGCCGCAGGGATCAAAGGCCAAGAAAAAAGCACAGACTCACGTTCTCTGAGACACAGGGGCCCTTAGCATTGAGCGACACGCAGGGGCCGATGGCTCCGGACACCTTCACCTCTCGGGATGTCTGACGAACAACCTCAATGTTATTTATAAAGCACTTTTATAAACAACCCGAGGAGACCAACGTGCAGTACAGACAATATTTACAATTTGATTAAAACACAGTCAGAATAGTACAATATACTACAAGACAAGAGTTTCAGATCTATAACAAAATCAAAGTGAGTGTTTTGATTTTAGATTTTGAACAGAGTGGACAGGGAAGGGGAGGAACAATCAAGAAGAAACCTTGAAATCACTTTATACAGAGATGTGATGCACAGAACCTTAAATATGAATCATGCCAGCTTCAGTTTCTCGCCGGTTGATAGAACACTCGACCTCAGTTTGGTCCAAACACTGAACTGTGTGTGACGAGACAAACAATTCTGTCCCAACAAAACCTAGCCTGACCCTCGCCAGACCCTTGTAGTTCCGCCATGCTCTGCCAGAGGCCTTTCGCTGAACACAAGGGTCTGGGATCGAGTGCATTGCAAACTCCTTCAGGAGATCAAAAAATAATTGGCCAATCAGGATCACTGGTGTTACGTTGGGTTTGCACCGCCTTCTTGCGCGTCTCAGCCAAATCAAACCAAGATGGTGGACATCAAGTCCGAGACATGGATGTCACTTTTAATGCAATTTGTGGCGAGATGTTGATGGCTCTTGTTATATGTGTGTTTTAAGAGTCAAATGTTTGTGTAAAGTTTGGTTTAAGTACTGGTTTAAAAGTGCTCATCACAACACTACGCAGCAGGGTTGCCAGGTTGCGTGGTTTCCTGCCTACTTTTGTTCCAAGCAACTTGTAGGTAATAAACAGACAGAAAGACAAAAACAGAATCAGGATAGCCCAAGTTGATTGCATTATGTTTTTAGCCAAAAAATTATTCAGGTTTTTGGGGCATTGTTGTGGGTTTTGGGCTGTAAAATCCTTCCGGCATTTGACAACCCTGCAACGCAATGTGCTGAATAGTGTGCTTCGATGTGAGTGGTTGAAGGAACACGTCATTCAAGATAACAGACAAATGGTTTATCCAATCACAAACAAGGATTTTTTTTTTTTTTTAAAAAGGCCCACCTTCTGAAATTCATATGAAGCAAACCCAGACCCTTGTGTGAAGCGCAGCAAACTACAAGGGTCTGGCGAGAGTCAGGCTAAACAAAACCAGGGATAGGACACAAAACATTTTTTCTCCCTTCTGTTCCTGTTTGTTCATGCTGCACAGATGTATAGACTGTATATGATGTATATAACATGATATGGACAAATAAATAAAGCAGTTTTGTGGAGGTCCGTCTTATCAGATTAAGTACAATGTTGTGTCTTTTGTTGTCAATTTCTCCGACTGATAGCGGCATCTGGTGGTTATTTAACAGAACACAGCTTTGGTGCTTGTGTGTGTGTCTGTGTGTGCGTGCTTGTGAGAGACTGTATGATTTGCCATCGTACCTTGACCTCCAGCGTAGCACCGAACGCCATCTTGAAACAGCCCTGAACGTCTTTGGTGAAAACTCTCTGAAAAGTCTGTTTGAAGAGCGACGTGTTGAAGGAGTCGGCCATCACCATATACCCTCTGTGGACCGGTACAAAACATGTTATTATACTACCAGGGCCAAACCCCCCAGGGCCAAACCCCCCAGGGCCAAAGTGTGGTCGTGGACTCACCCGGTGTGGTTGGGGCAGCACTTCATCTCCAACAGTCCAGTCTGGTCCAGGGCGCAGGCATAAATATCAATGATGTGACCGTTGGCTGCCGCTCTGCTCGCCAACGACTCGTAATGCTGCAGGAAAAGAGGCATTTGGAGGTGATGGAGATGTTTGTACAGATTCAGAATTCAATGAGTACAACAATAATTAGTGCATATCCAACAAAATACAAAAACTTTAGATGGTTGTGGTTAGAACCTCGTACCTTTGTGGCCTTCTTGAGGAACTTGGCTCCATCTTTCTCAATGTCGTGCCAGGACCTTATGGGGGTCTTGAGTTCATCTCCCACCACCATCCCTGGCCCCTGCGTCGCTGGGCCCCCAATGAACGTCATGATGCGGGCGCCTGTGTTGGGAAACGTGCACTAGGGGGCGACAAAGACCAGAGTCACACTGTGTATAAACAATCAATTCGAGATACGAGATACATAGATGTATGATAGGTACTATGTGGTGGGTATTGCTACTTAGACCTGTCTCCAAATGGACTAGAGGCCACCTGCAGTACTGCAGCCTAAATCCACATGGTGTTTAAGGGGATGTCCCCACAGCACACTAAAACAGCTCGTTCTTAGCTGACAGATAACTACAGCTTTCAGAAAGAGTGAGAGACCAGAGAGAACGCGTCAGAACGCGTCACTTTTACAGAGGTTTCGGGCATCCATGTTGCGAGCATAAGCCACTGAGCACAGGACTGAGCACATGAATCTGAACGGACAGACATCTTGGACTTTGACTTGGAGCATTGTGGGTAATGTAGTCACCTCCAGCAGCCCCACTGCGATGGACATGGCCACGCCCAGGCTTCGCAGAGGCCTCTTCCCCTGAGTCACAGGCCACGGGTCTCTCTGCAGCTCCCCCAATAGGTCCGTTAGATTCATGTCGATCTTTTGAACTGGCTGAAGGAATCTGAAAGGAGAGAGTCATTAGAATAAAAGTATAATATAGTATAAGAGCTGGTTTAATAAAGAAAGTGTTTGTATAATTTATTGTGGAGGTGTTACCTGTTGCACAGAGGCTGAGGGGTCTGAGGAGCTCGTCCCTGAGGAGCTGCAGGTTTGGTCAGACCCAACATCTCCTGAAGACAGAGACAACATCAGGACAGAGACAGACAGAGGCAGAGAGAGATACCATAAATGAAGACCACACAGAGGACACAGAGTCTAGCTGCTGCCGCTGACTGAAGCTCCACAACATAATAATGGCTAGTAAAAGTTAATCTTTGAGACAGGGATAAGTTAAGAATATATGACAGGGACATGGTTATCTTTCCCCTAACCCTGCTCAATGCCCCTCTCATCTCACCTGCTCTCCGTCTCTTTCCTCTCTCCTGCAGCTGCTCTGTGTCCCCATCTCTCCTCTCACCTGCTCTGTGCGTCTCTCCCTCCTCTCACCTGCTCTGTGTCCCTCTCTCTTCTCTCACCTGCTCTGTGTCTCTCTCCCTTCTCTCACCTGCACCTGCTGTGTCCCTCTCTTGCGGCTCTGTGTCCCTCTCTTGAGGCTTTGTGTCCCTCTCTCTCCTCTTACCTGCAGCTGCTTGGCGTTGAGGTCCTTGGTGCCCCTGAACACGTAGCTCTTGGAGATGCCCTCGCAGCCGAGCTCGTGCACCTGGACCATGCGGCCAAAGGTGATGAGCCCCACTAGAGCAGCAGGGGGCAGCAGAGAGAGAGACATCTGCAGAGACTCCTTCAGCGCCTGCAGGTCCTCGTCCTCCACACAAGTATCCACCACGTACAGAAACACTAGAGGCATCGGGGGCCCCCTCTGGAACACACACACACACGTTAGACAGCCGTCAAGCTTAATGTGATGGTTGCAAATAGTTTACATACTATATATTTCTGCACTAGGCTGCACAAAATGTTATACTTGTTAGAGATTATGTTTTAATTGAGTATATAGTTATTGTTCACTTATCTTGTGTGCTACTTATTATTCAACACATTTTCCCACTGTGGGACAAAGGATCTCTTCAACTTGAATATGGTTTCTTACATTTCTGATAAATTGCATACATTGGGATGGAAAGAGCTCCCTCACAATTGCTGAAGTCTAATAAGAAAGAACTTTGACTGATATTTCACTTTCTTCCTACCCTCCCACTGATATTTCACTTTCTTCCTACCCTCCCACTGTTTGTGTCAGACTTGAGAGAAATAGGAATTGGAGCCAGAACTAAATTGCAGCATTGATACGGTTTATCTCTGTCCTTTCCCATCACACAGTGGAACCCTGCAACACAAGACACTCAAACCATTTCCCCAAACTATGGCCAAAAGAAACAACAACCACATTTCCACTGCCAGAGTTGACCCACATTGTGAAAAGCCAAATGAGAAGGAAGGAACTTTTGTCTGTTTTTTTTTTACAACAGCAGTAAAGCAGTTGAAGAAACTGCTGAGCTCAGAGAATAATGGTCCAATGAGACCATAGTTATTAGGGCACCCCAAAAACCTCAAAACCCTGTTAGAACCACTGTTGAAACCCAGTTTCAGGTCTTGCCTTGTTCCACGGACTCCAGAACTGAGTGAGAGCCATCGACGCAGACGGAGGCTTCAGGAGAAATCACAGCATTTACACTTGAGACAAACTAAACAAAGTGTACACCAGGTAAAAGCAGGGACTGGCATGTGAAGCAAACAAGTTCACCCTAGTCAAGTCTGAGTCAAGTTAGACTGACAAGATGTGACCAAGATTTTATAATGATTGAGACCGAGATTTAAAGCAGTTTGAATCCAGACAGTAAACCCGGCCTGTAATAATCACTTGTATTTAAAAGCCGGATCAAAGGTACTAACTATCTTTGATCCGGCTTGTAAATCGATAACAGGACTCTGAAGCAGCTGCCAAAAGACTTTCATGACAAAGACAATTTTAACAATTATTTATCTAAATATCTATTTGGATCCCCAAAATCTTCCACACGGGCTCATTCGTCTTCCTTGATTTTGTTCTATGCAGGAACCTTCATTCTCCATATTTCCAGCTGAATAACAAAGCCGGACTAAAGCAGAGACTAAAACAGGACTAAACCACATGTCAACCTGGACAAAACCAGGACTGTAACAGGATTAAAGAAGGTACTTAACCAGGAGCAAACCCATACTGAACTACATCTGAAACTGGACTAAAGAAAGTACTGACCTGTACAACATATTCGATGGTGGAGAACTGTGGTAGGAGCTCAGCGGGTTGGTTCACCTCCGAGATCCCAGCGTACGACGGAGGAAACTGGGGACGAGAGAGGCATGAGGCTTTGAAGAGGAGTTACAGGAAGAGGGGAGGATGAGGGGGGATAGAGGGGTCTCACCTGGTTCCTCTGGTAGCAGAAGTTACATGCCCAAAGTTTAGCTCTGTAATCCACCTGACTGAAACAAAGAGAGGAGAATCAGTCTGTTATAAAGACAAAGGCAATATTGTGACCTAAAGTTCTGTTGCACTTTATAACTATTGTTAGCTACTTTTAGAATTATGTTAATTTTTGTTTGTTTGGATGGATGCGTTTCTGCTGCAGGACACCTGAACTTCTCCTACTGGGATCAATAAACTATCTCTGTATCTATGTATCTCTCTGCCTCCCTCTCCATACGCTCACAGCAGCAGTGTTCCTCACCAGAGAGGGTTGAGCACGGCGCGGCAGGTGGCTCGGCTGCAGAGGACCGGCTCGTACTGGATGGGCGGTAAATCGGGGCGCTCTCTCAGAGGGGTGAACAGAGCAGAGATGGGGACCACCATCCGAGTGGCCTCCAGCCGAGACGAGGGCCACACGTTCCAGCTGAAGCGGACGCCATCGCGCTCCTCGTTCTGAGCAATGTACTCCGAGAAGGTTGCCATGAGCCTGAGACTGTAGAAGAAGAGAGCACATATGTCAACAGCAATTTCCCAGGACTCCCCAGGAACTGATGAGACTGATCAAATCCACAGGTTTAAAGCTGGGTTACCTAACTTTGTCATAAATAATACATGTGGTTTCTCCCAACAGAAAGAGTCAGACCACAACATGAGATCTTGATCTTATTAGAAAACATGTAATCGTTGAATATATGTAAGGAAGAGCCTTGTGAGTCACTATTTGACTCTTTGGGCTGAGACTGAGGACCAGTCAGAGTACACACAGGACACTAAACTGGGGTTGTAGTATTTTTCAATAGATTGGTATATTATTTAAAACGTTTTCCCCTGTATTGACCAATCAAGACTATAATCTAATACTTTTTTAAAACAACCAAATAACTGGTGTGACAAAACATTTCTCTTGCCAAACTTATTACTTTCTTTCTGCTGCTACTGGACACCTGAATTTCTCCTACGGGGGAGTAGTATAGTTGTAAAATATCCATCCATCTAACTTATTCTTTATAATAATAATAATAATAATGATAATAATGTTATTATTATTAATCTATTATTTAAGCCAATCTCAGTGAAAGTCAAGGACACATAAATAAGTCATAATCAAAGTCAACTACTACAAAACTATACTATGTGCGATACAAAGCTCACTATAACGATTATTTCACAATATGACGATGCAGCGATTATCGATATTGGTCAAAAAAATACCTACGATAATATTTTTCTTATATTTATGGCATGCAAATACAAGCAAAAAGGCCTTTTAACCTGCAAATTTTAGTAAAAATCTTACTTAGTCTGTCTTACATCCAATAAAATCAATATGAACATTCTACAGAAATTGTAGAATGCGTAATGTAGCCATATATCGATACTTATTTTTTTAAATAAAGATTTAAAAAAATATCTTGAAAAAATTAAAAAAAATACTAAATACTAAAAAAATCATACTTAGCAAAAGCGTATCGATCGCATGAGAAAGTATCACGATTAGGGGTGGGAACCTAAGGGTACCTCACAATATGATACGATACACGATACAAAGCTCACAATAACGATTTTATCACGATAACACGATAACGATTTTATCACGATATGACGATTATTGATATATTGGTTAGAAATATACAATATGACAATTTATGGCATAAATAAAAGAAAAAATACTCTTCATTTCATGATAAATAGAATGGAGATGCGTAATGTAGCCATATATTAAGTATTGATACCAATTTAAAAATAAAAAAAAATTGTACAAAAATAAATATATAACACTTTTTTTTGTGTGACATGACTGACATGAAAAAGTTTGGGAACCCTGTCTTGCAGATGATGTGCCTGGAATGTTCCCTGTCTACGTGTAAATGAGAGGATTCCACCGAGCCGATAAAAGATCTGTGATTGAAAGCCCTGCAGTAGTAGATGTTTAATGTCCAGCTGTGTGCGTCAGGGCAACGGAGAGAGGACCACAGTAGATAACGGACCGTGTTTATTCAACCCTCAGTCTCTCTCTGGAACAGGTCTGGGTGTGTCAGAGCCAGAGAACCGTAGTTACAGTCGCGACTTTCGTTATAAACCCAAATTGTGAACTATAGACCTAAATACAAAGTAGGATAGCCTGGTCGATTAGCCTGGTCGATTAGCCTGATCGATTAGCCGTCCGTAAACTCCGGTCAATTATTATTTCGTAAGATGGGATGGACCGGAGTTAGAAATTGTTTCTATGGACGGGGAAAGTTCAGAGTCAGCTGCACAAAATAAACAAATAAAATAACGATCGCAAATGTGTTATATAAGAATAACTATAGAACATATTGTGTGTTTTCATTCATGAATTAAACAGAAATCATTTCAAAACAGATTAAACTGGTGTTCGTGATGTTGTGATGAAGAGTGCAGAAGCTAACTCCAAACAGGCTAACTCCAGTTTATAACCGCTGCGTCACGGAGAGTAAGCCCAGGACGTGGACCGGTACCGGGCTGGACTCACCTGAGCTTGGCCTGGATCCGATAGCAGAAGCCGGGGTGGACCAGGAGAGCGTGCCCGGGGCAGAAGCACTGGAGGCGGTCACTGATCTGTGAGAACAACCGCTGAATATGCGGAGCTCGAGACAAGATGGAGGCGACGCCACGTCAGAGACAGAGAGTGGAGAGGGACAGGAGGGCTCACTCTTGGCATAGGAGGACGACTGTTTTTCTTATTTAATTCTACATTTACCGTTGTTTTATATTGCTATTGCTTTTATGATTTATTAACCAATAATATTTTGTTATCTTAAACAACTGTAGCAACAAACGGTGTGACAAAGAACCGACAGGGGGGCTCACTCTGACACAAGAGATATTCTTAGTGATAGTGTAGTAAAAAATATGTACTTTTTTCCAACATTAAGGACCTCAACATTAAAATCCATCTCCAGTACAGTTTGAAGTCCAAACCTTTGCCTCAATTTTAGACAAGAGATTCAAATCCTTTCGTTAAAACAAACTATAATATTACAGTTACTGCCCGTTTGTGACTTGAGGCTGCAGTTGTAAACAGAGGTCTCACTCGCACATTCCAAAGTCAGATTTCGACACAGCCACGTCACAGAAATCGAAAAGAGTTTATGATGGGTATTAAATAATTTTCTATTGGGTGCGTTCATTACATGTCGTCAAAACGAATCAGCTTCATTTACTCGTTGATATTTATGACAATCTATCGCTGTTCTTCAAATCTGTAGCTGACGAAAAGTTAAACCAGAATTTCTTGCTAAATTCTATTCATTCCTATACATTGACCTCAAACTGTCATGAAAATTTGACATGCCAAAAAATACATGGAGAATGTTCGTTCAGCACGTATAAGTATGCAAGCTCTGTTTGTTTTGATGTGACATTTTAAACTGTTTCCATAGTTGGGAGGAAAAAGTACCTGACAACCACTATTGACTACTGACAACTTATGTTACATTAATTATTGTCAAATGTTTGAAGCCTGTCGGATTTGTTCATAATTCCATATGAATCACGTTCTGTAGCCACAAGAAGGCTAAAAAAGAAACAGTGCTAGAGGACAAAGAAAATTTGACAATTTGCTAGCTGGAGCATATTTCTTTTTTAGGGCATTTATTCCTACTGTAACAGGAGGAGACGTGTTGCTAATGTGAGCTGGAGGTTCTGTGAATGGTCATTACTTATACTGGTCTTATCTGAATTTGCAATAATAATATCCAAATTAAAATACCAGGATCACGGAGAGCATTAAGCCGTGGATGTTTTAAGCCCAAAATGGAGGGTGTGACACAAATGGTTACTGAGCTAGAGGAGTTTACTTTTACATGTAAGTGAATAGGAGCCAGAGACTAGGAGCAAAACTTCATCCAAGAGCACTTCCCTGTTGGGCTTCATAGAACTAGCGGGTTAGGATGGTCCATCTGCCTACGTCTATGGTTTACCCTTCCATACAGATGGAAACATATCACATTGAGTCAAAGAGAAGGGATACGATGGAATATAAAGTTTTATTATTGACAAAATAACGTCACATCTCATGTTGCCATTTGTCACCGTGATCAGCCATCAACCAATCAGAGCGCTCCTTTCAAACCTCTTCTTACCAAAACTTTGTTTATCTCAACCGACCAATCAGAGTGCTCCATGTAACAACCGGTACAATTAAATAAAACAAACGCAGTCATTAAAAAACTGCCGAACACGTCCAAGCTGACACCGCTTGTTTTCTAAAAGCCTTTATTGGCCCCGTCCTTGAAGTGGGTGTGCCTTATAGTCCATATTTAGCCACAACAGGAAGTCCGTGTTTGAGAAGGTCACATGTTGTTGAATCCCATCATGCCTTTCATGTTCCCTGCTGCCCCCTGCTGGAACTGCCGCATCATGGACTGGAGGCCGGCCATTCCTCCTGCAGCGAGAAACAACAGGTGTGAGGAAACAAAACACTTTTAACATTTTGACCAAATATTATCAACTCAAGTACAAAATATTTATAAAACGTAAAGACCGCTAACCTGCCGTATCAGGCTGTGTGTAGGTAGTCAACTGCTAATTTAGCGACTAAACACCTGTGCCCAGCCTCACTCAGCCCACATGGACATGCACATTTTAGAGAACATAATTTTCTCTAAAATGCTTGGAGGACAAAGGGACAAGAAGGGGGGCTTAGAGCTGGGCGTGGTCTGGGCTGTGATTGACAGCTCGCTTGTCACACAAAATAGACAGCTGTCATTGCTGCTTAGTAATGCAATAGTTTACACACCAGAAAGTCTCATTCCACCCTTGTTTACACACTTAGGCTATATCCACACGAAGACAAAACGCTTATAATTTCAGAAACTTTTTCTGTAAACACGGAGTTAGCTCAGTAAATGTGTGCGTCCATATGAATGTAGTCAATACGCCTGAAAACGCTGTGAAACTATGCCAGACCTGTTGGTGGCGCTGTGACGCAATGACGGGATCAAGCCCAAACTTCCGTGGGCATGCGCGGAATTTTGTAAACAGACAACATGGCGAGTGGGCGAGCTGGTACTACATTAGTATGGGCGGACGATGAGGTTGAACTGTTGCTTCGGGTCACACTGGATTACAAAACCAACAAGCTACATTGTTGTTGTCATTATTTTCTGAGTGCGGCGCATGCGTGCTTAACAAGAGGCGGGGCGATGACGCAAGCGTCTCAGATACATTGCGGAGAGGCAGTAACCACGGAGCGGCATATACGGAGTTTTGAAATCTTTCCACTCTGGGACCTAGTTTCAAAAATGTTCGTTTACACCCCCCCCAAAACGCCGGCCTCGTATGGACGATACACTGGATTGATAAAGTATTTTTGCGTTTAGGCCTGAGCTTGACTTCGTGTGGACAGGGCCTAAGATAATTGTAGAGCTACACACCTGAACGTAATCCACACAATTATCTCAGCAGCAGTGGCTGTCAACTGATGTAATTTAATATTAATCCACTAGATGTCGCGAGAATACTCCAACCTGCTACTGGGGCGTGTGTGAGAGTTGGATGGGTTTATATCACTGGCTAAGAGAGACACCATGACACATACCAACTGACGTCACACAGTACTCCAGAGCCAATGGAGAGGCTAGGAACAAAATTCAAATGTAGTGCCACCAAAAAGGTCGAGAGGGCGCCACAAAGACGGTTTTAGGCTCAAAAGTGAGATTTTATCTAGTTTGCAGTAAAATGTCAAAAAAAATGACCAGGACATGTAGAGAGCACTGTAAAAAACATATTTATGCAGTTTATGAGTTTAAAAAAAGTTGTTTTGGTGTTAAGTTGTCCTTTAACGTTTGGTAACAGTAAAGGGATAATGGTTCAATTATGATCTAAAGTGCTAAAACACCTCCCTGACGTGGGGAATTCTGGAATGTAATTTCATTTTTTTTTCATAGCACATTTGACAGAATGACTTGTTTTTTGCATTTTATGTTTTAGAAAAACCTTTGGTTTCATCACTGGTGGCAGTATCTACACAAGTGTTTGAAACTCAAACTCTTTATTTAAGATTGTATTCTTTAATACACACATCTGCAGAAAACTTCAACAAAATGTATATTGTTTCCAAAATATTGGTATTTATCCAAAAGATTTTGTGACACAGAGCTGCAGGTTCTGTTCGTGTGGTGTGTAAAGTGTTTAGTGACGCTCCTCTCACCCATGTGGTGCAGAACCCTGGGGTCCATCATCTTTGCCATCTGCTGGTTTAGTTTGGCCATTTGAGAAGGGTTCACATTCTTCGACATGTCTCCTCCTGTAATAGACATCAAATAGCAAATGTTATGAATCATGTTCCTTTAACATTCACCCTTATGCTTTAGAACGTGAAATTACTATGGATATAAACATTGAACATCTAAATGATGATGTAAAACCATGTCCCCTGGAGAAAGAAATCACCAGAACCAGACAAATGTCCACAGTCTGTCTCCTGCTTCAATCTTGTTAGGGAATATTTAGTATTTTGGCCTGCTTTAGCCCACACCCTGGCCCGCTTTAGCCGGTGTTAATACCTTTGAACAGGCCCTTGATTCCGCCCATCTTCTTCACCATCTGGGCGAACTTTGTGTACTGTGTGAGCAGCTCCTGGACATCTCTGGTGGCCACCCCGGAGCCGCGGGCCACTCTCTGGATGCGGTTTGGCATTTTACTGAAGAGTTTGGCTCCGTCTTTACTGTCCAGCTCTGAGACACAAGTTTACTTTAGTCATGTCGTGATACAGTTGAGTTTTTACAGTCAAACAAACCCTGATCTACAAGACTGTGATATGAACAGTCTGTATAGATACTGAGCCATGTGATTAGTTTGTTTGTATATTAGATATGGATAGATAGATACTTTATTGATCCCCAGTAGGATAAATTCAGGTGTTCAGCAGCAGAAAACTCATCCAGGTCTGTAGTACAGTCTGACAGCCGAAGGAACAAAGGATCTCTTGAAAAGTTTCGTTCGGCAGCGCAGTGATACAAGCCTGTTGCTATGATCACAGGCGTCGGACTGGAGTAGTAAAGGGTACCGAGTACCCAGGGCCCAAGGCGGGGCCCTCTAAAGTGTGTCTATATACATATATGTATTACACCTTAACGTAGTGGGGGCCCCTCGAGTGTGTTTGTACTAGGAGCCCATAATTTGGTGCTACGCCCCTGGCTATGATGCCATGCAGAGGGTGTCTGGAGTTACCCAGGATGCCCTGCATTAGAGCCCTCATCCTTCTCTCCAGCACAGCTCCCACAGAGTCCACATTTCTCCCCATCAAAGAAACACATTTCTTGATCAGCCTGTCGAGCCGGTTACTTTCTCTCGAGGTCAGACTGCCATAAACACAGTATATGAAGTGGTTTAACCCTTGTGATCCCTTCGGTTCAAAATTACCTGCCACAGATGACAAAAAATAAAAAATATACCCTACAAGGGTCTAATGACCCAGGGCTGGTCAAATTAGGAAAAAGCAAAACTCAGCTAAAAAATATGTATGGTATTACAAAAAAGGTGTTTGAGGGGCGACAGTGGCGACAGTAGTTGGTTCAAGCTCCACTGATGTCTGCTGTCGTTGTGTCCTTGGTCAAGACACTTAACCCCACGCTGAAAGATCAAGGCCAAGGCCATAACACTGAAAGCAGTCGTCCTCTTGTGGACTCACCACCTGTAGGAGGATCAGTGAGGGGTGGTGCTCGGTGAATTGAGTGAAGCTCTGACTGCCACCTAACTTGGCAAAAGCCAGATCTGGGATTTCTGCAGGAGAATCCTGTCGGGCTTAAGGAGGGGCAGACAGCAGAATACTTCAAGCTGATTGGCTGAAGTGACGCCGTTTGCCCGCCTACCATGGTTTGACTTACTTGGTAACAAATTAGTATGTCGTCATCGGCGTGAGCCCGGAGAAACCACAACACATCTTTGCCGTCCAGAAATGCGAAGGGCCTCTCGTTGTTAATCTTTCAAAAAAGAAATTGGAGATTCTGCTAAAACTGACTTGATAGCCTCAGCTACGCATCCGTCCTGCTGATTGGCCATGTTTGTTTTGCCTCGGCTCGGCACCGACATTATTATAGATCCATGCTCGGCACTGCTTGCTTTCGTCAAAAAAGGATATCCCGCCCTAAACTTCAAGACTGGCCCATGATTGGGTAGAACACCAAAAGTGTAAGCGTTACAAGATGCATTCTCGTGTGTTTGTGAAGTCAAATGGATTAAGGGGAAGGATATGGATGGATGTGTGTTTGGAGTCTCACCCTGGTCGTTCATACTGTCCATTATCGTCATCAGCTTCTTCAGACGAGCCATCGACTCCTGCTCATTTCCTTTACTCATGAAATCTGTGCCGAAGCCTGGAATCATGCCCTGAAGAGAGACAGTGAGAGAGGGAGGGAGTAAGGGAATGAAAAAAAAAAAAGATGGGTTGAAATGTACAGACAGCTCAGTGTGCGTGTGCATGTACGTGCGTGTGTGTGGACTGACCATTATCTGTCCGAAGGGGCCCATTTTCATGATGTTCTGGAACTGTTCGTACATGTCTCTGAGCGTGAATTGACCTATAACAGGAGACACAACCAGACTCAGTCCATCACAGGTCTGGACACTGCCCTCTGTCGTCCCAAGTCCCAGACCCCAAGTCCCAGACCCCAAGTCCCAGTCCCCAAGTCCCAGTCCCCAAGTCCCAGTCCCCAAGTCCCAGTCCCCAAGTCCCAGTCCCCAAGTCCCAGTCCCCAAGTCCCAGTCCCCAAGTCCCAGTCCCCAAGTCCCAGTCCCCAAGTCCCAGTCCCCAAGTCCCAGTCCCCAAGTCCCAGTCCCAAAGTCCCAGTCCCCAAGTCCCAGTCCCCAAGTCCCAGTCCCCAAGTCCCAGTCCCCAAGTCCCAGTCCCAAGTCTCAGTCCCAAGTCTCAGTCCCAAGTCTCAGTCCCTCACCGTGTTTGAGTTTGTCGATGAGTTCCTCGTTGTCATCCAGCTTCAGTTCGTTCACTCGGTCGATGAGGCCCTCGATGTCTCCCATGCCTGAAACAAAAACACTCTGACTCTGGGGTCACAGCTGCCACAGCTGCCCTTGGGCAGACTACAGCCAGCTTACATTTACATCTATGCGGCTATAGAATGTGTGTTCCAACCTTGACTAATAAACATATGGCTCTTTTAAATGGTGCTTGAAAACAAATACAGTCTCTGATCTCGTACCGAGCAGTTTGCTGATGAACGGCTGAGTCTTGAAAGGCTCAAAGTCGTCAATATGTTCTCCTGTTCCAATGAAGATGATGGGCGAGCGAGTGGCTGCCACACTAGAGGGAGACAGAGAGAGCAGTTACTTTTACATGTAAAAGTTGAGCTAGCATTGTCCATTTATATACGGTCTGTGTTAGCGTTGTCCATCTGTATACAGCCTATGACACTGACTCACGCGCTCAAAGCTCCGCCCCCTTTGGCGTGACCGTCCAGTTTGGTGACAATGACTGAGGCCACGTCCACTTTGTCTTTGAAGGCTTTGGCCTGAGCCTCACAGGCCTGACCGATGGACGCATCCATCACGTACACGATGTTGTCCGGTTGCTACGGAGAGAAAGAGCAGTTTTAGTTTGATCTTTTCAACAGTAAACAGACTCTTCCTGATGAGCCACTCACCACAGCGTTGGACACCTGCAGCATCTCCTCAAACAGAGAGTCTTCTTGTTTGTGTCGTCCGCTCGTGTCCACGATGATGATCTCAAAATTCTCAGACGTGAACTTCTCCACTCCCTCCGCCGCAATCACCACCGGGTCCATCTCTGTGTAACTGAGAAAACAGGACATTTATAAAAAACACTATACTCCAGGAAAGCAAGGCTTACCCCAGAGCTTAGTTGTGCTTTGGTGATAGTGGATTGTTCAGATTTGTTTTTGGCTTCAGACAATCACTATATTGACGTGCCAGTATTTTATTTTTCCGCTGTAATTAATTTGTGTGTTGTGTTTTTGATGTCTAGAAAGCACTATGTGACACTCATTTCTGCTTTTAAAAAATGTGCTATATAAATAAACTTGACCTTGACCGTAAATTGCTCCCCACCGTTTCTTTTACATTTATGCCAAAATGTCTGTCACGCAGATAAAGAGAAAAGAGATACATCAAAGAGACCAGAGATGTTCAACTTTCTAAAGGAAAAAGCTCCACGGCCAGTATTGCAAGTATTGTCCATCATGTGACTTGCGTGTAGTTTTTCACTTGAGCCTCTAGGGAAAAAAGTTTGTGTCTAAATTACACCTATATTTGGTCAGACGGCTCACACTGGACCTGCCTCGGCAAAAAGACTAGAATATGTTTTGACACTATATTAAAATGTACTGAATATGAAAACAATGACAATGACTTACAATGATTGGCTCTTAAACCTGTAATCGTTGTAAGTCAGTGCATATGTTAACAGGTTTATTGAACTTGGTCCCACCTGCCATAGAAGGGGATTCTGGCTTTGGTGGCGTTTTGTTTGAGCTGATCGAATGCTCCTGGAGGAAGAAGAACAAACATGAAAGGAGTGACGAACAGGACGATGGAAAGAGTTCCAATCAGATGAACTGAGACACGTACCAGCTCTGAATGTGTCTGCACAGATCAGGCAGGTCTTCCAGCCTTTCCTCTGGTAATAATATGCCAACTGGAATGCAACAAGAAAAGGAGAGGTGAGAAGAGTGAAAAAGCAAGAGAGGCCAGAGAAAGACCAGAGAAGCCAGAGACAGAGAGACCTGAGAGAGAGACCAGAAGGAACCACATTATGAAGGCCTATGGCAAGCATTTCATGGCCCAATGAACTTTGTAAAGTTTGCCAAATTCAACTGACAAATCTTCATTTTAGTCAATTTGAGCTGTTTTACGGATTCGCATGGCGCCGTAAAGATGGCGCCGTGGCAAGAGCTCTGGTGTGTGTGGTGCACACCGGGGTAGTCTTGCACAGTTTTTCCAATGTGGTTTTACTGCAAATGGCAAATAAATGAATCTGAATCTGAATCTGAATCCTTACGGGGCAGAGGGTCAGTACCTTGGAGCAAGTGGTGGTTTTGCCGCTGCCCTGAAGTCCCACAAACATGATGACATTGTTCTTTCCTTTTGTCGGAGTCCAGGCTTTGACTCCAGGGTCGACGAGCTGAGGAGAGAGGGCGAGTAAAATCAGTGAGTGCCACAATAATGGCTTTCATATTCCAGTCTCCTTTAAATCATGTCCATCTCAACCTGTACTCAGTTCTCAAAGCAGAGTAAATGTGGTTCTGAATGATCCCCCCCCAAAAAAAAAGACTCAAAAGCTTCACTAAAAGCGTTGTGTACGGACCTTGACGAGCTCCTTGAAGACGGCATGTTGGATCATCCTACGTTTGTTCAGACCGGACGCCATCTCCTCCAAGTCTATGGCCGACCTTAGCACAGAAAGACAGTGGTCTTTACAAGTCCATAGATAACAACACTAGACTGGAGCGCATGGTCCGTAACAGTCTGTAATAGTGTCCAGTGTATAATCTTAATATAATATAGGAGTGATAGTAGCCTTGTTTTATTCATGTACTTATCTTGTGTATAATGGAGATTTTTGCATATCTATTCCAATGTGGTTTTACTGAAAATAGCAAATACAATGAATCTGATGGAGTATATTTTAACAAAAGACATTATTGAAAATCTCCAGACTAGTGTAGGGGACATAACTGGTCTCATGGCAACCAAAGAGCCAACCCGGAGCGAGGCTGGTCTGTTTTTGCTGATGCTAACCAAAACTGACTTCAATGAGGTGCCATTTAATTACAGACGTAATTATCAAGCACATTTAATACATTACTCAAACCATGTTAGTGACACGGCTGCTCCTTTACGGGGCGAAGCTATCAGCGTCAGAACAATTGCTCAAATAAGAAAATTTAATCATAGAAAAAATAAAAAAATAATCAAGCTGGCTTCTCCGGTATTAACCATTTATGCCCCAGTATTTTTTCCTAAAACGCCCGATTTTGACATCTTAATTTCAAAAGGCTATAATTTAAAAGAGATAAAGACTTTATGTAAATTTGAAAAATATTAAGGATGGAACAAAATGTATGTAAAGAATATATGTACCCATCTAATTTGCATATTTTGAGGTCATGGCGTTGGAAATTGTGAATGTTAGAATTTTCATAAAATATTTGTTTTTCAACTGACAGACATACAAATCACTAGGACATGAACACACAAATAGAACTCACGCTGTATCATGCTAAATGTTCAGGGAAATAGTAAAAAATTCAAATCAGTAAGCCCCTGCTGTGAGCAGCCTGCAGAGTGTCACTGTGGCTCTCCCCCCTCTCTTGTCTCTTCTGTGCTCTCTCTCGTCTAACAAACACAAGACAAAGGCTTCTCCAACATGTTACTGTCCCTGTGATTACGGAAGGCACAATAATACATTTTGCTGAGACTTTAGCAACTCTAACCTGCTTCCCAACCTCCCAACGCCCTAAAACCCTGAGAAACACTGTTCCCACCACTGACACTGCCCAAAGTGTCTAAAGTTTGTGCTTGGTGCAATACAACACTCGTACGCGGCACTCGCTTCAGTAGGATAACCATGGCCATTTTAAACAGTACTGCATCTTAGAGGCGCCTAGAGGGTTAAGGCAAACACTGTGGTGATGTCACACACTGAAGCCCATGTTTGACTCACTTGACGTTCTCTCTGAGCTGTTTCACAAGTTTGATGTTGACGTCGGCCTCGAGGAGCGCCGCGCACACCTCCTTTAGCATTGCATTCAGCACCTGCGGAGGACACAGACCAATGAGGGCATAGAGACCTACATTCGCAGACTTTTGTACACAGTCATGTTAGAATCTGGTTTAGACCAGTGTTGTTCTATCTCAATGCCGTTACCTACTTGCAATGTCCTCCTAGGGATGTTGTAGTGTTTCACATGTTGATTGTGTACACTTGTCCCTATCAAATAAATCAATAAATAAAAGTTACCTCCTCATTGATGATGGTGGCGTTGCTCAGGGACCTCAAAGCAGAGGTGATCTTTCGTCCTAAATCTGCCAGAACCATGATGGCGGCTGCTGCAGGTCCTGGACAAACACACAGAGGCTTTTGACATCAGGATAATCTTACATTTAGCAGTAGGACAAGTTCTGGGTAGAGTGCTGGGGATGGACAAACGTCATTGATTCCCTCAGATTATGAAGACACGGAACAGTAGCTGGCGTGTACTGTATTACAGGAATTACAAATTAAAGCTGGCAGACCTAATTTCCAAACGGTAATGTCATAGTAGTCCTAAGTTTTTGAATAGGACTATTTTCCACACTATTATATACTGTATCACTGCTGTAGATAAGAGATCCACCTTTTAGAGACTTCCACCCACATTCAACACACAGCCCAGAATGATATATATATTGACTCCTAGGACTCTTTCTAACATGATTCCTACAGATAAAAAATTTTATCAGAAGGAAAACTGCACATGGAGGTCTGATTTGATTTACTTTTAATCCTTTTTCAGTTCGGGAGGAAAACAATGTATCATCGACAGCCCCATTTCCACCAGCTCGACGTGACTCAACACAGTTCATTAGCATAGTACAGTTTATACACATGGCAACTAAAAGTAATTAACAAAACAAGATAGAAACAATACAAGGCTTTAAAATCATAAATACTCTACATGACTCTACTCTACCTGGTTGTGCTTCCATTACGCTTTAGTATCTGGTGCCTAGCAAGCAACCCACAACAAACCAGTATCTGTAGAAATTTCTTGGTAACTGTGGCTTCCAGCAGCCCTCTGGCCAATCACTGAGTATGAACACCAGCCTAGCCTGGATAGAACCATGACCAAGATCGACTAAAGAAGGACCCGGTACTGGTTACATCTTACCAGTGGAAACAATTTCAATTGGGGTAGAGTAGGGTAACGCCAAGTAGGACTGGTGGTAGCAGGGCTTACAAAACAAGTTAGGTACCCCAGCGTTAATGGTAAACTATAAAGGAAGATATTACTTATACTAAACATACTTTAACAGTATATTTTGTAACCTATGACTCAAAGCCAAAACTCACCGCTTCAGGGAAAAGATGAGAGTACAGAGTTTGTGGAGGACGCGCCTCCTCTGGTCCTGCAGACACAAATTCCAGGATTAAAGAAATGTACAAATGATAAATATTGAGACAAGAATATGTTCTGTCCATAATAGTGGACTGCCTAATCTGTGGTGTAAATAGTGTGAAAAAATGTAGTTGAGTAGATCAGAGGCTGCACAGTTTGAATTTCTATAAAATACAATTTATTCTTGTATAGCCCTAAATCACAACAGTAGCCATCTCAGAGGACTTAACTTTTGATTCTCTGATCCGTGTTGGTGATTTGAATGGTTTTGTTAAGACACAAAAAAAAGAGTATATCACACTATACACTAGTTACTAAAACGAAAGGAGCAGGTGTTTCAGTTTGTTGCACTGGTTTATATTATTCAATCTAGATATTATAATCTGTGTAAAATATGAATTGTATATTCATTGTTTAATATTCAGTGATTTAAACCTAGTGGATTTTCATTCAGTGTCAGAACTTGTGTGAGAACATCTTAAGTCACATAATAAGATCCGATAATCTTAATACATCCCATAGTTGGGAGATTTATATTTTACGGAAATTGCAACACCCTCTTTTGTCGACAAATCGATTGTAGGGGTGTGCGATTTGTCAACCCAGAAGCCAAAATAGCAGTGTTTTTCTACCAGTGGGCCATGGTACGTTAGTGTGAAAGTGCGCCAGCTGCGCCACAGTAGCTGAAAGAGTGGTTAGCTCTCTCTCCGCAAAATTCTGGGCTGGGTTGCCCCAACTACTAAAAAAATAAAAAAGAATAGGCCTAATCCACTACCCCTGGTTCAGACAGAAAGCATATGGAGGTCGACCAATGAGAGACCCCATGGTTGCATTACAAAATAGGGTCAAATGCAGAATACACATCTCCCTACAGGGACAATGAAATAAATTAACCTATGGACCAACATAATGCGAGATATTTGTATATTCCAATTACAAACAATTATACATATTCAGTGGCCCTGGTCCACGTTCCATAGCTTAGGTCCTGGATCTATAGCCCGTCCGTCCGTGTGGATCCCTCTCTCAATGTCCTGCCAATGCAGGAGGGTCTGTTGGACAGATAGTGTCTAACAAAAAGTGTGGTGATGATCCAGGACACTAAAATTCAACAACATGTACGAACATTTATCAACATGTTCTATATTCTTTTTGTGTCTTAACTGTTGATTCTCTGATCTGTGTTGGGTATTTCAAAGGTTTTGTTAAGTCCTCTGAGATGACTTATGTTGTGATTTAGGGCTATACAAGAATAAATTGTATTGTATTTGATAAACACCCTATGATAACAATGACGTTGTTGTTATTGTTAATAAAGGCTGCAGCGTGTCGCAGTTCCAGCTGGTACTGTTCCCCGACTCAAAAATGTTGGGGACTTCTGCACTGCAGTCAGAGAAGTGACAAACTCAAAAATCCGAATCCAAAACAAACTCGAAACTCGACAGAACATATTGTGGTTAAAATCAGCCTCATCCCGCTTTTACCATAGGCTACATCCAGAGTCCAACCAGACAGAACAGAACCTTTGCCTGTGTTTGGCCTGAAACACTGAACACGCTCGTGAAGAAACATGTTTGTTGTTGTTGGTTTAACGCTAGTTCCAACAAATCGGTGCTAGCTTAGCATTAGCCTCCGCAAACTTTCACCATTTGGGCAGTTTTAGCTCCGTGTCATAAGCCCAGATTGTTAGCTCAGACTCTGTGCAGTAATTAGAAGTGATCGAAAAGAGCAAACACTTAAACATACACTAGCCTTAACGCGAGAGTCTCCCCGAAGCTGAAGCTAACAGAGCACCGTCATCAAACGGTGAAGCGGAAGTCCAAGGCAACACTTCCGACTCAACAGCGGCGCATGCGCAGTAAAGGCTGCGGAGGAGATGGACTTTAATGAAGCGAAGCGCGAGCTCAAGAAACTTCTGAAACTCACGCGCCCCGAGCACGTGGGCAGATTGCTGCAATGGGTCACGAGTGCAGGTGAGACACGTGCACATGGTTCTGAATAGTGATGGGTTGATGAAGCTTCATGAAGTGTTGAACCTTTTCATCCATTGGTTCGAGAAAAGGTTCATTTCTTGATGCTTTATATGCTCACAAACCTCCTGTTGGTCAAAATCTGTATTGACAATTGAACTGTTTGTGAGGCTCTTGGTGCATAGGAATTAATACTGGTAACAGAAATAAAAATGTAATTTGATTGTGTATGACCCATTAATTCATCTGTTTCATTATGATCAATATCAGTAGTGAAAATGAATATATTTTAAATGACAATAAAATTATAATGTACTGGTAACTGGTACAGTTGTCTGCTCTAATACACATACATATATGTAGATATATATTTATATACATATTTAATGATGAATGATTATAGCTTTTCAAGTCAAAATTAATGTTATAAATCCAATGGGACAAAAAACATGTTGAAAGTGTAAGTGCTTTTCAAAGGACGTGACGCAAATGGGGATATCATTTGGGATTGTGACCCCATCAGTTGTTTAAAACCAAAACATTTCTGACAAAATTCTTTCTCATGTATTTACATAGACGCACACCCGGTGAGATTCGAACCCCGGTCTCCCAGGTCTCAGCCCTGCTTCCCTATCATTTGAGCCAACCAGCTGATACCTCAACCCTCTCCATCACTGACTACATTAATCACCAAGACAAACACACAGTTTGAGCGGATATTCTGCAGTACTTCATGAATCGCTCCATTTCCTGTGCTCCCGAGGCTTCAAACGTCATTAGTGACGTCCCTCATCTAAAACAACTCAGGCTTCGGCCCGCGCTCCGATAAAAACTTCAGGGATTTCTCGGCTCACGCTCCGAAGCGGCACGACCCATCACTAGTTCTGAACCAGGACCAGAACCAGTGAGCTGGTGGAATACTAGCCTGAATGCATCAGTGTATGTCCAAAACAGTCCAAACTTAGGCCCGCGTGACAATTGTGGTCCTCCGTTGTTGTATTGGGCCCTTTGCCCAAGTATTTTTCCAAGTTTTTAAATAAATATTAGTAGAAAATCCTCCTCTATACCCTTTAACACAGTGTCATCCAGCCAACTTCAGCTCAGTCAATATAGACATAAAAGACTTAATCAAAAAAATCTCTATCCATCTTCTTCCCCTTAATCCATTTCTGGGTTGGGGGGGGTGGCAGTCAGAGCAGCACCCAGTACACATAGCACCAGACCCTCACTGATCCTCCTGCAGCTGGTGAGTCCACAGGAGCCTTGATCCATCAGCGGGGGCTTCAGGCAAAGTGAGGTTAATTGTCTTGCCCAAGGACACAACGACAGCAGTCATCAGTGGGAGTCGAGAAGTAGGTCCCATGGTGGGCTCAAACCCACGGCCTTCAGGCCTAAAGGCCAGTGCTCTACCAACTGAGCTACTGTCGCCCCTAAAAAAATAAAAGAGCCGTTCGCTGTTTCACTGTACCAGCTGTGTGTACTTAGACTTGCATGGCTTAATCTTTGAGAGAGTAAGTGTTAAAGAGTGGAGCATTTGGAATGTACTACCTGGTTCTGATTTGTGTGTGTGTGCGTGTGTTTGTGTAGAGGAGGTGGACTCGTTGCTCAGAGACAACAGGAGTGTGATCTTGGAGAACATCTCAGAGGAGCTCAGGGCCTCACTGCCTCCAGACGCTATGTTCCCCTCAGAGAGCTTTACCTACAACAAGGTCTGACTCTTCTTCCTGCGCTTCCTCCTTATTCTAAACCCTTCCTTAGGTCAAATTGAACCTTCTGTGGTACTGTGGGGGACATGAGTTAAACCTGTTGTTGTTGCAGATGCAGGCGTGTGCACGAAGGACTGTGCACGTGGACGGCTTCCTGTTTGATGAGAACATTGTGGATTCAATGTGTGAAGAGGGGACGTTCAGCCGCAACTACTGTCTGCAGTGTGGATCCACCAGGACCAGAGGACTGGGTCAGGACCAGGACCAAGGGGTTTGGTTAGGACCTGAGGACTAGGTTAGCTGCAACAGTCTGGGGACTGGTCTACGGTCCTGTTTAGACGGAGACACTGCGCCAGTAAAATGGGATAGTTTGGTGTCGGTTCTATTTCATCCCTTCTGACCGCCAGAGGGCGGTGCATAGCACTGAATGTTCCCTTCGCGCATGCGCAGTTCGAGTAATAATACCAAACTAGAAACCGTTGCAATGGCTGAAGCCATTGCGATTGACTGCGGAACAGATCTAATGTGGAATTTAGCTGAAAAATCCTTGAAATCCTTGAAACTGTTAAAATACTTTAAACATCTTTGAAACTCCTGAAGTATTTGAAGCTCCTGATATCCTTTAAACTGTTATCCTTTATACTGGTTTTCATGTAAAAACCCCTATTAAGTTCCATTATACTGGTTTACATGTAAAAACCCCTATTAAGTTGCATTATACTGGTTTACATGTAAAAAACCCTATTAAGTTGCATTATACTGGTTTACATGGAAAAATCCCTATTAAGTTGCATTATACTGGTTTACATGTAAAAAACCCTATTAAGTTGCATTATACTGGTTTACATGGAAAAATCCCTATTAAGTTGCATTATACTGGTTTACATGTAAAAATCCCTATTAAGTTGCATTATACTGGTTTACATGTAAAAACCCCTATTAAGTTCCATTATACTGGTTTACATGTAAAAACCCCTATTAAGTTGCATAATACTGGTTTACATGGAAAAATCCCCATTAAGTTGCATTATACTGGTTTACATGGAAAAATCCCTATTAAGTTGCATTATACTGGTTTACATGGAAAAATCCCTATTAAGTTGCATAATACTGGTTTACATGGAAAAATCCCCATTAAGTTGCATTATACTGGTTTACATGGAAAAATCCCCATTAAGTTGCATTATACTGGTTTACATGGAAAAATCCCTATTAAGTTGCATTGTACTGGTTTACATGGAAAAAACCCTATTAAGTTGCATTATACTGGTTTACATGGAAAAAACCCTATTAAGTTGCATTATACTGGTTTACATGTAAAAACCCCTATTAAGTTGCATTATACTGGTTTACATGGAAAAAACCCCTATTAAGTTGCATTATACTGGTTTACATGAAAAAACCCTATTAAGTTGCATTATACTGGTTTACATGGAAAAATCCCTATTAAGTTGCATTATACTGGTTTACATGGAAAAATCCCTATTAGGTTGCATGATTACACTGAAGTCCTTGAAACTGCTGAAGTCCTTGAAACTGCTGAAGTCCTTGAAACTGCTGAAGTCCTTGAAACTGTTGAAGTCCTTGAAACTCTTGAAATCTTGAAACTGCTGAAATCCTTGAAACTGTTGAATCCTTGAAACTGTTGAATCATTGAAACTGTAGAAATGTCTGAAAGAGCTGAAGTCCTATTAAAATGCATGGGCCTATTAAAATGCATTGCAGAATTCTCAATGCAGATTTTTGTCCGATTGCGGAAAAACCGGAAATCGCTGAAGTCCCAAAAGTAATAGCAATAATCTCCCAAACATGTGGAACGTTTTGATGTATAACTTGTGGAAATTGTTGAAAATGTGAAAGCTGTGAAACGTGTCAAAAAAAATGACGGAATAAAGAAATACAAAACCAATGGTTGACTGCGGAAGGTTCCGCAGTCAATCAATGAGTCACACCTGTGACCCCTTGGATGACACACCGGAGGTAATAAAGTCCAGCGTCATCCAGCACTCTGTTCCTTTTTTCTTCTCGCGTGCGGTTCGAATTGTTTTTGCTTGAACCTCGTCAACGTCTGTCGCTGAAGCCCTCTTCATCGGAGCTGCGGTTCGCCCTCCGTGGGGCGCGACGGTAACGTTGTCCTTCGGGTATTTATTGGTGTTTTCTGTCTATATACGTGTGTATTGTTTGGTGTGAAGGCTGCTGTTGTCCCGCTCCTCCATCAGTTCTTGTTTGGGTTAGCATTTGCTGCCTGTGTTTATTCTGTGGCCGGTGTATTGTGTGGTGTGAAGGCTGCTGTTCGCGCGCCCTCTCCTCCATCACTACTTTATTGAGTTGGCATTTTACTGCCGGTGTATTGTGTGGTGTGAAGGCTGCTGTTCGCGCGCCCTCTCCTCCATCTCTACTTTATTTGAGTTGGCATTTTACTGCAGGTGCATTGTGTGGTGTGAAGGCTGCTGTTCGCGCGCCCGCTCCTCCACCGTGCTATATTGACTTTTCTGTTGTGAAACTGCAGTACGTTCATTCGGTTCTGACTTTTGAATGCCGTTTGGGATAAATTAAATATTAAATAAAAAAATAAACTAGAAACTTGCAATGGCTGAAGCCATTGCGATTGACTGCGGAACAGATCTAATGTGGAAATCTGCTAAAAAAAATCCTTGAAATCCTTTAAAAAGCCTTGAAACTGTTAAAATACTTGATAGATATTTGAAACTCCTGAAGTCCTTGAAATTGTTGAAACCTTTAAACTCCTGAAATCCTTGAAACTGTTGAAACATTGAAACTCCTGAAATCCTTGAAACTTTTTTAAACCTGGAAACTGTTGAAAGTGTGGAAACTCCTGAAATCCTTGAACCTCCTGATATCCTTGAAACTGGTTAAATTCTTAAAACAGCTGAAATCCTTGAAACTACTGAATGTATTGAAAGTGTCCTTGAAACTGAAAAATCCCCTCACCGCTGAAACAATTTGGTTCCTGTAACTAAGGAAACCTGGTCTGTGGTCATTATCTGGTGGTGGTCTGAGTCTTCGTTTGGGTCTTGGTCTGGTGGTATAATGCAACCTATTAGGTTGCATTATACATGAAAAAACCCTATTAAGTTGCATTATACTGGTTTACATGAAAAAAACCCTATTAAGTTGCATTATACTGGTTAACATGAAAAAAACCCTATTAAGTTGCATTATACTGGTTTACATGGAAAAATCCCTATTAAGTTGCATAATACTGGTTTACATGGAAAAATCCCCATTAAGTTGCATTATACTGGTTTACATGAAAAAAACCCTATTAAGTTGCATTATACTGGTTTACATGAAAAAAAACCCTATTAAGTTGCATTATACTGGTTTACATGAAAAAACCCTATTAAGTTGCATTATACTGGTTTACATGGAAAAATCCCTATTAAGTTGCATTATACTGGTTTACATGGAAAAATCCCTATTAGGTTGCATGATTACACTGAAGTCCTTGAAACTGCTGAAGTCCTTGAAACTGCTGAAGTCCTTGAAACTGCTGAAGTCCTTGAAACTGTTGAAGTCCTTGAAACTCTTGAAATCTTGAAACTGCTGAAATCCTTGAAACTGTTGAATCCTTGAAACTGTTGAATCATTGAAACTGTAGAAATGTCTGAAAGAGCTGAAGTCCTATTAAAATGCATGGGCCTATTAAAATGCATTGCAGAATTCTCAATGCAGATTTTTGTCCGATTGCGGAAAAACCGGAAATCGCTGAAGTCCCAAAAGTAATAGCAATAAGCTCCCAAACATGTGGAACGTTTTGATGTATAACTTGTGGAAATTGTTGAAAATGTGAAAGCTGTGAAACGTGTCAAAAATCAGGAAAAAGACGGAATAATAATAAAGAACGTGAAAACCAATGGTTGACTGCGGAAGGTTCCGCAGTCAATCAATTAACAAGCGTTAGCAAACGTTAGTATGAGTTAACATGAGGTAGCATGAGCTAGCACAAGTGGTCTCTCCTGGTCCTGGTCCTGGTCTCACCGGTCTCGTGCAGTGCCTCCGTGATGGTCAGACCTTCTCTCAGACTGAGGCCTCCTCTCACTGGAGTTCCTGTCGCTGGAGTCTCACTCGGGTCCAGAGCATCAACGTCAAAGCTGAGGTGGAGGGGCTTCTGGGACCTAAAAACAGACAGACCAGACTAGACCAGACCAGACAAGACTAATTTGTCCTCACCTCAGCAGGTGGTCGCAGGTCTCCTCCAGGACTCGGTTGATTCCCATACGGTCGACGTCACTCATCGAGAAAAACTTCACCCCAAGATTTTTGAGGATGAAGCTGCGGACGGTGGCCACAGTGAATACAACCAGACCACACCAGACCAGACCAGACCAGACCAGACCAGACTCACTGTTCTCCTGGGTCCACGTCCCTCAGACCGATGTACAGCAGGTTCTTTGCCCAAAGGCACGGGGTCAACCAGGACAGGCCAGGGAGGGGCGGGACCTAGGGACAAGAGAGCCATGTGATTGGACCGTGAGCTATGTCAAAGGTATTAATACCCCTCAGACTTCACCCAACTCAAGCGCCGGCGATCCAAGATGGCGTCCTATTCAAATGAGAGGCTTGTGCTCTGTGGCGTACTGTATGTTCCACCATGGGGACCGAGGGATATGCGGAACTCGCCCATATTTGGGCATCATCTGCTCCTCCCTGTTCTGCGCAGGAACCGGACGAGCTCCCATGATGCATTGTGTGGCTTTCATGCAAGTGCATAGAGGGGCACGGCCGCGCTTTGACCAATCAGAGACGATCAGAGCAGAGCTAGAGCGGAGTTTGAGCGGGAGACGATCAAACAGAGTTGATCGCATGGCGCCGTAAAGATGGCGCCGTGGCAAGAGCTCTGGTGTGTGTCGTCTTCTCTGTCTGGTGCACACCGGGGTAGTCTTTCACAGTTTTTCCTATTTGGTTTTACTGCAAATGGCAAATAAATGAATCTGAATCTGAATCTGAGTTTGTGGCACTTCAGTGTGGAATCAAAGAAAACTGAAGGATTTTAATTAAAAAAGGTCAGGATGACAAGGTAAGGTAATATTCAGAGTAGGGAAATTCATCCTCTGCATTTGACCCATCCTGATGCCACTAAGGCTCACATCAGGAGCAGTGGTCACCGTAGTCCAGCGCCCGGGAACCCATCTCCAGTTGTTGCTGCTCAGCTTGGTTAGAACCGGAGCTGGAGGATTTACCTATTGAACATGGTTTTAGTAGGACACTGAAATCCCCACAAAATCCAACCTATAAGAAAGCTGTAGGTTTCTGTCTTTGTCAGCCGAGATCGAGCTGTTTTAGTTCACATTGATTCTGTGGGGAAAATGTTTGGGTAGCCCACGTAAAATTCATCTTGTTTAGTCTGCAGTACCACGAGAATAAGCTCCAAGCTAGTTATACCCGATCCAGATAATGTAATATATAATAGTCCATGAACACCGCCATGTGTTGGTAAGTTTGCAGTGGTCCAGACTCCTTCCATTTATGGTGTGGGGTGAATACTTTGGAGGAGGAGGGGAGTGGGGAGGGAGAAGAGGAGGAAAGCGGAGGGTAGAGGAGGAGAGGGAGAGTAGAGGAGCAGGAGGAGGGTAGAGGTAGAGATAGAGAAGAGGAGAAGTTAAACGAGGAGGAGGAGGGGATAGAGGAGGGAGAGTAGAAGAGAGCGAGGAGAGGGTCCATAGAGGAGGAGAGGAGTGGCGAGAGAAGAAGAGGAGGTGAGAGAGGAGGAGACCCACCTTGTCCTGGAGCTCCCTCAGCAGGAGTCCCACTGGTTGGCCGTGCATGTTCCCGGTGCCAGAGCTCAGAGGAGTGTTGATGTCAGCGTGAGCGTCCACCCAAACTACACTGAGGTCTCCCATCACCGCGGAGTGACCATGGACCGACCCCAGGGAGAGACTGAGGAAGGGGAGAGAGGGGTGAGGAGAGAGAGGAGTGACCATGGACCGACCCCAGGGAGAGACTGAGGAAGGGGAGAGAGGGGTGAGGAGAGAGAGGAGTGACCATGGACCGACCCCAGGGAGAGACTGAGGAAGGGGAGAGAGGGGTGAGGAGAGAGAGGAGTGACCATGGACCGACCCCAGGGAGAGACTGAGGAAGGGGAGAGAGGTGAGGAGAGGAGTGACCCCGGAGCGACCCCAGGGAGAGACTGAGGAAGGGGAGAGAGGTGAGGAGAGAGAGGAGTGACCCCGGAGCGACCCCAGGGAGAGACTGAGGAAGGGGAGAGAGGGGTGAGGAGGAGAAAGAGGAATGACCATGGACTGATCCCATGGAGAGACTGAGGAGGAGGAGTTGGAGAGAGAGGAATGACCATAGACTGAGGAGGAGGAGAGAGTCGTCTCTTACTCCATAAACCTGTCTCACCTGTGGTCTCCGCCCAGCACCAGGGCCATAAGCCCCGCCCTTTTGATGCGCTGCACTTCCTGCGACAGCCTGAGGGTGGCGCTGCCCACGGAGCGTGGGTTTTTAGCTCCTCCCTCTGTGATGTCATCAGGAAACGACTCAAACTCCAGGTCTCCAAAGTCCTGAACCTGACAACCTGAGACCAGGAGAGACCAGAGAAAGAGACCAAAGAGAGAGACCAGAGAGAGAGACCAGAGAGAGAGACCAGAGGGAGAGACCAGAGAGAGAAACCAGAGAGACAGAAACCAGAGAGAGAGAGAGACCAGAGAGACGTTAATCTGTCATTATGTAAAGAAAGTGTGTGTGTAAACAGTCAATGACCTAAAGTTCAAACTCCTGTCGAACATTGACTTTTGTTAAAACTAAAGGATCTGGCTCTGTCACCATGGTAACATGCTGCTGTGTGAGAACAATACAGAAACAACCACTGACCCCGTCTCTGCAGCTGCTCCACTATCCCCACTCCACGGATCAGACTGGGCCCCTGCTCCACCCCTAAGTGAGGCTGAGGAGAGAGGGGAGAGCAGAGAGAGGGGGGGAGAGGTGGAGAGGAGAGAGAAGAGAGGAGAGAGTTGGGGAGAGAGAGAGAGAGAAGAGAGGTCCCGGAGACATGGTGAGGAGTTAATTTACACTTAGGAGCTCTGAGAAGAGCTGCTGCTCCTCCACATAACTCACCTGTCCTTTGTTGAGCGGTGCCCCTAGGAGCCCCACAGAGGGGGGAGAGAGGAGATTCAGCAGGGGCCTAGACCTCCTCATGTTGGCAGAGCGTCTGGGTCCCGGTCTCTGGGTCCTTGTCTCAAATCCTTGGGACGACAAACAAAAAGTTTTGCTTCAATAAAACAAATTAAGAATATTTGGTCAGCCCTACCTGGGTCACCCTGGTCTCTGGTCTCTAGTCTGGTCTCTGGTCTGTGTGAAGTAAAGTGAACTTTGGGTTTGGATTCATGACGTCATCGCGTCACTCATTCATCACAAAGTACATTTCAACTTGGACCAGGACTGGACCAGGACTGGACCAGGACTGGACCAGGACTGTTTCTAACCTACTAGTTTCCCCTGACGATCATTGGGTAAAATCCAGCTAAAGTCACAGACCTCAGATTTAACACAGACACAAGTTACCTGTTTCACGCACAGCTGGTCCTGGTCCTAGGTTTGGTTCAGATGTGGTTCTGGTTTGGTGTCAGTTTGTTTTCAACACAGCGTTACCATAGAAACACTGACAATTAGCTCCAGTTAGCATAGTAGCTTTTCAACTGTTTTTAGACTAGTGAGAGAAGAGAGAGGGATCGGAGAGACCAGAGAGACAGACCAGAGAGAGAGACCAGAGAGAGACCAGAGAGACAGACCAGAGAGAGAGACCAGAGAGAGACCAGAGAGGGACCAGTGAGAGACCAGTGAGAGACCAGTGAGGGACCAGAGAGGGACCAGAGAGGGATTAGAGAGACCAAAGAGAGCACATAATTACAGAAGGAGTCGCCTCGTCTTATTTTATTTTTATTAAAAAAAGAAATTATCAGTGTGCATTAATGAACAGAAAAAACTGTAAATACAGCGGATTAAGCTCATGGCTAGTTTCCATCCGTGCTCGAGAGCAGGGAATGAAGGAGTACATCCAACACACAGGACAGGAAAGACCACATGACACATCCACATCCCAAAGGTCATTTACACTCTCACACTTAGAACTAAAGTGCATTTTAGTTACTAAGGTACGACTAGCTCCTGAACTATGTTATTGTATTAGTGCAGGATATTGTTTTCTAATGCTCACAGCTTTGACAGGTGCTAAAGCCTTTCACAGACATGAGTGTTTCAGGTGCTAAAGCCTTTCACAGACATGAGTGTTTCAGGTGCTAAAGCCTTTCACAGAGATGAGTGTTTCAGGTGCTAAAGCCTTTCACAGACATGAGTGTTTCAGGTGCTACAGCCTTTCACAGAGATGAGTGTTTCAGGTGCTAAAGCCTTTCACAGAGATGAGTGTTTCAGGTGCTAAAGCCTTTCACAGAGATGAGTGTTTCAGGTGCTAAAGCCTTTCACAGAGATGAGTGTTTCAGGTGCTAAAGCCTTTCACAGAGATGAGTGTTTCAGGTGCTAAAGCCTTTCCCAGAGATGAGTGTTTCAGGTGCTAAAGCCTTTCCCAGAGATGAGTGTTTCAGGTGCTAAAGCCTTTCCCAGAGATGAGTGTTTCAGGTGCTAAAGCCTTTCCCAGAGATGAGTGTTTCAGGTGCTAAAGCCTTTCCCAGAGATGAGTGTTTCAGGTGCTAAAGCCTTTCACAGAGATGAGTGTTTCAGGTGCTAAAGCCTTTCACAGAGATGAGTGTTTCAGGTGCTAAAGCCTTTCACAGAGATGAGTGTTTCAGGTGCTAAAGCCTTTCACAGAGATGAGTGTTTCAGGTGCTAAAGCCTTTCACAGAGATGTTTCAGGTGCTAAAGCCTTCGACAGAGATGTGTTTCAGGTGCTACAGTCTTTCACAGAGATGAGTGTTTCAGGTGCTACAGCCTTTCACAGAGATGAGTGTTTCAGGTGCTACAGCCTTTCACAGAGATGAGTGTTTCAGGTGCTACAGCCTTTCACAGAGATGAGTGTTTCAGGTGCTAAAGCCTTTCACAGAGTTGAGTGTTTCAGGTGCTAAAGCCTTTCACAGAGATGAGTGTTTCAGGTGCTACAGCCTTTCACAGAGATGAGTGTTTCAGGTGCTACAGCCTTTCACAGAGATGAGTGTTTCAGGTGCTAAAGCCTTCCACAGAGATGAGTGCACCTCACAGTCCCCTCTGACTGTGGAGCTTGTGCTTGTCTCATTGCTTCTTTTCCTCCCGAGTTCCCCAAAAGGTGGAGGTGCAGAGCCATGACCTTGTAAACATTGAAACAATTCTTGAAGATGTTAAAGTTTACTTTATATAAAACACTGCAGTACTTTATATAAAACACTGCAGTACTTTATATAAAACACTGCAGTACTTTATATAAAACACCGCAGTACTTTATATAAAACACTGCAGTACTTTATATAAAACACTGCAGTACGTTATATAAAACACTGCAGTACTTTATATAAAACACCGCAGTACTTTATATAAAACACTGCAGTACTTTATATAAAACACTACAGTACTTTAAATAAAACACTACAGTACTTTAAATAAAACACTGCAGTACTTTAAATAAAACACTGCAGTACTTTAAATAAAACACTGCAGTACTTTATATAAAACACTGCCGTACTTTATATAAAACACTGCCGTACTTTATATAAAACACTGCAGTACTTTATATAAAACACTGCAGTACTTTATATAAAACACTGCAGTACTTTATATAAAACACTGCAGTACTTTATATAAAACACTGCAGTACTTTATATAAAACACTGCAGTACTTTATATAAAACACTGCAGTACTTTATATAAAACACTGCAGTACTTTATATAAAACACTGCAGTACTTTATATAAAACACTGCAGTACTTTATATAAAACACTACAGTACTTTATATAAAACACTACAGTACTTTATATAAAACACTGCAGTACTTTATATAAAACACTGCAGTACTTTATATAAAAACACTGCAGTACTTTATATAAAACACTGCAGTACTTTATATAAAACACTGCAGTACTTTATATAAAACACTGCAGTACTTTATATAAAAACACTGCAGTACTTTATATAAAACACTGCAGTACTTTATATAAAACACTGCAGTACTTTATATAAAACACTGCAGTACTTTATATAAAACACCGCAGTACTTTATATAAAACACCACAGTACTTTAAATAAAACACTACAGTACTTTATATAAAACACTGCAGTACTTTATATAAAACACTGCAGTACTTTATATAAAACACTGCAGTACTTTATATAAAACACTGCAGTACTTTATATAAAACACTGCAGTACTTTATATAAAACACTGCAGTACTTTATATAAAACACTACAGTACTTTAAATAAAACACTGCAGTACTTTATATAAAACACTGCAGTACTTTATATAAAACACTGCAGTACTTTATATAAAACACTGCAGTACTTTATATAAAACACTGCAGTACTTTATATAAAACACTGCAGTACTTTATATAAAACACTGCAGTACTTTATATAAAACACTGCAGTACTTTATATAAAACACTGCAGTACTTTATATAAAACACTGCAGTACTTTATATAAAACACTGCAGTACTTTATATAAAACACTGCAGTACTTTATATAAAACACTGCAGTACTTTATATAAAACACTGCAGTCATTTTCACTGTTTTTATTCTGTTTCTCAGTTAGTTTTCTGTGAAGCTGGAATTGATTTTGTTCTCAACAAAGGTTTACCAAAAACCAGGAAATACTGAAAAGTTACAAATAATATCAACTTAATACTGTGCATCACAGTACTACAGTATATTTTACTGCATTTAAGTTAATGCAGTAACACAAAAAAACTTATGTAAAACTTGGCATTACGCATGTGTGGATTATGGTTCCTGCTGTTGAACAGCTGCCGACCACCTCCACCTTCAGAAGGTCTTCTGTATAAATATGCACCCTCAAATTGTTACTATAGGTTTAACTCTTTTTTTACAGTACTGTATACTGCACAAAGTACTGTGACATCTCAGTACTATGTACTTTACTGTATTGTATGTTTCACAAAACTATAATGTTCCAAAGGAGCAATAGCCAACTAGCTACAGTATACAGTACATGTGACACAGTGCAGTACTGTAGATACTGTACAGTCTGTATCCCCATCCTTCTCTTACTTTGTCTTCCTTTTCCTCTTGCACTTCCTCCATATTTTCAAAGTTCTGAAAATGGCTAAACTGAGGTATCTTTGTGTCTGGCTGATGTGTGTCGCATTTTGTAAGTCAGTGTGTGTCTCAATGTTTTCAATCACACAATGTGTTTGGTATTTTGAATAGATTTTCCATATAATAAGTCAGGATTGTTTTTATGACATAAAGTGTCATACATAAGACACTTTGTCTTATGTATGACACAATAGTGATCAGGTGAAAGTGTGTTGCAGAAAGAGAAAGTGTGTTGCAAAAGTGAAAGTGTGTTACAAAAGTGTGTTGCAGAAAGTAAAGTAAAGTGCAAAGCAGTACTTTTGTTTAAGGAATGGTTAGACTGTTTTTTAGGTTAAGAACAAAAGCTTTAAGTGCGTGTCTGTAGTGTTCAAGCAGCAGAGAAAAACTGTAAATGTGATGGAATGTGTGAGACTGGAGTCCAATTCAACTCCAAGATAGTTGAACTGAGTCACCAGCTCCAATTCAACTCTGGAAACACGCCGGAATTTGTTTGTATGACTTTTAGTTAAAAAAGAGAAACGTAATCAGACTCTTTGAAATAAGCATAAGACAGTTCTGTTTTAGCCAGTTATCAATCTTGTAAAGTCCTCTTGTGAGATTGGCAGCTATGGTTCTGACATCTTTGACCTGAATGAATAAAACTGCACCGTCTACAAACATAACCATATTCATCTCTGGGCAAACGTCAGGTAATTCATTCATGTACATCGAAAAAGGAAGAGGCCCAAGTACAGACCCATGTGGGATTCCAACGTCACTGAGACACTGTCCTGTTGGATAAACAGGACTGAAACCATTCCAGTGCTTCTGCAGAACAGACAAAAAAAGATTTTGAATTTTCGTGATACTCTTAACAAAGTGATAGTGCAACGCTTTGGTTCCTGCCATCGGGTCCCCAGTCACTTCTTATTCTCAATTTCAAGAGGATTGGAATCAAAATGTGGGCTTCAAAAACAAAGATATTCTGGGGAGCTAAATAATATTATGATCTGAGCATTCAGTCACAAACTTCAATATTTTAGATTCTGTCTGGTCTATTGGAAAATAAATGATACATTCTTGTTTGGCAAAGCATTAGCATTAGTTGGTTCGTCTTCGACCTGCTCCAGATTCAAGAGATCTGTGGTGTATTTAGCTTATCGTCCCAATTTACATGAAAGTCACCAATTACTGTAGGTTTTGGCGGTTTAATTTCAGCATATTTTTAGCTGATTATGAAATTCAATCTTGGCATTGGGGGGTCTATATAAGCAAAAGTTGCCTCCCATTGCAAAAGTTTATATTTTATAGTATATTCAATGTTGAGCCATACACCACCCTTGCCATTCTCAGTCTTTCAAAAACACACTATTAGATTTGCATTAGAGGCGTTCCATCTGCTCCTGTTTGTTTACAATGCTACTGCAGTTTAACTGACCGCAAGGAGTCCTTTTGGTTTGAGTTTTTCGTCCCATACTAATCTAGATTGGTTAAGGGTTTGGATGATCTATGCTCTCCGATGTTGTTTTAAAAACTTTGTTTCTACAGTTTAACTTTTTGGCTGTGCCCATTACTTCAGTACTCTGCGAGCACTGGCACATGGAGATGGAACCTGCCCCACCGAGTAGTTCAGATGGCCAGGCTGTCCTGTGATTGGCTGAGTTTGTGTGTTTGGTTCAATGACAGAAGCTAACAGTTTCTTTATTATCTGTTCTTTATTCAAACATTGTGTGACCAGCGTTACAACTGAGAGAGACCAGAGAGAGTCCTCTGTGGCCTCCTCCTCAGAAGTAGTTCTGCAGAGGTTCTCCCAACACGTTCTCCATCTCCTGGACCACACGCTGCACCTCCTTCTCCACCTCCTCACTCTCATCTGGAACAGAACACAAGTCAGATCTCTGCAGCAGCAGCAGCAGCAGCAGCAGCAGCACTGACCCTCCATCAGCTCGGACAGGAAGGGGATGGTCTCTGGCAGCAGAAGTAGGTAGTTCTCTCTGAGTTTGGAGCAGAGCTCTAGAACAGCAGCAAGAGCCGACAGTCGCACCTGTAAAATACACAAGAGTTTAAACACATCATTACAAACCTCAGCCCAAAGGGTCAAATAGTGACTCACAGGTTCCGGTCTGACGCACCTAAACTCATGTTCTCGACATTTATGTTGAACACACTACAGATGTTTATTAAAACTCCATCATAGTCGATAGAAGCAGCAGCAGCAATAGTAGCTGTAGCAGTATTACTAGCTGTACTAGCTGTAGTAGTAAGAGTAGTAGAAGTAGCAGTAGCTGTAGCAGTAGTAGTAGTGCTAGCTGTAGCAGTAGCAGTGATAGTAGCAGTAGTAGTACCTGCTCCTCCTGGCTCCTGGTCTTCATCAGGACTCTCTGGTTCAGGTTCTTCCAGTCCTGGTCGTCGCTCAGACTCACACAGAACTGTCCCAGACACAGAATCAGACTCTGCCTCAGACTGCTGCGGTGCGCCCCCTGGAGGTTCTCCAGCTGCAGAGCAGAGGGAGAGCTATGAGAGAGAGCCCTACAGGAGAGCTATGATAGGGAGAGCTATGGGGCAGCTCTGTGAGAAGGAGAGCCAAGTCTGGGACGACTCATACACTGCATATAAATGGACAATGCTAACCTGCTAGCTCAATGCTAACCTCTTGGTACTTCCCTATCTGACCACCTGTATTCAGTCTGATGGGTCCAGGGGCACAGCAGTGCTCACCAGTGTTGTGCCAGTTCACAGCTTTTCTGAACTAGTTCAAGTTCAGTTCATACATGCTCAAAGTGAACAGTTCACGTTCAAAGTTCACATTTTTAATTCTGAACTAGTTCAAAGTTCAGTTCATTTTACTTTTTTCGTGAGATACTTAAATATTTTTTTCACACTACGAGCTATATATATATATATATATATATATATATATATATATATATATATATATATATATAATTTTTATTTTATTTTTTTAATCTATGAACCTGTTCTATCTGTGTTCTTAATAAAGAATGAATTGAATTTTTATATATATATATATGTGTGTAAATATCTCCTGTACACCCACAGGAGAGCCTTTTGACTACAAAACAGACTAGATTTACATGGTTTTCAATGGGAGCAAAACGGAGTTGCTCCATCTCTGCTCATAAACTACAGACAGTAATGCGCTGCAGTGCGTGTGTCTATACTTTATGTCAAATGTAAACGGTGTAAACTTTGTCGCTAACTCACCCTGTGTTTTCATCACGACTCGGGCACATGTGAAAAGCACCAGCTCACAGCGCCGCACCGCAACACAGAGTCGGGGTGCGTTCACAGACGGTGGAAACCGTAGGAATTTTTAGATTTCGGCGGAAAAAGTGCGAGAATACAGGGGAGGAACTTTCTCACGTTGCGTTTCAAAAGAGAAAACAGATTCCAACGTTCATAGTGATGTCGGCCGTTCATGACACATAAAATGAACTAATTCACGTTCAAGTTCTTTTTTTAAAAATGTGTTGCGTTCAGTTCAACGTTCACGAAAAAATGAGCGTGTTCAATGAACGCGTTCTTTTGAACTCGTTGACGCACAACACTGGTGCTCACCTGGTCCCCTTGGGACTCCAGCAGTGCTCACCTGGTCCACTAGGGGCTCCAGCAGCGCCCTTTTGCTGTCGACGCTCACGCTCTTGCTGGTGTCATAGAGGAAGATCTTGTGGAGAACGTCGAGTACCAATGACATCATCAGACACTGGTGCTCCTGCGAGCTGAAGAGAGAAGGTGCTGTGGAGGAGAGAAGAGGTGAGGAGGAGGAAGAGAGGACAGAGGAGATGAAGAGCGGAGAGGGTGGGTGAAGAGAGGTTGTGTGGAGGAGAGAAGGTGTGGAGAGAGGAGAGAAGAGGTGAAGAGAGGTCGTGAGGAGGAGAGGAAACAAAGAAAGGAGGTGAAGAGGATAGGTAGAGAGAAGGTGAAGAGGAGAAAGGAGGCAAAGAGAGGAGGTGAAGTGAAGAGAAGAGGTGAAGAGAGGAGGAAAGAGGAGAAAGGAGGTGAAGAGGAGAAAGGTGTGTGTGTGTGTGTGTCTCACCATGTGGCTGCAGCAGGTCTGAGATCAGTTTGAGGAGGTTGCCAGAAAACAACACAAAGAGACCTTTCAGCGTTTGAGCAAGAGAACTACAGACTCTGAGGAACGTGAGCAGACGCTCTGCTGAGCCACCGGGGGCAGTGCGACTCCAGTCCAGCAGCTGCAATGGAGGGGGAGTGAGGAGAGAGAGAAGGGGGAAGAAGGGGAGAGAGTGAGGGAAACAAAAAAAAGATCATCAAATAAATGCAAGCGGCATCAAACGGCCCTCGAGCCTGTGTGTGCGCGCGTACGCGTGTGTGTGTGTGTGCGCATGTACCTTATAGAACAGTGGTTTGAAGGTAACCTCTGAGAGCTTGAGGACCAGACTGACCAGAGCGTCCACCACAGCACCCTCTACCTGCTCCACTTCCTCCTGCAACACACACAGTCTCTGGTCTCTGGTCTCTGGTCTCTGGTCTCTGGTCTCTGGTCTCTGGTCTAGACCTGAGTGTGTGTCGCTCTGAAGTCCAGCGCCGTCAGGAAGAAGGAGGTGAGTTCTGATTGGTGAAGAGACACCTGGTCCCTGTCCATGTGACCAATGTGCTGCTGCAGTATGCTCATGAGCGCCACCACCGGGCCCTGGAAGGAATTACACCAGGTTAGACTGGACAGGGACCAGACCAGGACTAAAGTAGGTCTAAAAACAGGTCTAAAACAGGCCTAAAACAGGCCTAAAGCTGGACTAAAGCTGGACTAAAGCTGGACTAAAGCTGGTCTAGAGCAATCCAATCCACTCTATCTATACAGCACATTTTATAAAACAGGTTTCCAAAGTGGTGCACAGATAAAAGTAACAGATTAAAATATACAAGTCTGTCAGCTTTGAATACAAACAATTGAAACTATAAAATAGTTGAAACAGGACCACACGACTCACGCAGTGTAAAAAGCCAGAGCGTAAAATTGCGTCTTAAGACGAGGCTTAAAACATTCCAACGAGGGAGCAGTTTTGACGAGGGGGGGCAAAGCGTTCCACAGCTTTGGTCCAGCCACAGAGAGGGCCCCGTCCCCCTGGGTTTTAAGTCTCGTCTTAGGTAGAGCAGGTCTAAAGAGGGTCTAAAGCAGTACCAAATACAGTACTAACACAGGTCTAGAGCAGGACTAAAATACCTGGCGGTCCAGCACCAGTCTCTCGTATACCACGGTTGCCGTGGGTAACAGGACTCGGGACGGGATCTTTGTGGCAATGGTGGATTTGAGAGTGGCGAGCCGAGCGGCGAGGGGCGGAGTCACGGTGCAGAGAGACGACAGTCCACAGACCTGGCACAGAAACAGGACTCTGGTCATGTCTCCACTCACCTGGTCATGTCTCCACTCACCTGGTCCTGGACTCACCTGGTCATGTCTCCACTCACCTGGTCCTGGACTCACCTGGTCCTGGACTCACCTGGTCCTGGACTCACCTGGTCCTGGACTCACCTGGTCCTGGACTCACCTGGTCCTGGACTCACCTGGTCCTGGACTCACCTGGTCCTGGACTCACCTGGTCCTGGACTCACCTGGTCCTGGACTCACCTGGTCCTGGACTCACCTGGTCCTGGACTCACCTGGTCTGTGATGTCCTGCAGGTAGGGGCTGGTGAAGCTGGCCAGAGTCTCCATGATCTTCTGCAGAGCGATGACACAGCTCAGAACATAGAGCTCAGAGGAGGAAGTTAGAGGTGTGGCCTTCAGAGACGAGACGACCAGAGGGACCAGGCTGAGGAGACAAGACCAATGAGACGACCAGAGAGGGACCAGAGATGACACAGAAGAGAGACCAGAGGGAGACCAGAGAGAGACCAGAGAGAGACCAGAGAGAGACCAGAGAGAGACCAGAGGGACCAAAGGGACTAGGCTGAGCAGACCTGTTTGTAGAGGATCTGAGAAGCTTCATCTCAGTCCGTGTAGTTTTTGTACCTGTAGCACCTATAGTATATGTACACCTATAGTACCTATAGAACCTGTGGTACCTAAAGTAGCTGCCAGTGTTGTGCCAGTTCACAGCTTTTCTGAACTAGTTCAAGTTCAGTTCATACATGCTCAAAGTGAACAGTTCATGTTCAAAGTTCACATTTTTAATTCTGAACTAGTTCAAAGTTCAGTTCATTTAACCTTTTTTATGAAATAGTCAAATAAGTACTTTTTTTTCACACTACGAGCTATAATTATATTATATATATATATATATATCTCCTGTACACCCTCAGGAGGAGAGTCTTTTGACTACAAAACAGACCAGATTTATATGGTTTTCAAAGGGAGCCAAATGGAGTTGTCCCATCTCTGCTCATAAACTACAGACAGTAATGCGCTGCAGTGCGTGTGTCTATACTTTATGTCAAATGTAAACGGTGTAAACTTTGTCGCTAACTCACCCTGTGTTTTCATCACGACTCGGGCACATGTGAAAAGCACCAGCTCACAGCGCCGCACCGCAACACAGAGTCGGGGTGCGTTCACAGACGGTGGAAACCGTAGGAACTTTTAGATTTCGGCGGAAAAAGTGCAAGAATACAGGAGGGAGGAACTTTCTCTCGTTGCGTTTCAAAAGAGAAAACAGATTCCAACGTTCATAGTGATGTCTGCCGTTCATGACCCATAAAATGAACTAATTCACGTTCAAGTTATTTTTTTAAAATTTGTTGCGTTCAGTTCAACGTTCACAAAAAAATGAGCGTGTTCTTTTGAACTCGTTCACGCACAACACTGGTAGCTGCGGTACCTGTAGTACTCGTACCTTGGTAGCTGTGGTATGGCTAACGCCTTTAGCGCCGTCACACACTCTGCGACACACTGTAGCGCCGTTGCCTTGACGTTTCGCTCCTCGTGTGTTGCCATGACGACACCCATAGCGACGGTCATCACTGGAATGAAGGCCTGAGGGTTCGCCTCTCCACAGAGCCGACACAGGAGCTTCAGAGAGAAGAGGGCCGTCTGCCGATTCAGGGAGGACTCCGACGAGGAGGAGACCAAGGCCAGAAGGTCCGAGGAGAGACCCAGGGAGGACTGAGGAGAGAGAATAGACTGTGAGGAGGAGGAGAGACCCAGGGAGTCAATCCAGCTGCTGCTCACAAACATCAATATTTCAACCAGTTTTCACCACCAGGTGATTCATTAAAGCTGCATAACCTCACTTTATTTTTGTATTCTTTACAAAAATTCAATCCATATCCATGCAGTGCATTGGGATATACGTCCTTTTGAAGAAAAAGTAGCGCAGATTTGTGCTGGCGTGACATTTTATTTTAGATCTAGTTTTTTTTGTGTTAGTTTTAAGGAAAAAAAGCCACAGGTCTCTTGTTAGCACAGACAGCTTAGGTAAACAAGCGGCGGAGGCTAACCTGAAACTTCCCATGTCTTCGTTACTGGTTTCTCCTTACACAACCAAACAGCCATCCAAAAGAAAGTCTCGTTCCTCCGCGCTTCCCGGTTCTATCATGCTATGGTCATGCCATCCACGTGCGATCCATATTGTGAGACGTGAGCTCCGTAAACATTTAGCATGTGAGTACAGGCTGAGGGGGAGGGAGGTTGTGGGGGGGCGAAAGCTCCGTGAGTGCGGGGAGAACGAGCAGAAGTGAGTTAGTGCAGCTTTAACCAACACCCCCTGGTTTCATAATGATGGCCTTCTCTTTACTGTGGAAAAGCGGCACAAGATGGCGGACATAAAGTCTGTGAATTAAAAAAAAAAGTTTAAATACGAACGAATTAAGACACGGATGTCACTTTTAATGCAATATGAGGCAAGATGTTGATGGTTTCATGTTATCTGTATGTTTTAAGAGTCAAATGTTCGTGTAAAGTTGGGTTTAAGAACTAGTTTAAGTGTTCCTGTTTACAACACTACTCAGCAGGGTTGCCAGGTTGGGTGGTTTTCCCCGAATACTTTATTTGATAAGCAACTAGTAGGTAACAAATAAACTAAGACAAACAGAAGTTGATTGCATTAAGTTTTTTGCCAAAAAATCATCCTGGGTGTTTTTTTTTGGGCATTCTTGCGGGATTTGGGCTGGAAAATTTTGCCGGCATTTGGCAACCCATGGGAGTGATTTGGTGAATCATGTGCTTCGATATGAGTGGTTGAAGGAACACGTCATTCAATATAACAGACAATTGGTTTATTCAATCACATTCAAGGATTTTTTTACATGGCCCCGCCTTCTGAAATGTATCCGATATGGATTAGACCCAGACCCTCCTGAGAAGAGCAGCGATCTACAAGGGTCTGGCGAGAGTCAGGCTAATCTTGATCATTGAAGGTCTTTGAAACTAATACAATTCCATATGGCCACCGGACCACACCGGCCACCGGGTCACTACAAACAATATCTCACATTGACTGTTGATAGTATTCCCTGATCTCAAAACACTCTTAAGCTACAGCTTTTTTAAATCTTTATACAATAATTTCCATTATGGCCGCCACCTTTTCGATGTAATATATGCAAATTAGATGACGAATCAACTTCCATCCCAAAGTTTGGTACAAACTGACGATATTTCTCATTTACAGTGAGCCTTTATCTCAAACCAATTAAAAGTTATATCCGTTTGAAAGGTTGAAATCAAAATTGTATATTTTCTTGAAAACACTCCAGCGCCTAAAGGATTAGAACATCTGCAGAAGACGCCTAAATCACGGACCCCAGCTTTAACCCTGGTCCCTCACCTGGTGCTGGTCCCAGTTCTTCTGCTGCAGTTTGTTGTTGAATAGTTCCAGAGCTTTCCTTCGAACGTTGGGGACTTCATTTCCCATCAGCCCCCGGGTCACAGCCACGAACGATCCAGAAGGCAACAGCGCCACCACCTGGCCACAGGGACACCATCAGTCCTGGTCCGGTCCCTGGTCCGGTCCCTGGTCTGGTCTCGGTCCTCACCTTGTCCAGCAGCTCGTAGCTCTTGTTGAGCAGAATCCTCCAGAACTTAGAAGTCGGTTTGTCAGAGTTCAGCTCCAGGTTCTGAGCCACGGACTGAATGTAGAGGAGAGTCTGCTCCAGCAACCTGCGACCAGCAAGCAAACTATCAACCAGCAAAACAGGGACCAGCAAGCACCCCATCAACCAGCAACACAGGGACCAGCAAGCACCCCATCAACCAGCAACACAGGGACCAAAAACAGCTGCTTCACAGATTGAAGATGAAGTCAGACCTCTGCTGCTGAGCCTCCTCCTGCTCCTCCTCTTCTGATTTGCTCTGATCCACCACCTGAAACATCAACACATCTGTTGCTATGACATCCACCTGAGGGCTATGTATTCACCAGGGTTCGTCTGTATCTGCATTTAGAGGACCTGGACCTGGAGAGGACCAAGACCTGGACCTGGACCTGGTGAGGACCAAGACCTGGACCTGGACCTGGTGAGGACCAGGACCTGGACCTGGAGAGGACCAGAAGGATCCTCATGGAGCTGGTACCTGTTGGAGGAACCTCCTGGAGCCCAGCAGAGCGCAGCAGAAGCTCAGGTTCTCAAACACAAAATGCCGCAGATGTTTGCTGCTGTGAGTCTCAGTGTTAAAGATCAGCTCCTGCAGGTTCTCCTCCTGCGGGACGCTCCTCCTGCGAGAGGAAGTGCTCTCTGAGGACAGAGATAGAGGTCAGAGAGAAGGGTCCGCGAGAGGACCTTCTATGGTCTGACTCACCTTGTTCTTGCTGGTGTGGCAGAGACTGCAGAAAGACCAGGACCTGGACCACGGTCTGGATCTGGACTTTAGGACTGAACTCACAGCAGATGGAGAGCCACAGGTCCCAGTGCTTCTGAGAGGAGTCCTGAGGAGGAGGACACCATGAGACGAGGGACCAGAGAGAGACCAGGCACCAGAGAGAGAGACCATCACTCATTGGCACACACATACCTTGTCCTCTGCAGTAGGCCTTGCAGCAGCAGTGGTGGTGGTGTGTTGCTTGCACATCAGTCCCAGCAGCACCCAGAGGAAATCCTGTGGCCCCACTGTGCTCAGCAGCTGCTGCAGCACTGGGACCCTGCGGTGCTCCGGGACATGAGGCAGGGCATCCACAAACACATCCAGGATCCTGGTCACCACCGAGAGGGTGTGAGGGGAGGGGGAGGAGGGGGAGGAGTCCTGGGCCTGTGGACAGATGATAGTTAAAGCTGGGGTAGTCCAGGAGGTGGAGAGGTCCTTCCTTAAGTTTCTCAGGGTCTTGTTCACGAGTGAGGGAGCAGCGGCTGCAGTCAGAGCTCTGGTACCTTGAGCACAGCAGGGATCACCATAGAAACAGTCTTCTGGATGACCCTGAAGCTGTAGCTGTCGTCCAGGCGCAGGATGTTGGCTCCCATGAAGGTGAAGATGGGCATGATGTTCAGCAGCACCTTCTCCTGTAGCACAAGCACTTTATTTATATAGCACCTTCTCCTGTTGCACCTGTATAACACCTGTATAGCACTTGTGTAACATCTGTGTAGCACCTGTGTAGCAGCTGTATCACACCTGTATTACGGCTGTATACTCACTGGGTAAATGGAGGCCACAGCGCTCAGAAGAAGCAGCGCCTGGTGATGAGTCTGAGACATCTCAGAGGAACGAATACACTGCACCACCAGCTCCACTGAGAACCTGTCTGGGTCCAGGACCTCTGAGGAGGAGGAGTACAGCAGGAGGAGGAGGAGGAGAGAGGGAGGAGGGAGGAGGAGGACAGTAGTAGTTGCACATACAGTAGGACTATTAGTGGTTACTGGCGGCAAGAAGGTCTTGGGTTTGAATCCCGGCCAGTGGAGTTTGCATGTTCTCCCCGTGTCTGTGTAGGTTTCCTCCGGGTGCTCCGGTTTCCCCTACCACTAAAAATATGTACAATAGGTCTGGCATGTGCCTCCTGTACTGGCACCCCCACTCCCAAAAATAATAATTGTAAACCGCTTTGAGACTCTGATGTGCAGTGAAAAGATTACTTACTTACTGTAGTAGCAGTAGTACTTTGTAGCAATAGTAGTTGCAGTATTTGCAGCAGTAGCATTACTTGTAGCAGTAGTACATGTAGTTGCAGTAGTAGTAGTAGTACTTGCAGTACCATACCTGGGAGGATCGGGGCCCCTTCAGGGGACAGCTTACTGCACACACTCAGCAGACAGTTCAGCAGCAGCTGTTTGGTATATTCTATTGAACTCAGGTCCTCCTCTGAGACCTCCAGACGTCTGCAAAGGAGGGGACAGGAGGAGAGAGAGGAGGAGGAGAGGGAGGATAGAGAAAAGAGGGGGGGGGGGGGGGGGGGGGGGGAGAGGGGAATGAAAGGAGGAGAAGGAGGAGAAAGAGGACAAGTCTTTTTACTAATTTAGATTCCTGATTGCCTGACATGACATTCTTTTGTCTTCACACCATGTGAGACTTACCTCTGCAGGAGGCTGAATAGAGGAGGGACCAGGTTCTGGGATCTCCTCAGCTTCTTCTTGTGCTGCAGCAGCTCCAGGATCAGAGTGACTCTGCTCCACGGCACAGCGCTCCCTGCAGGCTGCACTCTGTCTGCGGCTTTACGGCTGAAACAAGAGGAGACTCATGGTCTGGCCCTTCTGGCCTCCTTCCTTCCCTCTCTGGCCTCCTCCTTCCTTCCCTCTCTGGCCTCCTCCTTCCTTCCCTCTCTGGCCTCCTTCCTTCCTTCCCTCTCTGACCTCCTTCCTTCCTTCCCTCTCTGGCCTCACCTCATTCTGCTGCGCCTCGTTTGTTGAACTGTTGTTGTCGTCATTTTCTCAGGACAGAGTTCAGATGCTACCAGCTGCGCATCCAGAGAGATCTGTAACAGAGAGGTTAGTGTGTTTGTGTGTGTGTGTGTATGAGTGAGAGAGTGTGAGAGTGCGAGAGTGCGAGTCTGAGTGAGTGCGTGCTGCGTCTTTGTGTTACCTGTTTGAAGACACTGGCCACTGTCTGAGCCGTCTCTGCACTCGGCTGATCCTCCAGCACATCGAACATAGAGGAGAGCACCTCCTGCTGTACCTCCTCATTCAGGAAGGAGAAGATTCTGGACACCTGTACAAGAGGTGGAGTCAGAAGGAGGAGGAGTCAGACTGGGAGACACTGATGACTAACAGATCAAAATATTTATTTCCATCTTTCGTGAGTAATTTGAGAAAATGGGTTAACCCATTAAAGACCTTATGACGGGTTTTTTTAAAAAAAATAGTGGATATCAAAATTGCATGACAATGTCAATTTGAAAGAGATTCCGGAAAAAAAATCCTATATTTCATAAAAAGAACGTGTTTTTCATGAATTTAAGTTGTCTATGCTCTAACCTGTGTGTGACGTCATAGCAGGTTACGCCCATGCATTGAAAACCATGGATCTATGCCACAGGACTGCCTTTTCTCTCCTCTCTCCACTGATGCCCAACACAATACTGCCCTCTACAGGTGACAATTGCTCACTACAAATAAATTGCCGTTTTGAGAGTGAAAATGTGTCCCAGGTGGGATTTGAACCCAAGTATCTGGATTGGCAGTCCATCGACACAACCACTGGACTATCTTAGTGACAACGAAATGTGACATTCTAGTAGTTATCTTAGACTCGCTGTACACGGCCTTGTCATCTTGAATATCCCCGAAAAAAGAACGAATACCAAATTGTAAACAACTGACAGCGTTGAAACGTACCCGTTCTGACGTCACCAAGGGCTGTGAAGTTTTTTCGTTTCTAAGGGCGTTGCTATGGGGTTATTTCGATTTGGGGGGATCAGACAAAAAAAACAACAACTGATTTTGAAACCTTTAGTAGTTCTCTTCTAATATAAAATGGTATTAAAACTGTATTTCTAAATAAATCAAACCCGTCATAAGGTCTTTAAGGCCTGACACAGCTGGTAAAACAGACCTGTAAAACCTATGGCCGACTTCAGAACCACCTCCAAAACCTGAAGTTTTCCTGAAATTCAACGTCTACTAAATGATTGACATCTCGGCCTCTGTAGCAGAAATAATTTACAAATTCCACATAAAACATCAAAAAATAATGTGAGACTAACACATGTTTCTCAATACAATAAGTCAAAGAGTTTGGCAAAACAGTGGCACCAACTATGGAAAAAAATATTTAAAAAAAATCCACTTTCAGCCCAAAAAGTCAAACAATGACTTGACTCACTGGGCTCTTTCTTACGTAAGCAAAATAAACAAAAAACGACTTGTGGTTTGTTTTGTTTGATTTGTTCACAACCTGCATTATCAATGCAAACGAAAATGTAGGTACCTGAGCTTTAATTCAGTGCGTTTTGGCTCCACTTCGTGAGGAGACGAAGGGGAGACACGGGGGAGACATGGGGAAGAGAGACAGGCAAGACCCGCAACAAGCTGGGGACGGTCCTGATTGTGCGTCTATGTTACGTTACGGCTGCACGTTCGCTGAGCTGTGTCAAAGTGGCCACAGTTGCTCCCGGGGTCAGAACGGAGGATGTTAATCCCGTTCGAGTACGTAACGCACACAACTGCCCGCGGTCATTTCACAGAAATTATATTTTCGGATCCGCAGATAATTCTCATCACTGGTTTATCTTGATGCATTTCATTGTAAGTAAGTAGTAGGAAGTAATCTTTATTTATATACCGCCTTTTCACTGCAGATCTGAGTCTACCCCTCTGGCTCCGCCACTGACAGAGCTCCCGGGTTGAAAGGTAGACACACGGGAATAAACCTCAGGTACAGAAGGAGTGCAATAACAAACTGCACTTTAGGCTCAGTGCAATAACAAACTGTTCTATACTCTTAAAAACAACACTTTAGGTTTATCAAAGTGCAAGTCTGGAATGATTGCGACAGTAGCTCAGTTGGTAGAGCATTGGCCTTTGAGCCAGAGGGTCATGGGTTCGAGCCCGACCTTCACCATCGACGTCTGCTGTCGTTGTGTCCTTGGCAAGACACTTAACCTCTGGGAACACCAGCCACAGTGGGGCAGCTGCGGCTGTAAAGTGCCAAACTGCAGTTGTGTCCTTAGGCAAGACACTTCACCTACATTGCCTAGAACGAGTCTGGTGTGTGTGTGAATGGTTGGTTGGTGGTGGTCGGAGGGGCCGATGGCACATACTGGTTGCCACCACCGGTGGTAGGGAGTGAAAGAAAATGAATTTAAGGTAATGGGGGGTGTCGCGAGTCGCTTCTGTCAGTGTGTAGCTGTGGGCTACAGCGGAGGGAGTCGGTGAGGGACCGGGCATGTGAGGACAGAGTCGGGGAGGACGCGAGGGCTGTGAGACCGAGGTCTGTGAGGACCGGGGTCTGTGAGGACCGGGACTGTGAGGACCGGGTCGGTGAGACCGGGGTCTTGAGGACCGAGGTCTGTGAGGACCGAGTCTGTGAGGACCGGGTCTGTGAGGACCGGGTCGGGGAGGACCGGGGTCGTGAGACAGGGAGGTCTGTGAGGAGCGGCGGTCTGTGAGGACCGAGTGCTGTGGTGGGAGGGACCGGGGATCTGTGAGGGGAACGCGGGTCTGGGGGTGGAGGGTCGGTCTCAAGTAGAGTGCTCTCTAGAGGACCGATATCTGGTGTTCAGGGTACCGGGTACAATGGTGTGCGGTGTAAAGGACCATGTGAAGCGACCAGCGTGCTGTGAGGCACAGAGCTCGGGTGAGGGAGGGGGGGGCGGGGGCGGGGGGGGGGGGGGGGGGGGGGGGGGGGGGGGTTGTGGCGGGGGGGGGGGGGGGGGGAACAAAGACCGTGGTCTGGGGGAGGGGACCGAGGGGGGGGGTCAGTTTTATGTGATAGTTTGAGGGTTTGGGGGGTAGCGGTCGGGGAGGGTGTGTTGTTAACAGTGTGGGAACGGGAGGGTATGGGGTCAAGTGAGGGTGGTCAGGTGGAGGTAGGGGGGGTAAAGGAGGTATGGGGTGGGTGAAGGGGGAAGGGGGGGGGGGGGGGGTGGGGGGGTGGTGGGTGTGGGGGGGGGGGGGGGGGGGGGGGGGGGGGGGGGGGGGGTGGGGGGTGTTGTTGTGGGGGGGGGGGGGGGTGGGGGGGGGGGGGGGGGGGGGGGGGGGGGGGGGGGTGGGGGGGGGGGGGTAAGTTGTAGTGAGGGGTGGGGGTAGTGGGAGGGGGGGTATGGTGGGGGGTGGTTGGGGTGGGGGTTAGGGGGGGGGGGGGGGGGGGTTGGGGGGGGGGGGGGGTTTGTGTGTGTGCGGGGGGGTGGTCTGTGTGTTGTGTTGTTGGGTTGTGTATGGTGTGGTAGGTGGGAGTGTGTGTGAGGGGTTGGTGTTTGGTGGGTTGTGGGGTTGGGGTTTGGGTGGAGGGGTAATAGTTAGATTGGGTGTGGTGGTTTAGGTGGTTATGGTTTTTTAATTGAAGTTATATTTGAGTTGAAGGAATGGGGGGGGTAGTATGGATTGAGGGAGGGTGGGGATAAGGAGAGTGGAGTGCCGGATAAGTGACGGGGATGGCAAAGGGCTATGGTCGTGTGAGGTAATATACAGGGTAGGTGGGTATGGGGGAGGGGGGGGGTGGGTAGTAAGGGGGGAGGGGGGGGGTGTAAGGGGGGGGGGGGGAGGGGGAGGGTAGGGAGGGGTAGGGTGGGGGATTTAGTGGGGGTAGGGAGCGGATGGAGAAGGGGGGGAGGGAGTCTAACATGGGGTGGGAGTGGGAGCGATAGGAGGAGGAGGTATGGGAGTAGGCGTAGTTGGCAGGATATTATAGTGGGGACTGGTGATGGTGTCTCAGGGATGAGTCGTGCTGTGAAAGGTCAGGGGTCTGGCGAGGTATATAGGTCGCTGATGTGAGACATGATGTCGAAGTCACGTGGTGATGGGGAAACACGACGGGGTTAACCGGTACAGACAAGTGAAGAGAACACTGCGTGCATACACGTGCGGACACTATGGGGGTGCGGGAGCAGACGAGTCAGTGTGAGGACCGAGGTCTGGAGGACCGAGGTACTGGTGAGGACCAGGGGGTCAGATGAGGACAGTAGGCTCGAGGGAGCTGACGCGAGACTCTGTCACGAACGACCCGAGGCTCCCAGAGATCCCTAGGAAGGGGGGTGGGGAGGCGGGGGGGGAGACCTCACACACAGTTATATACATATAATTACAAACTCAGAAGGTGACAAAGGAGGGAAAGAGAGAGAGTGGGAGGAGAGATCGTAGTATTGTGTAGAAACACACACAGAGGAGGGTAAACCGGAGTCTGGGTATGACCAGGTCTGGTGTGATGGGACCGATGTCCGGGCAGTGACCGGGGATACGGTCAGTGACACGGGTCGTGTGTGCGATACCGTGTGGTAGATTCTGTGAGGACATTGGCGTGGAGGACGGGGTCGGGGTGTGACCGATGGGTGTCTGTATTAGGGACCGGGAGGTGCTCTGTGAGGACCGACGGTCCAGGTATCTATATATAGCTCATGATCTCTCGCGGCAAGCAACAAGCACAGCGGTACGGAGGAGGCAGGACAACATGGAGTAGAGCAGTATCCAGCCCAACCCTCGTGCGATCCTACACAGAGCTCTCTGGGGAACACTCTCCTGTGCATCCTTACATTGTGGCTCAGCAGAGTCAGAGATCCATCCAGGTCGCACAGAACGCCCCCGCCCAGGTCCTCAGCAGCACCCGCGGTCCCCTCACAGACCTGGACGGGGTCAGGCCAGGTACCAATTGGGGGGGGGGGGGGGGGTGGGGGGGGGGGGGGGGGGGGGGGGGGGGGGGGTAAAACCTCGCGCACCGCGGCCGAAAGTGCGAGCAGGGGGGGGGGGGGGGGGGTAGAGCGGTCGTCCATAACCTTCGACGCACGGTCACGACACGGGGGGGGGGGGAGGGCCTGGGATAGGGCGCGTCACACGCGTATAAGACCCGCCGCCGCTCTCCTCATCTCATGACATCGCAGCTGGTACCGTAAGCCACGACAAACCAACATGGGGCCGGACGGCGAAAGTCGTCGGGATACAGGCTTTAACAGCTGGGGAAGCAAGATCCTAGTACCCCAGGTCCCATCGACGATCTCTGTACACCCAAAAGGCCCCTGATACCTGATCCGTCCGAGCTCCTCGTTCCCTCGGGCACCACGGGGGCGGCGGGGGTTCCCCCTGGGCCTCGGTCCTCGCCTAGGACGGGGGTGGGGTGCGGGATTAGGGGGGGGGGGGGGGGGGGGGGGGGGGGGGGGGGGGGGGGGGGGGGGGGGGGGGGGGGGGGGGGGGGGGGGGGGGGGGGGGGGGGGGGGGGGGGGGGGGGGGGGGGGCGGGGGGGGGGGGGGGGGGGGGGGGGGGGGGAAGTAGGGGGGGGGGTGGGAAGGTAGGTTTGAAGGGGGGGGGGGGGGGGGGGGGGGCTTGTATTTTAGGGGGTGTTAATATGGGATTTGATTATGTGGAATGAGAAGAGCAGATATAGAAAGGAAGATTGGGTCAAGATGGGTAGAAGACTGGGGTAAGGGGATAGAGGTATTGAAGTAATGACAAGATAGTGTAAGGGTGGGGGGGAGAAGGGTAGTATGTAAGACACAAGGTAAGTAGTCAATGAATGGTGGGGAGTGTAAGAAGGAAGAAGATATGTAAGAGGAAGATATGTAAGAGGGAAAGTAAGTAAGAGGGAAGAATGTAAGAGGGAAGATATGTAAGAGATATTGTAGAATGAGGTGATATAATAATGTGATAGTGAATAATTGTGGTAATAAGGGAAGATATTGAGTAAGTAGGGAAGATATGGGTGGGAAAGATTCAGCGGACATAAGGATAACTTCGAGTCCTATACGATTTGAAAAGGGAAGCACATGAATACATAGGGGTGGGGAGAATAAAAGTCAAAACTAGATAGGACTAATGTGCATAGAATGAATATGGGGTACATGTGACTGAGGACAGGGGAACAATTGGGGAGGGGTGTTGGTGGTAGTAATAGTTAAAAAGGAAGAATATTTACTAATTGTAATGAAGGAGTACAGTTAGGGGATGGGTAAATGGAGGAGGTTTAATGGAGTAGTAATAAGAGTGGTGAAGATGGTAGTGGTAGTAATTGGGATGTGGTAATATTATTGGGGGTAAGAAGGGTGGAAGATTGGTTTGGTATTATAGGGGGGGGGTAATGTAATGTTTATGGGTAAGATATTATATGAATGGAAGATATGAATGAATCTAATGAGGTGGGCCTTAGGTAATTGGTAGATAAAGATGGGGTGGTGGGGGGGTAAAGGGGGGGACAGTTATATGTTGAAGAATGAGGGAACGACAAGGGGATAGGGTGAGAAAGGGGGGATAGGAGGGATGGGGGTGAGGTTAATGTCTGGAGGGTAAGCGGGAAAAATATGTCAAAAAAATGATGGAAGTATATGATCTACAGAAGGGGGAAGGGTGATTGGGGAACTAGTGTATGGGGGGGGGGTACATATATTACAGAGGGGGAGGGGGAGATATTAAGAGGTACAGGGAGATGGGGGAGTGGATAAGAGGGGAAGATATGGGGGTTATAGATGAGGGGTGGGGGTTATGGATTAGGATGGGGGGGGGGGGGGGGGGGGGGAGGGGGGGGAAGTATATGGGGTATGAATGATGGGTGGGGGAGAGGGTAATAGTGAGAGGTAATGATGTAAGAAGGATGAGGGGGTGGGGAGAGAGGGAGGGACACAGGATAAGAAGGTAATGAATGGGGTAAGGGAATGGGGAGGAGGGAGGAAGGTTAATGATTAGTGGGTGAGAGAGGGGGGGTGGAATGAGATTGGATATGTAGAAGGGGGGGGGAGGGGTATGTGGATGTATGATGGGGTATGGTGAGGTGGTTGGGGGGGGGTTGGGGAGGGGGGTTTTGGGAAGGGGGTGAGTAGGTTATGATGTTGGGGATAATGGTTAAGATTTGGGGGGGGTAAGAGGTAAGTATATGTAAGTTGATAATATTTAAGAGGAAGATTTGGGTAAAGGTGAAGATATTAAGAGGGGGAAAGATATATATGAGGAAGATATGGTAAGAGAGGAAGATTTAGGTTTTGTAAGAGGGAAGATATTAAGAGGTGACGATATGGTAAAAGGGAAGAATATGGTAAAAAGGGAAGATATGGTAAGAGGGAAGTATATTAAGAGGGGAAGATATGTATAATAAAGAGAAAATATTTTAAAGAAGAAATGTAAAGGAGGGGAATAGTATGTAAGAGGGAAGATATGTAATAAGAAGATATGTAAAATTGGGAAAGGAATCTATGATATAAGGGAATATATGGTAAAGGGAAGATGATGATAATAGGGGAAGGATATGTAAAAGTTGTGAAAGTATGGTAAAAAGTAATAATAGTAAAGTAGGGAATATCATGTAAGAGGAGACTATATGTATAGTCCGCAAAGAAAAAGGGAAAGTATATGTAAAAGGAAAGAGTAAGTAAAAAGGAGAAAATATTAAAAAGTTTAAGCTAAGACAGAGTAAGAAATGATCGAGGGAAGAATAAGAAGATGGAAGATCTGAAAAAGTGAGATATGTAAGAGGATAGAAATGGGGGGTCCAAGGGATAACAATATATATATAGAAAAAAGGGGAAGATATTAATGCATTGGGTAATCACACAGATCAATGAGGGCCTGCAAAAGAGGACGAGGTACGCAATAAAGTAAATATAAACGGGAAAGCATCTGAAACAAGGGGAACAGAAATAGACCCTCGGGACCTCATCTGGTCATGCAGGATGCCTCTAATCACCCGGGTAAGAATATGATACACGTCATTCATAAGAAGACTAAAGGTACAGATATGTAACCACGGTTCTATGAATCCTGAATGACCCTGTAAACGCAGACAAATTACTGGGCAGAGCCAGAGGCGCTTTGTCACTCAGGGTCCTTGCGTCCGCGAGAAGATTCTGCAGGAACAGAGTGCTGGATGACGCTGGACTTTATTACCTCCGGTGTGTCATCCAAGGGGTCACAGGTGTGACTCATTTGGTATTATTACTCGAACTGCGCATGCGCGAAGGGAACATTCAGTGCTATGCACCGCCCTCTGGCGGTCATTCGGGATTCATAGAACCGTGGTTACATATGTAACCCTCGTTTCCACCTCCTGTTTACATGGAGACTGTTCCAGAGGGGTGAAAACGTAAGTGTTAAGATCCAGCTACAGAGTGGAACGTGAAGAAAAAGGTGTGAATTCTGTCTGCTATGCTTCCCCGCATGTACATTTGGACCTGCGCTGTAGCCGAAAACAAACGTAAACAACAATAGCGGCGGGTACACTAACTAGGTACATGTGCTTTGAGCGATACACGGAGAATTCTACTCCTTCGTCCAAACAAAGCCATGCAAAGCTCTAGTTTCAGTTTCCATTTTTGCAGCTGCTGTAAAAGGCAGAATGAAAAAAAATTAAAAAATTTGGGGCATTCTTTAACGTCGTTGCGGCGGCCTGAGGAGGATGTTGTTGAGGAAGTGAATGTTCTGCTGGGGGGGGCAGGGGCTCGCATGTGCCGTGTTGTAAAGTTCCTCTGCCCACTACTGACCAGGCACTTGAACTACATTGTTTTTCATTCTCGTATGAACTCTCAATTTGCATTAGGAGTCTGGTCTTTTCTGGTCATTGCTTTGTAAGGTCTGTGCAGGGCCTCCGTCTAAACAGGGCCTTGAACCCGGTCTGTCCCCGGTCTTTGCAGAGTTCCTGTCTCACTCGTTCTCGGTGCCGGAGCTGAGGTTTCTCTTCCTAAACGTTCTTCCAGACCTGACGGATCGAGTCCTGGTCGACGTTGGATCCAGACTGGGAGCAGTTCTGTTCGGGGTCAGTCCCATCTCTCCCTAAGTTGTTGATTTTCTACCACAGATTAGAGAATCAAACAATTCAAACACAAGACGATAATACATAAGTCCATAAGGGGCAGATGACCAGTACCGATGTTAAAATGAGTGATACAACATTGTTACTAATCAAAACAGACTCGCAGCTGTTTTTAGCCCTGTCCATGTTTCTTGTGGAGAGACTGATATTCTGTGGTGTTGCCTTCAGGGACACGTGTTCAGCTCAGCATCAGGTCTCGTTGGAGTCGAACTAAACCAGGACTTTGTGACGGTCCAGAACCAAGTGATTCAGAAGTATGGCTTTGAAGACCGCGTTCAGGTGGGGCCGAGACTGGGGCCGCGACTGGGGCCGAGACTGAGGCCACGACTGGGGCCGCGACTAAACCCTGTGGTCTCTTCCAGGTCGTGCACTCAGACATTTGTTCTCAGGATTCTTTGGTACAAAACGCAGATGTTCTGGTCATGAATAACGTCTTTGAGTTTTTCCTGGAGCCTCCGGAGCAGATCAGGTCAGAGTATCTCGCTATAAGACAGTACTCCTTTAGACCTCGCAGTTTTGCCAATTTATGGCGTGCGCGCACATGTGTTCATTATACAACAATATCATAACCACTAGCATAACATGAGTTACCTTTAAACTCAGGAAACTATGTGTATTGCTCTGTCTGGTTTTTTTCTCTTGACACGGTGGCTGAGTGGATAGCACTCTCACTTCTCATTAAAAAGGTCATGTGTTCGAGCCCCGGCTGGAACAGGGCCTTTCTAAGTGGGCTTTGCATGTTCTCCCTGTGTCAGCGTAGGTTTTCTCCACGTGCTCCAGTTTCCCCTACCACTAAAAACATGCGCTATAAGTATTAATTTAAAATAAGAGTGACTGGATGATGTTGATTTGGGGCTTTGATGCACCAGTGTGTTCGGCGTCTCGCTTCAGTCATCACCGTGTGCGGAGGGAATGGAACAATATCGAACATTGTAAAGCGCTTTGGGTGCTATATAAATTAACATTACTGTTTTTTTTCTCTGATGGTTCTTCCAGATGTTGGAGGTTCCTTGTGCAGAATTTCCGTAGAAAAGGTTCTCTGTTGGTGACGGTCCCAGGTTTAGATGAGAGCTTCAGGCAGATCCAGGTCTGAGCAAAGAAACTTCAGACTGTAGTAAGAGTACTGTGACATAAAACTGCACTCTTCTGTCCTCCAGGAGGCGCTGCCTTCTGATTGGCTGGAGGAGCTTCCTGTGAACTATGACCTTTATCTGACCAGCGACAGCGACCAGAACGACTGCTTCAGACAGATTCACCTGTACCGAGTCATGTGACCAGAACTCAACTTGTATACAGATGGACAATGTGCTAGCTCAATGGAGCCCAATGGAGAAGTACTCATGGACAAAGGTTTGCTGCAACTTGCTCTGGCTCCTACCAACTTCCATGTAAAAGTAAACTCCTCTCGCAAAGTCACTGTTTGTTCTGTGACCCTAGTGGAATATTGTGATGTCTTTGTAAATCCAGGTTTGAGCTCTAACATTTGAGTTCTGCAGCTGAGAGGATCCTTGTTTCACTAATTAAGTTTTGCAAGAAATAAAACATTTTTATATCACATCAATATTTTTCATTTCTTGAATAATTGTGCATATGAAGCACTTTGGAAATGTGCATCGTTTGCATTTTCTCCCTGTGGTGGATTTCAATCCAGGATTGAAAGAAACTTGCTCCAAATTAAGACCAGAACCAAATCTGGACTAGAATAAGTTGTTGCATGGCTCAAGTGGAAAAACTGTATTAAGAATTATTTGTATTTAACATGGCTTTATTATTTACAGAAAAGTGACATAAAAAACAGACAGTTCATTTGATAAAACGGGTACAAACTTTTTAAAAAATATTATAAATCATTCTTTACAGAGAGTCCACATGGTTTATAGCTCTGTACAAACTGCAGGGGCGCTGTTCACCTCAGAAACTTCTCACTCCCAGAAACTGTCAACAGGAAGTGGAAAAGAGACCAGAGAGAGGCTTGGTCTAGCCTTCCATTTTCTGTTCACTGCGATTAAAGACATTTTTGTGAATTTTGAAACTTTTCCTCAAACAAAAACAGGTTAAATAAGCGGTCTGTGCTGCTTCTGTAACAGTTTAAAACGCCAAAATTAAAGTACATAAATAAATAAAATCCATTGGTATAAAACAAACTCATCTTTTAAAAAACTGAAGTGACTGAAATTAGAGCAAAAAACTAAAGAATTTCCATATAAAACATTCTTCATTTTCCAAACCATTTTCACATTTGGTTTTTGTACATTCACCGAGAATTTAAAATAAAAGCCTTAAATATTCCCACATTCGTCCAGTTTGTGTTTGAGGAAAAAGGTCCCAGCACTTCCTGCTCACGACGAGGCAACTTTTTATCTTTTTATTTGTGCGATTTGTACCAAAATAAAAGCTCTGATTCGTATAAAAGACTGGGAACGCCGGAAGCAGGAAGCGCAGACTTTCGGAATAAGAGCAAAAAACAGAAGGAAACGAACGCTTGAAGACGGAAAAAAATGTTTCGATTTGAGCAAAATGTTACTTTGAAAGAATGATTCGCCACGAAAGAAGCAGCTTTAGTCTCAGGTCCAGATGCTTCTAACTGAACACAAGAAGAGAGCAGTCAATTTGACAAATTTAGTTTTGGAAGTTAAATGGTTGTTTATGAACGTTTTTGGTTTTCATGACTTTATATTTTTTCTGTTTCTAAATGTAGTTTATTTCTGTGTCATAATTATCTCAATTTTAGACTGGTCCGGGTTCAGAGCAGTCTCATCTTGGAGCCAGTGCTAGTTACCATAGAAACAGACTGTTTTACTTTCAGCACTTAGCATTTACTTCAGCTGCATTTCATTGATATTCCCCAGTTTTAGGATGAAATGAAAGATAAAAACTGTAAAACTTATATTTTTTGGGGAGTTTTTGGAATTCCATTAGTTTGCATCGGAGCCTGGCACAGACTGGAACAGCTCCTTTGCAAAAAAAGAAAGTGCCATAAGAAACATACAAAAGGCAACAATATCAAATTACCCTTTACTAAGTATTGTTGAAAGCCAGATATATTTCAGTGCCATACAAATAAAGTGTCACCCTCTCTTCAAATCTGTTAAACACAGTAAAGTTATTGGCAGTGCTTTTGAAGTTATTGTTTAAAATCTTTGAAAACGTGACTTAAGATCTCTTCACCTCTAGCGCTGGTCTTTATGTTCACTTTGGTCCATCTAAAATCAGAGGTGTCAAACTGGTTCCAGAGAGGGCTGGTGTGGATGCAGGTTTTCACTCCAACCTGAGCAGGAGCACAGCAGACTTCGCCCATTTCCTCAAGTTCAGTCTTAACCCAAAGACTTGAGGAAATGGGTGGAGTCTGGTCTGGTCCTGCTCAGGTTGGAGTGAAAACCCACTTCCACATTGGCCCTGTGAGCACTGGTTTGACAGCCCTGATATAAACTCCTATATCCGAGTCACGCCTCTCTGCAGATTCGACTGATTTGTGTCTTCGATGTTAAAGCTACAGAGATGGAAGCTTTGAGGCGTCTTCCACTGGCGGATGTTTAAAATCTGCTCAAATCAAAACATGGAAAAAAATAATTCAAAGCTCTTTGTGTTTTGTGGATTCTTGCGTCTGGAGTGGTTTGTGAGGCGAAGGGGGCGGGGCCAAGCATCACCTGACCTCTACAGCCAATGAGCTCTGAGACGGGGAGGAGGAGGAGGGGCTCATGCCGGCGTCGGAGGAAGACGAGGCCGAAGCCGTGTTGGAAACTGGAGAGAGAGAAAGAGGCTTTACAAACAATAATGAGGAGCTACTACAGATCAGGAGAGGGGCTTGGAATAGAGCTGCTACTCCTCCACATTGAGAGGAACCAGAAAAGTAGACGTTTGATGCCTCGTGTCCGACTGGGAGACCAAGGACCCGGGGGAGGAGGGGAGAGGAAAGTCTGCTCAAACTACTGCCTCCACAACCAGTCAATGGATGAAGAAGAAATATAAATGAAATGGTTGAAGGTGTTTGGGTCTGTGTCTTGTCTGAGTGTGTGTACTTTATTACTGAGGTACTGTATAGATTTTGTGTTTTTGAATTTTACTGCATATGTGCGTTTTGTCCGTCATCTCTAGCGTCAAGTATAGTTATGTTTTTGAATTTTTTGTGTGTTTATGTGTCTGTGTGTGAACCATGCACTTGTTATGTCTTATGTTGATATGTGAAAATATGTGTTTAGATAAATAATCTAAACAAATAAGTACTAAATGCTAAACGTGTCACCGTGGGGCAGACCTTCTCGCTCCTTCTTCTTCAGCCTCTTCCTTCGGCGGTCGATGGAGGCCACCTCAGACTTCAAGCTCAGGTAGTACTTCCTGATCTCCTGCAGTTTGTCCTGAAGAAACGAGATCCGGTCTGAAGACGTCATCTTCTCAAGGTCGTCTGCAAGGACGAGGAAAAACATCAGAATGACCCTAACCCAACACACAGCGGGCTTAAAAAACAAAGCTTATTTATTGCCCCGGTAAATACATACAGTGCCTTGCGAAAGTATTCGGCTCCCTTGAACCTTTCAACATTTCGCCACATTTCAGGCTTCAAACATAAAGATAAAAATAAAATGTTTTGTCAAGAATCAACAACAAGTGGGACACAATCGTGAAGTGGAACAAAATTTATTGGATAATTTAAACTTTTTTAACAAATAAACTGAAAAGTGGGGCATGCAATATTATTCGGCCCCCTTGCGCTAATACTTTGTAGCGCCACCTTTTGCTGCAATTACAGCTGCAAGTCGCTTGGGGTATGTCTATCAGTTTTGCACATCGAGAGACTGGAATTCTTGCCCATTCTTCCTTGCAAAACAGCTCGAGCTCAGTGAGGTTGGATGGAGAGCGTTTGTGAACAGCAGTCTTCAGCTCTTTCCACAGATTGTCGATTGGATTCAGGTCTGGACTTTGACTTGGCCATTCTAACACCTGGATACGTCTATTTGTGAACCATTCCATTGTAGATTTGGCTTTTTGTTTTGGATCATTGTCCTGTTGGAAGATAAATCTCCGTCCCAGTCTCAGGTTTTCTTCCAGAATGGTCCTGTATTTGGCTCCATCCATCTTCCCATCAATTTTAGCCATCTTCCCTGGCCCTGCTGAAGAAAACCAGGCCCAAACCATGATGCTGCCACCACCATGTTTGACAGTGGGGATGGTGTGTTCAGGGTGATGAGCTGTGTTGCTTTTACGTCAAACATATCGTTTTGCATTGTGGCCAAAAAGTTCGATTTTGGTTTCATCTGTTCAGAGCACCTTCTTCCACATGTTTGGTGTGTCTCCCAGGTGGCTTGTGGCAAACTTCAAACGAGACTTATTATGGATATCTTTGAGAAATGGCTTTCTTCCTGCCACTCTTCCATAAAGGCCAGATTTGTGCAGTGCACGACTGATTGTTGTCCTATGGACAGACTCTCCCACCTCAGCTGTAGTTATCTGCAGTTCATCCAGAGTGATCATGGGCCTCTTGGCTGCATCTCTGATCAGTCTTCTCCTTGTTTGAGATGAAAGTTTGGAGGGACGCCGGGTCTTTGTAGATTTGCAGTGGTCTGATACTCCTTCCATTTCAATATAATTGCTTGCACAGTGCTCCTTGAGATGTTTAAAGCTTGGAAAATCTTTTTGTATCCAAATCCGGCTTTAAACTTCTCCACAACAGTATCTCGGACCTGCCTGGCGTGTTCCTTTGTCTTCATGGTTCTCTCTGCGCTTTAAACAGAACCCTGAGACTATCAAAGAGCAGGTGCTTTTATACGGAGACTTGATTACAGACAGGTGCATTCTATTTATCATCATCAGTCATTTAGGACAACATTGAATCATTCAAAGATCCTCACTGAACTTCTGGAGTGAGTTTGCTGCACTGAAAGTAAAGGGGCCGAATAATATTGCACGCCCCACTTTTCAGTTTATTTGTTAAAAAAGTTTAAATCCAATAAATTTTGTTCCACTCCACGATTGTGTCCCACTTGTTGATTCATGACAAAAAATTAACATTTTATATCTTTATGTTTGAAGCCTGAAAAGTGGCGAAATGTTGAAAGGGGGCCGAATACCTTCGCAAGGCACTGTATAATGACCCGTTTGGTGACTCACAGAAGTAGTTGGTGGTTCAGACCAGTGTTTGTGTCGTTCTTACCAATGTGCAGCGTCCACTTGTGCCCCCTGCTGGTCGGGGAGAGGCAGTGCTTGTGGGTCTTGATTGTGACTCTGGTCTGGTCCTCACTGTCACTGCTGTGGCCTGAACATCAGGAACAGCAACATGTGAGAAATAGATAGAAGCAGAGACTGAGGCAGAGACAGGGGTAGAGACTGAGGCAGAGACAGGGGTAGAGATTTAAGTAGAGACTAAAACAAAGACTGAGGCAGAAACTGAAGCAGTGACTCCCACAGCTCCTCACCAGCTCCGTTCTTCTCGTGTTTCTGTGGCGTGGGACGTTTGTGACGTTTGTGTTTCTTCACTGAGGGACTGTGGTGCTCCTCCAGTACACGCTTCTGACCTGAAGGTGGCAGCACAGAAGACATGTTAAAAACTACTAATTGTAACTAAGGATAGAGTGACTGACAGTAAATAGAGGCATAGATCTTCTCACCTCTCTCACAGTTGGACGAGTTGGACGTCGGACTGGAGCTTGTCTCTTCGTGTCGCCGCTCGGTGTTCCTGTGCTTCCTCTCCTCGCTGCAGTTTGTGGGCGGAGACGTCAGGCCTTTTACGGCCGTGGGTGGGGCTTTAACCGGCGTGGGCGGCAGCTGCATCATGAGCAGTAGCTGTTGGGACGCGTTCACCACCTTCTCCCTCTCGTCCGGCTCGTCCAGATCCACCTCATGACAGACCAGCGCCTCAGGACCCATCTCTGGGACCGTCTGCTCGCACTCCTCTGCCTCCGCCCCCTTTGCCTCCTCGCACTTTGCCACCGTGGCGTCCTCTGTTTTGCTTTCATCTTGTAGTGCTGTGCACTCCTGCTCCGCGTTTGCAACGTTCAGGGATACTTCTGTTTTGAGTTTCTTCTCCGGACTCCTCTGCTCTGGGGCCTTACGTTTCTGTGGCGACTTTTCCTGTTCGCTCTTCTCAGTTTTCTCCACTCTCTGCTCTTTGCTTTCTTCTAGTTTCAGTGAGTTTTCGAGGTGAACGCAGTCACCTCTCGGGGGTTCTTCAGCGGCGTTTCGCTCCCGTCGCGGAGAACTTTCCACCTGGACTCGCTCGCGCCGTGGGGAGTTTACAGGCGTGTTCCCATCTTGCTTCGGCAAATTCTCCGGTTGAATTCGGTCTCGTCTTGGCGAATTCTGAAGTGGATTCCGGTCGCGTCTTGGAGAGTTTTCAAACTGGATCCGGTCTCGCCTCGGAGAGTTCACAGGCTGATTCCGGTCTCTTCTTGGAGAAGAATTAGAATTTTCCAGCTGATTCCGGTCTCTTCTCGGTGAGTTTTGAGGCGGCGATTTGACGAGTCTTTCTGGCGTCCTCTCTCCTTCCAGTAGCTCTTCGGTCAGAGTGTTGGCGTCCAAGTTTTGATCTTGCGGTAGACACAGCTGTGGGCTCTGGAATGCAGTCTGCGGCAGAGTTTTGTCCGTTCGAACAGGAGACTTAACGATTTCGCTCAGATCCAGTCTCACAGACTTCTCTCCGGACGCGTTTCTGTCTCTGACCGGAGATTGGATTGAAGACGTGAGCGGAGGCTTCTGCGGACTCCGACTGTTCAGGTCTCTCAGTGGAGCTTTGTTGTTCATTAGTTTACACTGTGGAAAAACACAGATATCATTAAGTATCATTCTGAGTCTCTAAAATTTACTTTGGCATTTCACGTTTTAGAGCAAAAACAAAAGCTGGTTATGATGAATCAGCAGAAACCGAACAAGCGCCACCTGCTGGAGACAATGAGGATTTGACACTTGGGGAGTAGCTGCAGCCCCTACATTTCAACCACAATATGCTACTTCCAAAAAAATAACATGTAACAAGCTCTGGGAGATTTTATGCAAAATCTTTCAAACATAATCGAAAAAGATGACCACCCTGACTCAACGCTCAGCTCAAAACTTCAAAAAGTGACAAATTTGGCTCATTCCAACAAGTGTAACATGGTGGTCTGATCAAGAGGACTTTCGGTTGGGATGAAGGACCCCTTACTACATTAAAGGTAAGGACCATCTCCTTGCCTTTAAAGATGCTATAACCAATTTTTTTTAAATGAGTTCATAAAAATGCTTATTACTACATACAAGTTGTATTATAATCCGTAATTTAATTGAAAACTTGAGCTCATTGATTCAGCTTGTGTATGAATTCAGGCCGTAAAAAGTGCTGAGTAGAGACTAAAGGTGCTTTCACATCGCTAACGCTGGGACGCTGACGCCTCGCACACCAGACGCACATTCTCCAATTTTCAGACGAAGGGGTCTCCACACCGGAAGGCGGAAGTAGCGGGCGGACTTTGATGCTAACGGAGTTAAACTCGCGGCTTTTTGTGTAAAGTTCTTCTCCAATAATGCAGCTCTTCAGCGCTGCTTAGCACAGTAGCATGTTAGTAGAATTGGCTATAACTCCTCTTGCTGCAACTGCATACACAGCAAAACAGCCCAAACGACAACAGTGAAGAAGAGAAGAGGGAACTAAAGCGAAAAAATCATCAAAGAAGAAATCAAGCCCGGGTGAACATAGCTAGCTCACATCGTATCCTCTGGAGAGACTTACAGTCTATGGGAGAGACCTGCGGGACCGCCTCCGACTATCTATGCTCGGACTACATTCGGACGCAGAACTAGCGGTAATCTTTCAGATATATATTTTGTTAGCAGTGCGTTGCTTTTGTGCCATTTCATCAGTGATTGTTCATTAGCATGAGCATCGCCTTGGAGAGTTTTCAAACTGGATCCGGTCTCGCCTCAAAGAGTTCAAAGGCTGATTCCGGTCTCTTCTTGGAGAAGAATTAGAATTCGCTTATGCTAATGTTAGCATACGTATCAGATTTCAAATACAACTAGATGGCTCCGTGGAATGAGAGCGTAGGCGAAATGGGAAGCCTGTGAGCAAGTTGAGGGGCGGTGCTAAACATTCAAACCTTGCAGAAACGGGTATAGCTCCATTAATGTAAGGAGATAGTAATGAAACCATTTGAGGAACAAGAATTCTGCAAGATAAGAAAAAGAGGATAATAAAAAAATAAGTTGATGTGGATTTAATATGTCTGGAGCTCTCACTTCCTCTGGCTCCTCCTCTTTTCTCTGCTCCTCCTTGCTCTCCTCTGGTCTCTTGTCCTCCTCCTCGCTGTCGGTCTCAGAGGCGGAGTCCGTGTCAAAGTCTGGGGGTAGGCAGTGGTGAAGGATGACCATGGGCTCGGAGCGCGGTGGCAGAGACATGTGCGATGACAGCAGCTTGAGTCTGGGGGACGACTCCAGGAGCAGAGAGGGAGGCGTGGCCGGCTTCTGGAACATAGAGGTTCATGAAACCTGTGGCGCGGAGTGATTTAATGAGGAAAATATAAAAAAACTATTCCACGCAGCTCCCAAACCGGTCGGACCGCTCTGCTCCCAGTCTACACACAGGGAGCAGATGGAGCCTTGTGAGTCTCATAACTTTGTCTCAAACATTATATCAGGAATTGAAAACAAAAATTTCTATCAAAAGTCATTTCTCGACCAGCTCTACTTGGCTCTACTCTACTTCGATTGGGAGCGTTTCCAGTGGCCTTGTTTACGCTGGTACCAGGTACTGTTTTAGTACCTGCCTGGCCCTGGTTCCCTCTGGCAGTGACAAGTCCAGTCAAAGTGCTGCTGGAAGCCATGGTTACCGCAGAGTTTCCCTGGATACTGGTTTGTTATGGGTCAGTCGCTACAATATGGTACCAGGACCTAAAGTGTACATAACCTGGTAGAGTGGAGCCGAGTAGAGTAGGACCAAGTATGTGGAAACATGATTATATTTACCGTATAGGCGGATCTTTGTTTACGTGCGCATGTGCCACTCGTTGGGTGGCAAGAAGACAGAGCGGCACATACAGTATAGAAGCATGGATGTGACGAGTACTTTTAACGGAGACTTAGTGGGCAAAATACATTGTATAGCACTTTAACGCAAGAAGAACAGAGGAGATTTAAAGATAATCTAATAATGAAATATATATGAGACCGAACTGAACAAATTCTAAGCCCATATGAGACCTGGGATGACGACAAGCATTGGTCAGACTCGCCTTTGTCTCAGCACCAATCTGCTGGGAGACATTTATTCTTACTTCATAGAAAACCCGGAACCCTTCACGCAAGAAGGTCCCGGGGTCAAAAACCATTTCTCACCACGGTAAAGTGGCCCACTAGGACCATTTGATTTAGTAAAACCACTATCCAAACGTCTAAAACTAGCTTACTCCCTAGTATACAGGTAGCTTTCTCTTCCGTTTTGCCACCCAGTCACGTGATCGGCGTGGAAAAACTACTACGACGTCACTCAAAGATCCTCCTATAAGCAACTCAAGCAGAGGGACTGTGCGCTTCATCACAAGGATCAACATGAGGGAGTGGCTTGTATGTGTCCAAATACACGTACATTTCTAATATTAGCAAAGATTTTCTCTGCGCTCTTAAATGCACCTGCTGGTCTTGTCCCAGTAGGATCCAGTTACATTACGTTGCAGCGTGAATGCAGAAGAAACAGTTTAACCCATAAATTTAAATTGGAGGAGAGAGCCGGTTTCCACTAGGGCTTTCTAAACGTTCTCATTTTGTCAGCTGTGCTCTGCTTGATTGATTGTATTATCATTATTGTTATCATTTACCTTTTCTGGAGAGACAGGCAGAACCTCCAGCCTTGCCTCCGGCTCTGGTTGGCCGGGGGGTGTATCCTGGTGTATGCTGGGAGTTGTAGTCTCTCCGGGCTCGGGTGCAGACTCAGGCATGACATCACAGCTCTCGCTCTGCTCCTCCTCTTCCTGTTTGAGACACAGATCCCCTTCCGGTTTGGGATCCGCTTCCTGCCGTCGCCACGGGAAAGGCTTCTTCTCCGTCGAGTCCTCCGATTCGCTGTCATCCGACGAGTTCCCAGAATCTTCTGCAGCGGAACAGTGATGTGAGTGTTTGGTAATGCACATAATGAACCGTAAACTAAAGCTGCTGCAGCAGTGAGGGACTGTTAGTCAGAATAATACTGCTCTTATCTTCAATTATTACAGACCATATGTTTCCCCAAGTTACATGTTATCAGTAAATCAGGTTTTTATTTCTTAAGATGGATAATTTAAAATCTGACCAAAATATTGTATAAGACAAATGTATTACAGTTATTCTTTTTTAACAAAGTGTTGTACAGTTTTGAATATTTTCCTAGGGCTAGTTGTATTGCAAAAGATATAATAGTGATATTTCCTTGGCACATGGTGATGTAATCTTTTGGCCATAGCATCAAACCCTAATGTGAGGAATGTGTGAAAAATGAAGAGTCAGATTTATGATGCAGTGTGTTCTGGTCCGTGGTCCACAGTGTGTTCTGGTCCGTGGTCCACAGTTTGACTGACCGTTTGAAGCCCTGTCAGAGTCGTACATCCCAGACGTCCTCCTGGTTCTTCTGCGAGGAGCTGTAGAAACACATGTTTACAAGTGTTTCCTTTTTTAGACTCAGAGCGACACAGAACAACAGAACCTCCACGTTTGAGCTTCACGGACACATTATATGGGTAAAATGAGTTACACAGAGACCACTGATTCTCAGTATAAGAATTATGCCATATCTTCATGTTTCCATAAAAGCTGGACTGTGATGAGTCCGTTTCACCTCAGATCAGATTATATGCAGATTCATTCAGTATGCTTACTGTCAGAATTTATATTTGTTGTTATCATTACAAACTAAAATGTGATAGATCTAAAACCAAAAACATTCTGTCCCATAATGAAGAGCTCTTTCCTAAGCAGTCGTAACAACATTTGCACTAGTACAGTCACTATATGAGTAACTTACTGTCTCCGTTGGACATGTTGGGGCCTCCCTCTCTTCTATCTGGAGTTCTCCCATTGGCCTTGTTCTTGCTACCCAGGGGTCGGCCCCGGCGGGCCCCAGAGCCCCTCATTGGTGGAAGCCGGTCCTCCTCTGGGGGCCCATCCTCCTTATTCTAGAACACAGTCAGTGTTTCAGGACGTGGGGTTTTCATACAGTAGGAACTTCACTTCTCATTCATTTGTAGATAAGTCATTACTCAACTGTAGATTCTCCAGAAATGCATGTGTCATTTTGAATTAAGTAGTAAACAAAATTCTTCTATAGACTTCAGGTAACAAAGATGCGTAATTTTTGTAATGTTTTATTTGATCATTGAGGACAGAGATGCACATTTATCTGAGTGATATGCACATATATCACCCAGAGGCCACCCAGAGGCTACTCCACCTCTGCTGCTGTGACCTGAAGGGCTGTTGCTATTCTAAAAACCTAACAATAGTAATAATCAATTTTATTTTACAGCGATCAATAAAGTGTCTATCTATCAATCTATAACTGAGAAGCATCAGACTTGTATTTGTGTGAAACAGTGAGAATGAGCTCAGACCTTGAGTCGTCCTCTCCTCTTCTTCTTCGAGCCCTTCTCCGAGGGCCAAATGATGCGGTCGGCCTTCACCCACTCGTCGTACCTGATAACAGAGAGGTTTAAACATCTGCTCCCCTAAACATCTCCTCACGCAGCACTTTGTGTTCTCTCTGTATTCAATAGGGTTGTCACCTATGATTAGAAGGAGAAGCTAGGAGTGCACAGGGGTACAAAAGTCGTAATACGCCAGAGCTCTTCTGATGGAGCAAACAAAATAACTTCGAGACCAAGTCAGAGGCACACGGATGCATAGAATTCTGGTTTTAATTCGCCAACGCGTTTCAAGGTTTTCATCAGGGCTTGTGGGTTGCCACCTATCTGACAAACAGAGGCTAAACAAATACTGTATATAGAAGGACGTGTAACTGACATAACTGGGCACACACAATGGACAACTAGATTTAAGCTTGATTTGGATTTAATTTAGTTCATCAAGACAGTGCTCAATAACCCTCATCTTACCTAGTACTCTTCCATTTATTGTTATTAGTCCTTACTGCTCTTCAATTAATTTCTATTTTTCTGGACTGCTTCTCACTATCAGCTCCTGTAGCATCTTCATCCTCAGTCTCCCCATCCATTTTCATACTTTTTCTCACTAACTCCAAAAGGCGCTCTGCTTTCTGTCCTTTTTCGTCTCTGTCCAAACCGCTGTCTCGCCTCACAATCAGACGTGCCTCAGCCAATGAGTATGTGGCACTACGTCATTTATATGTAGCTTGAGCATTATTTTTTTGTCCTGGGACAGACCATGAAAAAGAAGGACTGGAAGGTGGCAACACCAGTATTCAACAGGAAGGGCCTCAGTTACAAACACACACATGTAAATACAATAATGACATCATGAGCCACAGAAAGAGCCGGTACCTGACGTTCCAGCCGTAGTAGTGCACCAAGTACATGTTCTCTCCGTTGTCCAGGTCTGTCTTCTTGATATGAGCCTCATAAATCTTCTGTGTTTTCCCGCGACCGTATTTGACCCGAACTCTGGTTCCAGTGACGCCGTCAGGGTCCTCTTCCGACCTGCACAACGCCAACGCCAGGTTTTAACCCCTTTGTTTTAAATGTGACATACTTTTTATGTTGTTTTAGCCATTTTTTTGGTATTATTATAATCTGTAGTAGCCTTTGCGGAAATTTCAGTCAATTTAAAGATGCTATACCCGAGTTCATAAAAAAGCTTATTACTACATACATACAAGTTGTATTATAATCCCTAATTTAATTGAAAACTTGAGCTCATTGATTCAGCAGTGTATGTTTTCAGGCCGTAAAAAGTGCTGAGTAGAGACTTAGCAGGTCACCCGCTCTCCTCCACTCACAAAACGAGGCTGCGTCCTCTAGCCTCTATAGCGCTGCTAAGCACAGTAGCATGTTAGCAGAATTGGCTATAACTCCTCTGGCTGCAACTGCATACACCGCAAAACAGCCCAAACGACACAACAGTGAGGAAGAAGAGGGAACTAAAGCGAAAAAATCATCAAAGAAGAAATCAAGCCTGGGAGAACATAGCTAGCTTACATTGTATCCTCTGGAGAGACTTGACTATGGGAGACCCCTGCGGGACTGCCTCGGACTATCTATGCTCTGACTACATTCGGACGTGGAACTAGCGGTAATCTTTCAGTTAAATATTTTGTTAGCAGTGCGTTGCTTTTGTACCATTTCATCAGTGATTGTTGAACAGCTTACATGAAGTTGGGCTCATGCTAATTTTTGCATATAGATTGCAAATAAAACTAGATGGATCCGTGGAATGAGAGCGTAGGGGAAATGAGAAGCCTGTGAGCGAGTTGGGGAGCGGTGCTAAACATTCAAACCTTGCAGAAACGGGTATAGCTCCTTTAAGTCTTCATCTGAACTCAGCTCAGTCTGCAGAGGGCTCCAACAGAAGTCTGACCTCTGGCAATACTTTTAGCCATTTCAAAGCAAATACTGGAAATGTGAAACTACTAACTAACTAGCTAATCAAAACTTAATTTCTAATTTATCCTGCATCATATTATCAGGTTAATAAAAACTTTATGAAGGTCCTTCTGACTTGCTACTGGTAAAGGACACATGATAGCATTGTTAAAGCTTCTAACTCTGACAGTTAATGTTCTTCAGCCCTCATTCTCACCTCTCTGTCGGCTGGTGCGGCGTGTCATCATCTTCTTCCTCGTCATCCTCTTCCTCATCTTCAGAGCCTCTCTCTGATTGGTCGCTTAGCCTGCCCCTGCACTCTGATTGGTCGGTGAGCCTCGGCGGGCGCTCTGATTGGTCACTAAGCCTGGGAGTGCGTTTGTCTCTCTGTTCGTCTGAGTCCGTACCACGTTTGTCCTTTAGGGGGAGCACACACCGGCGCCGACCCTGCGTACAACCAGCTCCAGGTTAGACACGTGTGCACACAAACGCACGCACAAACGCAAAATCCAATATGTCTCCTTCCGTCCTCTATTAGTCCATTACCCGGCAGGAAATCTGGGAGGAAGTTCCAGCCGGGCGTGATGCAGTGAGGAGCAGAGGGACATGAGCTGAACTGAGTTAAATATTGGTGTGTGTGTGTTTATGTATGAGTCGTAGGATGGTGCATTCTGGGGGAGCCTTGGAGAAACACACTGGCTGGTTAAACTTCATAACTGACGCTAAAGGAAATTAGAAACCTGTGCATTCCAAATAGCATTTCCAGAATGAGAGAAAAAAGAAAAATGTTCAGGAACCAGTAGCCAGAGCTAGATCTCCAAGTATCTGCACCTGAAAGTGGAAGAGGTTCTCAAAGCAACGAATGAAGGAAGACACCAGTTACATTCTATATTCTGACAGATGTTCAAATGCAGAGGGCTCTGGGATGACAATGCAGAACTGCCTTTGCATTGCACTTATATTCAATAGAAGGAGACAACCGCATGTTTGTGGTAGACATACATGTGGAAAAGCGACGATTATCTCCTATTGGTTCTTGAGCTGTCCCACCAAAAGCGACCAATGGAGGCCATAATCTACTTTTAATTTCAATATATTTCAGGTCTCAGAAGTTCAACAATGATTGTAATGATAGCTAAAACATGAACACGAGCATTGCATTGCAATACAGCGGTCCCTCGTTTATTGTAGGGTAATGTGGTAAAAACAAGCTGCAAACAAAAACTTCTCAGTAGTAGCTGTATCTTCTAAGAATGTAAAACCCTCACAGTTTTCTAACCACCTGAACTCACCACTGCTGAAGTGTGAGACCAGAGAGAGAAAGACCAGAGAGAGACGATACACATTTTTAGGACTTATCAGGACTCAACGATTGTAGAGTCCTAATTTGTTACTCACCCTCGGCGAGGTATGGCGCTCCTCACATTCACTCTCGCTGTCAGTTTCAGTCTCCGTTTTCACAATCTCTTTAAGCTCCACCCCCACCACTCTCTGATTGGATGGAGGGCTGATCTTAGCCTCTGGCGGCGTCCTGTGATTGGCTGGGGGGCTCGTCTTTGTGTCTGACGGAGCTCTCTGATTCGCTGGGGATGGCGGGGGGCGGGGGTTGTTGTGGTGAATGGTTCTGAACGTGATGAGCGCCGAGCGGCAGAACTCCTCGAACCCGATCAGGTACCTGTCAGAGTCAGATTAGGATGTGTTTGAGACGCAGAAGAAATATCTGAGAGAATAAGGATTTAAGAGGGAATCATCAGTGTGATCAGCTTTCTCTGTCATGTCATGTCATTTTTATCCCCTTTATTATTCCATTTCTGGGTCGGGGGAGGTGGGAGGGGGGTTGCAATCATAGCTGCCACCCAAGTCTCATAGAACCACTTGGGTTTGGAGAAATCCTAGAATGGCTCCTCTCTATGTGGAGGAGAACCAGCTCTACTCTGAGCTCCTAGATATAAGAGACACCAGACCAGGCGTCTGCAGTCTTTTTGGTCATTACCCAAAGCTCATGACCAACAGGCATTTATAATCTGGAACCTGGACACAAGCCTTTGCAAATGACTAAAATGACTTTAGTACAGAATTAAGACTTATTTTCTGTGGTGGTTGAGGGGTCTGGAGGTGTGAATGTAGACAAGTGTAACAAGTGTGTGATCATAGAAGAAAATAGTTTTCAGATAAAGATATAGATTTTTTTTGGGTCCAATAAGTGCTGAGAGCTTTCAACCCGTGTGTGTCTCAGATCAGTTCCACTCTGGACTCACTTCTTGTACGCAGTCTTGACGTTGTAGGCAGCTGCAGAGTTGAGAATGGGGATGCCCAGGTCCATGTAGATTTGCTTCCACACGGTGCCCGACTCTATGGCCTTACAGCCGCCCTGTAGGGTCACCAGCCTGAAGAGCTTAAACAGGTTCAGGTCTTTATACCCCAGCACCGGAGGCTTGTTTATGGGCGTCCCTGAGGAGAGCAGAGAAGAAGATAAACACAAGACACAGTGGCTGCAAAGTGGAAAAGTAAAAATGTAACTACCAGTAACCTAAAAGTGTTTCATCATGGAAATAGCTTTGTATGTTGTATTAGTGTTTTTATCTGAGACAGTTGTTGGTATATATCATAATAATGAAATAATGCATTTGTAGTGATCAGTATCCAACTGATTTAAGGTCATATAAGGTCGGACTATAAGCCACAGATTTTTTTCCTGCATTTTGAAGGCTGCAGTTTTTAATAGGACGCAGCTTAATTTTTCTGTGCCGCTAAAAACATTTTGCCAAGTAACAGTAGACCAACAGAATTTATGAGTAGTTCACAGAGGTCAAATTAAATTTTAAGATTTGCCAATCAACCAGAAAAAATAGTTTATAAATGTCTGCGGCTTATAGTCAGGAAAATATAGTTGTGAATAGGGATGTAAATCGGTGACCGTTTAACCGGTGGTTGACCGTCACAGCGTTAACCGGTCAAAGCTGTCGGTTGAAAAAAAGAAAAGGGGGAGAGGGGAGGTCTATTCATAACGCTATTTTAAGCCCTATTTGCACGGTGTGGCGAGCGGGTCCGTCTCTAGCTGTGTGCGCCAATGTATCAGTAAACTCCGGGCCGACTCTCATGCCGCATGCGCCACATGCACGCACACATGCACAAGCGCGCGCACACACACACACTTTCCACCTTCCATTGATACGTAACATCCACACGCATCATCTCTCCCCTCTGTCCGCCAAAGTTGCACACTAGCGCGGGTTAGAACTACATTGGAGCTTACATTGGAGCTTACATTTACACACACACACAGAGGAGCGCGACACACGTCTGTCGCGCTCCTCTGTGTCACGGAGCCCAAAGGATCCAAATACGCGGCCCCAGTCAAACCACATGGAACATGGTCCTTGGCATCAGATCAGCTCCACACACATCACATTTAAACTTTAGAGGAGACCTGCGAGACACGGCTCGTCACTCGCTGCTCTGACCATGTGGACGAGCCGTCGTTTGCTGCTAAAAAGTGTTAACCCGCAGCACAGAAGTATGGAAAGATTAAAAAAGCAGTTCTCTGTGCGCAAAGGTGCCGAAGCTGTTGCGGGTTTTGGCGCCGCTGTCTCAGCTCTGATCCAGTAGAACGCAGAGCTGCACTTCTGAGAAGTACGCGGCTCGAAATGGCTGTTATTTCAAAGAACGTGGACTATTTTTAACAACGCGTTGAGGCTCGGTGGTCGGTCATGAAAATTCATAGTTTTTTACATCCCTAGTTGTGAACAATGGTAAACACAAACCTCTATCCTCCATGAACTTGTAGAGCTGCTGCAGGAAGTTGTCCCTCTCCTCGGGGTCAGCCTCCTCCTCGGGCTGAAGAGACAGACACAAGGAAAGGAGATGAGAAACAAATACACACATTTTAGTATTGGTGACCGCGTGTACATTAATGACTGATAAGATAAGAGAACTTTTATTAGTCCAGATGAATACCTGACTCTGACCAGTATAGGGTCGGAGAAGTCTAGCAATGCCAACATGACCAACTCTTGGTAGCTTTACAATCTTTGAAGATTCGAAGATCTTCCAACCTTCGAAGGTCTAGACAACTTTAAACTGTTATCAAATTGTTCACGATGAACCAACTGTGTTTTGGGGATACAAATCAGGTACAGTGCCTTTTAAGTGCTTTTCAATTAAGCCTATATTGTGTTCATATCTTCTTGTTCCTGGTTCAGTCTTGTACCTCTTCTACGATTCTCTTCTTGCGTCTCTCCTCTTCCTCCTCCTCCTCCTCCTCTTCACCGCTGTGCTTTTCGTCGCTGTCTGATGACGTCTCTAGGATCTGACTCAGGTCCATCTTCCAGGCCTCTGGAATGTCTCTGGTCCGGAGGAAAGCCTGGGCTGCTGCCACACCTGCACAGGGAGAAGTCAGGTCAGCCACTGAAGGGGACTGGTCAGTATGAATTTCCATCAGGATCAGGTTAAAGCTGGGGTATATAAAATTCATACATAAAACCATTTTCTGTTAGAATAGAAAGAGACATGGAATATGTTGTGAACAAATCAGAAAATCATATCTTATTACAAAACATGTTTTTTACTTCAGCCTGTGAGTCACTTGTTTCTCACTCCACCTGACAAAGCTGATTCAAACTGACAGACCAAAAGAGACATGTGAAAATTAGTGATAGAAACAATGACACTAACTCTAAACCATTGAGGAAAAAAAGAAAAAAAACTCTTAAAATACTAAATTATTCCAACTTTATGCAACACCATGAACCCAAAGACTGAGAACTGAAAAACAGTCACAAAATTTGAGATGTGTTATTATTGTTTTTTACTGTAACATGAATGTGTATGTGTGTTGTAATGGAATATGTGTTACAAGGTACATTACAGTGAGTGAGACCAACCACTAGGAAAATACCGAAAGAGAACACACTAAACTGTGAGGATATGTGAATGGGTCAAATGTAGGGGTGTGACGATATATCGATTTTGAGATATATCGCGATACTTTCTCCTGCGATTCGATTATCGATATGCATTTTTTTTTTTTTTAATTGGTATCAATACTTAATATATGGCTACATTACGCTTCTCCATTCTATTTATCATGGAATAAAGAGTATTTTTTCTTTTATTTATGCCATAAATTGGCGTATTGTATATTTCTGACCAATATATCAATAATCGTCATATCGTGATAAAATTGTTATCGTAATATCGTTATCGTGATATTATCGTTATCGTGATATTATCGTTATCGTGAGCTTTGTATCGTATCGTGAGGTACCCTTAGGTTCCCACCCCTAGTCAAATGTTTAAAATTTTGTTTCGGACTAGTGCTGTCCAACAATTTTTTTTAAAATAGCAAATTAATTGAATGAATGTCATAGTTAAAGGCACACCGCGGACTTTGTGACCTAAAGAGTTGACACATATGAGTTATTTTATATGAATACTTGGGCCAATATACAGCGCTTGACACTTGCAATGCTCCGAGCGGGGCTGCCCTCTTGAAATACCGCCCATGTAAGTTTCGAGCAGACGGACCGTCTGCCACCAGGTCACGTGACTTGGAAGAAAGACTTGCTTTACGGCTACAGGCGCTGATATACTCATGGAGCTAAGGCTTTTGCTACTCATTTTTCACCTGCTCGACTCCTGGTCATGGCTGAGGCAAGGAAAAATTTTAAACCTTCGGAGGAGGCTAAAAAGAGGAAACGCGAAAGGGATCGTGCTGTAAGCTGCATGTCTGTATGAGCGCTGCTCTTCACCTGGTTCCTGGATGTCATCGACTGCAAAGATGTCATTCCACGCAGCACGAGCTAGACGCAGAACTCCCTCATCCAGGATATAGAAGTCCATGTGTGGTAGATTACTAATGCAGCTGTCTGGAGGCTGACCACAGCAGAGTCTCTCAATATCTGTAGGCATGTCTCTACAGTTTGAACACACACACCAGTGCATGCTGTCTGAATACACACTCAAAAGACACCGGCTGACTGTTTGTTGACTTTTGCGACAGTGCTGAGTTGCTTGTGGCCACTAGGGGCGCTAAACGTGAAAGTTGCAGGTCTAGCGCCCCTAGTGGCCAAGAGTTACACGGTGTGCCTTTAACTCGCGAAGAATCACATTTATTCTATTCAAGATTGAATAATTGATAATTGATTCATAATTCAAGATAGTCTCTTGAATTATTTTTAAACTTATCAACAGGGAAAAGATTTTTTAATGAGAAATTTAAAAAAAACCTGTTATATTTCACACTAACATTTGATGCAAAATGCCATACAATTCAATGCCGCCAATAACCAGATGTATAACATGTATAACACAAAAAAGCCCCTCAACTTCCCTTTCTAAGGGATCAAAACAGGGTGATACACTGCGGTGATCACTAGTTCACAGCGACAATACACAGATAACTTTGGTCTTGTCAATCTGACAACTTTTTGAAACTAAACTTTCCATTCAGAAGCTTGTTAACGTCCATTTCGGCATTTCGTGCTAGACAAACCAGTAGTCTCTTTCACAAAGAGCTAACAGGCAAAACACAAACCAAATGCTAGCAGACAAGAAGGGGGGGTTCCAGCTCTTCAGTTTCTGGTTTCTTTAGTTTTCTAATGCTACTAACAGTGACCACAGCTCCTGGGAAATCCATTTACAAAACATTAGAAACTAGTATGTGTATGACTGTGGGGCGACAGTCACTCAGTTGGTAGCGCATCAGCCTTTGGGCCTGAAGGTCATGGGTTCGAGCCCACCGTAAGACCTACTTCACGACTCCCACTGATACTACTGTCTACTGCCGTTGTGTCCTTGGGCAAGACACTGAACCCCACTTTGCCTGAAGCCCCCATTGAAAGATCTCAGCTCCTGTGGACTCACCACCTGAAGGAGAATCAGTGAAGGGCTGGTGCTCTGTGTACTGGGTGCATCTCTGACTGCCACCCCCCCAACCCAGAAATGGATTAAAGGGAAGAAAATGGATGGATGGATGGATGGGTATGACTTTGAGTTTAAAGTTTAAACCTCCCTGTAAAACCCTCCGACTGGGCTGGTTTAAACTGATTTATTTATTTTTTAAAGCCAGTTGTGTGAGCATTAATGAGTTGGGGACAGCTGCATTTATATAATGTGTATGAAACAATGTAAAATGTCCTTCTAGGAACAGACATTGAAAACTAGACTTAGCCATAAATGTTGTCATGTCAAACATTGACATGGATTTGATGACACCGTTTGATTGTTGAGGTGAGTGTTTGGAAGCACCTTTCCTGCTGGCGTGCTCAGGTTTGCAGATGGAGGCAGAGTTGAGGGCGTGCAGGGTTCTTCGGGGCACGGTGGAGCTGAGGGCAGAGGTCCACGTCAGATCCACACACACACTCTAATGACTTTATTATAGAGCTGCAACTAACGATTATTTTGTAATCGATTAATCTATCGATTATTTTTACGATTAATCGAGTAATCGCTTGGCTGTGAATTGTGTAGAAAAAATGTATTTTTTCATCACAAAAAGCTAAAGTGGCAACACTCGAGGGCGTATTGATGGCGTAAACTTAAAGTAAATGTTTGTAACAGGCTCTTTGTGCTAATTCTGCTCTGATTGGATGAGACAGACAGATATTCATGAAATTATAAAAACGAAGTCGGTTTTAATCAAAAATACTACATTTTCATGTCATTTTTGCTCTGTTTGAGTCCGTGTGAACCAGAAAACGATTAATCGATTACTAAAATAGTTGTCGACTATTTCAATAATCGATTAGTCGTCGATTAATCGATTAGTTGTTTCAGCCCTACTTTATTACGAGCGAAAGTGTAACTCACAACTTTCCATCTCCAAAAGAGCGAACCAAACAGTGGTCCTTCTTCACCACCAGCTCCTCGTTACAGACTGAAGACAGTACCTGGCAAGATATACACAATTCATGGGATGAAAATGCAAACTTGACTTTTATTCATGTTTCTCATTGTGCATCTATGGTTGTTTATTAATTACTTTAATGTATTATATGGACTCACCAGGACCAGGTCTGGGTCCACAGAACAAACTGTCCCCAGCAGCTCATCAGTCACTCTGCGATCCTCCTCTTCCTCCTCTGAAGACGACGACGACTCATTCTCCTCATCAGCACTGGAGGAAAGAGAGATTCAGGACTAAAGTAGAGACTGGAACAAAGACTGAGGCAGGACTAAGGAAAGAAGCAGAGGACAGCCTTTGAACAAAGCATCAGTGAAACTCACACAGCTTGAGAGGAGCGGCGCCCCCTGTTGGTCTTCTTGCCAATGACGGGAGTCCCAAAGTGCTCTGGGTTTGTGAGAGGCAGCTGGTCCAGAGTCTGTCACACAAAACCCCACAGTCATACAGATGTTTGTGTGTCAATTTAACTGCAACATCACCAACAGAAAAGCTCTGCTGTACATTGACTGTTGTCCCTGGTGCCGGCATCCATGTAAAGATTGATCAGCGCATTTTAAAAATTATTAATAGAAACATGTTTTATTGAAATTTCTTGTCTTGACCGGAAGTTAAGTGGTTCGCGCTACATCAGACGGGAAATCCATTACAAACAAACAGCTACGGTCTAAAGAGAAAAAGAGATAACACAATATAAAAGTAACAACAGTTTAGCTACAGTTGATAGAGGGAACAAGGTATGCATTGATTTGAAAAGTTGTTGTTACGTTGTTAAGTGAATATGTGAAAAATAGTGTAATTAGTAGGGGTGTCACGATTCTCCAAATCCTCAATTCGATTTGATTTTTGATTTTACGACCACGATTTGATTCTTAAATTTTGTTTTCTTTTTCTTATAGCACATTGTTGGACATTGTAGCATGGCTCAAGAACGCTAACTAAATGTTTAAATCCTAATTTTCCCCCCACCAAATAAGGCTGCAGACCTGCTGCTATAACCCTGTCAATATACATTTATGCTATAGCTATTTAGCACCTATTCACTACAGGTCATACTATCCACTAAAAGCATGGATCCAATAGCTGTCAAACCAAGGAGGTGCATTGAAACCATAGACTGTGATTGACTTTGCATTGAGACTGGACGCTACGCATAGTCCAGAGTGAACGCCCCTTAACGCTCTGAACTAATGCAAAGCAGGGAAACCCCAAGTAAATAAAAACAGTTTCAAGAACAACAAAAAAAACGTTTTGTTTTTTTTACACATATAAACCGCACAAATGTTTCTTATAATGCTGTCTACATGTCCTGGTAATTTTTTGACATTTTAGGGTAAATTAGATAAAATCTAACTTTTCAGCCTAAAAAAAATCTTTTGCTACTTCCACATGTCACTTGCCCATTTTGACGACCTGCTCACCCGCATCGGAGCTCGCATCGCCTTCCAGGACACCAACTACAGGCACTCAATTCCCGCGGAAGAGCGCCTGTTTATCTGTCTGAGCCAGACTCAACGTCAGCTAGTCATTATATTAAATTAATTATTTTTACTTCACAGCATGTGTACAATGATTTTGGTACTTAAGAACATTACTACTCATTAAATAATATTGCTAATAATAACAATATCAGAAACAAAACAGCAGCTGCATGACTTCTTTCCATCTGACAGCAGGTCTGCTGTCATTTTGAATGCAAACCGCCATAAGCCCCCCTTCTTGTTCCCTGGTCCTCCAGGCAATGCTCTTTTTAGAGAGAATTGTCAAATGTTCATGTGGCCGGAGTAAGGCTGTGCAGACGTTACAAAACAATTAACAGAAACGACCAGGCTCATGCGCAGCGTTTAGAAACAATGTAGTTCTAGTACCCGGCCAGTAGTGGGCAGAGGAATGTTAGAACACAACACACGCAAACCGCAAGGAGTAGAATGCTCCCCCGTGCTTGAAGCACGTGTACCTAGTTAGTAAGTAAGTAATCTTTATTTATATACCGCCTTTTCACTGCAGTCTCAAAGCGGTTTACAATTGTTATTTTTGGACATTTGTCTCTCACTCCACACAGAAATGGGAGGGACCAGTACAGGAAACGCATGCCAGACCTATTGTACATATTTTTAGTGGTAGGGAAACCAGAGTACCCGGAGGAAACCTACGCGGACACGGGGAGAACATGCAAACTCGACTCAGAAAGGGCCTGGTCCGACCGGGATTCGAACCTTCTTGCTGGGAGGCGAGAGTGCTAACACCGTGCTGCTCCCATGTAGTGTACCGGTCGCCATTGTTGTTTACGTTTGTTCTCAGCTACTGCGCACGTCCAAATGTACGTGCGGGGAAGAGCAGGCAGAGAATTCACACCTTTTTCTTCACGTGGGTGTGACCTGTTCCACTCTGGTTCACAATGCTTACATTTTCATCCCCCTGGAACAGTCTCCATGTTAAACGGGAGGTGGCAACAGACACCCAACTATCCAGTTTTACTGCCGCAGCGTCTATGTCTAAACGGGGTCTAAGGCAGGGCACTGGTGTTTCGTTGTCCTTTTCTGTTCTGGCACGGATTGATTTTGTATTTCTGTTCTAGCTCTTCAATGGTCAAAATAAACTTTTTAACCATCAGTTCTGGTTTCAACCGCACATTCAACTGGACAATTCAGTCCACTTTGAAGCACTTCTCTCGAGCCTCAAACAACACTAAAGTCACATTTAGAACATGCCATGTGACCAAACCAAATCTAATAAATACATTTCAACAGACATGGGAGATCTAAAAAGTAGAGCCTTTTTGCACAATTTTGTGGAAGGGGTGTCTGTACAGTAGTCCTCAGGGTGTTTGTGCTTTGCTGGGCTAGTAATTGTTATTGGAGATTGAAAAGTTTGTTTAAAAAAAAAAAAAAAACATTGTTAAAGTCCTGTATAAATAACATAATACATTTCTCATAGGATTAAGAAGAACGATACATACCTCACTCTCAGCGAAGTGTCTTTCTCCTTTGAGACACAAAGATGTCCTCCGCAAAGTTTTCTCATCTCCATCATCAAACACTGAGGACAAAAAATAGTCAGATCAGGAGCAGGACTAAGGCACTAGACCAGGACTAAGACTGAAAAACACTGGGATCAGAGGCTGCAGATGAGGGTGAGTGAGAAACATCATTTAGTGGGACAGTATTCTTATCTTATTCGTTTCAAGGCAGGATCCTTTATGTACAGAGCTGTGTTTCCCACTCTATCCCAGGGGCAGGGCAAGAGCGAGGAGAGAGCGGGGAAAGAGCAAAGAGATGGTCAGGAGAGAGCAAGGAAATGGTCAGGAGAGAGCAAGGAGATGGTCAGGAGAGAGCAAGGAAATGGTCAGGAGAGAGCCAAGAGCTCCAGCGAGTAGGGCCCAGCGAGGAGAGCCAGCGAGCAGGGATAGAGCCAGGACAGAGCCAGGAGCACATACCCACGGTGTAGAGGCTGGCGTCTGTGAGTTTACTGATGACGGCCTCGGAGTTGGCTCCTTCATTGGTCTTCACCTCCACCACAGACCCCACCTGCAGGTCACACACATAAAGATATCAAGTTACCACAGGGCTTTGTTTTTTAAGTTGTGTGTGTGTCTGCGTGTGTGCGTGGTATATGGCACTGAATCTATTACACTGGGTAACAAAAAAATATTTTTTGAAAATAGTCCAGGGTTTTCCAGCTGAATTAGACTAATTTTGATGCTCCGAGTCTGAAAATGACCTTGGTTTTGCTCAATCAGGTCAGGATTTTTTGCTACAGAAATATTTTTTTGAATCAATTTTAAGTAAAAAACGTATTTCTGCGGATCATCAGCTGAGAAACCCTTGACGTTTTTTCCGTTTTCCTCAAGAAATAAAAGTCAACGTATCCAAAGTCATTCAGTTTTTATTTACTCCATCAAATTTGATAAGCAGAATTCATAATAACGTAGACATACATAATCCGTAACACTGTGGCTGTATCTCAAAAAGTTGACCTGATAGATCAAAATGCATGTGATATTCGGACTCAGAACACCAAAATTAGTCTAAATCAGTTGAGAAACCCCTGACCATTTTTTGGCTGTCAACTTGTGTTATGTTAGTAACTTTTAGAATTATTAGTATTTGTTCATGTTAGGGGCGAGAGTAGCTCAGTTGGTAGAGCACTGGCCTGAAGGTCGTGGGTTCGAGCCCACCATAAGACCTACTTCACGACTCCCACTGATGACTGCTGTCGTTGTGTCCTTGGGCAAGACACTTAACCCCACTTTGCCTGAAGCCGCTGCTGAAAGATCTCAGCTCCTGTGGACTCACCACCTGCAGGAGGATCAGTGAGGGGCTGGGGCTCTGTGCACTGGGTGCAGCTCTGACTGCCACCCCCCCAACCCAGAAATGGATTAAGGGGAAGAAAATGGATGGATGGATGGCTGTTATGGATAATTTGTTTCTGCTGCTGGACACATGGATTTAAAAAATATTAATAATTCATTAGTTTTATATAGCGCTTTTTTGGACACTCAAAGATGCGTTACATGTCATTATTCATTCTCTCCATACACGGTGGTGATTAACTACAATTGTAGCCACAGCTGCCCTGGGGCACACTCACAGAAGCAAGGCAATCAGTATGTGCCATCGGCGCCTCCGACCCCCACCAACCATTCACACACACTAGACTCATTCTAGGCAATGGGGGTTAAGTGTCTTGCCTAAGGACACAACTGCCTTTGTGTTTGGCACTGTACAGCCACCCCACTGTGGCATGAGGTTTTCTCAGGGGTTAAGTGTCTTGCCAAGGACACAACGACAGCAGACATCAGTGGGTGGAGAAAGCCTTGTGGTGGGCTCGAACCCACGACCTTCAGGCTCAAATGCCAATGCTCTACCAACTGAGCTACTGTTGGACTTTCCTGGTTTAATAAACCAGGAAAGTCCAACAGTAGTAGTCCAAATGAGGCTAGGAACCTCTTTTTCAAGAGAGTCCTGGAATTATCTATCTATCTGTCGATCTATCTTGCTTATGGCCCTTAAATGTTTTAGTCAGGGGCTACCGTGCTTCTGGGAAAAAAACCTTATTGAGAGAAGTTAATACTCTCTAGTAGGAAGTTCTGACCAAGACTGGACTCAAACAGGAGCTGGTGAGGCCTGGGTCAAATCAATATAACATGATGCATTATCTGACGCAGACAGTGACATGAGTATAACAAAGCATTGGGAAGCATTTTGACGGGACATAAAGCACGACAAGTCTTATTACAGCAACCATAACGTCCCTAATGGTGTGAAAGTGATGTGAGGAGGAGGCGGTTTACCCGGAGCTGGCCTTTGACCTGGTCGTCCTGGACAACCTGTGACGTTCCCTCCCCTTTCAGATTCACCTGGAAAAAAAATCAGTAGAACAATAAATACAGGAACAAAACAGTTACAAACATGTCACTACCGGAAATAGCCTCAGGTCGTGTTCAGTGTTGAAATGATCAAGATTTGATTTAGTGATGCTCGAACAAAAACAGAAATTTGTTTCTGTGTTTGTTTGAAATGTTCATTGAGAAATAGATTTCCACCTTAAATTTGCAAATCTATACTGGTTTTTAAAATGAAAAAAAGGTGAAATTACAGAGTAGAGACTGTCCAAATTACTTTGAAAATAATTGATTTTTGTAGACAAATACAATTGGTTTCAACAGTGAAGTCCAAACTTCTCAGTACATGGCACAACGGGCTTACACCGATCCCCAAACCAGGACCAAGACAAACTGAGGAACAGAGGATGCAGCAGGGACACCGACCTTGACTTTGACAAGGCGTTTGACCGTTTTGATTTTGGCCTCACAGAATGCCCCTCTGTACTTCGCACTGACATCAGTCCCCACAGTCAGGTAGGCAGGCTCCTCCACTGCCTGTAACGCAATACACAGTTCCACACACATCAATAAAGATGTTTGAGGAGTTACCGACAGAAAAACATGTCCGTAGAACCTTCTTCGAGCATGTCCACACACCAATTTACAATTCAAACACTACATACATTGAAATATACAGTCACAAGATCTCAGCTCCTGTGGACTCACCACCTGCAGGAGGATCAGTGAGGGGCTGGTGCTATGTGTACTGGGTACAGCTCTGATTGCCACCCCCCCGAACAGAAATGGATTCAGGGGAAGAAAATGGAAGGATGGATGGATGGACTTAGTCGTCGTAAGTAAGCCAGTCCCTCCAGAATTTTGCGATGTTGCAATTGCACTTATTAATGCATAATTAAGCAAACTCCGTGAAATCAGTGCAACCTTGCTACTTCTAAACTATGCAACTTTATAGAAACAAATAAGTAATATGTGGCAGAATCATTGCTCTCCCCCTGTCACTAAGGACTAGTTCCTTGTGCGCTCCTGTCACTCTCCCCTGTGAGAGGTGCATTCCTGCGCAGAATGTTCTAATAACTGGTTGACAAAATTGTATCTTGCTTTATGTCCAAAAAGCATGTATTTTTTGGGTAATGTTCTTGTATACGTCATTTGTGCATTTATATTTAAAAAAAATTGTATTGTTTGAAAAGTGTGTTTTACAGGAGAAGGAGTTACAACTTGGAAAGACTTTTAGAAAAATGTCCTGCGACATTAGCCTGCAACAATCACAATAATTGTCTGTGAAATCCTGGAGGGACTGGTAAGAAAAAAACTAAGGTAGAGATTAAAGCAGGAACTAAAGCAGAGACTAGGGCAGAAACTAAAATGTGCCTAAGCCCAGACTGTCTGCTGTTGTGACACTGACCTTCATATTGTTGTTATTTGATGGAGTCCAGCTCGAAATCGCAGTGGAACTCACTGTGAAGAGAAAGACAAGAACATAAAGGAATCAAATTTGATGATGAGAGCAGTCTGTCACAAGATGGAGGCTGATTACAAATGATGCTTTGTAGAGAGGTTAAAATTGGGTAACCTGATATAGACAATGTAAAAGTTACATTATTGCACATTATTGAAGAAGAACTTTGTAATTTACATACGTCATAGTATTGCACTGTATAAGTGAGATCTGAAATTACGTCGAAGTATGGGTCAAATTTATGGAGTGAAAAGGCAAAATTGGACGTGGTCGTGACAGTACAAAGTGACCCAGAGAGGGGCACGTGTGTTCTGGCCTGAAACCGTGTAGTTTCCTGGGGCAGCTCTCACAGCGGGATTCGATACGAGTTTTTTTAAAGGACTTCGCGGACGCTGCGGTTAAATGCGTGCGTAAAACGTCACATCGAGCGCATTCTTCGACTGTGACCCCCCCCCCTCTTCCACCACCGCGGTCACTGTCCAAACAAGACGTTTTTATTCCGCTTTCAGAGGTTGAGAAGGTCCCGTGTGGTTGGAACTGTATTAGGGGTAGGTTTAGTCAGGGTACGAGGGCTGAGAGTCGGCGAGAGCAGGGCTTTTCTTCCCGCTGCTTTGTCGCCATCACGGGTCCGCGTCAGCTGCTGCTCAGGCCGAAACTTTGGGCTCCAAACCAGCTCCAAAACACACAACCACCACAAACTGAGTGAACAACTGATCTCTAGCACTCGTCCACCACTGGAACAGACGTAAAACAGAGTGTGAATGTGGAGAGAAATCAGTCACAAGCAGCGATGACTCTCAGCTAAATTTAGCTTCTGGTTTTAGCTCAGTTTGTGTTATACGGAGATTTAAACAGAGCTCGGGCCGACAATGGTGCCCCTTCTGCCGGGTTAAACTGACTCTCAAGCAGTGTCTGGCCCCACCCTTATAGTCCTAAGCCCACAACACTGTCACGTATGCATTTATTTATTTATTTAGATCCACAAAGACACGGCTGCTACACATTTTCTCAAAAAACAACTGCCATTCACCGCGATGTAAGAGCGCGTCTATCCAGTCCCGTCCGCCCGCCCCCAAATCGCTTGTGCCGGCGGTAGAAGCGAGCCACAAGCCGGGTGAAGTTTATAGTAGCTTAGAAACACGCGTATTGACATCGTGTTTTACTCACATTTGATATATTCGCCACAGATGAAGCAGCTTCCTCAGCCTTCGAAGGGAACAACAGGCAGTCTGAGCGAGGACTGTGTTTCTCGGGATCCCATTGGCTGAGGCACCGAAGCACACGTGGGGTTGGCTGAGAGCGACCCTACAGCTAACGTGTGATTGGCCGAGCGAGGCTGACATTCCGATAGGCTCCGAAAGAGTACAGCCAATCACAGCGCGTGACAGTACCCATTACTTTCTAGGCGTTTGGTCCTATAATATTATTACAGCCATGATACCTGGTTAGACTACTCAGTTCTGTTAAACGCAGTTAAACATGGCTATATTAAAGGTATTACTCAAAATATTGTCCAGTTTCCCCTCGTTTCAAAAGTTTAGTCAAGTTTGTTACTTCCTGGCTGGACATGAGCTGCCGATAGGTAGAGGCAGTAACCATAGCAACCACGGGGTTAAAAACTCGTCTAATTTACACAAGTTTTGATACCTTTAAACATTTCGTTATTATTAAACTGCCAGATTATTTTTTTCCTTTGTGTTTGTGGTGCGGTTTCTTGCAGATGCTCTTGTTCTAAGGACAGTGATTAACAGTGACATTTAAGGACATGTGTGTCCTATGTGTTTGTTATTGCATTTCTTATACTGTTTACAGAAACATTTTCAAAACATTATGAAAAGACATAGACAATATTTACAGTATATGGGGGAAAAAATGTTAATAAAAACAGCCCATAGGCATAGCCTTGATCTTTCAGTGGGGGCTATAATACACCAATGCATTATAGTTATTATTATTAGTGTTGTAGTAATAGTACCTAGTAACAGTTAAAAAGGACCAGTGGAAACAATCCCGAGTAGAGCCTAGTAGAGTAGAAGGGGCTGGTGTTAACGGGGGTAAATCTCTGTATGGGTAAATGTTTTATAAATGTGTGTATAATGTTCTTGTAAACTAGCTGCGGCAACTAACTATACAATTTTCCTGTTCACTTTGAAAGATAATTAAAGTGTGTACATGTAGCGTATTAAAATTATTATTTCTTCTTATGCCACCTATCATTTTAGTGACGGGTGAAATGCCTGGATTTTGTGTACGCGCCCAATCACCTGAACGCGCTCTAGTGATTGGTCGCGCGCGGTTTACTTTGCGCGCTGATTGGGCGAAACAGCTTCCTTGTCCGCTGCGTCAGACTGAGAATCCCGCCCTTGTACGTGCTGAAGCAAAACTGTTCAAAACACTGCGACGGACAAGCAACAAAAACGACGAAAGAGCGAGATTTAAAAGGATAAAACTAGACAAATTACAGAAAAAACTACAACATGTGTGTGTACAAGTTCGAATAAGCAAGGTTAAACCAGGTGTTCAAGCCAAAATCCCCACTTTCTAACCGAATACTCAAATAACGGGGTCATTGGGGCCAAACTGGAGTTGAATTCATTTTAAACAAAGCTTCCCCGAATTTGTAGTTATTCCGTATCAATACTAAACGTGAAAATTTTATATACGAGACAATTATTGTATGAAATAATGTGTATTTGGCTGTAAAAACGCCTGCAACCATGACAATGCCAGACGTCGTGTTTCAGCGTCGTATGTTTGAATGCGAAACATTTCCTCATTAAAAGTAATGTAACGCCAATCGCTGCAGTGAACTGGGTAAGTACGTGACCTTTCGCGCTAGTATAGGTTCAAAATATGACGGTTTTGAGCAATTTTAAGCCAAAGCGTAGTGGTCAGTCGGCGTAATGGTCAGGAACTGTTTGGCGGATGGCAGGGCGTACGTCACAGGAAGTGTGCGTCGACATGACCATATATGATCACGAGGCGGTGTGGACAGTGTGTTCTGATCCAGTTTCTCTCCAGGGACTTATATGAAAACATGTGATTTCTACTACGTCTGGAGAGAAAAGCTCGTAGGCAGCCAGGGTACATAATATAACGTACAATGTATTATGAATAAAGGGTGAAATGGATAGGCACAACAAGAGATCTGTGTGATTATCCACCATTTCATCTGAAAACACGCACTCACATAATGCACGTCTCTGGGTTCTTTACGTAAAAAGGTTTAAGATCAACGTTGCTAAATCTCTGAGTCTTTGCTTTACATTCTCTCAATAGGGGCATAGTGCAGCCAGTTAAATATATTGAATTCATTGTGATATAGAAAACAACAGCTACTTTTCATCCACTGACACAAAAATCCAAACTCCACTTTAGAATAACTTTGTTACAAGCTGTTCAATCTACTCTGCGTAACATTTGCAAATTTGAAAAAAACAGGTAACCTGATTTTTTTCTTCACATTTTATTTATGGAACAAAGAAATATTTCAGTACAAAAAAAACCAGCACAATTTTTACATGTTGTCCTCATCAGAATCGTCCTCTTCCTCCAGTGAATCCTGCGAGACAGAAAAACAATTGGGGTGAGCACAGATTATTCCAAGATATTTTATATAGTATTTATGTACGATATAGTTTTCTGAATTAAGTCGTTTAAACATTAACTTCTTGTGTCTTCTGAGCAGAGTTTGCGTCAGATATCAGATGGACAATGTTATGTTTTTTTCTAATCCATTTTTAACAAATGACTTTCATCTATATCTTCTTAAGTCGACTCAAGGTTCAATACCTTTGCGTATTTCTCTGCTTCTTCTCGGAGATCTTTTGGAACCAGCTCGTGCCGTCCGTTTGTGACTGCAACAGACAGAGTTGAGGCATGCAATTTTTAAACCACGAAAAGTAGGATCTATTTTAACATCAGTCACATAAAATCAGTTGCTTGTTCCTGTGTTAACTCTTTAGTATTCACGTGCACGGCTGGCTGACACTAGCACAACGACAGCAGCTTTTTCACACACATCAGTGAAATAGGATGGATTGCTCTTTGGCCAAAGTTTATTGAGATAAAGACAAGATGGAGCCAAGTTTATAATACACTATGAGGGGAAATTGACAGCTTTAGTTTAACTGATGCAGCAGCATGTCCATGACTAGCACTGTGGACGAACCAATTAATAAACCAATTATTAGAACTTAAAAATGTTACTTGAAAAATAATTTGCTTTTGATACCAGGCCATGATGAAAATAGGAAGACTTACGATCAAATCTAACCAGCTAAATGTTTAAAGTTCATTACGTTGTCTTATGTTTAAGGTATCTTAAAGGACAACTCACCCTCAAATCCACTTTTTTTTGCTGATAAACGGTATAAATGAGTGTCCAATAGTGTTGTCTACATATCCTGGTCATAATTTTGTCACTTTGGTGCAAATTAGTTGAAAGTTAAACTTTCTGCCTAAAACCGTCTGTGAGGCGCCATCTGCTGGCGACCTGTATTACTACATTTGAATTTTGAATCTGGCGCCAACACTGGCACAGAAGTTGGACCTGACGTCTGCAAGTTGGACCTGACGTCAGCAGCCCCCCGCCCAGAGCAATGTAAACGGCCCAGTCTCGTTCACGCCCCCTTCAGTCCTCCAGGCTACGCCCATTTAGAGGAAGATTTGAACAGGAAATGTGAGTGACGTAAGCTCCGAGGAGCGGGGGTGAGAACCACTTTAATGTTAAAGTACAGAACTGCCATCTTTACACTAGCTTCTTTCAAACAAGATACAATAAGAGATCCTTTATTTCTTCCCACAAAGGAGAAATTTCAATGTTGGAGCGCACATATAGAACAGTAGTAAGAGCACAGAGAGCACACAAAATATACAATACAATTAACTGCTATGTTTCTTAGATGGCTGTAATTGATTCAATATGTAATATGCACACTATATTGCACTCAAGTCATATTAAAAAGAACTTTCTAAGCCTTGAGCTGTTTAAGGTGTGGACGAATAAAGGACCTTCTACTACTATTTGTCGTACGAATTCATGCATTTGCTATGTAGCCGTCTGGTCCAAAGAAACATAAACCAGATTCTCTCACCTTCTCCCACCCAGCTCAGCTCCAGCTCAAACGCTTTGTCTTTCACCTCGTCGTGAACAATGTAGATTCTGTAAAAACACACAAACACCAGGTTACGACAGCTCCCAGAATCATTGTCATTCATAAACAACCAAACAAAAAAGGAGAGATTCATGCCAGTTGTAAGTAAGTAAGTAATCTTTATTTACCGCCTTTGTTGTAATCGTAAGTGTGGTTTTTTTATTACTAACAACTAAAAGTTATTTGTAGTCAGGTTTTTCAGAAACTATGTGAAACTGAGAAAAGGTGGAGCTCTGTGTGTGTCAGAGATACAAGGACTATTAACATCAAAGAACAGCCATAAATGAATGTAGGACTTTAAAAAAGTACGGAAATGTGTATAGGAAGCTCGAACGCAGTACGGAAAGTGTCCTGGGCCTACAGCCTCAGTCGTCCATATGAACCAATGGCTCCCATGTGTTTATTGTTGCATTACCTGTGTTTGAACGGTTTGAGTTGATTCAATCTTCAACAACTGATCAAATATCAGTGGGAGCGTCCCAGGTGTAAGAGAATATAATAATATAAAATCAAAACAATGCAATCCTTGATCTACAGCCTCAGTCCCGCATCTACAGCCTCAGTCATCCCTACGGACCAATGGCTCTATGTGTTTATTATTGCATTGTGTTGAACCGTTTGATTCTCTGATCTGTTGAGGAATTAATCGACAACTTCGCAAAGGAGCCACCAGCAATGGTGTTTCAAGTGTAAGAGAATACAATATAAAATGAATCTAATCAGTGTCTAAAGTGTTCCTGGATTCTAATGAGTTTGTCTTTGACTCACATTTTGGCAACTTCCTTGACGAGTTCTCGACACGTCAGGTCTTTCATCTAGAACAAACAAATAAATCTGTTTTATATAGCGCTTTTTTGGACACTCAAAGACGCTTCACATGTCATTATTCTTTCACTCCATACACGGTGGTGATAAACTACTACTGTAGCCACAGCTGCCCTGGGGCACACTGACAGAAGCGAGGCAGCCAGTATGTGCCATTGGCCCCGCCGACCACCACCAACCATTCACACACACACCAGACTCATTCTAGGCAATGGGGGTAAAGTGTCATGCCTAAGGATACAATGGCAGTTTGGCACTTTACAGCCGCCCCACTGTGGCTGGTGTTCCCAGAGGTTAAGTGTCTTGCCAAGGACACAACGACAGCAGACAGTGGGAGTCGATGTCTGTCGCCTCGTAAATGTTTGAGAACAAAGAACAGGATAAGTACAGCTTCACATACATCACTGAAAGTATTCTGTTTCATCCATCACCATTCCTTAAGAACCAAATACACTTCAGCTACAGCCTGTCAGTGTACATATAAAATCAGTTACTTTAACCATGGAGCTCTGTGTGGCTTTGTCAGAAAATATGTAAAAGCAAATATTAAAATACTCTGATAAGAAACTCAACCAACAGAATGGGAGCTTTCCGTCTCAAGAAGTGTTTAAAACTTATTGTAAGTATTTAAACATTTAAAACAGTCTAAGCTTACCAAAGGGCTGTGCAGACAAGTTAAAAAGCAACAATAACACACGTAAATTGCAATAAATATGTGTATATACAAATAATAGGAAACATGTCTCCTGACGCTGAAGCTGAAGCAGGGTAAAGAGCTTGAGAAATTGCGCAAAGGTGAAGAGTTCCACTAATAAATATTGTAAATAAATGTAGGTACCTGTAGTTTCTCAATCTCGGTCTTGGCCGCCTGCTTGGCCTTCCCGATGGCACAGCCCCAGTATCCCTGCAGCACAGAAGCATCGATGTGAGACTCCAGAGGAACCATGTCATGAACACTGTGCTCTGCTAATGCTGCAGTTCAAGGGAGCCAACTTTATCATTTGGGCCAAAATGTCTGTGATACCGCTACTTAGTGCACTTGGGTCACTGTGCTGCTTGTTGCCGTGATGTTGCACATTACTTTGCTACTGGCTCCGGACACACTGGTGTAAGTGATGTTCATTGGGGTGAACCTCACACCAATGATGATTTACTGGAAAGTTCTATATAGTAACGTTGGATAATTAATGTTAGATGTAAATAAACATCAAAACAAATAAACTCTAAATTTAACTTGTATAGACTTGTAATTTTAAGGAATGTTAGGTAGATTTTTATTTTATACCTTGTTCTATATTTTCTCACTGCTGACCGCTCCAACAGTCTGTGGGTCAGGATGACAGGGACCAGGATCGTACAGACAGTTTTTCCAGTCTTTGAATCTTATACTGACTTACTTTAGTCAGATTGGCAAACTACTTCACCATTGAAGCAGATACTGGTCACATGGTTCTGACAGCATGGATCATTGTCGCAAACGATATTGACAGATGGAACCTGCTCAATGAACGATCCACAGAGAGAAACCATTATCACAGTGCGAGACTCACGTAGGAGATTCCTGACGGGTCGACCATGTAGAGCTGAGGCCCGTCGTCTTTGTCAAACGAACCCAGAATGAAACTGTAACGAGACGATAGGTGAGAAACAGAACCAGTGTCACAGACAAGAGACATCCACACAGGTAAGAGAACACACATTAGAAAAACTGTGCAAGAGTGCTACTCCCAAGATACTACAATGAGAGCACAATCATAAAAGAGCTTTGTTCAAACTTTACATTAGTATTTCTAGAAGCAAAGAATGGGTTTCCTTTGTTTAAACCAAAGCGTTATAAAATCCTTAAATAACGGATCAATAGTTTAGACATGGGTGATTTTGTGCTTGGCTCCAAACAGGTTTGAATGGTATCAAGACAAGGTTAAAGACATTTACACCAGTGACAGAGGTTTCTACACAGAGCACCAGGTGGACATCAAATACAGAAGACAAAGACAGGATTTGGTTGTGTCAGTTATTAGTCATGTTTGGGTGTGTTAATTTTGTGTAGATGCTGAGTCTGACCTGCAGCCAAAGGGTCTGACGGCGCTGTACAGGGTGTAGGCGTGGACGTACATGGCCACGCGCTCTGACAGGTGCTGTGGACCACAACACATGAAGTTAAACACACGTCTCTAGGAATTTATTTGTTACGAAAGATAAAGTATCATCTTTGGTCTCTCAGTATCATCAGGGTCTCTGCTTCGCAGCCACTGGCAGTCTAGTTAGAGGAGAGACCCGGCTGGGGCCCTGTCATGAAGCCACCTGTGCCATTCCCTTAGTGATAACACAAAGAATACATTACAGAAAGACATCTGGAGTTTATCAGTCTAATCTGGAAAATCTAATTCTTGTTCCGTGTAAGAATCAGCCGACCACAACCGCTGATACTGAAACTTTGAAACTTGCTATGCTAAATGTCAGATCTCTTTCTAACAAGTCTTTTTTAATCAATAATTTTATTTGTTCTTATAATCTTGATCTTATGTTCATGGCTGAAACATGGCTTGACCAAAATACAGAAAATGCAGTTTTAATAGAAGCATCACCACCAAATTTCAAATTTGAATCTGAAATACGGGAAAACAAAAAAGGAGGAGGCTTAGCTGCCATTTTTAGAGACCACTTTGTCTCCCATAGAATGTCTCTTGGGAAGTTTCCGTCTTCTGAATATGTGTCTTTTAAAATACAACAAAAACAATCTCCTCCAATACTCTTCATAGTCCTATACAAGCCACCGCAGTCATGTCACAGTTTTATTGATAATTTTACAGAGTTGCTTTCAGTTGTATGCACAGATTTTGATAGTTTAGTTATTACAGGTGATTTTAATATTCATGTGGATAATGTTGATGACAGAAATGCAAAAGAGCTGAGTTCTTTACTTGATACCTTTGGTCTCACTCAGCATGTGAGTGGCCCCACCCACAGCAGAGGGCACACTCTAGACCTGTTAGTTACAAAGGGGGTGAATATTTCAAATATAAGCGTGGTCGATGTTGCTCTTTCGGATCATTTCTGTGTATTTTTTGACATGTGTTTCACTAACAAACCACCAGTGGACTCTGCAACTGTTCGAAGAAGACACATAAATGAAAATACGAGTGAACTATTTATGGGAATGATAAACTTTGAAAATGCATCGTATTCTACTGTAGATGAACTGTTTAACTCTGTCACCTCTAGTGTTTTGAATGTTCTGGATACCGTTGCCCCTGTGAAGGTTAAAATAGTGAAAAATAAGCAGAAGGCGCCGTGGGCTAAAGCAGACTCGGTCAGGGCACAAAAGAGAAAGTGCCGGAGGGCCGAGCGGAAGTGGCGCAAGTCCAACCTCCAGGTTGATTACAAGATCTTCAAAGATAAGTTGTGCGAGTTTAACCAGGTGCTACGTAGTACGAGAGAAAGGTATTTTTCTGAAATGATTGAAGGCTGCAGTAACAATCTGCGTGTTCTGTTTTCAACAGTTAATAGATTAACAAACCCCCCTGTTCAGATGCCATTAGAGCTAACTTCCAAACGTAAATGCAATGAGTTTGCACACTTTTTCAATGACAAGGTTCAAGGCATCAAAAACGCCATTGTCTCCAATCCACAAATAACCATCCAACAGCCAGAAAGGCTCTCTGAGCTAACTTACTTTGCACTTGTAGATGATAAAAATGTCCAAGAAATAATCTCCAGTTTGAGCTCCTCCACATGCAGCCTGGATGTACTACTACTACTACTAAGTCTGCTCTGGGCAGTCTGTTACCTTCACTCACACAGATAGTAAACATGTCCCTTCATTCTGGAATATTCCCAAAGGCCCTGAAAACTGCAGTCATCAGGCCCCTGCTAAAAAAGAGCAGCCTGGATGCTACGGTACTTAACAACTATCGTCCCATCTCAAATCTGCCATTTATGGGGAAAGTCCTTGAAAAAGTTGTCTACCTACAGCTTACTAGATTTCTTATAATTAACAACTCATTTGATATGTTTCAGTCCGGCTTTAGACCCCACCACAGCACTGAGACTGCTCTTGTCAAGGTTACAAACGATATCCGGCTGAACACTGACGCAGGCAAAGTCTCAATCTTAATCTTGTTAGATCTGAGTGCTGCCTTTGACACCGTCGACCATGAGATCCTCTTACAGAGACTAGAGGACTGGGTTGGAGTCGCTGGCACCGCCCTAAGTTGGTTTAGGTCTTACCTTGAAGACAGGAAGTACTTTGTGGAGATTGGAGACTGTGTCTCAGATCATATGGCCCTGACCTGTGGAGTACCACAGGGGTCGATCCTGGGACCTCTTCTGTTCAATCTCTACATGCTGCCGTTAGGTCAGTTAATACGCAGAAACAAAGTGTCCTATCACAACTATGCAGACGACACTCAGATCTATGTCTCACTGACTGCAGGAGAACATGGACCAGTGGACTCACTCCTTCACTGTATCCAACAGATCAGTGAGTGGATGCAAAACAACTTCCTTCAGCTAAACGCAGACAAAACTGAAATGATTGTCTTTGGTCCCCAGAAACAAAGAGAGAGCGTCATCTGTCACCTACAGTCTCTCTCCCTAAAACCTTCAAACAAGGTCAGAAATCTAGGGGTAATACTGGACTCAGACTTAAATTTTAATAGCCACATCAAATCAGTAACATCAGCAGCTTTTTACCATCTAAAAAACATTGCCAGGATCAAAAACATAGTGTCTAAAGCAGACTTGGAGATTCTTATCCATGCATTTGTCTCCAGTAGATTAGACTACTGCAATGGCCTGCTCACAGGTCTGTCCAAACAGGCTGTAAAACAGCTGCAGTACATTCAAAATGCAGCAGCTCGAGTCCTGACTAGAACCAGGAAGTACGACCACATTAGTCCGGTCCTCAGGTCCCTGCACTGGCTTCCTGTGGCTCAGAGAATAGACTTTAAAACAGCTCTGCTTGTGTACAAATCTCTCCATGGCCTCGCACCAAACTATATTAGTGACATGTTAGTCCCATATGAACCAGCCCGGACTCTGAGGAGCACAGGGACTGGACTCCTGTTAGTGCCCAGAGTCAGAACTAAACATGGGGAGGCTGCTTTTCAGATTCATGCTGCTAAAATCTGGAACAGTCTTCCTGAAGATGTGAGACAGGCCTCCTCTCTGACAATGTTTAAGACAAGGTTGAAAACAGTTCTGTTTAGCTGTGCATACAACTGAGGGATTTTATATTTTTATATATTTTTTTTTAATGTACTGTGATTATTTATGATTTTAATGCTTTCTTGTTCTGTTCAGCACTTTGAATTGCCTTGTGTATGAATTGTGCTATACAAATAAACTTGCCTTGCCTTGCCTTGGTCCCTTAACTCATTGACTGCCAGCCCATTTCAGAACAGGTACTCCCATATTGCCAGCCGTTTCTGATGATTTTTACTGATTTTTCAAGACCCACAGAATATTTTGTACTATGACTATCTGAAAACCAGATTCTGAAAGAATGGACTGTCTACTTTCATCAGCAAAAAGAATTTTGTTTCTAGCTTGTTTCGTTCCCCTGTAATCCCCAGTTGAGTAGAGGGAAGTTTTACCGAAATCACCAGAAAGCTGAGAAAAAAGAGGCACAACATGTGCACCTAACTGTTTTTAAACCATTCAGAGAGAAATGCTGCCACCTGCTGGCTAGATAAAATATGGTCTCAAGCCATCCCCATACATATTAGATACAATAGACATCTGGGAACGTAAAAAGCGGGACACGCAATTGACGTGTTAACACGGGTTAACACATCAATGGCAGACAACGTTACTATTTGGTTTGACGTGTTAACACGTCAATGGCGGTCAATGAGTTAATTGTGATGACGAGACATAGAATGTGATGTGTCAGGATTAGAAAATAAATGCTGTAAAGGGTATTAAAATGCTTTCTGACTGTAATGTGGCATTTAAAAGAGCTTTAACTGTGATTTAAGGTTGGTCAAAAAAACATCACGTTGATATAGAAACTTAATGTAAAGAATTGAACCAAGCGTTTTGACTAAGTTTTAGTGTCACGATTCTTCAAAACTCACTGAATAATAAGAGGATCTTTGAGTGACGTTCAGTGATGGGAATAACGTAGTAACGAGTAATCTAACTAATTACTTTGACTGTAGCTATAACGCCGTTATCATTTCCGACATCCCGTTACTGCGCGTTACTCAAGACGCACAATGAACTTCTCTTTTTACTTTGTGATAGGACTCATGCACGTGTTGTCATGAGAGAAGGGAGGATGAGAAAACCTATCAGCAATTATTGGCTGATGTAAAACATATTTCCTTTACAATCTACATGTCTACAGTTGAGAGGATGGTCATAAATTGTGTTTTTGAAACAAATATGGGTCTTAATCGCGCTCAACCACGGCTTGTATCACCGTGAGGTCAGCCACAGAGTAGCGCATGTGAGCGCAGAAGTCGGCTGCATACAATTTAATCGATAAGCTCCTTTCTCTTCCTGGTTTATCTGCTAAGGACAGCAACAGGGTTGGCTAACATACATATAACACATTTTAAGATAATTTAAAATGCACTTAGGGTAATTTTTCAATGACTATAGGAATGATAAGGAAGAGAGGTGAAGTGTAAGACGAATGATTTTAGAAATTGGATGCACCCGGCTGCAGAAAAACAGGAGTTTATGGAGGACACACGCGTTTTGTATTACTTTTTAAAACTCATTGGACTCATTTCCAAATGGAGGATTACATATCTACGCTCAAACTATTATCTGGACTGAAACACGGAACTGGTCTGAACCGTAGTGGCCTGTGCAGGTCATTTATAAGGTAAGACCCATAACTCATAGTTTTGTGTTTTGTATGAACCAACAATGCAGGCATGAAACATATTTTGCTGTAGCCAAACAAATTGTCCAGTTGATTTATATGATATATATGTTCATCTGATTGGGCTGAAGTCAGTGCTTCACCGGTGTTTCCACATTCACAGTGGTGGGTGTTGGTGTTTAGTGCTTACAGCACAGAGAGAGATGAAGAGTGAACAGGACTTCAGCAGCAAAACAGCCTTTTCTAGATGGAAATATTGGCACTATTTCAGACTCACTGAGGTTAAAGGTAAAAATGCACACGTCGAGTGCACATTATGTTCCAGAACAAAACGAAAAAGTAATGCAATAGTTACTTTTACTGGTAACTAGTTACTTTTATTGTGAAGTAACTCCGTTAGTAACTCAGTTACTTTTTGGGAGAAGTAACTAGTAACTATAACTAATTACTTTTTCAAAGTAACGTGCCCAACACCGGTGACGTTTATAGGTTTTTCTGCGCTGGTCACCTGACTGGGTGGCAAAACAGCAGAGATAGCAACCTGGATGCTAGAGTGTTAGCGTTTAGACGTTTGGAGTGAGGTTTTACTAAATCAAATGGTCCACTCTTGTGTGGTCGGTTGTACGGCCCACAGGGGCCAGATGAGTATGTTTTTGAACTCCTTCGGAAAAGAACAGTGAAAAATGGCTTTGGATTTGTTCAGTTCAGTCTCATACTTATTTTTAGCTTGTCTTTATATCTACTTTATAAAGTAGATACTGTAGATACTGTTCTGTACTGGGTGCAGTCAGAGCTGCACCCAGTACACTTGGCTCCAGCCCCTCACTGATCCTCCTGCAGGTGGAGGCCACAGGAGTTGAAATCTTTCAACTACTTTAACTATCCTTTCTAAAAGGATCAAAACAGGGTGATACAAAATAAAGTTGCTAAGAATAGTTTGTTCCTGTAGTTTTTCTAACCCTACTAACAATGGGCACCGCAAAAAAGTAAAGTACACAAATTGATTGCACGATTTGTGTTTTAAAAATGTGATTATTTGGACAGCAGGGCGACAGTGGCTCAGTTGGGAGAGCATTGGCCTTTGAGCCTGAAGGTCGTGGGTTCGAGCCCACCATAAGACCTACTTCACGACTCCCACTGATGACTGCTGTCGTTGTGTCCTTGGGCAAGACACCTAACCCCACTTTGCCCGAAGCCCCCACTGAAAGATCTCAGTTCCTGTGGACTCACCACCTGCAGGAGAATCAGTGAAGGGCTGGTGCTATGTGTACTGGGTGCAGCTCTGACTGCCAACCAGACCAGAAATGGATTAAGGGGAAGAAAATGGATGGATGGATATTTGGACAGCACTAAAATTTAATATAAAAGTATTTGGTTGTTGACCAGACAATATTAAGTTAGCGATGTTATTGTACTTTTATTTCCACTAAGAAGAAAACATGCATTTTACATTAAACATATCATGTATGTTTAATGATTGTATTACAGAACTACAGATGGACAGTAGCTGGGGCTAAATCCGGGGCAGCCATATTTTTTTATGCAATTGCACATTGCCCTTAATAAACTGAACTCTAAGCTCCAAACTACTGACATGAAGCCTGTGATTCTCTGAGTCAGAACACACTGAGAACACAGAATAATCTACATCTAACACAATTCATTAGAACTGTTTAAACACATTTATTTGACATTAATTATGAGCTGAATTTTGGTGGAACAGAGTATTCAGTTAATTAACCAGAGCAAACAGAGCCAGTATCCGTGACAACGACTAGAGTCAAATGTTTGATGATAAAAGCTTCCATTCCATTCATGATCTCTGTCTATGTGGAAGTGATTTTAATCTGATTGTACTGAACTGCGGTGTTCTTGCTCCACAGATCGTCCAAACAGGACAAAAAAGGTCCCAGAGACATGTTTCAGGCTCAATCCCACAATAAGGGTGACTCCAGGTATCAAGTAGCAGCCACAGAAATGATAAACCACCAGTCCGGCCCCACCCGATCCGACTCAACCGCCTTTCCACCGACACTGTTTATCCACTACCTGGACGTGGTTCTCGGCAGGCTTAGCTGATACTGAAGTCTCCCAAAAAACAGTGAGTGGTGTGTTGAGGGCAGGTTGCTAAGATATAGTACCAGATATCAAAGTGTAATGGAAACACAAGCAGCTTGAGTAGAGCTGGGTAGGGCCAAGAAAAGCTGGTGGAAATAGGGCAGTATTTGGGTTGTAACTTAAATTCTATTTTGTCAAGAAAAAAACCTCAAGTGTCAAAAATTCTGAGCCCATTTGGAATTGGTCGGATCATTTGGAATGTGGTTGCAGAGTGGGTTATAATTACTCCATGATCTTCGATAATGACATTAACTAGTTTTTCTATTCAAGAAGGAAAATGAATAACTTCTTACACCTGCAACCGTCATAGTGGCAGAATGAGACAGACGTTGCAGCTGACAGAACATTTACCTTCAGAGGAATGTCGTGTCCGTAGTTTGATCTAAAGTTGGAAGCTTCGTCGCGAGCCACTTCTGCCAAAGAGCGAGCGTCGGCCAGTAACCCAGCAACCGCCTGAGAACAAAACACATGTATGAATCTAGATACATTTCTACTTCTGGGGCAAACACAGTGGGACAAAAAAAGTAGTCAGCCACCAAGTGTGCAAGTTCTCCCAACTAAAAGAGTGAGAGAGGCCTGTAATTTTCATCATAAGTATACGTCTACTATGAGACGGAGTGAGAAAAAAAATTATGTGCGTCCACTGCACAGAACTGGGAGGACCAGACGATGTCCAAATATGGGCGAGTTCCGCTAATCTTTTGGTGCCCATGATGGAACATGCACCACTGAGCACAACCCATTGATTTGAATAGAATGCCATCTTGGATCACCGGGGCTAGGCCCAGACAAACTAGGCCAAGTGGCCCGGATCGTGTGAAGAAGGCCCACGGTCACAAGAACGTGTTTTCGCAAACATGCCAGAGTACAATGCTCGGTCCAGCTGGTGGTGCTAATACAAACTTCAGCAACGATCTTGTTGTCCGAGTTAAGTTTCTGTTTCTCTTCCTGTTTACATTCTGCTACTGTAGAGCAAACAGCTCGAGTACGGATCGCGTTGTTAAGGGAAAGACACATCTCACACTGGTTCACATTCCTCTGATGCAAAGTGCAGCAGTTCAGTGGGTAACGTGTGTGCACACGTGTAATGTGTTTGTGCACCTCGTTCTCCTCCACTCATAGAACGAGGAGCGAACAAGCCGCATCCTGTAGCCTCTACAGCGCTGGTAAACACTAGGGCTTTGACTTCGAAAATTTGATATTCGATTATAATTAGAAAATTAAAATATATATATATTTGAATGAATATCAGAATTAGAATCAGAATCATTTTTATTGCCACGTAAGTAACAGGAAGTCACAGACTTGGAAATTGCTTTGGCTCAGTGCAACAGTCAGAAAGTGATAATAAAAATAAAGAATAAAATAAAGAATAAAAAACACTTTTAAACACATTTAAATTTAAAATAGAGTTACAGTTACTATTTACAATATACAAGTGCACATGGTGCACACAATATATCAGACAGCCCTTAATATTCTAAATGTATTTAATGACTGAAAATAAAATTGTTAGCTGCCAAAAGGTTTCGCTGTGACGTGCTAGGCGGGAAACAGCTAAGCTAGCTAGTTAAAAAACTAGTAGAAGTAGTGACAGGCGCTGAAAGCTCGTACTTGCTGAGTAATGTTAGTATTTTACACACCTGAATTACAAGCAGAGATTGCGTTGCCAAAGGGCAGCGGTCATTATTAGTTTCAGAGTTCTGTTATTAAGAAATAATGACTGGTAGAGTGTTTTGAAATTACATTCAAATCAATGGAGTGTTCTGCTGCTGTGAGGAGCTGTATAATAAATTATATTTAAATATTCGAAACTAGAGGTAATCTTTCAGTTATTTATTTTGTTAGCAATGCGTTACTTTTGTACCATTTCATCAGTGATTGTTTTACAGCTTACAAGAAGTTGCGCTAATGTTTGCATATAGATCAGATCGCCATAAAACTAGATGGATCCGTGGAATGAGAGCGTAGGGGAAATGACACCTGTGAGCGGGTTGAGGGGCGGTGCTAAACATTCAAACCTTGCAGAAACGCGTATAGCTCCTTTAAATAAAGACTGATTCTTGAACGTCTTAAGTGTTATTGCAATAGCACCACATTATGAGAGCGAGGGTCTGGAGGACAGAAGGAAGTTATTCCCGTAGGAAACGCTTCTCTTTGACCCTGGAGCGACACACCCCCCTGCGCCCCTTGACCACGGTACGGGGCTTATACGAAAGGTTTAACACAAGCAGAGAATACGAAAGTGCAGGGAGAGACGTGTGTGAAAATGTGCTTCCCAAAATACACAAAATGTGACGCACAATATGAAGTCCCCACCTCACCCCCCTCATACGGGCTTTAGAAGCGTGCTCTGGCTGGCCCACCTCTCTCAACCGTGCCCAAGCCCAGTTGCCGCGGTCACGTGGCAACTAGAGCCCGGATCTAATTGCGAAGTGGGCCCAGGCACACTTTAACCGGACTTTAGGCTGTGCATGTGACCGCAGCCTTACTGATGGGAGCCTTTGTTACTTTGGTCCCAGCTCTCTGCAGGTCATTCACTCGATCCCCGTGTGTGGCTCTGGTTCTGCTCATCTTGCAGCTTAACCCAAATTAGAGTTTATTTATTTTAGTGAATGGAGCCAAATAGAGTCAGTACAAAACATTGCCCAATCTGTGGTGCCGTTATGCAATTAGTGTTGTTACCATGCCGACGTGTCTGTCGATGTTGAAGATGCGTTTGTTTGAACCTTGTTCATAAAGTTTGGAAAGAACAAGTTTCTCCACCCCGAAGACCACGCCATCCTTACAGCGAATCGCGATTGCCGTACTGAGGGAAAAGTACATGAGTACTTCAGAAGTATGTACAACAAGTTTATTTGTACAGCAAAAAAAGTGCAGAGCTGGAACAAATCAATAATTAAGCACAACAGAACTGTAGAGTAAAAGTCTCACATTTTCAGGATATGTTCAGATTTTAGCAGCATAAATCTGAAACGCTGCTTCTTTATGTTTAGTCCTGACTGGGAGCAGCAGGAGGCCAGTCCCTTTGCTCCTCAGAGTCCCAGTATTCAAACTCATATAGAAAGGTTCAAACCAGGTTTTCTATCAGAGAATCTGCCATAGAGTCTGTGTCCGCAGAACCTACAGTCTATAATTTATTCTGGACTTTAGTGGTAGAATATCATCATAATGTCAGTCCACATCCAATTAACAAAATTCCAGTGCAACATATTCTAAAAGTCTTGTGATCACATCTCACTGCATCAGCACAGATGAGGAGACGACCGAGAGTAGAGCATTACCTGCTGTTCTCCACAGCCTTCATGGCGTACTCCACCTGGAACACCCGTCCATCCGGGGAGAAGGTGGAGGCCGATAGATCGTACTGAGAAAAAACAAGATACAGAATATGAACATAAAAAAAATACAATAAACAGCACAACACATTACAAATCATGTGTTCAGTTAAAGAAAGATTGACCAGAGTTCAGTCAATCGAGCATCTGGTTTGCGCTTCAGTCAGAGAGAAACTTAACAATTACTACATGAACAATATCTATGAGTAAAGTCCAGTTTCCTCCAGCTTCTATCAACCTGGTTCTGTTTCCATTACACTTAAATATCTGGTACCGTGTCCAGACAACCTACCCACAACAAACCAGAAATTCCTTGGTACCCATCGCTTCCAAGAGCACTCTTTAGTACTAGCTAGGCCTGGAAAGAACCAGGACCAAGATGAACTAAGTAAGTGGGTAAGTAAGTAATGTTTATTTATATACCGCCTTTCACAGACCAGAGTCACAAAGCGGTTTACAATTGTTATTTTTTGAAGTAGTACCTGGTACTAGTTACTCAGGACCAGTGGAAACGCCACCAATCAGGGTAGAGTTGAGTTGAGTAGGGCTGGTGGAAACAGAACTTATGATTCAAAATAGATGAATGCTCTCATTTTAGTAATTCAGGCAAAACACAGATTTAACAACAGGCCTTACAAGAATCCATTATTCCACTGGCAATTTCCAACTGTTTTTTACTTTTAGCCTTGTACCTTTTATAAAGTGAACTCGAGTGCCTTGAAAGGCACCATACAATAAAATGTATTTTATAAAAAGGAGGTACTATTATACATTATTTTGGGGATCAATATTCATCCTCTCCATATTACAATCGTTTTCCTAGTAAAACATTAACATTTGAGCCAAAAGAGTCCCTTTTGTGATTAATTAATGCTCAATTCTACTGCGTTATGTATCATTTTCAATTTACAACATTTAAAAGATTAAGGAAAATTCAAAATGGTTTTCAAAGCCTCCTGCTCATGAACTATGATAATATCGTTCCTGCTGTTCGTTTGAACCAGAGGCACAAAGTCCTTCCAATCATATTTACCACAATCACAGTATATAAGCATAATCCACCTACACATTATTAAGGCATATTTAATATATCATCGCCTGTTATCGGGACAAGCCTATTTGACAGTTTGAAAAAGTACTCTACACTAACAAAAAATGAGTTAATTTGTATTTTATAGAGTATATTTACAAAGACACATGAGTCAGAACGCAGATAAATAACCCAACTCATAATATTGAATCGGTTATTTGTTTAAAAAAAACACTTGAGTTTGTTTCGTTTTCATTTGTCATGTTAGCATTAGCCTCTTAGCTTTAGCCTGCTAGCTCGTTGTGACTCAGCAGCAGACAGCATGGACTGAAATACAGCTCAGAATAAAGGTATTAAATAGATACACATGAGTATCTGGGTGTAAATGAGCTGGGACTAGAGAAGCACCGGGTACACGCGGGATAAAAGCAGGTTTAACGTGGAAACAGAGACAAAATGGGACAGAAGAGAAGCACTCACCCCGGTCCCAATGGAGCTCATCCTATCTGTGTTACACTGCGCATGCGCACACAGAACATGATAAACAGGCCCCCACGCGCACAACTTCGGGACTACACTTATTCAGGGAGATGCGTTTACATTTACGTATATTTTATCTAATATATTTTTAGACTAACTTTTCCAATGTGGCAATAAAAGAGTCTGGCCTAATATTTTTACCAATCATCCCAGTTTAGTCATCGTTTTAGAGTTATAATTTATAAAATACACGTGCTAGAATCTAAATCAAGGAATAAATGTTTTTGGAGGTGCTGAAATACCAGTTTGAGAATCACTCATATTTCGGGTACTTATTTTTCAAACCACACATACAAACAATGAAAAAAGGACATTAAATCCATCTAATAGTTCTTCGCTCTCAAAACTGATCCAACTTGTTCACAACATGTCACTTTATAAGACTTTCAAAAAATTAGGTACCCCAGCTTTAAACCCAACAATGCTATAGAGAACATGATTTAGGCCATGTTTTGGTTTATAGCTTGTGGCTAGCATTACAACGTCTCAATGTTTCATTATTCTAAAATAATAGATTTGTGTTGTGTGAGCTGGTAAACAAGTGACTACTGCACAATGACCGCATTTGTTGAAGTAAAATTCTTCACTTTTTCCAGTTAATATTTTTATTGGATATAAGTGACGTGTTTTAAATGTCTTTGGTCACAACAGAATACATTCAGAGAATATGAAACCAAGGATAAAACATCAGAAAATCATGAGGAATAAACATTTTCAATTTTTCCCGAAGGTCTGAGTTGGACCCAATCCCAAAGAAAAAATACATCAAATAACTCAATCCAAAAAATGAATCACGGACAAAGGAAACAAACAGAAAAGTTGGTCTAAATTCAAAGTATTTTAATATTTTTTAATGTAAAATTTACAGAAAAGTAAAAATGCGAAATAATAATAACTGTGTAAAAGGCGAGTCATGCTTTCTGTGGTTTATTTTTACAGACGACATTGAACACATCGACTTCAGTCCAAACTGAAAGGAGCCGGAAGAGGCCTCGGGGGAACCGTTTAGTCCAAGACCTGGTCCAGTCCGAGGCCTTTGTTTGACTGGATAGTTCAGGACTATGGACCAGCTCTGAAGGGTCTGTGCTGGACTTAAAACCAGGGTCTAAAACAGGTCGAGGGTTTGAACCTAGCCAAAACCCGGTCTAAACCCGGCCCAAACCCAGTCTAGTGTAAGTGGACTGGTGCAGAGCTGACATCTTGGTTCTAAGTGTTTCCTTTTAAAACTCCCAGACAGCTCTGCAGAAGCTGGAGGTTCCCCTGAAACAGAGAGAGGAGAGTCTCAGCATGTAGCTCTAACACACACAAGGTTATAAATGAACAATGAACCATGGAGTAAGTTTACAAAGCATAAGACTATATTCGCTGTTGCTATGGTATGTTTGTGTGCCTCGAGAATATTATAACTTCTATATATTGCAATTCTGACAATTTCGACTGTTTTAGTTGAATGTGAATCAGAAATGAAGTTTTTGTCGAATCACCCCAAATTAAAAGAACACTTTAGCAACGATAAGAAAACAAACGGTGATGTCACATAGGGTACCCGTGTCAACCGTAAATTAATCTCACAAAATATTGTTCAATAAAATAAATAAATTCCGGCAAAAAATGTCTAAGATCAACATTAATATATATATATATATATATATATATATATATATATATATATATATATTCAGTCATTTTGATATCTACGATTTCTTTGACAAACCCTGAATAATGTCTTAAAGTACATGACGTTCTGTGGATCTGGTCTTCTTATTACGACCAGAAAAGTTTAACAGATGATGAAGACTGATGTCTGAAATACTGGGAGCTGCAGATAAATTTGAATGTACCTTTCTCATGTTTTCAAACATCACTATAGACCACAGGTGCAGACCGGCGAGGCCGCTTCTCAAAAGGGCCAGCTTTTAGTTCCAACCTAAGCAGGAGTACAACAGACTCCAACCATTTCCTCAGGTCTTCAGGTTAAAGTAGTACTAGAATTTAATATGCTGCTATCCAGAATATATAACTACAATATGTGTTTATAATATTTCGGGTGTTCATTTTGACATGTTCAGATGAAGTATGTTAAAAAAACTGCTTTGAAGTGGCACCTTTTCACTTCCGCATAGAAACGCTAGAGGGGGGGCAAAATGGCGGCGATGACGTAGGAGAAGGGTATCTCACAGCAGCAGCAGTCTGGGCTGAATCTGTAGGAGGTTTCACTGTCATCTGAACAAGGTATAAACATATTTTCATCCGTTTTGTACATAATAGTGCGCAACTCTTTTAACCTTTTAGCCTTATTTGTAAGATTCAAGCTAATTAGTGTTGGGCAAGTTAGCTAACTACTTGATATCATAAAACATGCTAACAAGGCTAATATTCGTTTTTACATTATGCCAGTCTCACTGTGGTTGCCTTAGATTTATTTACCACAATGTACATTGTAATATTCAAAAATGCTAACACCTATTAACGGTTTAATTAGCATTTTTATCAATGATTGCATCACATGTAGTCTATGTTTTCAACTTCTGCAGCTTTTTGTTCATAACAGTAAAATATTTATTTAATTCAAGTTATTTTGATTAGCATTTATGGATATTACAATGTACATTGTGGTAAATAAATCTAAGGCAACCAAAGTGAGACTGGCATAATGTAAAAACAAATATTAGCCTTGTTAGCATGTTTTAGGATATCAAGTAGAGTTAGCTAACTTGCCCAACAATAGTTTGCTTGAATCTCACAAATAAGGCTAAAAGGTTAAAAGAGTTGCACACTATTATGCACAAAACGGATGAAAATATGTTTATACCTTGTTCAGATGACAGTGAAACCTCCTACAGATTCAGCCCAGACTGCTGCTGCTGCTGTGAGAGGTCCTTCTCCTACGTCATCGCCGCCATTTTGCCCCCCCCTAGCGTTTGTGAAAAGGTCCGACTTCAAGGCTGTTTTTTTAACATAATTCATCTGAAAATATCAAAATGAACACCCGAAATATTATTAACACATATTGTAGTTATATATTCTGGATAGCAGCATATTAAATTCAAGTACTACTTTAAGTCTGAACTAGCCTGAGGAAATGGTGGAGTCTGCAGTACTCCAGCTTTGTTGGAATGAAATCCTGCAGGCACTCTGCGGTCGGTACCTGTGTGTGTGTGTGTGTGTGTGAGTTTGTACCTTTGCGTGTTTGAGCTCCAGTTCTGCCAGCTCCACCAGGTTCTTCCTGAAAGCTGCTACCCTCCTCGTCTTAAAGTCGATCAACTCTGGACACAGACAGAGCAACAGAACCATCAGACACAAACACCATCAGGACCATCAGACACAACAACCAACAGCAACAGAGCCATCCGACAAAGACAACAGATTTCAGGATTTAGTAAGACACTGATGCTTGTCTGAATGTCCACAACTCCTTCAGTCACTGAAGCCGTTCTCCACTTAGTTTGGCATGGATCCAAACGAAGGACCAGGACAACCCCCTCCTAAACTAGCTTAGCCTTGTCCTCCCCTCCTGTGCTCCCCCTCTTCCCTCCTGTCCCCCCCATACCTTGCTTGGCGCTGTCTGAGATCTTCTCAAACTTGTGGCAGCAGAGCTGTTGACTGGTCTCAGCCTGAAGAACGTCTCTGTTCTTCGCTCGAGCTTTGTCCAGAGTTTTGTTAGCGTTTTCATAATCCACCAGAGCACGACTCCGGCGGTACAGAAGGTCCTGAGACGACACAATCATCATCATCAGGGTTCCAACATCTACAAGATCAGTGGCACCGGAGGCGAGCCAGGCTATCATCTATCTAAAGCTAAAGATTGAGATTACTTCAAACATTTTTTGAAGGATAGCTCTCTATGGTCCCTCTCAAACTACACTTCCAATGATGCCGTGGGGTTACAGGGGACGTACATTTGTCATATGTTTTGTGTGTAAAGAACTTGGTTGCACTGCATGAAATTCACTTTATGAATAAACTCAATAATTTAGTCAGTTAAGTGTGCGGTGAGTCTTAGTGAGTGTGACCCGCACCTTTGCAGCTTGGGACTCTCTCAGATAGTACTTGAGCAGATCAGCCAGTTTCAAGTCTTCGTCGGCCGCAACTCGAGCCTCAATTTTCTACAAACATAAAAGAAACATTTGATCATCAGAAAGAATATTGTCGCAGGACCATGATCTGAAGTATGACACTGACCCTAGTCTTCTCAAACAGCTCAGAAACTTTGAGGAAAAACCTGCAACACAAACACAGGTCAATGTCAAATTAACATCAGATTCAGTCAGATTTAGTTTAGAGCCGATTTCTATGTGATCCCTGGAACAATTGAGATGAAACAAAAACTGTATCAAGTCCTGTGTGTTAGTGTCTGTGTTTCTTGTTTGAATGTGGACCAAGAGTCTGAAAAAAAAATTATGAATTATCTTTGTTAGCACATTTCAACCATGGTCTCATTATTTTCTTTCCCCCCTCCTTGCTTGTCACTCTTAATCTCTTTATGATAAAACACAGATGAGAACATGAGACCGAAAAACAGTGGGTGTCGTACTTGCAGAGGTCGGTTCCGTCCTGCGTCCCCAGTGTGTTCAGCGTGGAGGCGATTCTGTTGATGTCGTCTGCAGCATCTGTAACAAGCAGCACTCAGACTAGGCCTCTCCCGCTCTCTGGTCTCCCTCTCTCCCTCTCTCCCTCTCTCCCACTCTCCCACTCTCCCACTCTCTGGTCTCCCTCTCTCCCTCTCTCCCACTCTCTGGTCTCCCTCTCTCCCTCTCTCACGCTCTCTGGTCTCCCTCTCTCCCGCTCTCTGGTCTCCCTCTCTCCCGCTCCTGGTCTCCCTCTCTCCCGCTCTCTGGTCTCCCTCTCTCCCGCTCTCTGGTCTCCCTCTCTCCCGCTCTCTGGTCTCCCTCTCTCCCGCTCTCTGGTCTCCCTCTCTCCCGCTCTCTGGTCTCCCTCTCTCCCGCTCTCTGGTCTCCCTCTCTCCCGCTCTCTGGTCTCCCTCTCTCCCGCTCTCTGGTCTCCCTCTCTCCCGCTCTCTGGTCTCCCGCTCTCCCTCTCTCCCGCTCTCTGGTCTCCCGCTCTCCCTCTCTCCCGCTCTCTGGTCTCCCGCTCTCCCTCTCTCCCGCTCTCTGGTCTCCCTCTCTCCCGCTCTCTGGTCTCCCTCTCTCCCGCTCTCTGGTCTCCCTCTCTCCCTCTCTCCCGCTCTCTGGTCTCCCTCTCTCACGCTCTCTGGTCTCCCTCTCTCCCGCTCTCTGGTCTCCCTCTCTCCCGCTCTCTGGTCTCCCTCTCTCACGCTCTCTGGTCTCCCTCTCTCACGCTCTCTGGTCTCCCTCTCTCACGCTCTCTGGTCTCCCTCTCTCACGCTCTCTGGTCTCCCTCTCTCACGCTCTCTGGTCTCCCTCTCTCCCTCTCTCCCGCTCTCTGGTCTCCCTCTCTCCCGCTCTCTGGTCTCCCTCTCTCCCGCTCTCTGGTCTCCCTCTCTCCCGCTCTCTGGTCTCCCGCTCTCCCGCTCTCTGGTCTCCCGCTCTCTGGTCTCCCTCTCTCCCGCTCTCTGGTCTCCCTCTCTCCCTCTCTCCCGCTCTCTGGTCTCCCTCTCTCCCGCTCTCTGGTCTCCCTCTCTCCCGCTCTCTGGTCTCCCTCTCTCCCGCTCTCTGGTCTCCCTCTCTCCCGCTCTCTGGTCTCTGGTCTCCCGCTCTCTGGTCTCTGGTCTCCCGCTCTCTGGTCTCCCTCTCTCCCGCTCTCTGGTCTCCCTCTCTCCCGCTCTCTGGTCTCTGGTCTCCCTCTCTCCCTCTCTCCCGCTCTCTGGTCTCCCTCTCTCCCGCTCTCTGGTCTCCCTCTCTCCCGCTCTCTGGTCTCCCTCTCTCCCGCTCTCTGGTCTCTGGTCTCCCTCTCTCCCGCTCTCTGGTCTCTGGTCTCCCTCTCTCCCGCTCTCTGGTCTCTGGTCTCCCTCTCTCCCGCTCTCTGGTCTCTGGTCTCCCTCTCTCCCGCTCTCTGGGTCTCCCTCTCTCTCCCCGCTCTCCCGCTCTCTGGTCTCCCTCTCTCCCGCTCTCTGGTCTCCCTCTCTCCCGCTCTCTGGTCTCCCGCTCTCTGGTCTCCCGCTCTCTGGTCTCCCGCTCTCTGGTCTCCCGCTCTCTGGTCTCCCGCTCTCTGGTCTCCCGCTCTCTGGTCTCCCGCTCTCTGGTCTCCCGCTCTCTGGTCTCCCGCTCTCTGGTCTCCCGCTCTCTGGTCTCCCGCTCTCTGGTCTCCTGTCCCGCTCTCTGGTCTCCCGCTCTCTGGTCTCCCGCTCTCTGGTCTCCCGCTCTCTGGTCTCCCGCTCTCTGGTCTCCCGCTCTCTGGTCTCCCGCTCTCTGGTCTCCCGCTCTCTGGTCTCTCCCGCTCTCCCGCTCTCTGGTCTCTCTCTCTCCCGCTCTCTGGTCTCCCTCTCTCCCGCTCTCTGGTCTCCCTCTCTCCCGCTCTCTGGTCTCCCTCTCTCCCGCTCTCTGGTCTCTGGTCTCCCTCTCTCCCGCTCTCTGGTCTCTGGTCTCCCTCTCTCCCGCTCTCTGGTCTCTGGTCTCCCTCTCTCCCGCTCTCTGGTCTCCCGCTCTCTGGTCTCTGGTCTCCCTCTCTCCCGCTCTCCCGCTCTCTGGTCTCCCGCTCTCTGGTCTCCCGCTCTCTGGTCTCCCGCTCTCTGGTCTCCCGCTCTCTGGTCTCCCGCTCTCTGGTCTCCCGCTCTCTGGTCTCCCGCTCTCTGGTCTCCCGCTCTCTGGTCTCCCGCTCTCTGGTCTCCCGCTCTCTGGTCTCCCGCTCTCTGGTCTCCCGCTCTCTGGTCTCCCGCTCTCTGGTCTCCCGCTCTCTGGTCTCTGGTCTCCCTCTCTCCCGCTCTCTGGTCTCTGGTCTCCCGCTCTCTGGTCTCTGGTCTCCCGCTCTCCCGCTCTCTGGTCTCCCGCTCTCCCGCTCTCCCGCTCTCTGGTCTCCCGCTCTCCCGGTCTCCCGCTCTCTGGTCTCCCGCTCTCTGGTCTCCCGCTCTCTGGTCTCCCGCTCTCTGGTCTCCCGCTCTCTGGTCTCCCGCTCTCTGGTCTCCCGCTCTCTGGTCTCCCGCTCTCTGGTCTCCCGCTCTCTGGTCTCCCGCTCTCTGGTCTCCCGCTCTCTGGTCTCCCGCTCTCTGGTCTCCCCCGCTCTCTGGTCTCCCGCTCTCCCGCTCTCTGGTCTCCCGCTCTCTGGTCTCCCGCTCTCTGGTCTCCCGCTCTCTGGTCTCCCGCTCTCTGGTCTCCCGCTCTCTGGTCTCCCGCTCTCTGGTCTCTGGTCTCCCGCTCTCTGGTCTCTGGTCTCTGGTCTCCCTCTCTCCCGCTCTCCCGCTCTCCCGCTCTCTGGTCTCCCGCTCTCCCGCTCTCCCGCTCTCCCGGTCTCCCGCTCTCCCGGTCTCCCGCTCTCTGGTCTCCCGCTCTCTGGTCTCCCGCTCTCTGGTCTCCCGCTCTCTGGTCTCCCGCTCTCTGGTCTCCCGCTCTCTGGTCTCCCGCTCTCTGGTCTCCCGCTCTCTGGTCTCCTCTCTGGTCTCCGCTCTCTGGTCTCCCGCTCTCTGGTCTCCCGCTCTCTGGTCTCCCGCTCTCTGGTCTCCCGCTCTCTGGTCTCCCGCTCTCTGGTCTCCCGCTCTCTGGTCTCCCGCTCTCTGGTCTCCCGCTCTCTGGTCTCCCGCTCTCTGGTCTCCCGCTCTCTGGTCTCCCGCTCTCTGGTCTCCCGCTCTCTGGTCTCCCGCTCTCTGGTCTCCCGCTCTCTGGTCTCCCGCTCTCTGGTCTCCCGCTCTCTGGTCTCCCGCTCTCTGGTCTCCCGCTCTCTGGTCTCCCGCTCTCTGGTCTCCCGCTCTCTGGTCTCCCGCTCTCTGGTCTCCCGCTCTCTGGTCTCCCGCTCTCTGGTCTCCCGCTCTCTGGTCTCCCGCTCTCTGGTCTCCCGCTCTCTGGTCTCCCGCTCTCTGGTCTCCCGCTCTCTGGTCTCCCGCTCTCTGGTCTCCCGCTCTCTGGTCTCCCGCTCTCTGGTCTCCCGCTCTCTCTGGTCTCCCGCTCTCTGGTCTCCCGCTCTCTGGTCTCCCGCTCTCTGGTCTCCCGCTCTCTGGTCTCCCGCTCTCTGGTCTCCCGCTCTCTGGTCTCCCGCTCTCTGGTCTCCCGCTCTCTGGTCTCCCGGTCTCCCGCTCTCTGGTCTCTCGGTCTCCCGCTCTCTGGTCTCTCGGTCTCCCGCTCTCTGGTCTCTCGGTCTCCCGCTCTCTGGTCTCTCGGTCTCCCGCTCTCTGGTCTCTCGGTCTCCCGCTCTCTGGTCTCTCGGTCTCCCGCTCTCTGGTCTCTCGGTCTCCCGCTCTCTGGTCTCTCGGTCTCCCGCTCTCTGGTCTCTCGGTCTCCCGCTCTCTGGTCTCTCGGTCTCCCGCTCTCTGGTCTCTCGGTCTCCCGCTCTCTGGTCTCTCGGTCTCCCGCTCTCTGGTCTCTCGGTCTCCCGCTCTCTGGTCTCTCGGTCTCCCTCTCTCCCGCTCTCTGGTCTCCCGCTCTCTGGTCTCTCTGGTCTCCCGCTCTCTGGTCTCCCGCTCTCTGGTCTCTCGGTCTCCCGCTCTCTGGTCTCCCGCTCTCTGGTCTCCCGGTCTCCCGCTCTCTGGTCTCTCGGTCTCCCGCTCTCTGGTCTCTCGGTCTCCCGCTCTCTGGTCTCTCGGTCTCCCGCTCTCTGGTCTCTCGGTCTCCCGCTCTCTGGTCTCTCGGTCTCCCGCTCTCTGGTCTCTCGGTCTCCCGCTCTCTGGTCTCCCGCTCTCTGGTCTCTCGGTCTCCCGCTCTCTGGTCTCTCGGTCTCCCGCTCTCTGGTCTCTCGGTCTCCCTCTCTCCCGCTCTCTGGTCTCTCGGTCTCCCGCTCTCTGGTCTCTCGGTCTCCCGCTCTCTGGTCTCTCGGTCTCCCGCTCTCTGGTCTCTCGGTCTCCCGCTCTCTGGTCTCTCGGTCTCCCTCTCTCCCGCTCTCTGGTCTCTCGGTCTCCCGCTCTCTGGTCTCTCGGTCTCCCGCTCTCTGGTCTCTCGGTCTCCCGCTCTCTGGTCTCTCGGTCTCCCGCTCTCTGGTCTCTCGGTCTCCCGCTCTCTGGTCTCTCGGTCTCCCGCTCTCTGGTCTCTCGGTCTCCCGCTCTCTGGTCTCCCGCTCTCTGGTCTCCCGCTCTCTGGTCTCTCGGTCTCCCGCTCTCTGGTCTCTCGGTCTCCCGCTCTCTGGTCTCTCGGTCTCCCGCTCTCTGGTCTCTCGGTCTCCCGCTCTCTGGTCTCCCGCTCTCTGGTCTCTCGGTCTCCCGCTCTCTGGTCTCTCGGTCTCCCGCTCTCTGGTCTCCCGCTCTCTGGTCTCCCGCTCTCTGGTCTCTCGGTCTCCCGCTCTCTGGTCTCTCGGTCTCCCGCTCTCTGGTCTCTCGGTCTCCCGCTCTCTGGTCTCTCGGTCTCCCGCTCTCTGGTCTCTCGGTCTCCCGCTCTCTGGTCTCTCGGTCTCCCGCTCTCTGGTCTCTCGGTCTCCCTCTCTCCCGCTCTCTGGTCTCTCGGTCTCCCGCTCTCTGGTCTCTCGGTCTCCCGCTCTCTGGTCTCTCGGTCTCCCGCTCTCTGGTCTCTCGGTCTCCCGCTCTCTGGTCTCTCGGTCTCCCGCTCTCTGGTCT